TTGAAATTGGGTAAATGAATGGCTACGGCCATATCACGATGAATGCACCTCATCCCGTCCGATTTGAGAAGTTAAGCATCGTCGAGCTGCATCAGTACTGAGGTTGGAGACAACTTGGGAACCTGCAGTGCTGTAGCCTTTTTTGACATTATTCTCCAGTCTTGGAATTGACTTTTCATTGTGCTCTGGGTTCTCATTCAATTGAACAACGTCAAATTTTGAGAAATATGAAGTAGACATCTTTATTGAGCACACAATTAAACATTCAACTTCTTAGCAGCAAAAGCAGGCAACACAAAACTAGCCTTATGAATTTGAGGAGTGTAGTACTTCAAGGAATCAGCAGCACTCTGGCACCAATCCATTCTCTTTGGTTCCTTGCAATCATTTTCAGAATCCTTGGAACACAAGAAGAATCCAATCACACCAGATGGATAGGTAGGAATTGATGTATAAGCGTAGGAAACCTTTGGGAAGATATCCACAATAAAGTCCTTCATCTTGGAAATGATATCCAAGTGAAGCCAAATAGACTCGGCTTGAGTGCACAAAATTCCCTTTTCGTTCAAGGCTTCTTTGCAAGTCTTGTAGAATTCAGGTCCGAACAAAGATTCAGCTGGACCAACTGGATCCGAACTATCCACAATCACAACATCAAAGCAATTCTTATGATTCTTCAAGAAAACAGCACCATCATAGGTGTGTACCTTCAACTTTTCACTGTTGAAAGCCATATTCATGTGAGGAAGGAATTTCTTGGAAGCATTGATGACTCCTTCATCAATTTCGCACAAGTGAATCTCTTCAATGGATGGATGCTTGAGAATTTCACGAACAACACCACCATCTCCTCCTCCAATGACGCAGACCTTCTTTGGTTCGTGATTCAAAGCAACCAATGGAAGATGAGCCATCATTTCTTGATAACTGAATTCATCACGTTCTGTACATTGAATGACTCCGTCCAAAACCAAAACTCTTCCATAAGTCTCACTGTCGAACACCAAAATATCTTGGAATTGAGACTTTTCATGATGCAATACTTGTTTGACCTTCAAACTGGCAGCTTCACCAGGCCACATTTCTTCTGAGAGTTCAGAGAACCAACCTTCTTTGAATGCGTTCATGTTTTTAATGTTGTCTTGTTGATGAAAACAATAATGAAACTGTTGATGATGATGATGAGGAATGATGAGAGAAAATCTTCTTCCGACGAGCCGAGAAGGAAAATGTTTCAACACTTTTTGAAATTCAGCGAGAGTGAATTTTTTTCAAACCAATCCTCGCAGCGAAAGCTAAACACTGCCTTCCGTTGATTGGTTTTGGTAATTACATGAATTTGTTGAACTGCATGTGCCCACCTACTACATCATGATGAACACACATAATGACATCTTAGAATAGGATCCTCATCAAATTTTGTTTGATTCAAGAAATCAAGAAACAGGTTCTACACAACTCATCTGTTGATGACCATCATCAATTTTAAAAAGATGAGAGATGCATCCATCCAACAGAAAAATATCAAAACCAAACCATCTCCCAACTCATAATATTACCGGTAGGCCATTATCCAATACACAAAGAAGAGATGGATCAACCCATCATTTGTGCATCACACCAAACGGAACAACAACACAAACGGAACAACAACAAGTGTTTCTCGTTACTGGAGCCACAGGACACATCGGAAGAGCTCTTTGTGAGAGACTTTTGAATCATTCTCATCCCAATTCCAAAATTTATGCTTTGGGTCGAAATGAAAAGATTGGTTTAGAATTGGAACAATCCATACTACTCTCTCGGAATCATCCATCATCTGAACAACATTGCAACTCACCTCAATTGAAATTTATCCAATGTGATCTCGTTCAACAACCTGAAATTGTACAAGATTTAATTCTCAATAAGAATATTGATGTGATTTATCATTGTGCTGCTTTGAGTACTGCTTGGGCCAATCCAAAGGATATTTACAAAATCAATGTGGAGGGAACTCGTCATTTGATCCATGCTTGTTTGAAATTGTACAGCGATGAAACGAAGAAAAAATTGAAGAGATTTATTTATGTAGGAACTCCTTCTATTTACACATCTAAAAATCATCGAGTGAATGGTAGGTTAGAATGAGTTTTTGAATTGTGCATTCGAGAGGGTTAGTGAGTGAGGATGACGATGAAAAGAATGTGAAATTTGAAAATATTTTAAATGATTATGCTAAATCTAAATTTATTGCTGAGAAGGAGGTATTGAATGCTTTTAGACAATTTGGAGTTCCAGTGGTAGTCATTCGGCCTAGAGCAGTCATAGGGATTCATGATACTGCAATTCTACCAAGAATTACTGAAGTTCTTCAACAGAGAAGATTTGTAAATTTATGTGAAAAGAATGAGAAAATTTTTGTGGATTTAACGTTTATTGATAATGTTATTGATGCATTGCTGTCTGCAGAAAGGAGTGACAAGTGTATTGGAAAGGTTTACAACATTACAAATGGCGAGCCTTTGGATTTGCTTGAATTGTGTAAATTTGTTGCAGAAAAGTATTTAAATATTGACATGAATTTTGAAAAGAAGACATCACCCAACACTTTTGTGCCCAAGAAACTGAATTTCAAATTGGTCTATTTTTTGGGATATCTGTTTGAGTGTGTTTATGGATTTTTTGGGTGGTACCAACAAGATCCACCATTGACGCGTTACACTGTGACAACGATTGGTAGAACAAGTACTTTTGATATCACGAATGCAAAGAGAGATCTTGATTATCATCCAAAAGTTAGCATTATGGATGGTATTACGAAAGTCATGGATCACCATCACAGGTACAGCAAACTGTAAATCCAACTCCACACAGAAACCAGTAACCATTAATTCAATAAATTCAACTTGATAGCTAAGGAAAAACATGCTTTATTTAAAGAATAACGAATCGTCAATTACAAGTTTTTCCACAAGCTGAGAGATAATCTTAATAAGTAATGTGGTTTCAGAAGATGTTTCCGAGTTCAAACAATTAATAGGAGGACAGGAAGAGGGCAAATAATCTTTCTTTTGTTCAGAATTCTCATCAAACTCGAGCAATAGATTCTTTTCGATAAACAATCTCATCGTCACATGACATAACATAAATCTGAGAATGTATGATCTTGTATTCTCGTTTTCCAAGAACACTTTCATAGATACGTCCAAATGTTCATCTTGTGAAAGAAGCTTGTAGAGCTCATTAAAACTGTTCTGAATAAATAATTCACAATCTCTAAATGTGCGCCCTTCCAAATTCTTAACTCCTGCTAAAAAAGAGAATGCTAGAATGGGAGACGTGAGGAAATAAGTGAAAAATGATCCAGTTGTAGAAGAATCCTGTATCTGAGAAATATATATTTTGGGAGAAAATAATGACACAAAGTAGGAGTGTACGACTTGGTCCTGAGGCTATGGCAAGATTTGGTGCGTTTCGATTTTACATTCAGCTGCACATGTACAAATATACTTACAATTAAGGAAGCAGTATTTTCGCTTTCAAAAATCATGAATAGTGGTTTTCTAGTGAATGGAATGATATCTTGAATGGTGAAACAATTTGAGTCCAAGAGATTGGTGTCAGCTTCATCGTTCTCACTAAAATAAGTAGTACCTCTACGTTTGTTATCAAGAATGATACCAAATCTTGACGAATCAGCAGAAATATATAAAAATGTTGCATTAGTTGTGGATGGTAAATCTGAGGTAAGTTCGGAATCTAAGGTATTGGCTAAATGTACTAAAAGGTCAGAGCATGATGGTCGGTATAACATTTGCTTGCGAATTGCAGACTGTTTCTCACTCACAGAATTTTTCTCCAAAGACTGCATGATTCTCAACACGTCAAGAGATAATTCACTAAACTTGACAGTAACTTTTCTGCTTGTAACCAGAATTGCATCCGTTAGTTTGATTGCGTTGTATTGAGGCTGAGAAAAAATTGTGTCTTCTATTGAATTATCTGAAGGGGAGCTAGAATCTTCGGATGAGGGTGTAGTGTTTCCACTTTTCGATTGGGCTTCGTATAAATAATTTGGTATTCCATTATTTGATTTTTGAATAGATTGGGATTTTTTGTGCTTGGATTTTAGTACGGGTGTAGAATTTGATCTGTATTGAATGAGATCCATTGATTGGTCAATAGTGACCTTAGTTTCTGCCTTCAAAAAATTTTCAAGTTCTTCCAAAACGAGAGACCACTGCTCTCCTTTGTCTGCTATGTTGAAATTTGTTAAATATAAGTTAATACTATCGCTAAACTCTGGTAAAATGTCATTAATGAGTTGCCTCTTGTTTAGAAATAAGCACACAACAATAAATCGAGCATAGTATCTCAACATAGAATTAACTAATACTTCCTCCAAGTCCATGTTTTTAAAATAAGCCCTCGTATGAATTGCTTCATGCATAGATTTTATCAGCAGTAATTACTATTATATTAATGAACCAAAATTAGCCACATACCTTCATAAAATCGAAATGATTCATGCAAGCATCTCATGTCACCCGTTCTAAGACTATTTCGTGATATATAATTCGTCAAATAATACTTGAAAATTAAATACTTACTAGTATAAATAGTAGAGTTGACCAATCCGAGAAGCAATGAATCCTATTTCATAACGTTTCAAACCATTCTTCTCTAACACTGCACGATGTTCTAATTGAAACTTCCACAGTTGTGTAAATGTTTCAAAGGCTTTTCGGAAATAGGGTTCCCATAACTTCCTCTTCCCAGTCTCCAACAGGTCTCTATATAATTTACAAGAATGGAAAAATTAATAATGAAATGATCAAATTAATCACCGTGATGAGAACAACATCTCTTTAAACACAAACCTTAATCCAAAAAAGTATCGATCGGATAGGCTGTTTAGGCTCTTGTATTGTGATAATATCTTCTCTTCCTTGTCCGTTTTTTTCACTTCAGATGTGTTTTGATGATCATATCCGTATCCGCTCATGGGTAATACCAGTAATGAAATAATAATATTAAAATTAAAAACAACAGTTCAGCTCAACGGATTCAACCTTGTGTGTAACTTTCAAAAACACCAAGTGATGATGATGAATTTTCAGCTGAAAAGTGCTCTCGTGTGGTTGTAACTCGAGTGTTCGGCAAAATTTTTTTGACTTGGTTTTTATGATCACGAAGAAAGCACGAGCGCCAATGATCGTTGACTCGATTCAAGAACACAGTAAAAAGTAATTGGCTGAACAACCATAGAAAACAAACGGCTGTCGATGATGGGTGTGTCTGGCAATACATCCAACAATTTCATCATCACAAAATAATAATTTGAAAAAAATATTGTATTGCAGGTGTATTGGGAGCCAATTTATTGTGTTGCGTTTGGAAGCGGGTTGTCCTTACAGCACAACAACAACATCATCATCATACTGATTCAGTTCTAAATTATATTTAATTAGTATTTGTAATACAACAACAGCAATTACGCTACAACAGGAATTGAGAAATCTCGATCATCATCAAATACCAAAAATCGCTAGCAATTGTATTTTCATCGTATTTATGATAAAAGCAGTATGGTACGGTATAATCTAGTAGAACTTAGCGATAAAAGCACGCCGATAAACGATCCAGATTCAAAAGTCAAAATCATTGATGTTTGGAAACATAATTTGGACAGGGAAATGCTAAAGATTATTAACCTTGTCGAAAAGTATCCCTGCATCGCAATGGTATGTACACTTGATGGTTTTGGAGAGGATTTTACCATTTATTGCCGATACCAACAACATGTCCATCATCCTCTTATTCTACTAAAATGTTTGACAGGACACCGAGTTTCCTGGTGTTGTGGCAAAACCAACTGGTAATTTCCGTACACCATCAGAATATCACTACCAAACTCTGAAATGTAATGTGAACTTGTTGAAAGTGATTCAGATTGGATTGACCTTTACCGACACTGAAGGAAATATACCTGAGGATGGGCAATGTGTTTGGCAATTTAATTTCAAGTTTAATTTGAAGGAAGACATGTATGCTCAAGATTCGATTGACCTTTTAGCTGACAGTGGTATAAAATTTTCAAATCATGAAAAAGAAGGAATTGATGTTGAAACGTTTGGAGAAAAACTAATTTCATCTGGTATTGTACTTTCCGATGAGGTGAAATGGATCTCTTTTCACAGCGCCTATGACTTTGGATATCTGATAAAGCTCTTAACTAATGAGGTCCTTCCTGAAGCGGAATCAGAGTTCTTTGAACTATTACATACATTTTTCCCTTGTCTCTATGACATCAAGTATCTGATGAGGAGCTGTGATACTCTAAAAGGAGGCTTAAATCAGTTGGCTGAGGATTTGGGAATAAGGAGAATAGGGCCAGCCCACCAGGCAGGTTCTGACAGCTTATTAACAAGCGCGACCTTTTTCAAAATGATGAAAGTTTTCTTTGAGAATAACATGAACGATAAGAAATATATAGGTGTTTTGTATGGATTAGGAGAAGGTTTCGATTCTACTCATGGAGGTTTGGGCTATAAGAACTCTAGTACAAAACGAGTCGGCAACGTACAGAATGTTCAACACAATATTCAGTCAATCAGTAACTCGAACGCAGAAATTGCAACAGACTACACGTAGATTGTGTGAAGCTGATTTAAAGTGAATCACTATCTCACAAATTTTCTAAATCATAAATATTATTTCTTTAATTTTTATTAGTGTTTACTTGTTGGCCTGTTGCTTTCTTTTAGATACTTTTGGCCAAAAGAAGTTCCTATATGTTTCTGCTGTTTGTCTGTCCCTTTCTGTCACAGTTACTCTGTCGAATGATTTAAGCGAGGGAAAAATTGATAAGATACAGTATCGGTAATTTCGAATTTCTTCGATAGGGTTCCCAAAAAGGGTTAAATATTTCAGATTCTTAAATTTTTGAAGTACTGCAATTTCGTTAAGCGACGTAATTTGATTTGCATGAAGGTACAGAGAGGTCAAAGTTTCAGGAAGTGTCTCTAATCCTTCCAAAGAGGAGATATTATTATATGAAAGATCAATCCACTGTAACTCTTGGGGCGTTTCCAAAATTGTTGTTAGTGCATCAAATAAGCCATGCAGGTCAGATATGTTGTTGTTACACAATTTAACTCCTCTCCCAAGATATTTGATAATTTCTTTGGGTTCCTCTTGCTTGCTGTTTGATTCATCATGATGTTTGTTAGAAATCATTTCTGAGCTTCCAAACATTGTTGGCTTGAAACGCTCCTGTTCAAAACTTCTATTCCCTTTCCTTTCATCCTCTTTTTGCTTTTCTGCCGTCTTTGAGACTCTAACTCGTTTTTCTCCTACCCTAGGTACTGATGTTTTCAGATCTTGTACTAGTTAGACGAGTTCCATGAAAAAATAATCGAAAAACGTACCAGAAGGGAGATTAATATCTTTAAAAGAGAAGTCAATAATAGGAGCGGAAAATGTTGCGTAGTGGATCAGGTTCGGATCAGCGTTCTCATCTAATTCATTGTTGCTTAAAGGGCTTGTCCCGATTGTAGATTTAAGCGTGTGGTTGAGAGTGTTTTTTGGATCGATTGAACGTATCGTGTTGTTGAAAGGCATCCAGTAATTTGGAGAGTTGAGAGAGTGTTTTCAATAAGGGTTGTCAGCCACACAACTACAGTATTTTTTTGTGATTCGAACTCGAGATATCAATTTATTAAAAATGGTAACACGGGAGGCTGCTCTGGCCTTCGCTCTCCTATGCTGTATATTGGGGATCTATCAGTTGATGGTTTTCAATGCTATGGCTGGTGATGACGGAAAGGCTGTCAGGTATTTCCGAATTATTGCAACGGAGACTTCAGGTAAGATTTTATGTGTTTGTGCACAAAATCAGGTTAAACATTACTAGTCGATCTTTCGGAGGAATATATGCAGTTATTGAACGGAACGCTCACTGCCAATGACACGCTTAATGAGAACGAGGTTGAATCACTCAAGGAGATACCCTATCTCGCATCAAGAAAAACAAAAATTGATGCTATACTTAAACAATTGCGTTCCGAGGTTGAGATCGCCAAAGACAAGTTGACAAAGGAAACGAACAAGTTGTTGTCTTTGAAAAATGATGTTCAAATATTAAGAAATGAGATGTCCAAGATGGAGGAAATCATGAAAGAAATAAACGAAGACGAATAATCTATTATTGCATCAAACAACATCCTTCTTTTTTGTTTCGTTCCAACAGATTTTCTACACCCACCTGAATGATGAGTTCTTTCAATTCCATGATTCCTTGTTGTGTAAGACTGCTACATTGTACATAGCCTCCGAATCCTGGAGAGTAAGTCACAGTTTTGAAAACTTTTCGGGCATCCTTTTCTGCATTGGGATCATCACACTTTAAACCAACAACAATGAACGATGCAAACGGTATCATCTTGTACTTGTATCGAATGACTTCAAACCATCTATTTTCTACGTTTTCAATGCTTTCTTTTGATGAGAGAGAACAACAAATCACGAACAAATTGGTCTGAGGATAATACAACCATCTAAAATTGTCCTCATCTCTTCGTCCTCTTGTATCGTAATATCGGATGTGAAGATGGTCAGGAAGTTTTTTGCCTTCCAATGCCTTAATTCCCTTAACATTCTCTGGGCTGATGATTGAATCAAACGGTTCCATCTGTTCGACATGGTTCAGATCTACGGATCCTCCCATCAACACTGAAAGAAGGCTAGTTTTACCCACAGCAGCATCACCTGTTCGATATTCCCTCAATGAATTTCATCATCATCTCACACCAAGTTACGGAAACACCTACCAACAACCACCACTTTCACTTCATTCTTTGGCTTTCCGTTCTTATTACTTTCTTTTGCCATTTTTTACCATGAAACTCGTGCCATGAAATGTCATTTGTGGTTTCATCCTTTGCATGTTAATACATGTTGTCTGTCCGGTATGGAACGTTTGGACTTAACGGAAGTCATTTCCAAAAACCACCAGCCCTTTCTTTTCTCGAAATTGAAAATGGAATGTATTTCGTGATTTTTCATTGCCATTTTATCAAAAGGAGTTGTTGTAATGTCTCAGAGTGAGTGGCTGGTCGACTATTTCTTATTCCTATTAAAATAACACACAGTGTTCTCCTCTTACAGTGTTGATACAGTGCTCATTGGTAAAATTATTCGAAAATTATTCATGCTAGCAGTGTTCATCTCTCCAAGTTAATGCAAAACCATAACAGGATATTTGTGACCACAAGTTAGGCCCTGAATTCCTTTAAACGTCGCGATTATAAGGCTTTTTTAGAAACCATCGTTAAAAAAAACGTTTATTCTTCTCTCTCATCACGTCATCAACCTGCAAGGGTATTGTCGGCTTGGCTGTGTGTGTTTCAATACACGTCTTGGTCGTCGTAGAGTGAGTGGAGAACAACAACAATATCATCATCATCAGTCAATCAAAGAATATTATTGAGATATTCTTTCAAGTAATAACGAGAAGAAGAAGCCTTTTTACTCTTCAATATTTTGTGATCATCACGCGCACATTCATCGCACTGCTTACCGCTCTCAACAACAACATCATCATTTTGCTGGAGAAAGTAACTACAGTGTTGTTTTCTGTCATACTAACAAACATATTAATACCAGCCGAACGCATTGCTGTTTGAACGCGTGTGTGGAAATAATTTTTTGTTTGATTATTTGAAACGGAATTGCTTTCAAATATCATTACATTTACAAATGTTGTCAGAAGCTAGTGATCAGACTTCATCAAATACATCATCATCAACTATTGCTGGAAATAACATTATCAACTTACCAATTGTTCCTTTTTTCAAGAGTGAAACAACGCATCTACACATCCGAAGTGAACTACCGCAACGAAAGAAAATGTTTGGTGGTTCAGATGATTCAAGCCCCAAGCAATTTTTGGAATCGTCCGTGACCTCACAGAGGTTGAAAATTGTTCACGGTAGCACACCTACACCAGAAGGTACAACGGTCGATCGAACTTTTGGTGTTGTTGGGTCAAAGTGGGGAGGTAAAACTACATTTCTAAGTCATCTACGACAGTTATATGGAAAAAAGTATTCAATAATTGATAAGGCATCACTTGGGGATCGAATAAGAGGATCTATTCTGAAATCCTTTGTAAATTTATTGGGAGCAACAAATTATTTTTTGGAACAGGAAGAATTTTTGGTTGAGAATCAGGAAAGAGTTACTGAATATTTACTGAACTACAAGTTTACGAAAGAACTCAAGAGTAGTCATATCAGCACAGCAACAAATCCAGAACCACGGAGTAAGATTGATGAAATGAGACAATTGAAATTAGCCTTAAAAAATATACCCCTGTCATCTACAGAGTTTAACGACATCAAGAGCGAAGTGATAGAGTATTTTGAGTCTCAAAAGGCAGATTTACATAGTTTAGGTTAAATCAAAGTAATATGACACGAGCATTGGAGTACGTCGAGAAACTCTGGAAAGACAAGCTTATTCAGCTCGTGTATACGCGCTATAACCACAGACATCATGTTCTACAAGTTCTCACTAACCTCGATTATTGGATGAACCATTCCAGTTTTGTATTTGGAGCAAAATTCACTCCTAGATCAAAAGATATTCTTCGATACCACGATTTACAGCAAGGTATTGAATCCAGCAATGTGTATTCTGTACATGGAGTAACCTTTGTTGGTATGGACATCTCCAAACTTGAAAAGATCAATCACGTTTTTAACCTGCAAACTGATGTAATTTTTGTGATAGGCCTTAACGACTATGAACTAATTGATGAAAATGGCGAAAATAGATTAACCGTATGCGTTTCACAGTTTCGAAAGATTTGCGAAATGATCAAGACTCAATTTTTAGAACACAAATCGCCACTCAAACGTCTGACATTGGTTTTGAATAAGTTCGATACATTTATGCAGAAAGCTAAATCATCCACAGATACCTTTTTACGGTTAGAACTTTATCATCCAGAAATATTCACCTATTACGGCACTACAAACGGAACTGCCGCTCATGTCATTCGTGCCATCATTGACTATTTTGTAAATATTTATGACTCTTACTTTAGAGATATTAGAAACTTTCCACTTTCCATCAAACAAGTTAACAAGTTTAGACTTACTTCACCCTCACTCAACAACTCTATACTCAATGTATGTGTAACATCTGCTCTTGATCGAACGAACATGGAAGAGTTTTGGAACTTTCTTCTCACTGGATACCAAGGAATTGAACAACGAGCTTACAGCAGCACTGGTTCATGGATACCGTTTAGAATGTGTCGATCATCCATTCATACACAATATGGATCTTCCTGTTTGCATTGGGGAGAAACGGTGTGTCTATCGACCAAAGATTTTGCAAGTTTCCAATTTGCAGTACATGGCTCGATTCTAGAAACAAGGTGTCCAGAGCTATCAAAAATGGTAGAACGAGAGAAATTGAACAATTGTAATAGTAGTGAAAATACCAATGTGGCATCCATATCCCTTAATTTATTAACCTTCGAGGAATTGGCAGAGATTATAAGAAGAATGTACGATGGATGCTATATAGATCTTGTTACCTTTCGAAAATTGTATCACAAGCTCAAAGTTATAGAGGTTGCTGACAAAGAAAAGTCAAAAAACAAACCAAAGATCATTATGAAAGCATTATCCAAGTTAAAGAAGTTGAAAAAGTCGGAACAATTTCGTTTCAACACCAGCAATCCAGCAGAGTTGGTCGAATACTCAATGCTCTTTGAAGAAAATCAGTCTACCTTACCAGAACTGTATGATATTTTACTGTTTCATCAAAATGGATCTCTTCAGGGATACAAATTCATGTTATCTATACATCTTCCTGGATTCGTTCTTGAGAGAAATTATCACGTGCTGGTGCCATATTTCAAAATCTCATCGTATCAAAATGTTCTTAGAATGTTGAATCATGTGAAGAATATTGAGATTAGAGATTGGGACGATCTTGTGGAAATGATTTATATTTCAAAAATGTGGAAATTTGATGATAACTCGTTGCTTGTCGAGAGACTGAAAGGGCTATTGAGGCACATGCTGTCATGTGAGAATGTTGTAAAGTTTATACCCTACTTCTCAAAGGATTGTATTGACTTTTCCACATTACCTGAGCATGAAACCCGATTGTCCAAAAAGAAGTGGACACTTCTCGATCGACTTCCTTCTGATTGCACACACCACATTTCATCATTCCTTTATGGTTCTTTCAAGACAAATCCATCCAACTCTCTAATTGATCAAGATTACTTGAGCTTTATTTGCAGTCTAGGACATACTGCCTTCTTCACCTTCCTTGCTAACATCCCACAAACGAATTTGAAGCAATTTGTTTGGAAAACAAAACATACTGATTTTTCTCTGTTCTTGCGAGAGTGTCAGTTGTTCATGGAGAAAAACCAGCTCAAATAAAAATGTTGCCAGATTGTCGTAATTTAACATGTTGAATATGTTCAAAGGTAAATTTCTGAAATACGCAACTCTTTGTAAAAACTCTGGAACCTTTTAGATCCTCAGCAGTGTTCAAGAAGTGTGTGAAGTTACACCCGTGGCAATATATCCATTGGAGCTCCAATACGAATTAATTTCGCATGGTTCCTCCGTTAGCAGTGTTCCATCATCCTTGTCATCAATGATCATATGGGCCCATAACATTTCCTTAGGCGATCTTCTCATGTGCTGGTTCTTGATTAATAAAGGCGCTTGTTCAATTCTGGTAATGTAATGGTTGGTTTAGGTACCACTTTCCTCTCGAACGCTTCAGCTTGCTTGTTATAGCTTTTAGTTTTCAAAATTAATTTGTGGTACGTGTTTTTAAGATCTACCACTTGCTCTTTAAGCTGTTCGAGCTCGTCTTTTCGACTCTGAAAGTCCAACAAAAGAGAATCGTTTCCTACGAGTGGTTCTTTCTCACGCATATCTAAATTTTGTTTTTTAAGAGCGTCTCTATCTTTTTTGATTCTTGTGAGCATGTCTTTGTGATCTGTCATCTCTTCATTAAGTTTTTCCAGCTTTCTTTGCAGGTCTGAGTTTTCTGTTTGGACATACTGCAGTTTTTCTTTCACATGTGTCAAAATATGAACAGTAGTTGTTTGCTTTTCTCTGGCTTTTTTCAAGCTGTCTCTCTTTTCTCGAAGTTTTTCCATCAGTGTGGAATTCTCCATCTTAAGTTGCTCATAGTCCATTAAATGAAGACCTTCAGAAAACTCCTCTCTGCTTTTGATCAGCTTCTCTAAGCTTTCCTTGCTGTTCTTCAGTTCAATGTACGTCGTTCTAATTTCTCTTATATGCCCGTCTTTTTGTTCATCCTTTTCAATGTACTTGTTGATTGAAGTTTTTGGAATCTTTTTCCCAGTTCGGCTGTCTACTGCACTTAAAGCCATACTTCTTTTAAACTCTCGGAATGAGTTTTGCAGCTCTTCAGCGTTCGTTTCTCGTTCTTCCAGCCTAATCCTCATTTCATTCAATTGATATGCATTCTTTTTTCGAAGCTCCTCCATTTCATCTCTCAATTCTTTGTGCTCGGCAACGTACTTGGCATAGCGCTCTTCAATTTCTGATGAAGGAACGGTGGTAGAGTTAAATCGTTCGCTGGATTTTGTCACCTTAAATATCTCTGAGAGTCTTTTTTGTGCTTTTCTATGCTTTGCATATATTACTTCTCTTCGTTTGATTTCTTCTGTGTAACGTTCAATATACTTTGATTTCCTCTTTAGTAGAGTTTTATATTCTCTGGTTTCTTCATCGTCATCGCTGTCCTCTATTTCTGTATGGAAACTTCCTTGATGTATTCTCAAATGAATCATTTAATGCTTGATTTTCTGAGCTAAGTTCTCCCTCATTGGCAGTTTTCTCTCCAGTTCCAATTTCATCCTCTGAAAACTTATCGTCCTCTGCATCGTCTACTAACTCTTCCATCACTCGCTCCTCTCCTTGTGCTTGGTCAGCTTCTTCCAATGGATCATAGTCCATGTAAGAGTATTCTCCTCCTTCCAGGTTACTTTCATCTAGGTTGTTGTTATTTGAAATAAAAGATGCTTCTTCCCCTTCCGATGACATGTTTTGCATCGCTCGAATTTTAATATTTTTTTAAAATTTTCGTAAATTTTTGGCGGTGAAAAATTAAATATCGATTTCATGAAATTGTTTACATAATAGCGATTTTGAATAATAATAAATCATAGTAGAAATATATTATTATACATAATTATGGAAATAATAGAGTTCATCCTTTCAACGTAAAAAATGAATTCAAACGAATCACATCCTCCCCATCATGCTAATTCGGAAGAAACACAACAAAAGACACCTTTCTGGAGTTTTAGCACCATTCAAGCCATATCGGAAAAGATCGACCATCATCAAGGGCTCACTTGGAAGGAGTTTGCATTGTGGAAGTTTTATGAACTCACAGGTTCGTGATGAAAATATTTTTATAAACTGCTCATCATCATCATGTCTCCGTCAACAACAGACCATCCAAAGCCAAGAGGAAATGTTATTGTTGCAAAAAGTATGGAACATTTTGATGAGATCTTAAATCAGGAAAAACCTGTGGCTGTTGCTTTTACTGCTCCTTACAAGAACAATTGTGAACATTTGAAAAAGAAGATTAGAGAAATGGCACCTTACTTTGAAGAAGCTAATTTTGTGGAGGTAGATTGTTCCATCACTCCGAACATTTGTTACCAGAAAAATCTCGTATCTGTACCTGCAATGGATGTTTTTTATAAGCCAGACAAGAACAATGACAAAGTCTACCGATATAGATATTCATACAGCCATAGCGTTTACGGATTTCAATCATTCTTGAAAGATTACGGTCTTTCCTCTTACCATTCACCCTCAATATTTCATAGGATGGTCAAAAAGTTGGAAGCCATCAACCACCAGCAACAACAGAACGTTCCTTCCAATAAGTAATGGTAAATGTTGAGATTTTCCAATAGACCTACCACCTTCAGACGGTGTTCCCTTCATCTGCTTGCTTCCAGCATGTAATACAACTTCCAACACAAAAATTTAAAACTAACACCTACTATGGGGAAAAACTGTTGTAGCAACATTGTTTCGTAATGACAAACGAGTTCGAAATTCTATTCGGGATTTCTCTAGCGCTAAACATTTGCTTTTTAGGATCCATAGCAGCTGTTATAGTGTACAAGATTGTTCAATATTATAAAAGGAGGAGCAGAGTTTGTCATGATGATAGCACTGTGGCTGCTGTTTCACTCAATGAGGACTCATCACTGACAAGATTTATTTCTGTTACATCCAGTACTCTGAAAGAGCACCAAACAAAAGAAGGTGGAAACTTTGTAGAGTTGAACATTGAAGACAACTTTAGGAAGCCATTAGAAAAGCAAACTTCATCGACTACTCTAATACGAAGAGAGGAGAGAGCTTGTCAGTATGAAGTTGAACTCTTTGATGCAGTGAAAAAAAGAAACGAAGATGCCAAATCATCGCATGCATCACTGCAAACCAACTCCCTGTTTTTAGAGTCAAAAGGAATACAACACAATCCCACCGATTCCCACACCTCCGTTGACACACAAACTGAGAATGAACAAGGACCAGTATCATGTGCGCAAACAGGCGTGCAATTTTCATTGAGAGTCCTCATAGTGCAGTATCTACGCAAACCAACTGGTCAGTCACAAACTGTGCAGTGCAAACACACAAGCCCTTGCGACGAGATACTCCCTCTCAAACTTTGATGAATACCAATGTCAAGCAAGAGGTTTATCATGTTGAAATTCAGACTGAACTAGTTCGTAATTCCATAGCAGTGCAATCTTGTGTTGTACCGTATGCGACTTCTGTTGTTCAAACTGAAAACAAAGAAGTGATTGATACAGATATACAGACCCATTGGGAAATTAGGTCAGTTCAAACTCAAACAACTGGAAAGATACTTGAAGACGCTTCAATTCAAACACTAGTCAGTGGGTATCAAGAGTCATCCGTTCAAGTAGAAACAGAGTTATCTTTGTCCTACCATATGTTTAATGCTCTGCGAGCGATGGAAACAAGCACACTAGACCACCATTTGCTCGTCATGGTGATGAACTCTCTTTTTATTTCTTTTTCTCAAATTAAGAATCAATTTCCTTCAGGGGACTATTACCCCATATTTTTAACTGCTCTCCAAATATTGAAAAAGCACTTGGATATCTCAGAGGAAAGGCTTCCCTTGTTGTGTGAAACAGAATGGGACCAGATATCTGGTATACTCTTATTTTGTTCTTCGAATTTAGCTGCACTAACCAACGAGACTTTTATTTTCATGTTATGGCGAATGATAAAAGAGCAAAAAGGTGTGCTTACACACAACCAAACTCAGACATTTGTCGTAAGCCTCCATAAGTCCATACATCAAGTTAGATCGAAAACGTACACAATGTTTGCATTGAAGATTTTACTGCAGTTGGATTTAAGCGAAAGCAATGATAAGTTTACACAATTTGTTTGCTATGACCATCTCAGAGATTATGTGAACTCATTAGACTCCAATTCTGAGGGTCTACTTCTTGATGTAGTTAATTACGTTTCCATATTCAGTGATTGTTATATTAATCAATTAACAGAGGATTACTCGATGCTTGACATATTGAAAATAGACTGTATTCAATTTATCGAAGAGGATGGTGAGAGAGTCATAGCTCTGTCACTACTTGACAAGCTTTATCACCTTATTTCCAACCTTAGAATTTCTAAAATCACTGGTAATCAGAACATCTGTGATTTATTCTTTATAACATATCCAGAAAATAGAAAAATCACAGCCAACATAGAACGAAATCAGCAACTCATTATTGAAAATATCGAAAGCAATACATTAGAAGAGATTGAGTGTTGGGAATTAATCGAATCAAGAATTATCCAGTATATAGATATCATTCATAGTAACGAGTTGGATAGATCCACTATTCTCAATTTCTATGTGATATTGACGTTTGTCATGTCAAAATCAGCCTCCGTAGATCAACATTGTGTCGCCATTACCGCACTTGAACATCTAAAATATGTTACCATTACCAATAGCTCTCCTTTGACACTCATTTTCCGCCATCTTCACACAATTTTACAGTCTGTTGAAGTTTTGGAAACATTTGTCAAATTGTTGGGAGTAACTTGGATATATGACATTTGTTTGAAAAATATGAATTTGGAACTAGTAGATTTATCATTTAATGTGTTGACCTTATGTTTAAATTATTATCCTATTCAACATTTACTATTTGTACTGAGCTCAGAGAAAGCAATGGGTCGCATTGAAGAATATTTTGGATATTTATGTGGCCAAAGGAAAAAGGAATATTTAGAAATTGTTGGTAGCTCCTTGAAAACACAAACAGAGTTAATTTTCAAGTCGCTTACCTCTCCGTCCAAAGAATACTTTGGCGAGTTTCCATTGGTCAAATTTACACTCCAACATGTTGACTCGGATTTAGGTAGCTTTTTTGTAGATCTATTGAACATATGTTTTTCAGAGCTGTCAAAGCAACTCAGTTCCAAAACAGGTCAAGACAAGTATTTTACTTTTTGTAAATATTTAAGCAAGGACATTTTTGGAACCTCTCTACGAAACTGTTTGAGAAGGTACATGGATATCCCTGCAAGTTCTCAAGAATTATGCGGCGTTTTGACACTGCTTGTCCATGTTGGAAATATCTACTCTCAAACACAGAACAGTAAGTGATTGTGGTTCTTTGATTATTGAACACTCAAATTTTCAGAAATTACTACGAAACATTTGCAAGGTATAATACCAATATTGACTCTAGAGATGGTGGACCAAATGAGAGGACAGGATAATAGTTGTCAAGCAAAATATGTGACATGTATCTTTGCCTTATTACAATGTAGGATGACATTGTCTCAACAGTTATCAATACTGAGCTCAGAAGTACCTTCGTTTTGTCTGGAATGCATTGTGAGAGATGGAATTCCAATTTCTATTAACTCACCATTTTCTAAGTTGTTATCGATCCTGTTAAACAGCAGTACAAACAACACTTGCCAACGGATTGTCCTAGCATTGAGCGAAAACAAGGCAGTCACATATAATCAAAATGAAATGGTCCGAAAATTAGAGTATGATTTATCAAGCGGATTTATGAAAATTAATTGTTCAGAAACACCTGTTCTTCCTATTTTGCTTTTTTCAAGTAGATTTTTCCAGTCTAAAAGTTTGCCATGTGAATTGGAAATAGATTTACTTGAGAGATGTGCTTACGTACTGAGAGAAGGCATGAACCTTTTGTTGCCTATCGAACAACTGGTTGACCCATTTATTGAGGAAGGTAAAAAACACGAGGCCGAAGATATGAAAGCGTCGTTGTTGAGTACAAAATTTAAACCAACAATCAGTAAGACTACGAGTGTATGTATTTGGTATATGTTGCAGATAATTTAATCCACCTTTAGTATTTTTGGAGCCATATTTCTTCAATAACCAATTACATTTTGACGCAATTGAAACTAAACAAAGAAAGTGCATTGGGATTATCCCCTCCGTTTGAAATAATTGGAAAAAAACGAATGAAGGTTTTGAATTCAGTGCTGAGAGTGATTTCAGACGACCAGTTTTATGCATTCAATATTTTTACTCAATCAAGTTTGATAGATTTGTTGAACGCATGCCACGCATTTTTAGACGCAAAACTTAAGGCAGAGCATTCTCAATGGAACTTGTTGGACGAGTCTTCGCAACTTGTAATTGAATGCATTACCATTCTACAAAGAAAAAACTCAGCTCAAAAGTTTATAGAATTACAGAACTTCTATAATGACACAGTAGCAGATCTATTAAGGGACGAGATAACTTTTTCCAATATTTTTCTTTCGAGTGATGTATCAGTGCAGAAAAGCCCAATACTGTTTCTCTACAAAAAGTTCCTATCATCTTTAATTTAGGTCTAAAGAAGCTCATATTTTCAATCAAAACAACAATAGATTTGTCAAAGCCCAAAGACGAAATTATTGTTCAACGAGATAAGATTCTAGAATGCTCCATCAATGAGTTTATGAAGCGAAAAAAGAGTGAATTGCAAACACGGCAATGGAAGATTAAATTCAAAGACGAGGAAACTATTGATATCTTGGGAGTGAGGAGAGAATTTATCACTCTACTTTGCGCTGAAATATGTCGTGATTCTATGTGGAATTCTTCTGAAGATTACAAACTCTATCCAAATAGAGATGCAACAGATCGATCGAGTTTGATCAAGTTTGAATTTTTTGGTCGGCTATTGGGCAAGTGCTTGATTGAATCAATTTTGGTTGATATAAGACTCACAAAATTTGTCTACAAGAAGTTGCTTGGGAAGAAATTGTGTTATCAAGACATCAGCTCCATTGATGCCTCACTGTACAAAAATAAGCTGTTATGGATACGAGATAACGATGTTTCTGAACACTTATGTCTTAGTTTTTCAGTTGAAGATGGCATTTCCTCTGAAGTTGAACTATGCCCAAATGGTAAAAACATTGCAGTTACAAACGACAACAAACATGAGTACTTGGATTTATTGGTTGACTTTTTATTGAATAAGGATATTGAAAAGCAATTACTTGCTCTCTATAAGGGTTTTCAGATATTGTTGATCTTCAACGAGTTCAATCATTTGATGAAGAAGAACTCGAGTTGATACTCTCAGGCAATGATATTATTAACATTGAAGATATGCGAAGGAATACCATGTACAAAGGATTTTCAGAAAATGACACTACGATCATTGATTTTTGGAATATTATTGAATCATTTTCAAACGATAAGCAAAGAAAGCTTTTACAATTCATCACAGGATCCAACAGAGTACCCTTTGAAGGCTTCTCTAAACTGTCTCCCCTTCTCACCATTCAAAAAATCGACGATGACACAAACAAATTGCCATCAGCTAGCACTTGTTTCAATTTATTGAAACTTCCTGATTATAACAATGACAACATGTTAAAAAACAAACTTGAAATTGTGCTCGAGGAAGGTTTAACAGGATTTTCATACTCTTAATACATGTCAAAGCTTGAGCATTTCTCAAGGTTGTGTCATGATTGATCGTCTCCTCTCAAAAAATGTCCAAAGTTATTCCCAGAGCTCGAATCACCAAACCCTCTTCAACAACTGCCTCTCAAAGCTCCCCAACATCACAAAACACCACACCAGCTGTCTCTTCTCCTCCCATTGCCAAAGAAGAAACAACCACCATCACCGGAGTGAATTCATCATCTTCACAACCATCGAACGTGGTGACACCATCATCATCAACCAACACATCAACAACACCTGAAAAACGAGGAAATCCAAGTACAACATCACGTATCAAAACTAGTACCAATCCTCCTTCTCAGCTACAACAACAAAAAGAACCAGTTCACTCTAAAACTTCATCATTGGATGATGATTTACAATTTCTGTATTCATCCGCTGGTTTTTCTCTTTCCAAAGAACAACAAGCAAAATTCAATCGATATTCAAAAAGAATGGTTTTAAAAAGAAAATTAGAACAATTTCGATTGATTGCATTTGTAAAACAAATATTTAACAATTATGTGAATCCGATCACACTTTGTATTATTTATCATCGACAGAATTTTGGTGAATATGTTATGGCTTTGTTTGATGACAGAGACAAGTTAACAGATTTATATCCGTTGACAAATGACAAGGCCTCAGTAACTATTTGCCCCAATCCCATCACATTTACAGATCTATGCTTGCAAATTAATTGCAACAATGATGAAGAAGAGTCAAAAACATTTTATTTCCAATGTGAGAGTGAAATGCAATTGTTGTCCATCATGTCAGCTTTTCAAAAAGCTTTACTTTACAATGGACAAGATGCAAAATATAACAAACCATCGTTCCACTCACTTGTATCAACATATTCACAAAAGAAGCCAAAAAACGGACAACAAAAAACACCCATTCCTTTTTCATGGTGTGACCAATATTTAGCAAGATACTCCAGCAATGAAGATTTAGATTTGAAAAAGACTAAAAATCCTTTACTTAACAAATTACTTGGAGATGATTCATCAAATGATTCGACTTGTCTTTCATCTTCACCATATGGATCTTTGAAATATGTGAGTTCAAGTCGTGGAAGATTTGACGAGCAAGACAATCATGGTGGATTAGCAAGTCGTCACAAGACCTCTTACATGTCTGATCATGATGACGATGACGAAAATAATGAAGAACAAATTGATTCTCAACATGTTGACACGTATTTCCAAAAGACAATTTTACCCAAAACGACCACCACCCACATTGTGGAAACAAGAACTTCTCCTCAGAGAAATCATGAAGTGACAAGTGTTGCTCATCATGATGAACCTCCACCACGTCACCACCAATAACACGTAAGCATGGATCCAATCATCATCATGAAACACCAACCAACACATCCATGGAAGAACAAGATGACACCCCAAAAGTCACACTTTCAAAGATTTCCCTTCTCTCTTCAGCGAATGTCATGCATGAATCATCATCTCCTTCATCACCACTGACACCTAATAATAATGGTGAGGATTCCAATAGGACCACTCCCTCTCAAGAATCTTCACCAACAACAACAACATCTGGATCTAAAAAAGTGATCAAACGAGTGGTGAAACGGGTGCCAGCCAAGTCAAGCAGTGCAACCACGACGACTGAGGAATAAAATTGTCTGAAGTTGTTGCCAAACAGATAACTGCCCCAAAAAAAAATGATTGCTCAAGGACTGTTCGATGTGGAGCCCATGCTCCCACCTCTCCGACCCATGAGAGAGTTTTTTGCATACACTTCTCTGACTCATCATACAACTCCACTCAGTCGTAGAATATTAGATTCACTCACCTTCTATCAAACAAATTATTTACTCATTAATATGATTGTTTTGGTGATTTGCTTGATGAATTCATATTTGATTTTTGTGGTGGCTCCGTTGGTGTTTAGCTTGTTCTTCTTTTTAGCTTACCATAAATCAGACTTTGTTGCGTTCGGTCGTATTAAAGTAACAAAGAATTTGGCCATCATCGCCTGTTTGGCATCTTTACTTTTGATTGTGCTATTTGCTGCTAAATATTCCATACTATTCATGGGTTACGTCTTTACTGTAATTGTTGTATCTACACACAGTGCACTCACTGATCGAAAGAGATCTCAACCAACAGTCAATCATGCAACAGCGAATAGAATCTTTGACCCCGAAGAAATTATTAGACGAGATGAGATGCAAAGAAGCTATCAAGGTATTGGTAGCGGTTATTCACAAGCAAGTAATACCTATGGAGGATTTTCAACAAGCAATCGATTCAACACTGCTGTTCCAAGCAGCACCATCAACTCTTATGAACCACCATCTTCCACTAATTCCACGATCGATGAACAACAACAACAATCCATGGGTGATTCAAGAGCAAGCCGTGAAGAAAGAAAAGAAAAGATTAAACAACAAGCTAGACAACGTATTAAGGAGAATTATGGATTAGAATAAATCAAGTCCCAACTCTAGTTTTTATAAAATAATAATAATAACATCAATACATGTCCGTGTACTATTGGTCTATAGTTTGCAGGACGAGAATTTATTATTAACGCCTGAGTAAGTTAAAACACTTGGTTCATTTTGGATAACGATTCTTCTCCCTCCAAAACTTTTACCGCTTTCATCAACAACCAAAGAAAATTCATGCAATCCCAATTTCGCAACAATCATCAAGGGCATAACATTGTTGCCAACTCTTCCTCTACTATTAGGAATCGAAGAAATTCGTTGAATCAAAACAAAACAGCAACAAATAATAACAACAGAAAAGCAAGTGATGATATTGCGGATTTTAAGGAACGATTATTACGATATCAAGGAATTGTTCTTGATGAACAACAACCAACAAGTTCAAAGGAGGTAACGGTCCAATCATCCCTAACTACGGAAACATCAAGACCAACCGCTAAAGAAGCACTTATTAAAGAGGCTCAACAGCTACTTACTGAGGATAGTATTATCATTTCGCCTTCAAAGTCCTTTTTGTATAATACATCAAAGATATTCGATGATTCCATGCTGTTGGATGACACAGAGATCAATGAGAAACCATCTCATCAGCCCAAAGAGAGTCCCACTATTGCTGATAACAGCACTAGTCGAGTCCAAGATCAAAAATCATCAACTACTCCTAAATCTTTAAATCAAACAACGAGTAGCATGACACCAATTAAGTTAGTTTCTCCTCGTATTGTGGACACAATCATGGCACAACCTGAAAGAAATCCTTTAGAAGTGGAACGACAAAAGCTGGTCGACGAAAGACTGGAGGATGTGCAGGCTCAGATTTCTAAATTAGAAAAAGCAATATCAATATTAGATCACAAAGAAATGGAGGTGAAGAATGAAAAAAGGGAGCAATGTGAAGCAATCAAAAACGTAATCAAGGACGCTTCCTCAAAATTAGATGCAACCTTTTCAAAAATAGGTGCACTTCAAAAAAAGCAGGATAACGACTTGAATTTTTTGTCAAAAGAACAAAAACAGTTGAAAGAGGTTCTGCATCAAATTGATACCAAACGCTTCAAAATGATGAAAGAACTTGAAGGCTATACAAAAAGTCACAAAGACACAACATTTACCGATTTTGACCACCTCTTTACTGAAAGGCAACAGAATCTACAAGAAATAGAACAACAATTAAATGGTGCTTTACATGAACAAGAGACATTATTGAAAGAACTTGAAGACATGGAGATAGAAGAACAGGTATGGTTGGGTCAAATAGCTGAGAACGCAGCAATTTTGGTAGGAAGCGCTCTTACAGAAGAACAACAACAAAATTTATTGACCTTGGTAAAGAGAGAGAAGGAAATTAGTTTAAGGGTAGAACGACTAAAAGAAAAATATCCACACGAAATATTGTTGATAGATTTAAAATATACCTTTAAAAAATCTGTCGATAGCTTGACCCAGGCAAAAGAGGAGGCTGAACGAAGAAGGTTGGAAGTGTGTCAAAGAATAGAATCTAAGAGAGTTGAGCTTGAAGAGTTAGAAGCTGAAAATATGAAAATGAAAAACAAGTATACAGAAAATAAGGAGAATCTTCTTTCCGTATCTAGATCTGAAAGTGAGAAGATCAAAATATTAGATCAATTTACTTCCTCCCTTAGAAAGGAAGTATCAGAATCATCTGCAGTCCTGGAAAGAGCTAAAGGTCTACGAGAAGAAGAAATGGACCTCAAGGCTTTCAGTAATGTGGTAAACATGTTTAACGCAGAGGTTTTGTCACTTCTCTCCAAAGAACAAAGCGGTGATACTGGCGAAGTTTCTAAAGAAATGAAATCGCTAGTTCAAAACGCTCTCCTTGTGAATGCATCTGAAGATTTAACTGAAGACGCTAATAACGGTGCACAACAAACAGATTTATATCATCCTTGGAACAAAAGATTAACTTATCCAAGGAGAAGCTCTCGGTGGCGGAAATGGAAGTTAAAAACGCTCGTCTTAATCTCCAGAAATCAGAACAAGATCTCGCTGACCTCAAAAAACAAGAATTTGAGCGATTAAACCTATTCTCAAATATGGTGAGTGATCTAGAGCAAGCAATAGGCTCACTCGTAAAGGAGCGAACCGAGTGCGATCAAGAAATAGATCGATGTATTACTGAGTTACAAGAGTTAGAGGAATCACTTTTAAAGAACAAAGAAACAGCAGAAAAGCAGATAGCAGACCAATTAAAACCGTATTCGGGAGACGATCTAAAACAAAGAGAGGAAGTGTTTGCACGATGTGAAATGTTTGTGACCTCACTCAATCAAATCAAAGATGTTGTAGACAAAATTTCAAGAAAATGCAGTTGTGAAAGTGTGAATAATTTCTTAGAAGCGTGTAATAATGTTGAATCACAGCTGAGACAAATACTTCAGAGGAAAAACGAAAAATCTAACCTGTTAAGAGAATGCTTAGAGAGGGTGGAATCATTGCAGCATAGTAAAAAGATCTGTGAAGAGAAGATGGAGAAGTTATTGACACAACATCGAAAGCAACAAAACGAAAAAGCCAAGAAGCAAGTGCAAATAGAATCTAGGAGAGCAGAGCTAGAACAATTGATTGCTTCATTGGAAGAAGAAAGAAAAAACAAAGTGGTGGAAGTAGACTCCGTCTGCAAACCAATAGATGTGTCAATTACCAAACTAGAGCAAGAAATACATGAGCTAACACTTGTCGCACAATCTCAAAAGAAAGCACTCAACTCTTTGAAACGCGAATTAGAGGAGGTTGAGGCAGTTTTCACAGGAAAAGTATCACAAATTCGAGCTCAACGACAGCATTTAAAACATAGATTAGATCTCAAACTCCAAGCAGTTGAAAATGTAAAAAAGAGTGGAGCTGAAATCATCATGAGATCTATTAAGCCTTCAAAATCTAAAGAAAACAAGCTAAATAATTCGACGTCTTGCTCGTATTACAACATGTATATGAAGAAAAAAGATCCAAACATTTTCAATGACACTCCCATTGAAGATGAAATATTTAGAGCGCTCGAAGAGGAGTCTAAAGAACATGAGCAACAAACAACGAATGAAGTTTTGAGCACAGAAGAACATCTTTTGAATAATCATGACAGCTGTGAAGATCCTGTGAAAGAAGATCATCATTACAGTTCAGAAGTGAAATATTTGTCGTCCAACGTTGATACCACTGCCACTGATGAAGAAACGATTCAATCCCAACCCACCACTCCTTCGACATTCAAATCGTCAACATTACCCTTACCAACCGTTTATCCATCCAGTTTACCAAAAACTACACATGTCAAACAACAAGATTTGTTTGTGACAAAACGATCCTCCTTCAAGCTATTTGGACCAAATTCTAAAGCGCTAGGTAGAGACGATATACAATTTATTTTGGAAAAGTTTCAGTTCATGTGCAATGGTAGCTTGCTACACAAGAAAAAGAGTAACAATGAATTTGTGCTTAGACACGTTTGTCTGTCTCAAGAATTTACTCGGCTATTGATAAGAGATAACAAGAAGAAGGTTCCAGAGTCGTTCATCAAAGTAGAGCATATTCAAAGTGTCGTTGGAAATAAGGACCAACATGTGAAAAACTTGGATGGTGCATTTACCTTTGTGATGAAAACAGATACTAAAAAACATGAATTTTTGACGTTTGATGAACTGGATGCCATGAACTGGATTGAGGGTTTGAACTTGCTAATTGATAACAAACAGAACTTGTTTTCATTGAAGTACAACATTAGAGATTTGTTCAACAACAATTAAAAAGAAGAGAGAAATTCAATACTTCTTGATGACAACAACACTTTATTCACCTTCTACAACAAATGGCACAACACATGAGGTTTGGTTGTTGTGATAAACTCCAATCACATGGTGTGCTTTTTCGTAAAATTTGAAGGAAATGCAAATAAATTGCGTGTTCTTTGAGTATTCCAAAATAATTTTGGAAAGCATTTCAACATTAATTGAATCCAAGGATGCATCCATCTCATCAAAGAAACAAATAGGAGTTGGAAAAGATTTCATCATACTGAGAGAAATAATTGCACAGCACAAATTCATTTGACCACCTGAGAGCTTTGAAAAGGGAATCCATTCGTTTCCATTAGGTTTGCAATAAATGTTCACACCTTTTTCAAATGCAATGTTTTTGTTTTCACAATATGAAATGTAACAATTATTGTTGATTCCCATATCTTTGTAAATTTGAGATAGAGTATTGTTGATACGATTGCAAACTTGGTGAAACACTTCAAATCTCAGATGCAAAAGCTTTGCCTTCAACGTGGAAGCTCTTTCTATCTTCTTCAGTGTTTGGTTATAGCGTTTTGTTTGAGCCACCATATTCTTTTTGAATGATTTTTGCTTTTTCATGCAGTCCATGTCAATATCTTTTGTTATTTTTGCTAATTCTTCCAATTCGAACTTGAGCTGTAATTCAAGCTTCTTGATGGTCTTTTCCTCAAGTTCCACGTCAATATCATCATCACACTTCTTTAGTCCAGTTGGTTTCTTTCGCACAAGACTCTGTAAAGACTTGATGCTCTCATTCAGTTCCGAGATGAATTTCTCTTTTTGTTTGATTGATGTCTTCATGGATTCAATAGTTGAACGTAATTCATCTTGTTGTGAAGTAACTTGAACAATTTTTGCATTAATTGAGCGCAATTCTTTTTGTGTGATTGATTTCTGTTGGTCTAACTTGGCAATGCTCTCAACTTCTTCCTCAACATTCATCTCTGTAGTTGACGAATGCAATGACGATAATTCATTTTCTAACACCTCTTTTTGTTTGAGAAGTGTTGAGATTTGTTGAGGAAAGTTGTTTTGCTTCTTTTTGAGTTGCTTAATCCTTTGAGTATTGGAACCAATATTGGATTGCAAGGACAATCTCTCTTCCTCTAATTTCTTAATTTAGAAAAATGTTGAACAATGGATGTTGTTTGATAATTGTCTAACATTTGTTCGAGGGTGCTTATATTTCGTCTATATGTCGATAACAATTGTTCTTCTTGCGCATTTAATGTTGTCTGAGATGTGATTTCATAATAGGAGGACAATTCAAGCTTGTAGTTGGAAATTTGTTTGGCCAATGTGTCCATATCCTTGTGAAGCTGTTCCTTTTTTTCTTTAAAGTTGTAGAGCTGTACATTGTTGATACGCACAAGAGCCTCTTCGTCCTCAAGGTCTTTCCTGTTTTGTTCTATTGAATTGGCGTTGTCAGTCATTCTATTTTGTATTTCTTTGAGTAAACGTTCTGTCTGGGACGAATCTTTGGTATGATCTAATAATTTTGAACAGCTCTTGCTGCGTATCAACGTTTCACTCAATGATGAAGAATACTTGTTGACAGCATTGGAAGAGATTTCTCCAAAGCTTTTAAATATCTCTCCATTTAAAGTAACAATATTCATCTTGTGGTCGCTACGAGAATATTTCTTTGCAGTTGAGATATTGGATGTAATATACCAATTATTAGTGTGTTTAAATAGCAATGGTCGAAAGGGTGAATCGCAGGAAATAACATCCATCATTGGAATTAGTTCAGATTCGTCAATAAATCGCTCTATTCTTGAACTTGTTGAAACTTCATCCAAAATTTCACACGTCACAATTCCAATTTTGTTCTGTCTAAAGAAATTCACAATTTTCAGTGCTGCATCCCTTGATTCAACAACCACTGTGTTTTTCAACAATGGACAAAGAGCAGAGTTGACTGCATCAAAGTATGCCTCATCCTTTAGCTCGTAAAGGTCACTCAATGTTCCAAAACAACCACTTGATGGCTGTTTCGAAAGCTCGTGAACCGTTCTAACAAATCTATAATGTTCATTATGTTCATTGATGCTTCTAAGAGATGTTTCGCAAACCATTTGTTGCTGGCATAGTTGGTCCTTAGCTATTTGCAATTCTCGGTGTTTTGCCAATAATTTTTCTATTATCTGTTGGCTTTTTTCTAAATCGTTCTTCAGCTGTTCTTCCTGATGTTCTATTGAAGATATTTCTGTTGCAATACGCTCTGCTTCATGTTGTGACATGCTAATGTTGTGATTTGCTGCCTCTATGCCTTGCATTGCTGCAAAATGTTTCTGTTCTTTCAATTTAAGACTTTGATAATCTTGCATTTCCCTTAGCTGTTGAACTTGTTCCAACGTATGCCTGTATTCCTGCATTTTTGGGTCCTGAGAAATTGCTTCGGTAAGCGCTTTCCTTTCTCTCTCCACTATTTCCTGTTGGTTTTGATCAGATTTTATGGACTTTTCTGCTGTCTGTATTTGCTGAGAGATCTTTTCTTCTTCGTCTTTCGATTTATCAATCTTATCAGAGAGCTTTTTAAGATTCTGTGATACTTCATCGACGTTTCTAGCAATAGATGCAAGTGTTGCCTTCTTCTTTGCTAAGGATTTTTGATGAGATTTGATCACATGTTTCAAATTATCAAATGCTTCTTCTGTGTCCTCCAACTTCTTTGTTAAATCGAGGTGTTTTTTTGCTAATTTGTTCTTCTCGCTTTGGTTACTGTTCAAATCAGATTGCAACTTTGATAAGTCCTTTTCAGCACTTCCTAAGGCCAACTTGAAAGACTTTAGCTTGAAGCTGTTATATCTCCATTTTGCTACTTCAAGCTCTGAGCTCAATTTTTCAGCCTTTTCTTTGAGGGAAACGAATTTTTCATATTGCTGCACCTTTGGCTTTATAATTTCTAGATCTTTGAGAATGGATTGCTTCTCATTGTCAATATTTTCCAGCTGCTTTGAGCTATCTGATATTTCAATATCAATTTTTTTCATTTCGTCTCGTATCTGATCAGTACCAAATAAATGCTCCAAGTAGCTCATCATTTCATTTGGATTTTGTTTTACCAGCTTGACAGTATTATGTTGTAAAACTATAAATCGGTCAGGATAGTCAAAATCAACTCCATGTTTTGTCAATAACTGTTTAACATCCTTCTTTGATGCCTTCCTTGATCCGGTATTGTCTGTAATACAATAGTGGCTAGCACCAAGCTCACCAGACTTGATTCTTCGTTCAATGTCAAACCAATCGAGCTTTTCTCTTGATTCTCTATTGATTAGATGAAAAGAAATTTTCACGTAAGTGTCGTTTGTCGTGTTGGAAGTTTGATTGTTGACGAGTTGAGCCAAATTCTTAGCCCTCAAATCCTTAGAATCAAACCCAAAAACAAAGCAAATAGCATCAATAATATTTGATCTTTTAGCTTTGCAATAACTCAACTACAAAAGGATATATCAAACTTACTTTCCTGATCCGTTCGAGCCAATGATGCAATTCAAATCCGATGAAAAAGGTCCAACTGTGCATACGTCACGGTATGACTTGAATTGGTGCAATTCGATAGTATGGACAATGAGTTGGTTGGGCATGCTTTCCTTATTAATGCAAGCCTTTTCCAACACCTTTCTCTCAACTGATAGTCAGGCTACATAAACATGGTGTCTGAGTTTACTCAACTACTTACTCTTTTTGAATCTAGATTCTATATCCTCTTCATTATCGTCATCAATATCATTACTTTCATAATCTGATTCATGCTCCGAGCTGGAGTCTGTCATTATTTCAGACTCTTGGCCAAGTTCTTCATCAGAGCTTGATTCGTAAAGTACACTTCTCTTCTTTGTTACAGTCTGGTATTTATCATTTGATTGAGCGGAATGGACAACTCTTTCATCTTCACTTTCCGAGTCTTCGATAACCTTCTTTGGAGGCATTTTTTTCTTGTTGAGGATTTGTAATAATTTTAAAGCCTTACACTGAATCATTCCAAGTATTCGAGCGTGAACATTAATGAATGGCTGGAATGATGACGCAAAAAGAATCTTCATATATCATTCGAAAGAAAATGTATATAAGATTCATAAAAAATTATTATCGAGCAAATATATCAAATCTAAAATTATTAAATAGCCATTCATATCAGATACGTACGTCATAGAAATGTGTTAGGCTATGAGCATGTCTGCTAAATCCTCAACAAGAATATAGGTACTATTCGGCAATCCAAACTGTGCATGGCTGTTAATGAGACGTATAGGAGGCAATTGAAATTCCTTCTCCAACTCTGCAATGTCATTATCTGTAACTTGAAAGTTTTGAAATGCATCTGCTTTTGTTGCAACTACAATAATATTATTTGTTTGTTTTTTGAGAAGTTTCAATTTGTTCTTGGTGTTACGGAAGCTTTGATAATGGCCCATTGAAAATAATACGAGATGTGCATGATAGTCTGTAATCTGATATGAATTATAGAATGGATGAGTGGTAGAACTCATATCACCCACATCAACAATTTCCAATTCTACCCATTTCACAGAATCAATGCATTTAATTGGAATGAGAGTTGTTGTTGAAACAGTACCCATGGTGTCACTGTGGTAATTTCTGTGTTGGTCAATATTCGTGTCTGAACATGTTTGATGGCCACAGGAATGTTCATAAATATCATTCATTTCAAAATATTGCGTCATAATGTCAATACTTACTCATTCGGCATAAACTTCTTTGAACGGTTGTTTTTCCCGTTCCTCTGTCGCCATGCAATCGAACTTTCCAATGATAATGGGGCGGCACAAACATCCATGGAGGAATACTTTTCAAAAACAAGTCATGAACATCTTTTGTTATAATACTACTTGCTCGTGTTAATTTGTTTTTCAACGCTTCAAATCCGATCATGTTTGGATCAAAATCTGACGAATTACTCAAACTTGTGAATATAGATCCTCCACTCTTGTTCTCTTCCTGAACGCCATGATGATGACTCGACATTAAAAGTGCCTTCGATCCTGACTGTTGAATCAAACTTGTAGCAGAGAGCTCTTTCATTGATTCTGTCAATATTTCATCTTGTTGTTGTGTCATCTGAATGGCCATCTTGTGAACCGCGTTTGATAACACTCCCTTTATGCACGGAACAAATTTTACTTGTTTTTCACCAGGAATTTGATTCAAAAACTCGACACGTGCCAAAGCATCAATGCCATTTCCGTTTTCGGGAGAGAGCCAACCTCTTTCAACAGCCTTTTTCTGAAAGAAGAAGATGTTTGATTGTCTCCACTTTGCTGCTCTGATTCTTGTTGCTGTGTTGATAATTCGGCAAGATCCGAGTGATGGTCGTCTCTGCCCTGTGAGGAAGCAATCATATTGGAAAGTGCGCTGAAAGTATTTTTTTTTTAAAAAAAAATGCAAAACCAACCGAATAGTGTTGATGGAACAAGAGGAGCTGCGGTTGGTTCTTCCAACAACCATGCTACTCACGATCAACAGCAAAACACAACTACAACAGGTGGATTAATGCCTCCCCCCACTTCAACAAACGCTTCATCATCTGATGGAAGAATTCCGAGACGTCTTCTTATGCAAGCACACAAAAGACCAGGAACAGAATTTGTTCCACGAGAACGTCCTAGAGAATCCTTTGATGATGTTTTAGCAAATCATCAAATTGGAAAACGTTCAGGACAGAGATTAATCCCCGTAGCCTCCGACAATCCTTTGGATTTTTTTGAAGTTAACACTTACTACTATTTAAATCAAGCTCAATCAAAAGATGATGATAATTCAGTGTTATCATCATCCATTTTAACTGTTCGTGACAGTGACAGTGGTATGAGTATGATCAGTTCAAAGACTGGACAATCCGTTTTTTCATCAAGTGAAGAAGAACAGTCACCCGAGGAAGAACTTGCTGTTTCAACACGTCAAGACATCGAAGAACATATGGAGGAAGTCACATCAACTTCTGAAGATGGAGGTTCTGTAAAAGTAGCTACATCTAAGCCTGCAACAAAATCAACTGTAAAAATTAGACAACATGTAGATACTCCCAAAAAGCAACTAGAAATATCTAAAATTACTACAAAAGAAACGGAACAAGATAAATCCATTCTGGAGGATATAAACAAGCTAGCAAGTTCGCCTAACACAATCACATATTCAGAACCAATAGACTTTGGAAATGATATTGGACTGGGAAATACTGTGGGATTTGAAACCGAACAAGACCAGGATGCGTTGTTGAATGAAGAGATTTTTAGCTCTCAACAGAAGAAGACTAAATATTCACGAGAAGAAAATGAAGACAGAGCATTCTCGAGTCAAAGGTCTAGAAAGTCTCAAGGCGTATCACAGGAAGAAGAGCAGAAGAATCAGAGGCTAATGAAGAAGAGGAGCCAGAAGAGCAAGAAGAATCAGATGAGGATGAACGAGAAGCGAGAAGAATAGAAAAGGCCAGACGACAAAAATCACAATCAGATTATGAGGATACTGACAGCGCATATGATGCAACTCCAACACCTCGGTTCAGTTTACCTAGTGGTCGGGTTGATTTGTATCAAGATGAAGCTGATTATTTCTCACAACCCTTGGAGCAATCATATATTTCTGAAAAGTATATTCCCAGAGAAAGGATAGATCTGCATGATGATGATTTAGATGATGATTTGGCAAAAGAAGTAGAAGAAGAGATGGAAAGAGTAGATCAAGACTATCCAGAATATGAGGAGCAAGATACAGTAGACCTGAATACGACCATGGATAATACATTGGCCACAGTAGACTTGGTCACCTCTCAACAAGAAAAAGTTGTTGCCCATGGATTGAAGCATGATCTTACAATAGAAAATACTGTACCTGAAAAATTGAGACCTCGTCTTACTACTCCCTGTAGATTTTGGCAAAATGAGAGACCTATCGCTGAAGAAACTGGAAAATTGAGCAAGATTAGACCTCTTGTGAAAAATCCTCCAGCAAAATCAAAAGCACCACAGGCATCCAAGAAGAAAGCCAAAGTCTCTGAAGAATATGCAATTGTTTCATTAAGACAAGGAGTTTTTGATGTGATCAATGAAAATTATGAAGAAGAAAAGGTCAAAATAGCTGCCACTCCTGAAATGGTAATGGAAACAAATTTCAGGTTCAACAAAGATGGTTCTGAAATTGGCTTCTCAACTGACATTCTTCCAGCTAACTCAACCGCTAAGCCTCACATGACCATGTTCAGTTTACTCAATGACAAGGGAATTTCTACAGGTACACTCATCATTCAGCCGGGACAGGTGAAGCCAAGTACGGACACTGGTATCCACTCTGAAATATTTTACTGCTTAAGTGGAAGTGTTTCTGTAAGAGTTCACACAAATCCTCCCGTTCTCCTGAAACGAGGATGTGTATTGCATGTACCACCTCACAATGCCTATTCCATGGGAAATGCTGGTAACACAGCATGCAAGCTCTTCTATGTATTTGCAGACATGGAATACGAAGAGGAAGATGAGCAAGCCAACACAACTATCACTAGAGCCCCAGAAAGCCATCATCGCCCAGAGCATGAAGAGGAGCATCATGAAGGAAGACAGGAACCAAATCACAAGACCACCCGTCCACCAACTGATATCATTGATGAAAGTGTGTAATAAAAGATTGTAGATGTATTTCTCCATTAGTTTCATCATTTCTGGTTCAGCTTTTGTTGTGACATCCAAAAACCCAATTAACAATAATCAAAAGGTTCCGATGAGACGGAATCGAACCGCCGACCACAGGATGACTAGCTTGCTACAGTCCCATGCTCTACCAGCTGAGCTATCATCGGATTACACCTTTTGGTTCGTGCTTCAATCCCCCGAGTTTCAAGCAAACAACCTGGCCAGATTATGACCAAGTCTTCAAAAAAGTATTTGTGGCGTTTGCCAACGAAGAGGCAGTTCAAATAAAAAATGCAAACTTCACCCTCTCTTCGTAGATACCCCAACATTCTCCTAACAGGTAAGCGCAGAACTTCAAGCTAATAACATTGCTCATATTACCAGGCACTCCCGGAGTTGGAAAGACAATCCTATCAGAAGCTGTTATTAACTCTCTAAAAGAAAAATTTAATCTCACGAATTATGTCTATTTAAACGTTTCCGAAATTGCAAAGAAGGAACAATTCCTCGAAGAATACGATGAAGAAAGAGATACACATGTCTTGGATGAAGATAAATTGTTAGACTACTTGGAAGAGCAGTTATCCGATATGGAAAAAGGCTACATTCTGGATTATCATAGCAGTGAATTATTTCCTGAACGGTGGATTGATTATGTGATTGTTCTTCGATGTGAAACAAATATTTTGTTCCAACGCTTGCAAAAGAGAGGTTATGCTGATAAGAAAGTACAAGAAAATGTAGATTGTGAAATTTTTCAAGTATGTCTAGACGAAGCTGTGGAAAGTTACAAACCTGAAATAGTTTTTGAAAAGCAAAACTGTACAATATTGGATCTTAATAATAACGCTGAATTCATTGTTGGATTGATTCAAAACAAGTTGCAACAACAATCAAACAATTGTTAATTATAATAATAAATTAATTGCTAACAATTATTTCAAAAAATTTTCCAGTTTAGCAGATGCTGATTTAGGGACGTGATGATAAAAAGTTTAAAAATTAATATCTCCGTGATGACTCTTGTTGAGAGTATCCGATTCTAACATCGGTGGAAACATGATGATTGCTACCTGTTTCCATCACAAAATCACCTTGTAAGTTCATTTGTTGTTGATCTTCGTTGGTACCTCCCATCGCGTTGGCCAATTCTTCCTCTACCTCTTGCATGGTTCTCTCAAATTCTGCAACGTCATCTTGCGATAACTCGATCCGTGAAGCTTGATGCCTAGAAAACATTTTGTTTGAACACAGCAAAAAAATTTAAACCGCCAATTCTCTGAATTGTAGAGATTCAGAGAAAAAATAAGCTCAACATTAAGGATTTGCCAGCAATCAATCTCCTTATCATCATCATCATCATATCTCGATATCATTAAATAGGAGGATTTGTAAGAGCGAATCATAAAGTGGCTCCAGAAAACATAACATCATTGGATGAATAGTCTTTTAGCAAAAACGCCGAATGGTAATGCCTCCGATTACGGAGGGAGCGGCTTGTTTTCCCATACAATAACCAACTCTAGAGTTTTTGGAACTCAACAACAACCCTCTTTTGTGCCAGTGGAAACACCTGGCCCAAGTCTTCTGTTAGCCGTCCGAATTATGGATGGGCTTTTTGTTGGAAATTCTATTGCAGCCCAAGATGATGAATTTCTGTTTTCAAACAAAGTCAGTCATATTGTAAATTGTGCCGGATTGGAGGCAGCAAACATTTTCGCAGAGCACGGAGTCGAGTATTTGACTTTTCCATGGAGGGATGTTCCAACTACAGTACTTCTGGACAGTAGAGATAGAAATATTACACGAGTTTCAAATTTTATAGACCAAGCATTTGAAAAAGGAGAATGTGTGCTGGTTCAATCACTCCACGGAAATTCGAGATCATGTGTTATTATTGCTGCATACTTTATTTACAAATATGGATGGTCTCTGGAAAGTACTCTGGCCTTCATGCAAGTAGCTCATCCAGACATGCGAATTAAGAACTACTTTTGCGACAGCTGAAAGACTTTGCACGAAAAAACAATGCAACCAGAGACATATTTTCTACAGAATTACCTTGCAACACTGAAGAGGAAATTCATCAAATGTTGCTAAAAAACACTGTAAGTAATTTGTGTGTACTATTTACAGCTAACTCATCATAAAAAAGTACCTCAACAGTCTACCCTTGACCGAACCATTGCCTCCTCCCCCAAAGAAAAACGCTAGGAAAAAATTGACCATTTCCCTTAGAGAGGAGCCTCCTGGGAGTAGACACCTGGTCTCCACCATCGATCCTAAAACTAAAGAAAAGGTCCCAATCAAAGGCATTCTGAGGGTAAAAGTTGTTCTGCAACATCAATTATCATCACAATTTTCTGTACAAGCATCTCAAACAGTCGCTGTCCCAACAACTAAGAATGAAGTACTGCCTTCTACAGAGATTATTTCTCCTCCATCTCAGCCACAAACAGTAGAAAACAAAGAGACAAAACCACAGCAAGAGGTTCCACGAATAATGGATTCTAAACCACGAAGTCTTTCACTCATTGATCCAGAAACAAATTCTCTTGATGATTCACTGGATAATGACGGATTGCAAATTTTAACACAGGTAGAACCAAAGAGTTTGACTGCAAACAATTCGTTGTTTACCCCTGTAACCAAAACTGCAAATACGACACCATCAACTTCAGCAACAACTACAACACTACAATCAGCAACATTGGATTCTAAAGCAACATCATTTAAAGATACAATTTCCGATACTATTTCTGAGCTAAGCTCTGTTTCAAGCATGGATGAGGAGGAGTTAAAAAAGAAGCGAAAGAAAAAACCAAGCTCGCAGCCAACAAACACCTCCACAGTTGCTGCCTCTCAATCCAACAGAAAACGGCCAAATTCATTCTCATCAACCTCTGCAGGAGCCAAGCCTCAATCAAACACCCCAGTCATTCACGCCCCAATGAAGTTTAGAAAGCCAACGCCACCAAAACGAAACGAACCAACGGAAGAGGAATCCAATAACGTCACAATCTATTCTAATTATTCTCACAGAGCCTCTAAGACTGTGGAAGAATCGCTTTCATCCAATAACTATGCTTACACTGGCTCTCTCGCCACAGACACACCACTCTTCATCAAAGCAGCTCGAGACAAACGTTCCATGTCACCAGGTGTAACAAAAACCACGCCAACAATTTCTCGACCCAATTCATCCACCCTTCTTCAACCCACAATAAGTAGTACTCTTAAGAATGATCCGCTCGGCACAAAGAAACGACCTTCGTCGGCGCCTAAAAGCAGGCCAAAAGAGGAGGATCAGGAAAACACAATTTTTACAAACATGGCTGAACGAAGCGCATTGAGATCAAGCTTTACCGCCCCCAATAGTTTGTCAAAACCTGTTTTAACATCAACAGACCTTTCGTCGTCTCTTCCTAAACGACTTAATTCGACCACATCCAGAAATGATTCATCTGGATCAGGAGGAAATCGATTACTACGACCAACTCTCAGTTTTTTAAGTAAAACCGTGAAAAAAACCTAGAGAATGTATATATTTCAATAAATTATCCATGAAAATTAATGTAACATTGTTTAATTGAAAAGTTTTCAGTACTTGTCATGATACTCCTTAGTACCTTTTCTTGGTCTATTTCTATTTTGTTTCCTAAGCAAATAAATGTCCTTCTTAGCCTTCCATCTCACTCTATCGCTTTGTACTGCCATTCTGTCAATTACTTGTGCTACATAGATTGGTTTAACACGGAACATGGCAGCCAATGCTGCTGATGTATATTTCTCTGGGTCTTGCTCGTGCAAATGTCTAGCTACTTGAATTTGCTCTGCTGTGAGTGTTCCTTGAATGGAATTATTCTTTGTCATTTCAATTCTTCTTTGTTTTTCAGCAACCAATTCCTCCCATGTAGGATGTTTGTAGAAAACGGTGCCGTCCGATAATATTCCTTGCTTCCATTCCATACGTGTTTGACTCAAAGCAGCTGGAGTTGCAGCCGTATTTTTAGATGTTGGTGCTAAATTCATCAAACTTTTAGAATAAAATAGACATGATGAAGTAGTGGTTTGTTGGTGATGATGATGGAATAAAACTCGAGAGGCATTCCTCGTCAGAGGTGTTATGCTTGTTGTGCCAAGCAACGTTGCTTTCATTTTTGTTTTAATGATGAAAACAATTTAAAAATGAGAGAAGTGAACAATGGACCTTTTGGTAAAGCCTCACCATCGTGGTATCAAAGATTGACCACCATGGCTTGGAAGGATACATTGAAACACTATAACCCTTTTTCATTGTTCTTGCTCAGTGGTGTTACTATTGTGGGATTGGCTGCTGTGAATGAGTGGATTGTTGATGTAAGTGAATCGGGCGTTGAAAATGAGTGATGGCAACCAACATTTGCAAACCAATTTATGGTAATATCAAAAATTGTATGATGACATGATGATCTGTAACCTGATGAAACATTAACTCAAAAATCATGCATAATTCTCTTGTTATGATAACGATGAATTTATTTTAAATTGAACATTTAAATCCGAACAGAAAGCTGGAACCGCTCTCTCAGGAACAAAGTCCAAGGCCTTTGACTCTATGGTCGAGCGTAAACTTCCAACCTATAAACCAGAATATATTGAAAGATGGGAAAAGGAATATGGAAACAAGAAATAAGTGGTGATAAAAGTATTACTAAAGGATTAATAATAATAATTTAATTGAGCAGTTTTTTGAAAATATCAAATACATTCTTTTCTGCAAATAATTGTAATTGTCCATCTTGATCTTCCTTCAAATTATAACTCACAATGAAAACTCGTTTGAATTTCATGGTGAGCCTCTCCGCAATACTAGAGCTAATAGAAGGAAGGCCCATTGATGAATGTCCAATAACAGAAGTACAAATTGGTGTCGGAGACTATGGTTCATGTTCAAGTTTTACATTTTCATCGGAATCCAACACTTACCAATTTAGATTGCATGGCAATAGAAAGATATTTAAAAGTGGGAGCTTCTTGAGATCCAACCCACACCCAAGCTTGATTCGTTGAGTTGATGATCACCAAAATGTAAATCTTTTCTTCATTTAAATATTCTACACAATATTTGTGAATTTCCAAATTAGATTCAACAATTTTCTCGGGGCTGATCGAATGTGTTTCATCCATTGCAGAGAGAGGAGGAACACTATCAGACATTTTGTTTTTATGACCAATGTTAAATAATTGTAAAAAAATGCTTCGAAGCACATCCAACATACACTTCACCCGAACACTCTCCACCGGGAATGTCAAAACAATCATCATCGTGAAGAACCAATCTTCAATGGTATTGAAAAATTTATGTTTCTCGAGTAATATTTTCGGAACGAGTTCTCTGTTTCAAAACTTCAATTTTTCGGATGGAATGACAATACACACGACTATGAAATTATTAAACACAAAAGAAATTAAGGAAACAGAAAGCTCGGAAATACAAGAAATTAAAAAACTGGATTTACAAGAATTAAAGAATGACAAGAATTTTGATTATGAATTATTTGAAAAGAAGAAAAAAGTGATTGACAAACAATATGAAGATTATGTAAAACTTGCTGAAACAAAAGTCGATTTTGAATGGTATGAAAAGCTAATCGTATATCCTCTTTTGTTTGTTATCACATGGTTTGCAGTACAATGGCTTTTAGAATATTTGAAGGAGCAATCTCCTCCTTTTAAAAGAGCTCTGGATAGAGCTGAAAAGAAGACGAAAAAAGAACGAGAACAATTATGGAAAGAAATTGTGGAAGAGCGAAATAGAATTGTTGCGGAAAGAGAAAAGAACAAGTAACATGAATGCCATCGTTTCTTGAGTAACGTTCATGAGAATTTATGAGGAGAATCGCTTGAGCTCTCTCTTAATATCTTTCCAATAATTTCCAACAATTACTGCAATCAGTAGGATAATATAAAAGTAAATCATTCCACGTGAAAAGTTGTGGGATCTTTTCAGTTCATTTTCATCTTTGAAGTGTGAAAAGATAAGGACATACTGAATTCTTAAATCACCACTATTTTGTACAATTAAATATCTGTTTTCGTCGCTGGAAGAAGTCTTCATTGCATATTCTTTCTTGCCAACCACTTTGCATTGAACAACTGCTGATAAATGACTTCCAAGCTTTGAGTTCGCCCAACTGATGACACCACCTTTTGAGAAGTCACGCGCCACTCTCAAATCTTCACAAAGATATACTCCGTCCCCAAATGCATTTCCAGTCTTCATTTGTGAAGTACCAGACATATTCTGTAACGAGTTTGTTATGATTGAAAAAAAATTCTCAATAGAGCTTCCATGAAATCCAGTATAAAAATCAGTACTGCTGTGGTCAAAATCGTTATTCCTATATCGCAGTTCAAAAATGTGATCTGGTTTCAGTAATAATGGTTTGTTGTTACTTTTCAAATATTGTTGATAGGATACATAGTGTACTTCAAATTTCTTGTTGTGTTGCTTTTTCAAAATAAATTCGAATGCATCTCTGAGTTCTTCTAAAGAAATTTTTTCTTGATTTTTGTAAGCATGTCGCATCAATTCTAAAATTGATTGAGACAAATCTTCATCGGTATTGTAAGTAAATGTGATATTGTTTCCGTCTTGACAAAATGGTTCTACAAAAACTTTATCGCATGATGGCATGACCGATAATACTTCTCGTAATCGATCATAATCTTTTCTTGAATTCTTGATAAAAGCGCTCGGAAATGGAGTCAGAATGCTCTCCGATCGATGACTGTGAGCAGCACTGTTTAGTAAACAGCAATATAAATCATAGGTTTCTCTACTGATTGTAAGTGAAGATGAAGAGGTTTTTTGATTCAGTACCTGCTCCAAAGAGTTATCAACGACGACTCTTGATTGATGATATTGAGCCATTTTTTTTTGTTGTTACTCGAATGGTGGGATAACACTATTATCAATTTTCATTCATATGGATTATGTGGAGTTCCTTTTGGGAAACAACTTGATCGAGTAATGATACGTAATTTCTATCAAGGTTTCTATCGACAAAGAATAAATATGCTCTATTGTTCATGCTTTTTATCCAATTCATACATTTCTCTATTCATGAATGGAATTAAAGCCAATATTAAAGCTTGTTCATAATACGATGAACGAGTCACAATTTCTCTGGACAACAATCCAACAGCTCCTGTTTCATGTTTTGAATTGGTCTTATTAAAAACAAGATCATTGGCATGACCTAACTCCATTCCTTGCCTCAATAATCTCACAATTTCTGGAGGTAAATAAAACGATGATGTTTTGGCATGAGAAACATATCCACTAATTGATTCAATCACTACGCAGCAGGCACATGAAACCACTTGGTAATTTCCTTCATCTTCTATTCCTCCTTCAATTCCGACGAAATAAATTAATTGATGATAAAGATCATCCGATGAAAGATTTTCTCTCTTCATGAATTCTTTTCTGGCATTGTGAGCTCTGTTAGTTGCTCCTTTCAACGTTTCCGAAATTGTTTGAGGCTGGTCCGAGACTTCAGAAGGAACAGACATTGAAATGAACACAAGAGGAGAATCATCTGTGTGATCATTCCTAGTTGGAGTAAATACTTTTGAAAACGCCTCCTTGACACAATTTACTTTGACTGGATTCGTGCTCGCAACAACGACGCGAACAGGTGATGGTGTGGTTGTCAGAGACATTTTTTCAAACTCATGCCTGCTTGGGAAGCATTTAGCAGTCAGCCTGGCGAACTCAACTCCGCCACAACATCTACACCACTATCGTCGGACAATTGAGTACCTTTTATTTGTTTATTTTTCAATAAACCCATCCCTGTATTTTTTCAAACTCATGCACACGCGTTGAACCCAAATATTAAGGATTGTTGGTTGAAAACCTTCCAGGCTTGTACACGTAATAGTAAGTGCCCTAGAGCTCTTTCAAAGCAAAATCAAATTGGTTATTAATGCTTTCTTCCGTTCATTGTTTATTATCCTGCGCACGTACAAATTGCACAGATGAAAATGATTTGAATCGCAACCCTTCCTAGGAGCAGAGAATCGCGTCTGTATTTTACATAGTTATCGTCGGTAGTAAATGAAGCTTATTGAATGCATATTGTGCATAAGTAGTGTCTCCTTATTGCGGTCTGTTATTTCGAAGGTGATTCAAGCTTGTTTCCGCAGGTACAGCCGACGGTAAAACTCGAGATAAAAAATACTGTCGGGAGTTACTGACGAAAAGAATCCACCAAGACACAAAATACAGCCGGAAGAAGCATCATGTTAAATATTCTAATAATGGAGGTTTAATGAACGAAATAACGACGGAAATACTGTTGAAATAACCTACCACAACACCTGTGGCTGTTACTATCGACGATAATGATAGAAATCTTCTTATTTTATTTTAATTCAATTTGAAATTTTTTTGGTTCAATATTTGATTTAAAATTGTTATTGCAAATGCATTTTAAATTTTATTGGCATCATAATTTACAACTCAACAACGTTGGCAGGGTTGACAGGTCTTGAGCGTCTCATTTTCGCTGATGATGATTTACGTAAATGCTCTTGATACAATTTATATTCCTCAGAATTGATGTCATACACATCTTCGTCGTTTTCAAAGTCAAAAAGGTTGTCTGAATTTTTGCTTTTTGAGACTCCAGATCTTCTACGAAGTTTCGCCTTCTTTTTTGCGTTCACAAATATTTGACTTATATGTTTCCTGCATATCTTTATCAACTAAAAACGATTGTTGTGAAATTTAGTCAAACAAATAACAAACACAACTTACTATTTCATCTACCTGGGATTTATCACAATCTGAAAGAATACTATAGTTTGGAAGACTTGAACAAAATGTTTTAACATGAGTAACCACTGTGTCTGAAAGTTGAAGCTTTTGCTCTTGTGTTTGGGGATTAGAACAGATCTGAAGAATTAAAATTTATAGGAACAACATTACAACTTACTTGGGAGAGAAATGAATGAAATTTCAATTTACAACATTGTTTGATGCTTCATGGAAAGAAATGATCACCAAGAAATATTGACAAGAAACAAACCTTGCGTTGTTCTGAGTTAAGAATTGCTTGCTTTCTTGAAAAAGTGTTATATTTAATGATGGAGCTATATAAGAAATGTTTTTTCGATTACGTTTCTTCTTGATACCCCTTACAGTGTCAGTTGGCATTATGATTGGTTTTTTTTTGTTTTGATTTTTGAAAATATTTAAACGGGTCAACTTTGAAACTATTGGAGAGAAGTTTTTGTAAGCGAGTTCAGATCGAGCGCGCACAGGAAGCGTTTTCTTTACAAAAAAAAATATCATGCTTCAGAACAAGGCCGAATCCAAATTCTTTGACATGGTTTCCTTGAGAATGTGCCACAAGTGCAATGTACATGATTTGGAATTGTATATCCATAATTCGGCAAAGTGTAAAACCTTGAATCCCTCTATCAAATGCACTTGTTTTTCATGCGGCACAACTTACTTCACTTGTCCTTTTTGCAAAGATTGCTTCTCCGACTCTCATGCATCCAATTTTTTAAAACACATGAAAAGATGTTCAAACAAAGATGAAGCTCAGAACCCCGTTTTCAAGTGTTGTTCCGAACAAACGACAGAGTTTGATCATTATTATTCTCATATCATCAAAAATCATTGTGGTCATTTGTGTTCGTTTTTAAAAAAACGCAAACATGAGGATAAAATGGATGACGAAAAAAACAACAAGAAAACGACAGGAGTGGTTGTTATGGAGGAAGGTTGTGATATTGGTGGTTTATTGATGAACTTAGAAGCTCTCACTGCTGACGTGCAGAATTTAGTACAAACACCATTTCCAATATTTGAATTTTTTGAGAAACTGAAACAATCTATGCCATATGTATCAAATCACTCGTGCGAGCATGAACAAGAATTTCACTTCCCTAAAGATCACCCTTTTGAAAGTTTTGAAGAATTATGTTGTTTTATGTTAATCAATCACTTTGGAATTTCTAAACAAGCATATAATTTCATGATTCAAATGCTGAAATCAACATTTAAAGACCGTCCTGAGTTGATGAAATTATTTGTGAGCTATGATACCTTGAAAGCAAGAGGAAATAATTTGAATCCCCAAAAACCCATGCAGTTCAATGATAATTTCATCCTTTACTCTGTACAAGATACTATTCGAAACATGTTAATGGATCCGTATTTGGTCAACCAATTATGTCTCAACCGAGAAAAGCATCAACAACAGTTTGCAACCAAGCAACCATTTCAATCTAAAATATTCAACAAAATTTTGGAGAAGTGTCAAAGTGATATATTCCCTCTTGTGATGCTGATATATGTGGACGATTTTGTAAAATTCAGAACAAAGTCAACATCAACATGTGGAGTGTACTCAAGTTTGTTGAATTTCAATAGCGACTTCATGAGAAAACTTGAATCTATAAGCTTACTTGGGTTCTCAAAAACTCACTGCGATTTTTGGACAATGACAAGCCATTTGATGAAAGAAATTAATCACCTTGATGGGGAGATAATTGAAATAGAAGATCCCTCTACAGGTGAGTCTAGAAAATTTCAGATTGTTGTTGCAGGGTTTTTATGGGACACAGTCGAGAAGATGTATTCCTTGCAACTCATGAAAGAAGAATGTAGCCGTTGTGAAGGAATTTATGATAATCAACATAAAACACCAGATTGTTTATTTGGAGCGTCTACGATAGAAGATCCAAAGTATGTCACGCATTTCGAGAAAAGAAATATATTTGAAGCAAACACTGTTATTAATAGCATCGATTTAAGATCAAATGACAGAACAAAGGACAAGGGTTTTAAACCCTTAATATGGGAAGAAATGCAATTCAAAGATTTGAAATTATCTAAAGCGAAAATAACGCAAAAATTACGAGAATTACCTGTTCTGCATATCATAGATAATCCTTTTTTAAAATATCCTAATACTGTGGATGCATTTCACAAAGCCTTAATTGATTTTTTCCATTTAGAGATCCAAGGAACTTTTCGAACCCAATTTAAAAGAACAATGAAAGCAATTCATTACTCAACAATCATGGACGATTTTTTGGATGTTTGTGAGAGAGAAAGGTTGCCGAATGGCAAAAGGATTACAATGTACAGTGATATTGACAAACTATCCGGAACAGAGATGCTTGAATTTATAGCAATAAGCGCTCCAATTTGGTACAAATTTCTATTCCTAAATACCAAATATTCAGATAATACTTTGGAGAAGAGACAAAAACTATATGAGTGTTGGATTTTACATTTGCAGTATTTTGTTCGATTGTTGCGGTTTGACCATACAGACCACGACTTAAAAGAAGCCGAGAAACTCTATGTAGCGTGGCGAGTTGCATATAGAAACTGTTTTGGATCCGAAAAGTGTAAATTTCCAAACTTTCATGCAGGCTGTCATATATTTGAGGATGTCGATGATATTGGTCATGTTACTTGGTTTTGGACTCTCCTCTATGAGTTAAAACATTCCACGTACAAGCAATTCAATGACAAAAGTAACAAAAAACAGCTTGAAAAAAGGGCTTCTGAACGAGAAATGGTCATGAAAGCTCTTTTTACAAAATATCCTCAATGCAGAAAATTGATACCAAGAGCAAAAGAACCAGAATTCAAGCTTGAAAAAGACATTTTTGTCCTATTTGAAACGGATCAAGGAGAAATGAACATTGCGTTCGTTAAACAAGTAACTGATAAGGTAGTTCTTAGTTCCTTGATCTTTGAAGTGAAACACATGGATAACGTTTCCTATATGTATCACCTCAAATGCATTCCACAACTAATGCTATCAGCAATAGATATCAGCAAAGTCAAGTCTAAATGTAGCTGTATTTGCTATTCATTGCCATCTGGGTTAAAGTGGCAATTGAATCAATTTGCATTTTGTTATAATTTTTGTAAATAAATATTAATTTTCTAAATATTTCAAAAATCAACAAGTCTTATTCAACAAAGTATCGATGAAAATAATTCGTGGTACTTTCATCCGAACCAATCCGAAGGTATTGTCCGTCGTTGTTATCATAATTAATTTCAATCATTATTTTGTCAATATTATTCTCCGTCCATATCTTGCCAGTGGTATTTCATCCGACAGTATTGGTCGAGCAGTAAAATATGTCATATATTCGTCGGTCAGTATTTTCCTCATTTACTTTTCCGACGGTATTTTGATGACCAGTATTATGCACATGTAATTGCCCTGTTGTATTATGTCGTCCTTGATGCCATGGTTAATATCCATCAGTATTTTAACCAGGGATATTCTCCATCCGTATTCGTCCAGCAGTATTTTAATCGACGGTATTTTTCGATGGTAGATAAACGTCTTATTTTTGACCGCACTTATTTTCTGATTACTCATGCGGTATACCTGCTTCCTTCTGCTCCTAGGTTTGATGAACCTTTCTCACTTAACAAACAAAATGACTTCTCTCATTCAACAATACCCACTCGTCGTCTCAGCAACCCTCATCAATTTGGTCCAATACTTGTACACTGGATTCAGAGTCGGAGGAGCTCGAGTTAAATACGGTGTTAAGGCCCCAGCCACTACTGGTACGTACTAAATTCTGATTTTGAAACCGATCATTGTTACCGTTGTTATTATTGGATAATTGTCATGAATTATTTCAAATTGATATTTAATCAAACTTACGATCACCACAACAAAACAGGCCATCCTGAATTTGAAAAGCTTTACCGCATTCAAATGAACGGTCTGGAATTCTTACCAGTTTTGTTGTCATCTTTGTGGTTGGCTGCTCTCACTTCTCAAAATGATAAATTGAGTGGTTCTTTGGGTTTAACCTATGCCGTTGGAAGAGTGATTTATGGACTTGGCTATCCCGAAAAGAGAGGACCAGGATTCTTGATCTACTTCCTTTCCATTGTTGGTTTGTTGGGTGTTTCTGCTGTTCAATTTTTCAAATAAATAATGAGAATATTTCATCGTTTGATTTAAATAATTAAATGAATATTAATAATGTGATTAAACTAACATTTCCATTCTGATGAATGAAACTGCATTTTAAAAAATGCAACAATCAACGTTGTTAGAATCATCGTCGTGCACTTCTTCCGAAAGCAAGTCGTGTGATCATGAACCGAAAAACAGTACAACCACGAGTAATCCAAGTCATGAAAATTATGGGAATTATTCTCGGTACATTGTAGACGCATCTTTGTGTGGCGTAGGAAGTCATTTAAGAAAACTTGGAGTAGACACAGAATACAGCAAATCATACTCTGATTCCTATATATTATATTTGGCCCGGACTCAAGATCGAATAATTATCACCAGATCCACCAAGTTGTTGCAAAAAATTAATCAACAAAAAGAAAAAATAGAAAACTACAAGAAAAAGCTTGAGATTTTAAAAGACAGACAAGTTGTAAAAAGTTTGATACAACAACGATTAATGAAGCCTAAAACTGAAGAGGAGATTGAAGAGGAAATACACGAATTAACAGAGATGATCGAAGAAGAGAAACCATATAATTATTATTGGTTGACATCGATAGGAAAGTATGAACAACTCTTGGAAGTGGTCAATCATTTCAAAATTATATTTATTCCTGAAAAATTATTTGGAAGATGTTACAGTTGTAATGGTGTTGTAATAGAAGTTAAAAAGGAAGATATTGAACATTTGGTGTACGAAAAGGTTTGTGTTGCTTTTTAAAATAATTAATTGACAAAAACGATCACATTGCCTCTCGATTGGATCAACCAATTCTAGACTTACCTTAATACTGAAAAATTCACGCAATGCCAGAACTGTAAGACATGTTTTTGGGGTGATGCTGAGAGAGGAAATGCTTATCAAAGGTAAATACAAATATTTAAGCGTTGAAATGAATTAACAAATGTAGGAAATTTTTTCAAAACTCCATCTCATTTTGTGCATTGTACAGCTATCATCCAGATTCCACTAGGGATGACAGCAGTAAATAACAACTTGTAGCGTTGAAACACAAACATACTTGGAAACAAGAGTCATGCTTTAAGCACTACATCATTAGAGTCATTATATTATTTGAAAATAATGTTGCAAAGCATTGTACTAACCGCCAGCTCCCCACGTTCTTGCTTAAACAGATGGAATGAACAACATACACTTTTTAAAACAGTCTAATTTATTTGGTCTGGTATACTCAATTTAAATATCAAGCTGACAAAGCATGGCTACACCTTCAGAGATCCAATGAGATGCTGGTTTTTCTGTTGGCAACTCAACACTAATCACAAAGTTCGTGGACTGACCCAAAGAAGAGAGTTTACCCTTTCTTTCACTTGTCTTATAAAGAGGGCATTCGTAGCATTTTGGAGAAGTTTTGTGATTCTTTTCTGGCAAGAAATGAATGACTGGCAATTTCACGTTCATTTCACCGTTGTCAGACTCTTCCAATGTCTCCTTATCTTTGTTCCATTTTGCTCCATTCAAATACAAACCATACACATAGACACCATCCTCAGGACCTTCTTCAATTTCTTCTGGAGTCATTTCATGCATGATTCTAAAAGTGAATGACAAGGAATCAATTTCAACATTGTACTTTCTTGCAAACGTTTGTAACACACCCGTAAAGAATCCTTGAGGGAAGAAGAATCCAGAGAGCCAGAACGCCTTAGGAAGTCCATTTCTCAACCAATTTCTCATGAAAGCTACTCGTTCGACCAAGTCTTCAACCCAAGAACCAAGTGGCTTTCTTGAGGGATAAGCTGCCCACAATTCAGGCACTTCATTGTTTAAGAGACTCTTAAATGTTTTTTCGAGCTCACTAGACATGAGAACAAGTCCATTCATGGCTTTTTGCAACTCGGTCAAAGTACTTCTAATCTTGTCCAGTAATTTGTTAAATTTCATCATTTCATGACTTAGTACTGTAGATAGAGAATGCATAGCTCCCTTCTCAGTTCTAATAAACGTGTTCTTTCCAGCCTCAGATTTACTGAGATTTTCAGGAAGTTTTGATAAAATTTCTATTATGAACGTCAATATCTAAATGATTGAATTTCAATACTTACTGTTTGCAATTTCTGTGACAATGGAATCCATATGATGTTGTTTGGATCCTCCAGAGCTTAAAGATTGAGTTCCCATCACGGTAGATACTAAATAATGTGTTTCTTGCATTTGGAAAACCATGTTCGCATTTTGATGCATGTTGAAAATAGCAGGTTCGTCATTGTCTGGAAGTTTGGAAATAAATTGTCTGTAGTCATCGATAGGATCTGAAGAAGGAATTTTGTAAATATCAGAAGGAGCAAATTTGTAATCAGAAGAAAGAATTCTCTTTGAGAAATATTGAGATAAGATTGTGAGTAACACTCTTCGATCATTTGGTCTGTCACTCTACCTCCATATACAATTTCACCTATCACGTAATTTAAAGAATCCCAAGGAATGTTTTCACGTTCTTTGAGGAACATTCTTAACCACAACTGTGCAACGCTTAAATCTGAATCATTGAATTCGTACTTGATGTTCCAACCAAGAGGACCAAATTTCTTACGTTCTTGAATTACACCATGGAATAAGCATAATCCAAACAATAGCTTTCTGAATGCAAGCTTCTTAGTACACTCTGGGAATTTCTCACCTTCTTCAAAACCGTTAAAGTATTCATCAGAAATTTCATTGTATGTTCTAGTGAGATTAGATCTTAAACCTTTTGGAGGCTCATTGGTTACTTTCACACTGTTTTGAAGAATAGGTATTGGGAAATCCTTGGAAGGCATGGATGTTAACCATAATCTGAAATCTTTGTGAACAACTGCCATTGGAGAAGAAAATTCAGCAATAATATTCTCCAAAGTAGGCATAAAGGATACAAACAAATGACAGTTTTGAAGCAATACCCATTCACCATTCTTTCTTCCTCTTTCAATCAGTTTTTTGGCAGATACCTCTTGTCCTTGGCCAAGAGATTTGATATGAAGCTCATGCTCTTTTTCAATAGCAAATCGTTTTAACATGCTTGTAGGATCTGCACCTTGAGAAAGAATAAATGTAATTGGAGTGCTAGGTGTTGAGTCACTGAGAGCTTTTTCGAGATCTAATCCGGGAGGTCTGATGAATGATTCACCCAAACGATTTTTGACAAATTCTTTGCTGGCCAATAGTACTTGCTCCTCCGCGAAGCACTTGATGAGAAGTAACTTGTGGAAGGGCTTGATCTTCTCTTCCCAAGAAAAAGGTAACTCTTTAGAATAGGCCTCAGTGTCCTCAAAGTATTTCTTCCAAGTGAATAGATTTCCTGTTACTGAAGCTTTGAGTCCCTTCAATTGAGGAATTTCTGCATCGAGAGCGGTCAATAGATTCCACGATAAATCAGATAGCCAATTTGACAGCTCATTCTTACTGTCATAGGTCAATGGAGCGCCTCTGAGGAACAACAGCCATTCGTTTTCATCGATTACTTGATCGTACAACAAAATTCGAGTACAAATAAGGAACGAGAAAATAATCTTATCCTTTTCGAACAATCCTCTGCAAACATTTGTGAAAATGTACTCTGTAATGTTCGATATGAGAATTGGAAGAAGCTGTTCGGTTGTGAGATCGCGGTGTTGCTCCTTAGTGTGTCTAATACACTTGTTGAAAATATCTTTGAAGTATTCCAATGAATATTGATACATGGGATCAATATTCGCTAAATCAGCTAAAACAAAGTATAGAATTGAACCACGGACAGCAACGTTTCTATACTTTTCTCTTGCCTGATCAATTTTAAGCTCTGTTTCTGCAGCGTCTTTAACTCTGTCTTTGATAACGTTTGAAGTGTTTTTAGAGTCATCCAGAGATTTGATGATTTGAGTTTTGTCTAAAATATTTTCGTCTTCTTTCACTGATGATAGACTGTCAAGAATCTTTTTCTCGATCTTTTTCAGAGTCTTTTTGTCGTCAGCAACGCTAACAATAAGTCTGTCTCTTTCTTCTTCCAAACTAGACTCGAGGATTCTTACTACATCGGCGAGTAGCTGGTCTTCTAATCCCTTTGTTGTAACAGTAAAGTTGACAAGAGTCACCTTGTTACATATTTCTGGTAAATAGTGAGGATTAGAGAGCTTGGTGGTAAGGTACAGCTTGAATGAAGGATTAAAGTCAATTTCAGCATTTCCCATTTTCATTACAAGCTTTCCTTTGCTCTTAAACACTTCCTTGTTTAAAATTGGTTGAAGAGTCGGATCAATCTTCTCTGCTAGTCCTTCAATCATTACTGGTTTACCTGTTGTGATATAACTCTCTAAGGTTTTGATATAATTATCCTCTGACTGCTTTAACAATTTTAAGGTGTTTCCCTTTTCCATGTTTTTGATCCATGAGTTTGCTTGTTCTTGAGGGTCTATCAATAGAGGCCATCTCTTGGTTCGTGTTACTATAATGGCGTTTTGAATGGAATAGTGATCCATTGGTAACCCTTGCATTCCCCAATCTCTAATGCCAATAGGATCTGCAATTACCTTATCTAAAGAGTAGTTATCACTGAATGGAATACCATGCTCTTTACAATATTCGCACCATTTGTCAAGCAATTCTTTTCTGTATGGAGATGTTAATGGCCCACAGTAAATGACAAATGCTGAAGCAATAAAAATGTCTCCAGCTATGTTTTTGATACGTTCATCAAATTCTGCAACAGATAGGGTCCATCTTTCGTATTCTTCTTTCAGAGAAACGGTAAGTTTTTTCGCTGCAACTAATCTTCTTTCTGAAATTTCTTTTTGCTCTTGAAGCATAATCTTCTCTCTATTGTTTTCCTCTAGTTGTCTTTGAAGTTGTGCAAGATATTCTGTTTTCTTTTGTAGTTCAGCTTCTTTGATTCTCAGAGTCGACAATAGTTTCTCCAATTCTTCCTGGGCTGCAGCTGCACTCTCCATTAAGGGTTGTACAACCTTTTCAACTTCATAATACTCCACCATTTTTCTTACCCATTTGCAAAGTGAACCTGCTGGACCAGAAGCCTTATAAACAACAGCTTCTTGGAAGTTCTCATCTTTCATTAATTTCTTAATCTTTGCAACGATTTGAGGGGTAACTCTTTCTTTCATAGTTTCCTTGAAAGTCAAAATTCTCTTTTTAAAGTCCATTGCACTCATAGCTTTTTGAGCTGCCTCCCAGTCTGTCTTTTTCTCGCCTAACAAAATTAACACACCCTCAAGCGTAGTTTTTACAGGCATTACAGGATTTTGATATGATCGAATCATATTAAGCTCAGGTCCTCCAAGCTCACTCACTGCCTTTTCTGCTTCTTCCAGTGCTGGCAGAACATCCTTTAGCTTGTCATCAGCATCTTTTTTCATAGCTTCTGCAATTTTTGCTTTTTCATCAATTTCCTTCTTTTCTGCAGAAATGATCTCATTATCCTTGTCCGCTTGAGCCTTCTTTTCAAGTACTTCCTTAGTAATAATTGTATTTTCAATACTCTTTTGTTCAAGAATAGGTTGAAGTTGCTCAATTTCTTTTTCACACGAAGCGACCTTGTTGTTTGCTTCTTGAAGAGTAAATAAACCTTTTTGAAGTTTGTCTTTCGCTTCTTTTAGCTCGAGACGCTGTTCTTCCAGCAAATCGCCGTAAAAGTTTATAAACTCCAGATAATGTGATGGAGTAATATAAAACTTTCGTCTTGTTTCTTCTTCAAATTTCTTCGTAATATCTACAACATCTCTATGTATTAATACACAGGTATCCACAATTTTTTGCTTGAGATTCTCATTTCCAATATTAACTTTCTCAAACTTTCTTTGTGCTACTCCTTTAAGAGCTACTGCAGGCCATTCATCGAACCAGTTAATTGTTGTGCAGTTGACTAATGACGGGAACATTCTTATTCTTCTTCTAAAATCATCACCAACTGGACTCATACAAATAACTATATGTAAATTGTCTCTCACTCTCTTGATAAAATGAGCAAATATTGCGTCTCTAATTTCAGATACGCCTGCCTTCTGTGCTATTGGTCTAATTTCATTAATTAACTTCTCTTTCTCATCTGAGGGGAAAAGATTTGGAACCTCACCTGTATTGAGAATATTATTGATATCTTCAAGAAATGAGTCATCCACAATGTGGGCGTCAGTAATTAGGAAAACAACTGGGCCTCCCTCTACTCCTCCTGCCATTCTAAATAAGTTTCTAAGATCCTCCCTAAAGTCTTCAATATCATAATTTCTTTTCAAACTGATTTCGAATGTCTTGTACCCAACAATAAAGGAGGATAATCTAGTAAGACTTTGTTTTCCTGAGCCTCCAACACCAATTAGCAATGCATTACTTCGTTTTTGTGATAAAATTCTGGTAATTCTTGTGATGTGTTTTGCTGCATCTGGGAAGAAAACAAGATCCAATTGACCAGCATTATTTAAATTGTACCTCATTTGACTATCATCTAGTTCTCCTGGAAGTTTGTCAACATTAATTTGTTGATAAGCCTTCTCCTCGCTATCTCCCTGGTCCATGAAGTTACCAAAAGAGATGGCATGCTCTCCCATAAAGTCGTTTTCATCCCAATTTTGTCCTTTGAAATATCTCTTCAATAAATCAATAATTATTGCTGTAAAATCGCTTCTATCTTGAGTATTTACAAGTCTGTCAAACATGCATCTAGAAGCTTCATGTGAAAATAGCTTCAAAATTGTGTTTGAATCCTTAGCATTGTTTGCCTTCACTTGAAGCATTCCTTGGAAAATTTTAGACAAATCTCGAAGATTGAAAGTGTAATGAGCACAGCTTGGTGTAGGTCTGAATCTATCACACACTCTTCCGTAAAGCTCTAGCGCGGTTTTAACTAACGGCTTTGTTAGTCCTCTAATTTCTTCTGAGAACGAATTATAAGAAAGGAATCCATCTAAAATACTCTCAAAAATAAGGGTCATGCTATTCTTTGACAGTTCAGGTATACGTAACAAGTGAAATAGTCGTAATAATCTTGGTGTAGTTGGATTTCTACCACCTCCTGGAGGGCCACATGCAGCTGCAACTGTTGAATCATGCACAACCTTCCATGGAAACTCCTCTCTATTCGAAACATCATAAAATCCTCCACATCCAATCATTTGCCTAATCAATTCTATTGGAGGTTGAGCTCCGAATTGTTCAAGGTTAGGCATGTTTAGATCATCAATAAATATTACAACTTTCTTGCCAGGAGGAGCATACAACGCTTTCTTTTTCTCTACTAGCTTACTTTCTATCATTTCTCTTGTTCTTCCACTGTCAGTTCTAGCAGAAAATTGAACAGAAACAAGTTCAGTAGTGAATGATTCGTTATGACGCTTGAACTCAAACGACTGCAGTGCGTTATTGATCAAAATTGTTTTGCCCACTCCGGTTCTTCCGTTGAATAATGTAGGTTTCTCGCTCTTCATTAAAGTTTGGATAAGATAAGAGTATCTAACTGTATCAACTGTTGGAACAATTATTTCATAGAAAGGTACTTCACTTGAATATTTAAATTCAGGTTTCAGTACTTCCCAGTTCACAAAGCTCACTGAGTCAAAGTCAACAAAGTAATCATAACAAGTTCCATTCGATGGCACTAAACCAGACTTTTTGAATTTCTCTTTAACAAATCTGTCAAATTCAATCATGGAGCTATCAATGATGTTTGCTCCAATTGACCAGATATAAGAAAAGGTAAACACGAGACTCATTAACTGCTTGCTCTTTTCGGCCTCAAGCTTTTCCAGGTGATCAAGCAACAAAGCATCCATAAGTCCACACAAACTAGTGACCAAGTTCAAATTAGTACTTGGTACCTCTTCCTCGCATTGGCTTCTAACGAAATCCAAACCATCTTGAACGAACTCATCAAACATCTTCTCTAACAATTCTTTAAGGTCTACATGAGTTGAGCAAGTAATTGAGTTCTTTAGCCAAGATGCTACATAGGGTCTCCATCCGAGCTCAATAGGATCTACGAATACCATTCCACATCTACTAACAGTTGCTGGAGATGCCACAGCTAAGTCTTGAACTTCGAAAATAAAGCTTATTTTGTCATTAAGTTGAATACGTTCAGTATTGTCCAGACACAATAATTTGCTGTCGTCAAGAACCGAGTTCATACTTTCAATCCATAAAGTATCCACAGGACCATCAAAAATGATCCACTTTTTGTCATCGCTAGTGTCTTTGGTAGCCTTTCTGGCAAAGTGTGGAATAAGTCCGTCAAACCATTCTTGTGTTGTCATGTTCAACACTCCGTAGAGCTCTCCATACGTAATGGACTTTGGATTTAGCAAGAATTGTTGAACTTTGTTCACGTGACTTGCAGTTGAGTGTAGCTCATCCTTCAAATAATTCATTGTGTCACCAAGAACGTTTCTAATTTCTGTCTTTCCTCCTCCTGTAGGTCCTACGAGCATTACACCATGACGAATGATGAGTGTGTCGAAAAATTGTACAATCTTCTTGATAAATGCTGGTAGTGGCTCTAGCTTTCTTCGTTCAATAATTTGCAATAACCCTGCCTCAAGTTCTGCGTTCTTTTCAACAGGAGCGTCAATACCTGGAAATAGATCAGAAACAATTCCTTGAAACAGTGAGACATCTTCTTTCACGAATTTAGGAAGATTGCTGTCAATCATAGCCTTCATCAATGTAGTACTCTCACTAAGGTGTGGATTGGCTCTTTTCAATTCTCCGGCCATAACTAAAACAGACTTCATCGCTCTCATACCAAAATCGTAGTGGTCTTGACTCGACAATTGTTCATTTGACAACTTGTAAAGTTGTGTCATTTTTCTTGATAAAGGTAATGCATCTTGATAACCCTCAGAAAACAGAATAACCTCTGCGATCATTCTATAGTCAGGCAACATGACTGCAACAGGTCTAAACAGAGCCTTTAAGTTATCAGGAAGTTCTGTTCTGCCTGCATAGCCTGGGTTCATGGTAATAAAAACTCCGCATGTGCTTCTCAGAGAAATTTCTTGGTCGTCTTCGAGGAAGAATTTTGTCTTCTTTGCTTTGAGTGCATCTTGGATGGTTAGCAATTGAGTGGCAATAACAGACAATACCTCAGCATTAATTCTGTTGAATTCATCAAAACATGCCCAAGCTCCTACTTGAACAATACCACTGAAGAACTGATACATCATTGTATACGTAACACCCTCACTACAATTGTACACAACACAAGGTCTGGCAAGAGCCTTTGATAAATCTTTTACGGACTCTGTTTTACCTGTTCCGGCTGGTCCTTCTGGACTTCCTCCCAAGTTTAGATGCAATGCTCCGGTTAGTGTCATGTAAACTCTGTCTGTAAGAGGGGTGATAACGAGTCTAGATTGTATTCCTCCATATTCATAACCGTATCTGAAAACTGAGTTAGATTGTCGGACAATGCAATCATCTACATCTGATTCCCAATAGAATCTTAGTTGTTTTAACCAACCAAAGTTGTTCACATCATCGACTCCTTCTTCAATCATTGATTTAACCACATCTCTTGCGTGTACATCCAAAATGATCATAGTTCCAATAAGTTTACGCTCATTTGAGGAGAGTTTAGTTCTTGTTAGATATGCCAAATCATTCAAGAGAGTAATTGACTTTTCATAGAATTTTTCAAGTTCCTTCTTTGGGTTTTCTGATGTTAAACAATTTGTAACTTCGTAACACCAAAATATTTGAGACACAGTTAGAACTACTTGAGCGATATGGTCTCTCATCCATACTGTTCTTTCTTTCTTTGGATAATCACGAACTGCTCGTTTCATAAATTGGCGCAGAGTATCAAACATATGTTGCTCCACTTCTCTCAACCAATCTTCAACTACATCATCGGCTCTTGTTGTTGTAGAGACGAATTGAACTCTTTCTCCTTCCTTTGAAACCATTCCTTTAACATACTTAGAGGAATCGATATCCAATGATTTCATACCTTCAAAACATTGAGGTAAGTAAGGTTGTACAGCTTGTGGATTACTTGTATGAGAAAGTATATCAATCAAATCCTCGTTAGACAGGAAATAAAATCTAGGAAACAGATTTCTCTTTTTCTTTAAATATTCTTCCAAGCTCTTTTCAATTTTGTCGAGATGCATGTTATGGCCTTTCAATTTATCGAAAAGAGCGCTTTTCACTGATGTTTCTGGTACAATAATCACTCTAAAAACATTCTTGACCTCCTTTGCTCTCTTCATTGCTTCTTTGTAGAATCTGTCAATAGAAACAAATAATTTGTGATCTTCTTTCAACTCTGCTGCAATGTCGGCTGATACAAATACATTTTCCAAGTACATCCATTTTCGTTGGCAATAAATAATTTCTTGGATTGTTGCGTATATGAGATTAAGGTCGTTATATAACTCCTCTACTTGATCTTTGATGGCTGCTACATATCTTGAGCTCAAAATAGTTGAAAGCACAATTCTGTCGTCCTCTAAAAGAGCCATAATATCCTCTACACTTCCAATGATCGTCATGTCCTTGTGGGAAACAATTGGAAACTCTGCCTTGAACCAATTCTCTTTGACTTTTTTAAGCTGCTCTTCAAGAGATGCCTCATTGGAAGCTTGTTCAGAAACTTCTTGGATTTTCTTTCTCTTATCAACAATATCAGGATCAAATAATAAACTTAATTCAAAGTTCCTTTCAGAAATTGTAGTACCAACAATATTGTCTAACACTCTCCAATGTCTTATTCTGAGTGACATGTTCTTGAGGTCCTCAATGATAGGTAAAACAATTCTCCAGTTATCTGTGTAATCCAGTAGCTTGGATATGACAGGATTTTCTGTCTCACTATTCTTTTGAAGATGTGAAGCTGTATATTGGAATTGATCGACATTTCGCTTGATATCTTCAGCAATCACATCTTTGAAAATTTTACATTTGTTTTCTGACTCAAAAATGATCCAGCTCTTCATGGTTGTCCATAGCTTTAACTTGAGATCAATTTCTTTAGCAATTGATGGCATTTCATCAATTGTATCAGGTTTGACTTTGAATAATTCTTGATAACCAACAAGCTCTGCAAATCTCTTTTGAGATTTATCCATTCCATTCTTCAACTCTGTTAGGTATGCAATGACTTCTTCAATTCTTTCTTGAGACTCTGTATTATTAACATCAAACACCATTGCGTCCTTTGATTTTTCTAAAAAGTCTTGAATTTCTCCTCTCAAGTCATCTATTTTTCTCTTTAAATCCACAGAGAACTTATTAATACGATCCTCTTTACTGTCTTCCGCTCTACTGATAGAAGATCTTAGCGTGGAAATGGTAGAAACTGTATAATCTTGGAAGAAATTTTTGTCTTCTAATGGTACTTTCACCTTTTCTTCTTCCATTAACTTGTAAAAATCGAAAACAGTTTTGAACTCAATCTCCAAATCATCCAAGCTCGCTACTGTCTTCTCAACAAAGTGTAAGAACTCTACAAAGTCCTCCACAGATGCAGGAAATGCCTTGAATCTTTCCATAGATTTTTCGAGCTTCTTGTAAAGAGCCATATTTTTCTCTTTTGAAAGCTCTGGCAAAATTTTATGGAGCTTCAAAAGGCATTCACTGGGAGAGGGTAAAAATGTTTCCTTCAGCTTCTGAGTGTCGACATAGAAAATTCCTTTGTACTTGTATGTTCTCATTTGTTTAACCTCAGTATCCTGTTCCTTGTATTTGTTCATTTCCGATTGGAACCATTCTAAAGGATAATCTTTGTCCTTAATAATGGTCAGATCAGTTTCTAACATTTCCTTATTTTCTAAGTGTTTAATCTTGAGTTGTTCGTATTCTTTAGCATATTTCTCGACGTCTTTAAAGGCCAATGACATAGTTTCCTTTATACTCTTCACAAGTCTATCGTATGACTCTCTTCTAACAATTCTCTCCTTTATAGTTATGCCCTCGCTAACAATTGCTTCAGCTCCTTTGTCATTGACAACAGGATCGGTGTACTCTTCAAACTTCTTCTTGGTAATAAATTTTTCTATTTTGATAGCATCAAAAAATCCTTCTATCACTTTTGCTACTCTCTTATCAAATTGCTCTCTCGATGGAAGAATTTGCAACTTTTGATCGTTGAGTCTAACCTCAACTTTGAAGAGAGGAACAATCTCAAGATCATCAGTTCCAATTAAACCCAGTTGCATAATTTCTTCCTCAATATCTTTTTCACTGTTCTTAGAGAGTGTGGCAATTTTGTTTAAAATTCTTTCGACAGACTTTTCCACAAGTTCTATCAGTGCATCCAAAACAAGAAAGTCTGCAAGTCGGATAAAGTTAATAATTCGCTTGCACACTTTTCTCTTCAAAGATTTCTCTGTATATGTCATATTGTAAGATGGATAGTTAGCTGTAAGATTTCCTCTGTTTGCTCTCTTTGAGGAAACGTTTCTTGTCGATCTATTCAATGGCGCCTTCTCATCCACCTCATCTTCTTCCATTTCATCTTGATTTTTTTGAGATTGGCTATAGCCAGAGAAATCTTTGTTTTTTTGTTCAGGCTCTGGAATTTGCTCAAGGTCACTGAATCTATCTCCAAAACCAGCTGAGATCATCGTGTCTCTACATGCTTCGTAGGTAATGTCCGTAATGCTTTCACAAATTTCTAAGAGCTGTTTAGCAATCTCATCTTTCTGAGTCTCTTGTATTTTAGAAAATTCGTCCACCGTCAATGTATCACCCTTATTATCTTTGAATAACTCTAATTCTGTAATTTTAATACATTCCATACGTATGTCTCTCATTGCTTTACAATTATTAATAAAAAACAGTCGTTCAGTTAGTGTTGCTGAAGCCAACGCTCTATTCTTTCTTATTATCATCTTTTTGAAAAAGTAAAAGGCCTTCCATTTTCTGAAGTTTTTGAAAAATTTAATCTTCAATATCTTTTGGAAGGTGTCATGCTCTTGTATCCATCTTGAAAGAGGTGTAAAATCTGCTTCTCCATTTATAAAATGGGTCACTCCACTTGCACTCATTGTATAATAGTCAATCTTATCATTGATAAATGCGTGAGGCACAATTTGTAACTTGTATGGGTTATAAGGTTCAGTGGTATCTTCTTGAAGAGGAACAAGATACACGTATTCCATGCTTGACGGGTTTTTCTTGACTCGGTCTTAATTAAACTGATTTAGAAAGTTAGTCTCAACACTGAAACTTACCAATAAACCACATCGGAGACTTTTTTCCAGAGTTGATCAAGTTGTTATCAATTTCTACACGAGGAGATTGAGATCCAATCGGTTTCAATTTGATTAACGACTTGTCAACTTTTTCAGCTTTGACATCATTTTGCTGAATCCTATTGAGAGGAGTTGTAGTTCTGATATTTACAAGTTGCATTGTTTCATCGGTTTTGTTGAGAAAGTCTAAATCGTTTGGTTTAACTTTCTTTTGTGCTGGGAATAAATCGTTCTTAACATCCTTAGGTTTTTGAATATTTGACACTTTTGAAAAAGTTATGTTTTCACATCCCACTGAGAGTTTTTCATCTCTGTTGGAATACAATCGAGTTTTTAAGGTTTTTGAGAACATTGATTGTTCCGCTTTCATCGATAACTCGTCGGGCAAGGTCTTTTTCGGCACATTTGTGTTGGATCCTTCATTGTTCATTGCCAATGAGTCACCACTCCGAAAATTGTTGGTGGTGTTTTGAAAGCCCTTGTTCTTCATCATGAATTTTTTTTCGTTTACTCTGTAAAATCAAAAAGGCGCGCGCAGTTCATACAACGACAAGCACCCGAGTGTCAAATTTTAGCGGAGTGTCAAGCTCTCACTGGCCATCATTCTCAACAGGAGTCTAGGTAGTGTCAATTTTGATTGATATGATTTTTACTGCTGCAGCAACTTTATCATCATGTTTGATCGAACGTGCTTGTGATGAGTCTTTGCTCACGAAGACATTCTGCTTGTCGCATTTTTATTGTAAAGAATTGAAATTCGGTTGACCAAAAAAATTTTAAAAATTGTTTCGAAAAAAATTGGTAGGTTCGTCTTTGCTCACACGCTGCTAAATCGCATTTTATCATCAGTCATAAACAAGCATGACCAGTAAGAGAAAGAACAATGGTAGAGCTCTAGTTAATAGAGGTAAGACTAGAGCAGTCAGATGTGATAACTGTGGTAAGAGTGTACCAAAGGACAAGTCCATCAAGAAGTTCTTGGTTAGAAGCATGGTTGAATCTGCTGCTGTCAAGGATATTACTGACGCATCAGCTTATGAGGAATATGCTTTGCCAAAGATGTACCTCAAGCTCCACTACTGCATTTCCTGCGCCATTCACGGTCGTATTGTTCGTGTTCGTTCCAAGGAAGGAAGAAAAGTCAGAGCTCCTCCAAGCAAGCCAAAGAGAAAGACTGAATAAGTTGATACTTGCCGGTCCAAATAAACCACATAAAATCCCATATAAATATATTCATCATCATTCCGAATTGTTGATTCATTTATCGTTTCCCAAAGACCATCATTTTTCTGTATTGTTTGAAAAATCATGTATCAAAGAAATTCATTGAATCAGTTATGGATTCTTCTTTTATTATGCTGAAGTGACAAAGGAAAGGTGAATGCATAAAATTGGGTGGTGGCGAATGGAAATTGGGATGAAATTAATTTTGAGCAAATATGTAGAGGCTATTGACCGAGGACACTGCAATAATGTTTTCAGATGGATGCCAAGTGAGATGGAGACACTTCTTTGAAAAATCTGAAGTTTCAAACTGGTCGTCCTTCTTCTTTTTCCTTCCCAAAAGACCAGTCGATTTCTGTGGTTTCTTAATGGTAGGATTTGGGGATGCTTCAAAGTGATCATGATTCTTTCCTTGCTTGTCAAAAACATGAACATGATTCTTGTAAGAGCCTGTCATTACGTTGTTACCATCTCCACTGAAACAGCATTCAAATTTGTCAAAGATGCAATCATTTTCATAAAGATCACACAATTTAGATCGTAAACCTTCATGCATGTTGAACACTTTCAATGGTCGATTTTCCATCTTAATATCCCATAGCTTTAGCGTCATGTAATCTCTTGATAGAATGTATTTTCCATCTGGACTAAATTGAGCATCAGAAACAGATGCAATAATTTCAGAGAAGAAAGTCTTGCTAGATGGATCTTCCTCAACCTCGAATACCTTTGCATATGTGTTGCAGGTGCTGGATTGTCTGATATCTCCAAGTTTTATCGTTCCCTTGCTGCTACTGTACAAAAATGTGCTGCATTGCTCTGGATGGAAAGAGGCCGAAGTAATTACCTCAGATAAGTCTTCCATATTTGATGGTTTTATATCTACAATATTGTGACTTTCCTTTTCATGATTAACATGCCATAAATTGATACGAAGATCATCTGCAGACATGAATGTTTCTCCATCAGTGTTAAATGAAATGGAGTTGATGTGATACGCGTGAGCATTTGCATAAATTTTCTTAGGCGTGTGGGCATGTGATACAGCGTCAGACTTTTTAACGGAAGGAACCTTTAGCTCTTTCACATCGCTCACGCTTCTAATATTGCCATTCAAGTTAAGATTTGAAATAGTTTTTGTTTGTTTTTCATGGACCTTCCAAAATTTGATAGTTTTGTCTGTAAGAGAGTCCAAATATGATAACCGTTCAAAACAACGTTTGAATGTTCGCAAGCAACATCACATGAAATGACAATATTGGAATACATGATGTCAATAACAACAATACATACCATTTGTTGTCAATAAAAAGAGATTATTGTTACATTTTGACGGATACCACTTAATTTTGTTGATTTTCTCTTCAATTTCCAAACTTTTCAAATAGTCAAACTCTGCTTCATGACTCTGGAATCCTGTCAATACGCGGTAATCTGCTCCCTTCTTCTTTTGTTGGGTTCTATCTAAAATCACTACTCTTCCGCCTCTATCGCCAATAGCGAGATAATTACCAGTGCGGTCAAACTCCAACGCTGATATTATATCATCTGTTAACCGAGATGATGAGTGAAGTGTTCACGATGATGACGATACCAAGTGAGTTTGAATGTGAAGGGTTGTTGTTGTTGAGAGAAAATATTCATCGTGGGACGAGCAAAAGGGTGTCGAATAATACGGAAATGATGATGTTGAGAGAAAATGTTCAATGATGATATGGAGGAATTGTTGATCCCAGTGAACGCGAACGGGAATACAGAAATAATGACATAGAGGTGTGAAAAAAGTAGTTCGTGATAAATACAATAATGAGTAATAGTAAAAACATACCATCTGCTGGTTCATCTCCCTTACTGTCTCCAAAAACCTGTTGAAATTTCCACTCTGATTTAGACATAATTATACAAGAAAAATTAAAATTCGCTCTCGAATGAAGAAGGTTATATGTACACTTGAAAAATTGAATGAACCGATGATGCTGTTGTTCGTAGGATGAGGTGATGATGATCCAAATGTCGAAAAGAGAAGACAAAGCTGTTATGCAGTTTTCAACAAGGACGTGCAGTGAAAAAATGAGGACACAAAATTTTTTTGCTTCAGAATTTCTGTGACCCTTCTGATGGCTGAGAGGCCTTGCGGCTCGAGGGCCATAAAACGCTTCACAAAAACGAGAGATTTGGATTGGAGCGTTGGCATACTTTACAATACACACCATTGTATGACACATCAAATAATGTGAAAAGACATAGAAGATAGCAAAGAATTGATGCTACAAGTACAACAAGATGAGATCAAAGACGAACTAAATCAAAAAAGAATAAAGGGTGTCGAAATTTCGTCCTTCTTGGTTTTGGAAAAGGAATGCATTGGATAAATCAAGAAAACACAAGAAGGCCACAGCCTGTTCTTTGTAAAGTGCAGCTCAGTTGAAAGGCAAGTGATCAACACCTTCGAAATTTTATACTTCTTAAAAGGAGTGAGCATTGATGAAATTCGATCGCAGCAACAGGGCCAGCAAAAAAATATCACCATGAGAAAGCTGATATCGGGTCTCTTCGTTTCACCATCCCCTTTCCCACAAAAGTTTTCCCTGGAAGGACTCAAGTAAGTCATCACTTTATGAAATTAGTAAATAATAGAGAAACATAAAATTGTGATGATTGTAAATTTTGAATTATTAGTAAGCTTTGTGATACACTCGAACAAAACAAAATTATTAACGACACAAATGCAGATTTAGTTGTTGAAACTTTACGGTCAATATCCGAGTTGATGGTTTGGGGAGACAAACATAACGAAAAATTCTGGGAGTAAGTACCCTGATACTTTGTGCAATGATTCAATAGAACAACACCGAATTTTAGCCTATTTCTTGAAAGAAATGTATTTCACTCTTTTTTCAACGTTCTTTCTCAACCAAACGCTCCGAATCAAGTCAAGAAACAACTCATTCAGTCAATTAGTATCATGATTCAAAACATGAACAATACGAATTCGATGTGTAGGTGTAATTTTGTTTGATAATTTTTATTTATCTTCCGGTGTAGACTTTCTTCTTTCTAATAATCACATCAACGAGCTGATCAACCACCCACTCGACTTTTCCGATGAAGAATTACTTGCATACTATATCAATTTTTTGAAGACAATTTCTCTAAAATTCGACAAATCTATGATCCAATTCTTTTTTGATAGTGTAAGTACGCTATATGAGTTCTTTGTGACAATCAATTCATTCCTAAAGTACAATTTGAGATTCCCTCTTTACGATCAATGCATCAAATTTTGTAATCACTCAGACAGCATGATTAGAATAGCAGTGAGAACAATAACGCTGAACACCTATAGCGGTACGTTTTACAAAAATTGTTCCATTATTCATCAACATTTTTAGTCAAGGATCAGGCACTTCATAAATATGTAACGAGTGGTCCTTATTTTTCCATGCTGGCAGACTCATTAATTGATCAATTATCATCTCTAAATTATATTATAATCAAGACAAGAGAAAACAAATCATCCATTAGAATTTTAGAGGATTATTCTGCTGATTTATTGGATCATTTATTTTACTTAAAAGATATAATTAACACCAATATCGAAGGAATGGATGAAAAAATAACAGAATCAATTGTTGATTTTACTCTCAGAAAATTAATTAGAGATATAATGTTGTCAGGCGAGACAGTTACAGAAAACAATGAGCTTCAAAATGAAAAGAAATACGGTCTTCTTTTGGAAACAGTTTTATACTGTGTATCTCAAGTTTATACAATTTTCAATCACAAAATTCTGATTGAAAGATTAACTGGAGTAATATTTTCCAATGACATAGGATTTGAATATTCGTTTTATGAGACCATACTTCAGCAAGTAGATAAGGAAAATAACAATGAGTCCTTACTGCTTACGGCTCTTTCCACAATTTATTCTATTGCCAGTAATGAATGTAAGTATTTCATAGAGGATGCAGAAAGTTCGTTGCTGATCACATCAACAGCATCTCCAAGTCATATTCTTTCAAATTATGGAATTGTGAGGCCAAATGATTTAGAGGAGTTAGCAGATGACCAGAAAAAGAAAAGTTTTGAATTTTATTCTATATTATGGAGGCTTGTCTCCGAAAGAGTGCCTAATAGAATTAATACGCTTCACATAATTTATAGAATTTTTTCTCATCTGTGGAGTGATTTATCTACTAATAATATAGCTATTGCCAAACACCATTTTCCAGCAATTAAGAAAACAATGGCATCAAGTAGAGAACATCTTCTCGAGCTTATTTCAGTATCAGACATTTTTGAATTTATGGATAATTTCCAACTCGAATATACTCAATATCAGAGATTAACCAGTCTACGACCAGATGCTATCATATCAGACATAGCTGTATTAATTAACTATGAGAAGGATGAAAAATCAGATTCTATTTTTGATCAAATCCCTCTTCAAAGGAGCTCATCAAACATTGAAAATTCAAACCGGTTTGCTATACACGAGTTTCTTTTAATTTACGAGTTTCTTTCTAAATCCAAGATTCTTATCCAGTCTATTTTAGGTCGAGAAGAAACCATCTCTTTAGGTTCAATTGTACAACCAAAACCTGAATATTTACCAGAGGACGAGGCAGTGATGGTAAATAGAGAAACGATTCGATGTAGCATAACATCACCTCAAAGCCTACCACCTCCAGTGACACACTCATCACCCAAAAAAGCTCCAAGAACTCCAAATGGTGGAGGGACTCCATCAAAGAAAGACAATAGAGAGATGCGTCACATTTTCTTTGATAATAACTTTTTATACATTGTCACAGTAGATATTAACAGAGTTGGTTTTGGAATTGTTGAAGAAACTATACCGTTATTTTCAGTTCAGGTATGTCATCTTTTTTAATTAACTTCTATCTCTTGATCACACTCATACATTCATCGATAGGTAAAAACAAACGAGCAAAATAAGTTTTCTTTGCGATTGGTAGCAGAAAAGAAGCAAGCATTAGCTTCGCCATTAATACTATTCGACAAGAAGTTAGTTTTTGACGATTTCAAGATTGCCAAAGAGGTTAAAGCAGTAATAGAGAAGAAGTTAGAGGAATGCAGACAACTGAAACTGTCAGAGTTCAAGAAAGCACTGCAGCAGTAAACAGCGACAGAATTAAATACCTAAAAAAACATCGCAAAAAATGAAATTGTTTGTTACCCCTTCTCCACTAGCACTGTTGGTTCATCGGACACACACTCTGTCCAAGTTTTATTCTTGTGCAGGATTGGTAAAAAGGAATGGCAATCTCTCATCAGCTTTTTCCGATAATCATCTTTCAAAGCATAATTGTGTTCAATTTCACAACAATTTTATTATCGGAGAATCAATCAAAGAACGAAGAAGAAAGGAGTATGAACAGCATACGAGTAAAAAGTATCTTCACACAAGCGGAGATGAATCTGTGCTAAAGGGCTACAGGCCGGTTATTGGTCTTGAAATTCACGCTCAAATTACTTCCAACAGCAAATTATTTTCATCTGGTTCAACAGAGTTTACAAACTCTACGCCTAATGTTCATGTCACCCTATTTGACGCATCCTTCCCTGGAACTTTACCAATTTTAAATGAATTTTGCATAAGACAGGCTGTAAAAACTGGTTTAGCTATTGGAGGAAAGGTGAATCTTTATTCTCAATTTGATAGAAAGCACTACTTTTATCCAGATCTTCCTCTTGGATATCAAATCACACAGCAGTTTTACCCACTAATTTCTGAAGGAAAAATTAGAATTGACATACCTCAAGGTGATGGTACATATCTAGCAAAGTACATCAGAATTGCTAGAATTCAGGTAGAGCAAGATTCTGGTAAATCTATACATGACGTTGACTACACTTTAATTGATTTGAACAGAGCTGGAAATCCTTTAATGGAAATTATTACCTATCCTGATATCAACTCTAGTTTAGAAGCAGAATTATTTGTGAAAAAACTGCAATTCTTGTTGAGATATATTGGAACATGTGATGGAAATATGGAAGAGGGTAGCTTGAGGTGCGATGTCAATGTTTCAGTTTACAACGCAAGCAAGAACGAGGAACCACTGAGTGGAACAAGATGTGAGGTAAAAAATATTTCGAGTGCCAATAATATTCCTCGAGCTATTGATTTTGAAATTAAGAGACACATTGAGTTGTTGACCAGTGGACAAAAGGTGGAGCAACAAACTCGAACATTTGATGCTAAAAAAGGCGAAACTATTCTTTTAAGAAGTAAGGAAAATATTCCTGATTACAAATTTTTCCCTGACCCAGATCTACCCTATGTGGAGCTGACAAATGAATATGTACAAGACATTGCCAATTCAATTACCTCTCTTCCAGATCAAGTTATTGAAAAATTGACAAATGAGCCTTATAATCTAACATTCTATGATGCCAATGTTCTTCTAACAACCGAAGGTGGTGTTGAATTTTTCGAAGGCATTTTGAATGATAAAAGATGGAGATCAGAGACAATGAATCCCAAGTTAGTTGCAAATTGGATTGCCAGCGAGTTAATGGGTCTTCTCAATGCTGCTGGTTTATCCTTAAAAGAGAGTCCAGTATCTTGTGTTCAAATTGGATCTATTGTGGATGCCATTCAATGTGAGGATATTTCAGGAAAGATGGCAAAGAAAATCATCAAGATCATGTTTGATGAAAAGAGTGGAGAGATGGCAAATGACATTGCTGAAAAGAATGGATGGAAGCAAATTACAGACAGAGACACAATTGCTTCATGGTGCGTTCAAGTCATTGAACAATATCCAAAGGAGGTAGAGTCCATTAAAAAAGGAAAGGACAATTCCTTCCAATTCCTGGTTGCTCAGGTGATGAAACTTTCCAAAGGTAATGCCTCTCCTTCATTGGTTAATCAAATACTGAGAGAGAATATCCAATAAATGAACATACTACGTAAAAGCCAAGGTTAACTGTGTGTCCTCAGAGCAGGAAGTTGTCGAGAGCATTGTCTAACATTCTACGACAACAATGGTCATATTCATACAAAATACACAAACACTGGCCAAAGCATGTTGGCTTGTGTTCACAACATGAAGTTGTAGAGATGAATAATGAATTGGCGGCAACCTGACGCACCTTTAAAAAAAATCATCATCATACATGGACAATTTTCAAATTTACGAAGAGATTGGCAAAGGAAGCTCATCGGTGGTGTATAAGGGAAGGAAACGAAAAACAATAGAATATGCGGCCGTAAAATGTATTGAAAAGCACCACAAACAAAAGGTGTTCAACGAAGTAAGTCATTTATTGATTATCGAAATGATGAAGAGATAGATAAAATTATAAGGCAAAAGTGTTGAACATGCTATCTCATACAAATGTTTTGAAATTTCATAGTTGGTATGAAACAACCAATCATTATTGGATAATAGTTGAGTTTTGTACCGGAGATTTGATGACATTAATATCCCAAGATCAAAAATTGCCGGAAGAAGCAATCCATTTATTTGCTCTTGACATTGTCAACGGACTTCAGTAAGTAAAGAGAGCTACAACGAAATTTGATGATCATAAAATTTAGATATGTACATTCGAGAGGTGTTGTATACTGTGATTTGAAGCCATCAAACATTTTAATTGATGGATGTGGTATTTTGAAATTAAGTGGCTTCGGATTATCAAAATTGATGACAGAAATTGACCAAAGTTTATCATCTCCATTATCAACTCCTCCAACAGCCACATCAGCATCGGAAAAACCAAGTGATGGAAAGTTGAAACGAGGAACTCTTTGCTATACTGCCCCTGAACTGTTGCTGGGAGGATTTCATTCTGTGTATTCTGATTTTTGGTCTTTAGGCTGTATTCTCTATGAGATGGCTTCGGGAAAGCCACCCTTTGTTGGCTCTTCTCCAGAGCAGACTATGGAATTAATTTTGAATTCCGAACTAAAACCTATCGAAAACTGCAGCGAGGAACTAAATGATTTAATTAAGACTCTACTCCAGAAAAATCCATTGGACAGAATAACATGGGACGAATTGAGAGAGCATACGTTTTGGAAAGAAAAAATAGTGGCTCCTCCTGAGGAATTAAGGAAGCACCTACATCCTCTCCTGTTTATCTCAATGGAGTTAAACTTATTTATTCAAAAACTTCCAAAAGCGAAAATGTAATGAGGCTGTCAAAGATTGTCCAGTCGAACCTTGAAAAAGAACTTGGCCAAGTTATGATGGAAGATCGAGTGACAAGCCTGCAGGTAAAAAAGTAACAGATATTGAATACAATTTTGATGAATCTGACAATGAAAGTGGAGATGAGCTATCAAAAGAAAATGCCGAAATGGACGAGGAGGAGCAAGGATTCAGCGAATCAACTGACGCCAGAAATCATGAAAAGTCTAATGCAGAACCATTAATTAGAAGATCAAGTTCCCAAACCAGCGTTACAAACTTGAAGTTGTCTATTTCTGACGCTCAGAAGCTAATGTTTAATCAGTCAGATACCTATGTTAAGCCTATAATTATGAATTCGAGAATTGAGAAAGTAACAAGTCCAAAGTTTGACAAAACAAAGTTGCCCTTTGAGCCTCATCCTCTAAAGAAGGTTCTAAACATGCCTCAGAAGGACTTGGAAAACTTTCTTACGCAAATATACAAGGCTCTTGTGGCTAACGGAGACAACACTGTAAAACTTAACTGCTTATGCTACTTTGAAACTTTGTGCACAGACACCCAATCATCCAATTTACTGGTGAACAGTTCCCTTATGAAATTATTTATCAAAATGCTGAGAGCATACAAATCACCCATGCTACGGGTTAGGTTATGTTCTGTCACAGGATTATTGGTACGACATGCAACATATATTTCTGGAGACCTTCTGAATAATGAAATATTTGACGTGTTTGTTGAGCTTGTGCAGAAGGATAATGGTGTGAAGGTAAAAAGAAGAGCGTTGGCGTGCATGGGAGAATTAGTATTCTACGTTGCAACACAAATACCCTCAAATCAAAAAGAAATTACGTTAGTAGACCTTCCACATTCAATAGTTACGACAGTTGTTGATAGCTTGAAGTTTTCTGATGAAGTAGTTCAACACTATGCTACGAAAACTATTGAAAACATAGCTGCCCAAAGTCCTCAGTACTCTCAAAAATTCGCCACTGTGGAGTGTATTTCTTCTCTCCTACAAATTTTCTTTTCTACAAAGAACGAATTTCTCAGAGGAAGCGCTGTTTCTTCATTAGCAAGAATGGCGAGAAATAAGGCGTCTCTGTCTTTGCAGCTTGTTGAGCTATTTTCAACCAAAAAACTAATTTCCTTATTGAAAGATGGTAATATTAGAGTTCAACAATCAGCTATTAACATTATCAACATGGCTCTACTCTCAGACCCCAACTCTAAACTTTGCAAGTCTTTAGTAGAAGATCAAGCGTTTGAGGATGCTTTGTCAGTTCTTGTCGACCATCAAAGTTACACACTAAGAGCTAAATGTTTGATAACCTATTTCATTATTTCGAAAAATAACACTAACTTTATAGTCAAGTGCTTTGGGCCAAAGCTTTGTGCTTGCTTGGACAGGTTAATGACCAAAGAAAAAGAACACTACGTTAGAACATGTTTATTGGGACTGCTGGATTCTGTGGGTGAGCTCATTCCCTCACTTCTTCAACAAATTTTCCAACAGTTGGACAAAAATATGAGCGCTTCCACGGTCGCAGCGCAAAATAAGAATCTGGAGTTCGTTTTGCTTGTGATGACAACACCCTCATTGAGCGAACGTTTAATAACAGAGAATATCATTACTCAATTATCTAAGTTACTGAATCAAATTGGATCAAAAGCAGGATTAGAGGAGTCTTCAAATACAGTACTTCTCGTAATAGAGGCTTTATCCAGGCAGCCAATGACAGCATCTTACCACAAAGTTGTGGTTAATTCCTTACTTCCTTCTTTAGTTGAAATGCTCAACAATACGAATGGAGATGTTAGATTTTTATGTTTAAAAATATTTACAGACATACTTGTTCAGTTTCTTAATGACAAAAATGTATATAACTTACAAGATACAAGCCATGAGTGTACAAAACAAGTTAACGATTTCATTGTAAAGAACCTCCTCCCTAAGTACAAACAAATTTTGGACGATCAGGACCCAATTCCTCTTTACGGGTTGAAACTATTGAATAACATTGCCGAGCACAACCCAGGATTTGTTAGCGTCATTAACCACTTCTCTCTCATTCCAAAGCTTTTTGAATTTTTTGAACTTGAGCATAGAAACAACAATGTACACAACGTGAGACTGATTTTGAAGGTTGTCAATGCCGAAGTTTTGAGCTATGATCAGCTCTACAAATTAGGAATAATTTCAAAGCTTAGCGCTGTTTTGAAATATGCGTTTGAAAACGGTGTAGACACCTTCTTTGAACCTTGTTTAGGCATTGTGGATAACTTACTTTACAAAGCGGCCAAGTTGCTGCACCACTCCAACAAGGGTGAGGACTCGAAACAAGCGGATTCCATGTACACCAATAATTCAGCACTGGTGGAAAATTTACAAGTATTTATGAAGCTTTGCTCTCATGAAGATTTAGGAATTGCTGAGTCTGCATGCCATGTAGTGCTATTATTAAGCCAACAATACTCTTCAACGCATGAACAACTCTTCTCTCAGCAAGTTCTTGGATTAATAAGGAAAATTCTTTTAAGCCATGTTGATTCTCTGGACGACGGCAACGAAACAGAGACTGAAGAAGCTGATAATAGCGTCAAAAGAATTTGTAATTACATGCTCAACGTTCTTTTAATTATTTGCCAAACAAATAACAAGATGATTGCCAGGCTGAAGCGTGAAGACATGTTACTAATTGCCATCAACAAGGTTAGTGAATTGGGTGGCAATAATGAATCTTTGAACTCTCTTGCTCAGTCTGTTAAAAAGATTGTTAGTGAATAAATTTTGTGAATTTATTTACATCAACATGTTGATGAGCAGAGCTGCTGAGATCAGAATGTACATGGTCCAAAGAATTTCGAACGAATTTCTTGAAATAGTAGCATTCACTCTTGTTTGAGGAGAGGACTTGACAACAAAATTACCTGATACTACCAAACTGAACGCTTGACTTCCCTTATTTGATGATTTTGCTCCCACACTAACTACACAAGAAGCACCGCTTGGAAGATTGTCAATAGTGATGCTTTCTACAGTGTTGGTGGAGTCATAATTGGTATTCTTTGATAACTCTCCATTACCATAATAAACAGATTTTCCTCCATCAACGGTGACCTTTAGATCCAAGTCATTCACAATTCGCTTCTCTGTACTTCCCTTTGCGAGAGCTGTTGTGTAGGGTAAATCATACCATACAATGGTTACTTTGAGAGTGTTCTTATTTGATGAACCCATAACAAGCTCAAATTGAGAGGAGAGGCCAGGTTCCAGTAAAACTCTGTTGATGACACCAATCTGACCCACTAAACTCAAGCTCGTTTGATCATTGTCAAACTTGAGCACTCGTTTCAAATTTACCCTTCCATATCCAACAAAGTTATTTGGGATTGGCATGATGGCAAGAGATTGGTAATAATTTGGATAAAGTTGAACCATTCCATTCAATTTTTCTGCAGAATGGATTAATAAAGCCTTGACCAAAGAACCAGAGAGCGTTTGAGTGGATGTCTTGTTAAACAGTTCAAACTCTACTAATTTCTGCTTGTTGTTTTGAAGTAAGTATTGTCGAATAAGCGCTGCTGCACCAGAAACAGCAGGAGTCGCCATGGAAGTACCACTCATGACTGCCAAACCACAAGTACTTCTAAAATCTGCACTTGAAGTGTAAGATCCTGGAGCAACCACCTTTACCAAGTGTGTAGAAACGTTCGATTGAATGTCAGATTATTAAAGTGTGTCAATCTCGGCGACATAACAACAACTTACATCAGGCTTAATTCTTTGATCAATGGTAGGGCCTCTCGAGGAAAAGTAACTCAAATTCTCCACATTCAATACGCTTCCATTAATATTACTAGTTGGATAAATCATCTTGTAATACTCGGTGGAGGCATATGAAGATCCCACTGTGAGAGCGTTTTTAGAAGTGGCTGGATCTCCCATTGTGGAATCATACGAATAATCTCCACTATTTCCAGCTGCATTCACATACAACAATTCATCATAACGATTCAGAACCGAGTCAATGGATCTACTCTGAGTACCATATACGTTGCAGTAGTGGCAACAACGACGACCGACTTGAGCCAAACATGTCGAGTCAGATACTGGTGTTTTAGTACCGCTCGAAGATACCGAATAACATTGGCAATCGTAGGTACACTCGTAAGGACTTGCACAACCCCATGAATTGGAGCTGATACGAGCACCAGACGAGTAGATGCGAGGTAATAGAACATTCAAATCAGAGATGTATAAACCACCAGAGGCTGTTCGTTGAGCATCCACCACATACAATTTGGCATCTTTGGCTACTCCGATTTGATTGGATACAGTCGTTCGAGGGAGATGAGGTTGGATTACCTGCAACGGTACCACACACCTATTCGAAGGGCAGAAGGAATTGGAAATATTTTTTTCGTGTTGGAAACGTTTCAACCATGAGGAGGAAGGATATTAAGGGTCCATCCATTGATTCAACAGTGTTGTGTTGCGCGTAAAGATCGCGATTCAACATGTTGGATTAAGGTTGAATTTAAAGAGGTGGCAAGTATGTTTCACATATCATGTCCAAGTGAATGTTAAAAAATCATAATCCACTTGTTTGAAAAGACCACTTACATGACTTCCATGTCCACCATCGTCTACCGTATTTCCAGCTCCATTCTGTGTATCAATATACACAATTTTACGATTATTCAAATTCAGTTGGGAATAACTCTCTCCATTTCCACTAAAGAAGCAATGATTGACATTCACACCTGTATCAGTTACAGCAACAATTTCACCAGTTCCAGAAATTCCTTTGTTCCAAATGTAACTGTTATCGGTTCCACCTGATTGAACAACTTGATTGGCTCCATAATTGGTAATTTGATAATTCACACCACGAGTAATTAAATCCACACTTTCCAAAGCTTTGAAAGAGTCTAATAATTGTTGACCCATCTGTTCAGAAATGTCTTTAAACATTTCATTCAAATATGTAATTTCAGGAGTGACTTCGGATGCTTGTGTCATAAAGAGTTGTTCCACATCTTCACGTTTTTTAAAGTGTTGAACGAGAGGTGTATTGGCTTGTTCTTGGAATTTACCAGTTTGAATTAAATACCAAATATTAAGATCGAAATTTGCCAATGACACTTGTAATAAATTTGGAGTGGTCTCATCGAATTTCCAATCCAGGTCAAAGTAATTGGAGAGTTGATTGTGGAAGAAATTTCTCATCTCTTCTACATGGACGTTATTGAATTCAAGAGTGGACAAGTCTTGAGGATTTTCTGCATTCTTCTTGAGGTTCAATTCTGTCATGAATTCATTGAATACTCGAGATGTCACAATAGGATTTTGATTTCGCGCGTGTGCATTGGTGAGTGCTTGTATGGCATTTGAAAAAGATATACTATTCAAATGTTGCATCATTCTAGAGTTCAATTGAGTATGGAAAGAAGTTTGAATGGATGGAAGCAGTGTGCTTTTTAAATCATTGATCTCTTCTTCAAACTTGACTTGCAATGTTGCAAATTTCAAAGAATCCAAACTCAAGCTTGAAAAAGTCACTCTCTCATCGGAAGGAACTCTTTTGATCCACTCCACTGTCTTTTGAATGAACTCATTCTTTGCGAGTGAGTTCGACAACAACTCTTGTGAGACACGAGTTGTGAACATTTTGTGACTCTCAACGCTGTCACCCGATCTAAATTGAAAGTCAACACGATAATCTTCTTTTTTAAAAAGACGTGCCAACTGTTCTAAAACATCACTGGTCATGACGACATGATTGAATAATTTAACGTGAACGAACATGGATGACGACGAGGTTTGCAAATTTCCGTTGTTGAGTGGTTTCAGTCTGGCAGCTTTCAACAGACATGGCTCCTCTTGAAGATAGGCCCATTCGGCATGTGAGTAATGCAAAGACAAACCAGTGATAGTAGAACGGTGAGCAACCACACCACGGTGATTTGGCGTTGGATGGTTTTCATTATTTTTTTTTAATGATTGAGATGTGTCAAAACAAACACTGTCCTTTTAATGTTAACTGACGTGAGACAGAGCAAGATCAAAATGTGTGCGAATGTAATCTTCGCCATCGAATGTCAACAAATCAGTCCAATTCAAATCTGTGTCGTATTTGATTGCCGCAAGTAACGACATGATATTTTACATTTGAGAAGCTTTGCATATTTGAGCAATGTCTTGTTACTGCAAACATTCTTCAAGTGAGAATGAGATATGAGAGATGCGAATGAGATCTATGAGCTACTACAGTTTTTTTCTTACTTATGTGATACTTGTTGTTTCCAAAAGTGTTGAAGCTTGAGGATTCTGGCCTGCACAGAATTAAAGCTTTTTGAAATGGAGTTGCTTACTTCTTGTATTGCAGCCTTTACCAATGTCAAATCAGTAATATTAGCAATATCTGAAAATCCGTGTTGCTTTAACGTTACTAATATTTGTCTATCCTCTTCTTGCGTAAAGTTCACAAATTGGCCATCACACAAAACTTCACATTCTTTTTCTGCTCTAAGAATAGCTGGAGGTGGTTGAGGCAGTTCGTCATCGTTTTCGTCTTCTGAAGCAGAGTCTATGGATCCAACATCTTCAAGAGGTTGTGGAATGGATGAATTTTCCGCAGGTTGTTTTTCTATTAGTTGCATCAGGCTATCAGTGAGACCATTCGTAGATGACGATTTCTCATGTTCTAAAATTTCTGTATCTTGCTTTTGAGGTTGAGATTGTGCAGGAGTTGACTCCTTAATGTCAGTCTCAGATACTTCTGATTTCTTTTTCTTTTTCGACGATGATTTCTCTGGTTTCTTTCTTTTACGACTTTCAGAGGGTGCCACAACCTCCTTAGACTCTGAATCTTCGGAGTCAGAGGAGGGGTTATCTCTGTATGTTTGTATCTTACTCAGTTCCTTATAGCTACATGGTAGTTCTTTCTTTGTTAATTTGTTTGTAATTTTAAATAATTCAACATTATCGAATAAATGTGAATAGTTCAAAGATGGTACATCCTTTTTCTTCTTAGATAGAGGGTCATGCTTTCTAGTGCTGTTCTGACTTTCTATTATATTTCTAAATTGTTTAAAGGGGTTCACTTCTATTGGAGGACCTCTTTTCCCGATCATATTTTTGTATCTTACACGGAGTTGTTTCGATGTCTTATTTGGAAACATATCATTCTTAATTTTGTCCCACTTAATTGTACCTCCAGGCTTCCAATGTTTTTTAAGACCCATTATTAATAAATTATCTTCTGGAATTGTAAAAACAACTCGCTTCGATCCAATATTATCCTCTGGAACAGTATTTAGATAATATATACTCTCTTGCACTTCCGCAAGAAGACTTTGGTTATTAAATAATTTGAAGGGGCGTAAAAACTTTACAAATAGATCCCAATCAATTTGATTTGATGACATGACAAAACTGTAATCAAAATTTAGAAAGGTTTCAGCACCATCTAAACCTTCAATATCAAAAATTGTGGTTCCAATCATATGTGCCCATTCCTCGGTACTTCTTTGCACAATAGTGATTGATTCCTTTTTTTTATAATCGTCCTTGAGATCATATTCCTGTCCGTTTGTTAAATCCGTTAATTTGACATCTTTTGAAATTCCAAATCCATAAAGTATTCTTTTTGTCTTGTTCATTATTGCTTCCTTTTTTGTAGCCAAATATTGTTCGATTAATCTTTTGAAACCCACATGTTGTGCGTGAAACCCTTCTCGGGTACTCGTTAAAAAATAGTTATACAATAATAACTGTACATGAAGCTGCAATTGATTTTGTAATTCTTTCATCTGCTCATTGGAAAATAAGCAGTTAGGAGTGACTATGTTTGACAGTACAACAACGCCATCAATGTCACTATGGCTAGAAGCAGCTGAAATAGTGTTGTTGGGAGGAAGAGAAGAGTCAGAAGTAGGTACTGCAACGGTTGTAGATATTTCGGTGAGAGTTTGTGGAAGGGATTGTGGAGAAATTCGTTGAGACGTCGTCGTGGTGCTGTGCTGGTGCTGGTGGTTGGTGGAACAGTGCTCTTCATTGTACCTCTATAAATATCTGGATAAGGGATGATAAATGGGTATGGAAATGTGGAGGTAGTGGTACCATTCTTGTTGGAGATGGCAGTATTAGCAGGATAGAGAGGAGGGCCCAATACAGATGGAATTAATGGGTTAAGATATTGGAAAGGTTGAGACGGAGGAAGTTGAATATTATTTACAACTGAGCTAGTATTCGCGTTGCCATTCGAAGTAGTACTGGATGAACTTGATGCTGCTACTCGTGGCGGACTCTTTGGTCTAATACTTGGTAACACTGAAGGCTTTTCAAATTTTTGATACTTTTTTCGTCCTCTTTTCAAACCTACAGAGTTTGAAGATCCAACCAAAGAATCATCGTCAAATTCATCTTCATTTTCTTCATCTTGCTTAGAGGTTGCATCCTCCATAAAGTCATTCCAATCAATCCAGTCAAAATTTTCCAAATTTTCAACGTCCTCCTCTTCATTAACATCTTGATATTCCTCGTCGTCGTCATCATCCAATTCAATTGAAAAGAGTTGATATAAACCATCCGATCGTAATGGAGAAACGGTAGTACTGTTAGATTCTTGTTCTAAATTCGTGTAAATACTACTCGTATGCGAAGCTTCATTTATTGTGTCGGTAATCGCTCCGTTTGAAGATTGCTCTTCTGAATTGTCATGGTTGGTTCGGGTTGTGTTCAACATGATGATGAAATAGATGTAAATCCGAATCCAAATTTAAAACTGATGATTATTAAAGAAATGCATTAATTCAAATAGATTTGTTGCAGATGGGACCAACGGAATGATTTCCGTTCCAATCTTTTCGTTATTTTTTTTTGACGAATGATCTTTCCGTTTTGGCGCTCTTAGTCCCAAATGTTTGATTTCCAAAATAAAAGGACTTCACAAATAATATTCACATAAAATATATATTTACTTCAAAGAAATTGTTTTTCATGTTTCGCCAATAATTAGTGCCAAATCACAAAATAAAGAAACAAGAATGACATCAATCCCATCCATGGAGATGAGAAATTATGAATGGCAAAAGCATGGTTAACAACTGCTTTTGAATCTGTGAATGTCAAACTGTTTCTTGGTTTGATATCATATCCAGTATCAAACATGGAAGGGAATGAACGAAAATATAACCCACCAATAAGTTGTACATTGCTTGACGTTGCTTCAGCTTTAACACTAAAAACTATTTCCACAGTTTGTGAGTCAATCGATCCCATGGCCGTAATGTTTAGCAAGGATTGAAGAGATGGAACATTTGTAAAGCTGGTATTGACCTTCAAATACTCGAAAATCTTGGTGTTTAGATTATTTCTCAACTCTTGGATAAAAGTCTTATCCCATGAATGATATGGTGAATTGATCTTAATTTGGATGGATGAAATATTGAGAAGTGTGCTGATAGATTCTGAGGTCTTGGCATCAGGGTCTATAAAGTGCAAAGTCAAATCTGTGTTCTTGAGCTCTTCATAAGAAAAGTCCACGTTCGAGCATTGAGTGTCTGTATATGCTAGCACAACAGATCCAGCACTGTTCGATTTGAGGAAGGAGATTGGCAAGCTTTCTCCATTTCCGTTCATACCAGCTCTAAAATCATAAATAGAATTCTTATCAAGGAACGAAGGAGGTGCTAGAGAATTAGCACTGTTAATATATAGTGCAAGATTGCATTGAGAAGCTGCAGCCTTAAGTACAATACCTGACTTTGAGGTTTTTTCCTGCTTCATCGTTTGTTCAATATTTAAGAACAATTGCCCCTTCGATGGATCAAGTGTCATTGTAGTACCTTGGACGTTTCTTCTTGCCTTATTTTGTAAAGAAATAGTGTTCACTACACTTAGCTCTAAATAAATGGTACCACCATCAATAGTGTACACCTTGAATTGAATATAATTTCCACTTTCTTGACAAAGGCTTGCAAGTGATTCGGTCCTTGAGAGTGTGAAAAGACCATTTCCCTGTGGTTCCAATGACCCAGATTTGATCACAGATCCTTTCGAATTCATCAGAAAAATTTCCACTACAACATAAAAGGTTGCAGGTTTGGAAGTAGTAATGTCAATGACACGTAAAAACAAAGTGTCAGATGGTGAGAATGCCATAGGTGTTTCGCATTTGTAAGCATAGTACGCTTTTTCAAAAAACGATCTCAATGTTGCTGTAATTGAAGGTACTCCTGAAATTATCTTATAGTTTGGAACAAATTCAGCAGTTACATCATTTGTTGAGGCTATGGTTAGTGGTAATTTTGTCATTGAAATTGGTATTTTGGTGTTTGATGTGGTCACATTATAGATGGTAATACCATCAGTCGCCGAAGCTGCAAATAACACATCTGGTATCACAGTACCCACTCGAATACTGGCTAGAGAGAATGGAGGTGGGACCACCATGAGATAGGGATTGATAAAAGTGGTTGCATCTCTAACCCCAATATCATACAAGACGAGATTTCTGGCACTGTATGATGACTGAGATGTAATGTCAATCTGTGAATATGAATCAATACGGAAATTCTCTAATGTGAACATGGTGCTCGTTGGCAAAAATTGCACCATAAATGTTCTAATGCCAGTAGAATTAACAGCTGGCCTGGTGAAATTCCAATTGTATGTAATGGTTGTGTTCAAGCTAGCTCCTTCATACGTATACTTTTTACCCTTTGTTTGTTTGAATGAAAAGCGTTCAATACTGCCTTCAAATATCATGACATTGAATTGGCCTCTAATTCGAGCACTTATCATATAATTCGGATACATGGTCTCTGAAGGTGCGTTATTGATTGCGAAACCAAATGGATGATCTTTTTCATAGATGACCTGCTCTTTGAACTCTTCGCCGTCTTTCATGAGTCTGTAATTCAACACTTGCTTAAAATTTAACGTTGTTGCTGTAAAAATTGTAAACTTATTGGAATAAATGAGGTAAGTATAAGCACCATTTTCATAAAACTCTACAGGAGAGCCTGATATTAAATTTGAGGTTAATCGCGTAGAACTTGCAAAGGAAACGAAATAATATGGAAATTGAGGATAAACATTGTATTCAAAGTGAGTTTGTCCATAGTTCAAAGAAATTGGAGCATTTGGAGTTGATGTAAAAGTATAAGTAGGGTCAGTAGCTGAAAATTCGATTGACATGTAGTTACCAGAATAGAGAGTGCCTGATGTTGTGCTTACATATAAACTCACAGTCGTTGTCTCTTTCACTTCATTGTATAAATAACCATCATTTACAACTTCAAAATAGTAGTAAGTGTTTGCTGGTGTATAAATAGTATAAGTACACCCATATTTGCAAATTTTCGACGCGGTTGTTGAATAGCTTGACGAGCGAATGTCCCTGTATTTGAGAAAATAGTAATTGTTATTGACACCCTGTATGGTAACAGTGACCTCTAAACCTCCAACGGTCACACTTGAGTAGGGCAAAGTTGGAATGAGGTTTGGATCTTGTTGTTGTTGTGAAGGAGCATTAACGGCCTTGAATGAAGCACTCTGAACAGCATACGTGTAGGATAGATATGGAATTGGAACATCAGAATATATATCTAATGTTTTGGAATAAGAAAATGCTTTGAGAATCACTGCGAGAGAAAATGAAGTGTGCAACTTGACGAACAATGAGGCACTTTGAGTCGACAATAAACCCTCACCGCTGAGCCCCACTTTTAACGAAGGTTTCACACCTACGGATCCAAGGGCCAAAGAAAACACTGTAACCTCTACGGATGGAACAAGAGCAAGTTGTAGTTCGGCATTGGCACTTAATCGAACACCAGGAGTTGTGGACTCCAATGAATAGCTATTACCAGAATCGATCACGTATGATTTTTCAAGCGATTTTGTAGAGTCATAACCAACACCAATAGTTCTTTGGTATGTAACTGTAAAATCTCGACTATATTCCAGAGTACCTGAAGCTTTGAATGAGGCTTCTACACCTAACTTGAGGGTAAAGCGAATCGGTATAGGAAAACCAAGGACTGGTATAAAAACAGTGTAAGGAGTAGGACTCTTCCAAATCTCTTTCTCAAAGCTATCTTCTCTCTCTCGTGTTACAGAGGCCTTCAACATGGTATACGATTTCCAATTGCCACCAAAAGTAACTTTACCTTGATTCAATGATAAGGACCACCAACTAAAGCTAATATCAACAGATACTTCAGCTCTCAAGGAAGCATAGCAATCTTCACAAACGAGCTGTACTCCATTGATGTTATTGTACAGTACAATGGATGGTTCAATGACTTTAAGTGTTTGTGTGTTTTGATTAAATGACCACATGGACATGTCCTTTGAAAATTGCCAATTCACTGCTCTGCTGAAAGATTGTTGTGCCATCTGAAATGGGGTTGGTGTAGCACAAGATGGAACTGATATTGGTTTGGATTTCATCTTGACGTTGGCATTCAAGAACACTTCGTTGTATTGAAGCCTTCTCACCTCGAATTGGACTCTAATCATGTTTCCAGAACGACGAAGAATTTCTCTTGACATGACCAAATACACCATTGGTGTATCATCATTGTTATTCATACAGCTCCAACCTGACGCTCCAATGACCAAGCGAGTACCAGGAACCCATTTTCTTGCAGAAAAGGTACCATCCGCAAAATCAATAATCACATGAGAGAGTTGTTGGGAAGATGTGAGATCACATTGAACATCCCAAACACCCAATTCGTGGTCAACAGATACAACACCACTCAATACTTGAGCATTCACTTGATAATTAATCATAGATCCATACTTGGCGAAATGTTGTTGATTCCTTGTAGAAACATAGTCCACACCTTCTACCAATACTTTTTCAAGGTTACGTTGTCGTGAAGACTGAGAGGATAGCATTCTCTTGATGTGGCTTTCAGAGTTTCTATATCCAGTGTAGGAAGAGAGACCAAACGGGTCTTTCAACTTGACTGCTTCAGTTCAACATTGTTTTCAAAAGGATGCATGGAAGTAGGTATGAAGGGAAGAGGCTTGTCATCAAATTCCTTCAGGTTGAATACATGGTCCTCATCATGGGCAAGTTTACGGATTTGTTGTTTCGTTCCAAACATTCTACTCGTTGGAAAAGCAGCAAGGTACTTGTCTCTTTCCAAGTGGTGTTGTTGTTGGTCCAAAGTGCATTGAACAACAACAACTACACTCACCAACAATAGTAGTGCTGCAACGAGTGTGAGGCAAAAGACTTTTGTCATGTGTGTTTTTTTTGAATCTCGAATTTTAAGATTCCTGAATTGCCAATTTAAGTGTTATGGAGCAATCACGCCAGCGATGTGTGAGTTGTTGGGAATTCTTTTACATCATACAACGGCGCCTTGTAAAGCTTCATACAACAACAACAAGGTGATGTGTGCTGACAATATTGTTGTACAACCGCTGACAATATACTGTAATTCAAGCTAAGGAACGAGGTTGAAAAGAGAATTTCTAAACTCATTTCCTTTTAAGAGCATGATGTTGAAAAAGCTTGTTGCTTTCATCATTGTTTTTCACAACAAAAAAGTTTGCAATGGTCCAGCTATTAACTCCTCGTTGATTTCTCTCTTGGTATTGGTGATGATCATGTTACCAACTGCATCAATTACCATTCGGACATTACTCTCTGCCTCCAAGACCTCCAATCCCAACCTATGGTCCAATTACAATGGCTTCACCAGCCTATACGGTTTGGCCTTTTCTTGCCAATGGAGTTTATCCAGGTGGAGTTTATGATGTGTTGGGATTTGTGCATATTGTAGATCCCGGTTTAGTGGGTTGGAAGAGTTTGGGTTGGCCCATGGTTCAATAAACATGTCGGTTTTGAAATGCTCTCACTCATTCCAAATGTTGTTTTGATGAGCATTGCTGTTGTAGAGGAGTGAGCATTGAGGTGTCTTGTGTTGTTGAGAGCAAAACCAATGTTGGTTCTTTTGTAGATATTCCTTTTATACTATTGGTCTATATCAAAAAATTCATTGTTATGGATCATTGAATTCAAAGATTAATTCTCTGTCTAATTGGAATTAAACTATTAGCAATTGTCAAACCAACTATTGTGTGTTACAACAACGGTGTTAAACTTGTCTGCTACTTACAAAATATAGCCATTCCTATCAAGAACACTTCAAATATCAAATTGATACCTGTGGTACTGTCTTTAGATAAAAAGGCAGAGAATCCACGCCATGAAAGCGATCCAGGAACAAGCAAAAGTGTAGCCACTGAGTTTATCAGTAGCGGAGGATGCTTGGTGATAAGGGAATAAATATTACTTCCGACACCAGTCTAATAAAGTATTAACACGACTGATATTATTAAACTTTGATAACATACCACTGTTCCAGCCATAACTGTTCCCAGCTCCATGCCAAGAACGTTGCTTGAATAGTAAGCTGTCAAATGTACAGCAAGTGTCACAATTACCAAATAAACATATGTGAAAAAGTATTTTGGAACCTTGGAATCGATAGCAATACCAATGGCAAGAACAATAATTGCCACAATACGCATAGGGAGAGACAACTCAGTTCGTTGAGTACCAGCTTTTTCACTCTCTGCAAATGCAGGAAATGCGCTAACAATACCATTCGTTATTAATAAGCCAAATCCAAGTTTCAATACTGTTGAAAATGCACTAACTAATCTTGATGTCCCAGAAACAAGAGACCTCGCCTGAATTTCATTAATGGCTATCATGATGGTTACTCCAGGGAGATAGTAAAAACTAAGGCATAAGCAAATCAATACCACGCTAACATAGCTCACATCCCATAGAATAAATTTGAAAATAATTCCACAAAGTCCTCCAACCACACTTGCGACAATAACAGAAATATTTGAGAAGAATGCAACACGAGATCCAAATACCATCAAAATACCAATAATTATTCCACCAATAAAACATGTTAATACTTCTCCAATAGTTCCATTCCACAACATTACGTAGAAACCACAGAAAATGAACATATTGAAAACAGTGAACATGGGATGGGAATAAATTGGTGGTTCAGTAATAACCTCACTAATTTTTTGCTGAGCCTGTTCTAATGGTAAAATACCGTCAGATATGTCATGAGCAATTTGGTCTAACTTGATGAGTTTGTTTAAATCTGTGGTTTGGCTTTCAATTTTCACAAAATATGAAACGTTGGAAGGATCTCTCGGCTTGGTTCCAAAACTATACCATATTCCAGTGGGAATACTTGAATAAAATTCGTTAACTACACAAGATACATCCTCCACAGTAGTAACTTACCAAAAGAAATAGCCATCCATACCAAAATATGTCGAAACTAACGTCAAGTGATATTCAACTCGGTTTGAAGGAAGGCCATAAATAGAAAGGGCATAGCCCAAGTCGAGTAATAATGAATGCACTCTATCCTTTTCTTCTCTTGTTAATTTTTGATAGGGGACAGAGTACTTTTTTTCAATTTCAAATTTTCCAGTGACACACCATAGAATTGCTTTTTTAACTTTTTCAATTGTTGTCTGATTTTGTGGTGTGACTTCTTCCTCTTGAGCGTCTGTTGAGCTTCCTTTTTTCGCTCTCTTAAAAAGCCAGTGTTTTACCTTTCTCTTTGTAGAAGGTAACATGGGAATAGGGCTCTTTTCTAAATAAATTGGTTTCTTTGAAAATTCACTCTTTGCTAACCGTTTTTGTTCTGACGATAAATGATTAAATGATGACTGAGAAGCGGTCTGTTCTGAGTAAGAGTAAAGATCAGAAACGGATGATTGTGTTTCCAGAGATTCTAAATCATTAAACGATGATGTTCTAGAAAGAGTTTCTCCAACTAAATTTTTGTGACTTGCTGACTCTAGATCGTCTTCCAACTCGTATGAAATAAAATTAGTGTTACTATTTGCGCTTGATGAAACCTTTGCTGAAGCACCAGCAAATGCACTACTCCCAATTGAAGCAAGAGTTTGAGAAAGATCGAAAACTGGAGTTTTTAAAGGTGGTTCTCGAACTGTAGATGCATTCGTAATGTTCTTTGCAGGAACTACTTTTGTATCTGGAAGTGCACTAAATTTTGAAGGAATTATTACATCATTCCCGTTCACAGAGGTAAAATCCACAACATAATCATCGTCACTATCATCCCGATAATCATCATAAACGTCTTGTAAATTGGTTGCCTGTCCTTTGGGAAGGTCTACCACTTTCATCTCAAAAGGTGAGGTAATTGTTTCAATATATGGTGAATCTGTGTTTTGATTTCCAACATGATAACTTGATAAAATATCTTGAGAACTTTCTTCTTCGAAATTAGCATCTTCATTTGATGATGTTGGCAAGAAATGGTCGTCATTATTTTGCTCTCTTGATGAAATAGAGTTGTCTTTCATCATCGGAATTTGTATTTTAATATTTTCAATGTTTGTTATTCCATGGTCCACTGTAATTTCAATAAATCATTAACTTTGGGTGATGATGATATGGGTGGTTGTGTAGTCTCGGATGTCGTCGTTGTGTTTGTTGTTGACGAAGGTGATTCTTGCGAGCTGTTTTCGCTCATTTTTTGGGTTTGGTATTTATGTCAATTTAGGTAATTTTGGGAGTCAAGTGGCCACCAGCCATGTGCTAAATAGTAGTGCTCATAAAATATTATTATTCAACTACACTTGTGTAGTCCTTGACAACAACATGAAGAAACTTGTTCATCAGGTCCATGAATTGAAATGAACCTTTGTTCCAAGTTCAAACCAAAAAAAATCATGTGGCTTCTTCGGTCTCTTTCGAGTGGTAACAACAACAAACAAGGTGGTGGTGGCACTTCCGTGTCGGTTCAAAACGAAACCACCACCACCACCAACCCGTACACATCAACAACACAATCCTCTCCGTCATCAAACCATTCGACGTCCGAACGTAAATCAAAGAACTCAGTTCTAGAATTTCATGGCTCCGACAAGCAAGAAATAGACACCTTGATGCAAGAACTCTCTTCAAAATCTATGAGTTCACCACTGATTAGGGCTCTCATTTCTCTCTATTCAAAAAACAATGGTTTCATCAATGCCGTAGAACAAGATCAAAAGAGTGACAACAAAAAGCTCGCCCAATTAGAAACTCAATTTGTGGATTTGATGAAAGAGAGAAAAATTCTTTTGAACGCACATCCAGAATTGATGGAACAATATTCTGTGGCTAAATCCACACAAATGAGTACTGAAGAAGACGATGGTGAAGACATGTATGCATACATTCAGAAAAAGAACTTGATTGATCAAGAATTGAAAAAAGTACAGTCACACATCAAGGCATCCAAGACCACCTATTGTCATTACTTTTGTGACGGAGAACTTGAGTTTATGAAGCAAAATATGAATTCCAAAGACACTTGTAAATACTATACCATCACATACAATCCTACCTTTGATCCATTCACATGCCCTGGAGAATTCTTTCATTTTAGACTTGCTGAAACTTTTATTAACAGAGCTTCAGGAAACCAATATACTTTAAGAGAAGTAACCTATGTATGCAATCCTTTTAATTTAAAACGATTTAATGAGAGAAAGAGAGAATTAGCAAAAAAACATGGTTTTTTATTGGACTCGATGAAACCTCTCATTCTTTTTCACGGTAACAGGTGAGTTGTGTGTGATGAGAATACTTGAATGATTCATTCATTGATATGGGTGTATATATGTATCTTGGAATGATCTCTATTTCCATCATTGATATTATAATATCTTGTACAATGTACATATTGATAACCATTTTACTGATGGTTAAAGATTGGAAACCAATTATGATAATATTATGAAAACAAACTTTTCCATGCAGAGAATTGGTTCAAATACTGGTAACTTGGGTTACTATGGAAAAGGAGTGTATTTTAGTAGCTATCCTCAATATAGTATTGGATATGCTGGAAGTAATTGTTTATTAGTTTGCTTGGTATTCACAGGAAAATCATATCCGTTAAAACAAATTGTCATGGGATGTCCAAAAGAACCTGGCTATGATTCACATACAAGTCCTGACGGTTTTTCAGAAGGTAAGGTTTTTCTTGTTGTTGTTTTTTGATTCACACTACTCACACACTTGAACTCGTGTGATGATTGGTCATTTGAAACAGTGGTCATCTTTGATGAAGATCAAATCCTCCCAATTTATAAAGTTAAATTTTAACATATTATTGACTCAACATGGACTGGAGCATTTTCATTCTGTTTTATGCGCTCTTGGTTGTTTCCCAATGAATCTGTCCAAGGTTTGTCGGGATTGTTCATCTAACTAAAGTTCCAAATCCATTCTAAAAAAAAATGCCCATCAACAGGTCAACCGACACCCTTGAAGCGCCGTACAATGATCAACACAGTGTTCTCTATGAGCATCATCTCAAGACCAACAACACTAGCTCACCAAAGACGCTCACTCCAGCATCTCCGTTAGAGGAGGGAGATCAATTGGCAGTTCAGACCATAGTGGAAGAAGAGAAAAAACTTGAAGAAGGCGATTTTTCAAAAACTGGATTTCAAAAGACAAAAAGTCTCTTTAAAATTGCAACGGATATGATGAAACATAGTGAGTGGCAATGGTCGGATTCGATCGGATTGGGTTATTATTTGAATTTTAGAAAAGAAAAAATCGACCGTGATTTTTCTCATGTGATAGATGAAGCCTTTAAATACAATTCCGAAAAGAGATGTTTTGTCAAAAACGATACTGAAATTAGCGTTGAAACAATTGAGCTATGGAAAGAGTATATCACATGTATTAGGCTTCTTTTTAAGGAATACGATAATTTAATGTTGAAAACAACTTTTGAGTATGCGGATGTATTGGAATACGAACCAAAGGGAAATGCCCAAAGAAGTGCATACGCAATTTGTAGAGATACAAAACGAAAAAAACTATTGCTACTGATAGAAGGCACTAAATCTTTCCATGATCTCCTTGCAGATCTCAATGCCGAAGCTTTTGCTTTTAAATGTGATGCATTTTCTCCATCAGAAAATCATTTTGTTCATTCTGGAATGCTGGAACGAGCCTATTGGTTTTATTATCAAATTATTCCAAAGATTGAAAATTATTTGAAAACAGATTTCCCTGATTACTCATTCACCATTGTCGGTCATTCATTGGGTGCTGGAACAGCTGCCATTCTAACATTACTACTTGTGTCCAAGATTCCATCTATTAGTTGTTTGGCATTTGCATGCCCTAAAATTTTCTCGCACGAACTTGCACGATCAGATTTGGTGAAGCGATACATTACAAGTTTTATCAATCAAGATGATTTTGTACCATTATTTTCTGTTGAGAGTTTTAGAGAATTTAAAAATAAGAGAATGACCAATTGGAAATCAGAAGTCATGAATGAGACACAGCTTGGAAAATTTCTAAAAACAACGGATTCGTTATTGGGTCAGAGCGGTGTGTACAATGCTTTTTCTAGCCTAAAAAACGGAATTATGAGTGGATACAATTATATTGTAAACGGGTCAGAGAAAACCAGTCACCAAAAACCTCCAATAATGTCTACTTCTTCTATGACAAAGGAAAAATCCCTACCTCCTTTACCAAAAAACCTTACAAAGAAAAGACTCATTAAGGTGCAGGAATTCAAGGATCAACAAGTTGATGAAGAGGATGAACTCTTCTTTTCGAATCTTGTCAAGCAATACGAAGAAAGTATTTCACAACAAGACTCAGCTGTCGGTGAAGAATCGTGCTCTCAACAATGTACCAACATCAATGATGATGTTGTGACAGATTCCTTTACAGGAATCACTTACGTGACACAAGAAAATTCTATAATGGCTACGGCTGGTTACTCTTCAAGTCCAAATGAGAGCTGTGTTACTGAAGAAGAATCAGAGAGGTATCACACAACGATGGAACTTGTTTCACAATCTAGCCAACAAACGGATCTCGCTGAAGCAATTCCAAACTCACAATCAATGAGCGTGAGCTCAGTTTCAACGGCTACCACCAGCAGAACGCAACAAATTTCGATGAGAGAACTTCCCAAGCTGCCTCAATCCTTCACAACTGGGGTTCACTTGTATTCTCCTGAAAACATCTTTTTATTGAGAACCATCGATTCTAAGGTGTATCTCAAACAATGTAAACCTTCAGAATTTGAGCATCTTGATTTTGTTGGAACGTATGTGGCAGATCATTTTTCTCGAAGCTATATTTCCTCTATTGAAGGTTTACTGCAGAGCACTACCAGAAAATTACCTCCTTTACCTTCAAGCTTGCTCGCCAAAAAGATGATTGCTGACCTTCATCAGTGTGAACCTCAGCAAAATTCATCTGATGCTGACAGCACACAAATATAACAAATTGTAGTTATTCTATTCTTTTACTTCCTCCTTCTTTTGCTTCTTCTTTTTGGGTTTGAATTCTTTTTGCAGTTTTGTTCTAATCTCCACAGCTTTTTCAAAGGTTTCCTTTGTGATTTCAACAAACGGTTGTTTAGTCTCTTTCATGACAGTCTCCAAAACTTTCATGCTGTCATCTGAAGCTCCGGCGTTTCTACGTCGCTCCAATTCCATCTTTTTTTTTTCCTTAGCCACTTTCTTTTTCTTTGGCTTGTTTCCATGATAGCTGTGTGAAAAGTTAATGTATGCTTGCTTTGGTGTTGTGGCTCGACCATACTGATCCAAATGCTCGATTACAAAATCGATATCTTCATTAACCTCAAGTAATTTTGATTTTTCTCTCTCTTCAATGTGAGATTTATCCTTATTTCGGCCAACTCTCTTGTCTTCAAGAAATCCTTGTCGTTTTGCAAATTCGAGTGTTGCAAGCAATCCATCAGATACTAATGGCTCCTTAATAAGCTCTTCTTGAAGATTCGTTGGTGGCTCCTCCTCCTCTTTTTTTACCTCTGTTGTCTGTACAATAGTAGTAGTCTGACTTGCCTCTTCCATTACTTGATCTCCATCAGCGTCTTTTGTTCTTAAGCTTTGACTTTTTCTTTTTCTCTTATTGATAACGGCCTCTTCCTCATTGTCAGCTTTTTCGATTGATATTGTTTTTACAAAATGCTTAGTTGCGTCATACTTTTTCCCATGATTATAATTTAGTATTGAGTCCTCTTCTCTATTTGTTTCAAAATTAGAGCTGAACGATTGATGTAAAACTTTAGATTGCTCATGAGCTTTGTCAATTGCTTCTTGATAGTTCCTATCTTTTTCTCTTTCTTCTAACAAGAGATTTTCTTCTCTCCTTGAAATTTTTCTTTCTGTTCTGCTGGTTGCTTTGCTTTCTTCACCAAGAACTGCTGCGTTCAACTCCATCATTGACAACAAATCAGCTCCGGAAGTAGTGATTGATGCATCTGATAATTTTTCTTTGACTCTGATATTTTTTGCTTTCTTCTTTTTTACAGCCTCAAAATCAGAAGCAATTGTAGGTTTACTAGCGTGTAAATCGTAGACTTTGGTTTTCGATGAGTTTTGAATCATTTCCTCATCCTCATTTGTTTCAAGAATTACTCTTTTTTCTTTTTTTACAACTGTTGGCTTGATGTCTTCTTCGTCATCTTCTCCTTTTATCCTCTTTAATTCTCTTTCTTTTCTTTTTATTTTTGCTAACTCGATCCGTTTATGTACTTCGGAAGTTTCATCTTCTTCATTTTTTGGCTCGATTCCTCTTTCCAATGATGTAGCTGTTTGGTTTGTAGTTACATTGAGAGGTTTCATTCCAAGTTTTTTTCGGAGTTCATTGCTTTCCTCGATGGTCAAGTAAAAGCTCCCATCATTGGCGACATGCATTTTTTTTGATTTTGAATTTTTATTGAACACGCGGTGTTGAGCAAGTGCTATTGTGGATTGGATTACGTAGTAGTGAATTAAGTAGTGCTCTATTCCGAGTAGAGTGTAGATCGAAATTCATTTAGTATTTACAAATGACAGGAACCTCGAATCCAATTTTAGGTTTTTTGTTTGTTGACGAAGCGATAAAATTAGAAGAGCGATTTTAAAGAAAAAAATGAGAATTTTCAAAGTTGACTCGCCATTAGACGCCGAATTAAAGGTCTTAAAAGTATTATCGGATTATGATGCTGATTGTGCAGTGAAATTGGTTGATAGTGCCTATGATGATACAAGTGAATTATTGTGGTTTGCTGTTTCGTCTAGATTTGATGAGTCGTTGAAGATTTTCTTTGTTGATAGCCCCTATGATTGTGATATCAAGATCAAGTTTGTGGATTCTCTTTATGATGTGAGATGGATCAATGAAGATAAGAAGCATCTCTTGAAGAACAATTCTCCAAACGTGTAAACAAATTTTTATTCCTTCAATTTACCAATTTGCCTTGCTTGAATTCTAGTAAAATGTCTTTAACAGTAATCACGCCATCCTTATCTGCATCAATTCTGTCAATTATTTCTCTGATCAAGTCTTCGGATGGTTTTTCTTTGAGAACACTCAATGCATGTCTCAATTCGTCAACTGTGATGACACCATCTTTGTCCTTGTCCAAAAGATTTAATGAATCAGCAATAGATTCATCCACCTTATCGATATCCTTTTCAATTTGTTCAATCAATCTACCAACTCTATTACTGAGCCTACTAACGGATGCAACTGGTTGTTCTTGATCTTGTTTTGTTTGATCAACCAAGTCAATATGGTCAGAAATGAGATCCTCTAATTCCTCTCTTTCAGGTTCAACTGAGCTTCTTGAGGCCAGTGTGGCAAGAATTTCATTGAGAATTCTAATCTTTTCTTCCTTTGCCTTCTTCACTTCCTCCTTTTCGAATTCAGGATCAAGAGATACTTTAGGTTCGGTTACTGTTGTTGGAGCCTCAGTAGCAGTTGATAACGCTTCTCCAGCAGCTGCCAAAGTAGCAACAGCCACAATCTCCTCTTTCAATGCTACCTTCTTCTTTTCTTCCTCTTCTGTCTTGATTAGCTTTTCATTTCGTTTCAATGAAGCAAGTTTCTTTTCATAATCTTGGGTTGATGATGTGTGAAGTCCAACTTCCTCGACAACTTCATCAGAGAGTGAGCCAAGTGCCATCTTAATAGCTTCCTCGCTTTGGAGCTTGTCATTAAAAACAAATGCTCGTGAAATAATCAATAGAGATGATGGAATATTCTTATCAAAAGATAATTCGATCCATTCTCTCAGTTGTTTCTGTAACTCCTTCTTAGAGACTCCAATTTTCATGCCTCTTTCCTTGCAGGCATACATAAGTTCTTCAGTAGACAGAGAGTTTACGCCTTCCCAATAAATTAATCGATCATCAGCCTTAATTCTTCTCAGTTTTGATCTCAGCCTGTATCTCAAAATTGCATCTGATCCGTAGGGTGTTATTCCCATGTATTTACACATTGCAACTAACTGAGCTCTGGACATATGATCCAATGTAATTTCGTCTTTAAACAATTTGGCGAATTTAACAATGTCGTCATTCGAGCAACTTTCTCCGTTTCTAATCTTTTGAATAAAATTGTGTAATTCCTCTGATTGTTCAACAGTCTCGACTGACTCGCTAGCCCTCAAATCTTGAACCATCAATTCAACAGTATCTTGTAAGAATTTGGCCAATTCAACTTTAGCCTTAACTTCTTTCAATAGTTTTTCCTTCTTCTTTAGACCATCTTCAAATTGAGATGGTAACATGTTTGGGAATAGTTTTAAAAGTATAGGAAGTGTGAATTCCATGAATGGAACTGCAACAATTATTACGAATGGAACCAAACGGAAAATGTCCGACACGGTTCTCAGCAACTGATTTCTCTCTCTTCTGGATAAAGCATTTCCTCTCAAAACCTTCGTCGTTAAAGAAAAGGCGTACTTGATATCGCTCACTAATAATTTACTTCCTGCTACGTAATGTTTGAACTCTGAAACTGTCACTTCCTTTGCACGAGCATACCAATCTTTTACTACTGATGGTCTTAGTATTAGAGTTTTCAAAGTGTTGAATGTAAATACCGTGACTTTCCAGCTGAAAGAAGGAATAGCCTTCACTATTGCAACAGATTTATCTTTTACCATATTCATCATGCTATTTGCGTTCATTGGAGTTAAAAGAGAAGTTGCTGTTGATGACTTTCTCATTCTTTCTTCGATAATTTTCTTGGCCTCTTTAATTCTTTGATTTTGATCCGGAGCAGTTTCTTCAGAAGTAGGAGGAGAAGAAGGGTTTGAAGATGCATCGTGGAATTTCATCGAAGTATGATACGAGGCAATTTTGTTACTCCACAAGCAAAATGTGTTGTTATTATTTGTCTTGATGAAATTATTGCCAAAACAATTTCTGTCCAAACGAATGCAAATCAGCGAAATGAAATCTCCTTGATAAGCAATAATATTATCACAACATTAATATACATACCCTCGTTGTTGATAGGAGAGTGATGAAGAAAGCACATTATTCGGAGAAGATTGAGTATCTAAACACCTGGTACCATAACACATGGCCGATGATGTCGAATACATGTTTCTATATTGGGAATTGCTCACCATACTGCTGCTACCACTAATCCCTCCACATCTCGATGACGTAATACCAAGCCATTTCGAAAGTACCGCTGGCTTTCCCGATGAGGTTACAAATCGTTGGGTGCAGCTTTTCATTTTTTACAATCAAAAGTTGTCCTGGTTCTTTTTTTGATTGGCTTTGTGATGATGGCTGAGCAAAGAAATGTGCTTGGTTGGAGAGGTGATGAAAGCGTAACGTTTTTAAAGGCGTCAAATACAGTTTTGTAGTGGAGTTTTAATACTGCTTGATATTAGATGAGGGAAAAATGATTGGAAATAACCACCCACATGTCCATTCATGTCCAAGAAAATGATAAGCACCTTTATCCACCTTGCATCTCTCTTCATTAAAGTACTCGATGCCATTAGCTTTGTGTTGACACTTGCTCCAACCTCGCTGTTGGGTTTCTGGCTCGGTATTTTTCCTTGATTTTACCCCAAACGAACTCGATGACGTTGAACAATATTCTTTTATGTCTATTTCTGTAATCATATACATAGTAAAGCAAACATCCAATAACAAGAGCTCCTCCAATAATGTTGCCTATGGTAGAAGGAAGAAGGTTTCCAATGAAAAAATCGTAAAGAGACACATTTGCTCCGTACTGTGATTGATATCAAATCACAATGTTAACAACCTCAATTAAGAATAACATTCACTTACCAACATGCCTAAAGGAATGAAAAAAGCATTTGCTACACAATGCTCATATCCACTGGCCACAAAAGTCATAATTGGAAACCAAATTCCAAGGATCTTTCCCTCCATAGTTGTTGCAGCCTGTGAATTATAGACAGCCATCGTGACCAATATGTTACAAACAATTCCAGAGGCCAAACAAGCTCCAAATGATCTTGAGGTTTTAGCTACTGCTAAATTTTTAATATATTCAATCCAATAAGCAGTACAGCATGGTTGGCTAAGATAAACAAAGAAATAAGCCATCAAAAAGGCCCCTAACATGTTAAACACATAACTCACGAATAAATTCTTTGAGAATTGGGTAAATTGAATGAAGAATTTTTTAGATCGCCATTTCCTTGAAAACAATCCTACCAATAGCACGAGTACATTTGCAGTAAAAAGTTCAGCACCAGTTGCTGAAATTAAAACCAAACCAATGGGAAATACACTAATCATGTTTCAAGAAATTATTACGCACACAGTAATGTCAACATAATTTAAAATAATTTCTGAAACTATCATTTCACAACTTACGCTCCAAAGAAGAATTTTTGTAATCCAGGATTTTCCTCTTCCAGGCTTCGAGAATTTCCAGCAGTGAGCAATGACAAGGTACATCCTTAATGATCAGATTTTTGTTCATTTTAACTGTGACCAATAATTGCATCAACACTTACCAATTCCTTTGAAAATACCTGCAAACAAGGAAAGAATAATCAATTGATCCACAGTGAGCTTTGACTTTCGAACACCCTCTGATTTCATCTTTTCCATCACTTGGAAAGGAGTATTAAATAATACTATGGATGGAAAATGAGTGGTCTGTTGTGGTTGTGTGGTTGTTGGAATTGTTGAAGATGGTTGTTTCTCATTCAGTAAGGGATTCTTCTTTTCATCACGAGAGCTGCTTTCAGAGTTAGTAAAATGATGATAATGATGATGAATAAAGTGTTGTTGATGTTCTGATTGTGTGGTCGACGATGGCAGAGTTGAAAATTGAATGGACTTGTCAGCAATCACATGGTGAAGAATTGAGGGTGGTTTGTAATGAATATCCAAGTGTTGGTCATCTTCGAGAATGATTTCGTCATCTTCCTTCCTCGTTGTTGCTTCTACATTTCGATCCGAGTTATTTTGTGTATTGTCGTTAGAAGCATTGATGACTGAAACATTGGCATTCGTTGCGGTCGAGTTCATGAACTGTTGTTCCTCAACCGGTTGAGCAACAGTTTCCTGAAGTTCAACATCTCGTGAATCTTTGTTTGCTAACAAAGGATTCTGACTTGAAGAATGTTTGTCATGTGGGTGCATGTTAAGTATTTTTTTTGAGTTTAAAGATTTTTGAATTTCGGGGTAACGATTTTGGTATATTTATTATTTTCGGACTTGTTGAACCCGAGAACTTGGAGAAATAAGACTTTCCTGCTTGCATACGTATACCACAAAAACACTGCATCAGATCATCCACACGGAGAGCAAACAGTTATTGGATGGATCTAGGAATAAATTGGGGAAATTACTGTTTCAACAAGGTCATTCGTTCTTCCATTGATACCAATGTAGACTTGTGCACAGGAATTTGCACAAGCAGTGGCAGCAGAGCTCTTTTCAATCCAACAGTTCCTGATTCCTGCCAAATGTCAAGACTCGCAAATTTGTCTTTCTTTTTTCTGTCAAAACCTCGTCTTCTGTCTTTTGGTTTTTCGAGTTCCCAATTTCACTGCCGTCCATCAATAACACTTGTCAAAGGCTTTAATTATGACGGTTGGATGATGATTTTTTGCCAACAACAACACTTTCGAAAAAAATCGTTGCATTATCCCTCTCCCCAAATTTCACTGGCATTACGAGAGAGAGACTTGTCCGAGAGTGAGCGAGAAGAGCGTGGTACCATTATTGTCCTCTCTTTTTAGAAGTAATTCGTATTGTGCTGTTGTTGTTTTTCATCATCAACACACGACCATCACCGTAAATTCAAAAAGAGCGATTTCTCTCTTATTTATTATTATCATCATCATCAATTTATATATTGTACAATCATTTATTTATTATCCAAACAAAACACATACAAAATGGGCTTCTTCGGCGGTAGTACCAAAAAGAAAGATAACAAATCAAACTATGATAGTGATGCTATCAAAGTTGAAATCTCAGCACCAACCGACTTCAAAAGAGGAGTGCATATTGAAGTAGATCTAAACCAAGGAACATTGAAAGGTGTACCATCTGCATGGAAAGATACATTTGGAGATAGTGCTCAATATGAAGAAGATGTTTCTCAAGTCAACCCAAACCTTCTCCCTTCCATCAGTACATCATCATCAGAGGAAAAAGTACAAGGACTAGTCATTTCAAAGCCATTCGAGTTCAAACACAACATCCATGTTGACTACAACAGCGAGGTATGTCATTTGTGATCACACTGTTTGTTCAAAAAGCTAATCATTGGTTGATAATTATTTAACACTATACTGACACCTTTTGCACGCATTACTCTATGGTCGTCACGCCACCATCAACAATAACAGACTGGTTTTGTTGGTCTCCCTCCAGAATGGGAATCCATGTTGAAATCATCAGGTATTACGAAGAACGAAGCTATGGAAAACCAAGAAGCAGTATTAGGTATTTTGGACTTGGCAACAAACAACATGCAAAGACCTGATGAAACAGCAGCCAAACAAAAACCAATTGGTGGAAAGAAGCGCCTTGTTGACTACCTTCAAAACGAAGATCCAACAAAAGTGTTTGGTAAACTTCAAAGACTTGACGAAGGTTCTTCAGGAGTTGTTTATAAAGGCATTCATAACAAGACAGGAATGAAGGTTGCTATCAAGATTATTCAAATCAAAGCAGATACAAAATTAGAAACATTGGAGAATGAAATTGCTATGATGCACTCGTGTCAACATGAAAACATTGTAAAGTACGTGGGAGCCTACTCTCACAACCAAGATCTTTGGATTGTCATGGAAATGATGAGTGGTGGTAAATTGACTGATTTACTCTTGAATACTCAATTTACTGAACCAGAGATTGCAGCTGTTTGTAAAGAAACTTTGAAATCTCTCAAATACCTTCATGACAATCAAAGAATTCACCGTGACATCAAATCAGATAACATTCTTTTAGGTGAGGGTGGTGAAGTTAAATTAGCTGACTTTGGCTTTTGTGCTGAACTTTCCCAAACATCAGACAAGAGACGATCTGTTGTCGGAACTCCATATTGGATGGCTGTAAGTAATTGTTTTTGTTTCATTGACAACAATCAACATTATTTTAGCCTGTAAGTAATTGATGTTTAATGTTTTTTACAAGATGACACGTTCAACATGTTCATAGGAAGTTATTCGTGGTGTAGATTATGACACAAAGGTTGATATTTGGTCATTAGGTATTATGGCCCTTGAAATGGCCGACGGTGAGCCACCATTGCTTGACTTACCACCATTGAGAGCTTTGTTTATTATTGCAACTCAACCTCCTCCAACCTTGAGAGAACCTGAGAAGTGGTCCAACACCTTTAAAGATTTCTTAGCTTGTGCTCTCGCAAAGAATCCACAAAAGAGAGCCTCAGCTGATGAACTTTTAGCCCACCCATTCATTCAGAAAGCATGTGACACAAAATTCCTAGTTGAACTGATTAAGAAGTACAGATTAAAGAAGTAAAGAGGTCTTGCAAGAGTTGTATTGTTACATTGAGATTTATACTGTATAAATTGTACATCCAAATTTTGACTATCTTTTGTTTCTTATACCGATCAATACAAGGCATGTGGCCAATTGCATCACTGCTTGATGGAATGAAATCTGAGTGATGAATCATGAAGATGGACCGATGTGGATGGATTGAACTTGTATCAATGATCTTACTAGGTTTGAGAATTAAGGATGACGTCTACTTTTCGTCGCAAGTTGCTTATGGAGAAGTTGAAAAAAATGAGCAAAGCAATTGTTGTGGATGAGGAGAACGATTTTTCGGAGTGGATGGAGAGGTGTGAAACGGACTTGTCAACAAAACTGTCGGAAGTACACAACGTGATACAAGATCTTTCATCCTCTCATAAGTCTTCTAAAAAGAGTAATTTCTGCACGATTCATAAGAATTGTCTTATTTTACGACCAATTTCGATTGACGGAAAAGAATTTAATGACGCTTGTGCACAAGAAACGAATCTCAAGGAGCAAGCAGACGTATTTGACGAAGACACTAACTATCAATCAGTACTTGAACAAAAACTTGACAAATTTATATCTCTGTGGCAAGAACTTATTCACCTCTTCAACAAACAGCCATTGAATTTTTTAAAAACTCACGGAATTACATCAACGTTGCTTAAAGAACAAACATTTGGCCTCCTCACTACGATACATGGCCATATAATGGACTATTCCCAGAAAATTCATCGAACCTATCAATCCCTTCCGTTTGCTGTAAATTTGATTCCGTATTATTTAACCTGGATTGAATTGTCATCGGATTTTAGACCTCAATTTGAAAATCAATTTAAAGAATTTCTACAGGTGTGGAGATCAAGATACAAAGAAATATTGAACCACTTACAAAACACTCCTACTGAAATGTATTTATTTGAGCATTATTATAGCACATCTGTAATTGACCATCTGAAACAGTCCAAGGTAGGCTACGACCGAGACATTTTATCCAAACTTGAATCATGTTTAAATTTGAATTTTCAAACCCTAAAACAACTGTCAGCTGAGAAATTAAAATAACATCACAATATTGATGACTATCCTACGAGTTTACTTGTCTGCACTTTGCTTGTTTTTCTGAGCCAATTCTTTTTTGAGGGCTTCCTTTTCTTCTTCCTCCCAATCGTATTCTTGCTTTTTGCGTTTGCTTTGATTTGGATCTTCTTGTTTTGTTTGATCTGTGACAGCCATGATACTTTGTATGACCCAATAATGTTCACACATTTAAGAAATTGTTAAATTATTTTTAAATAGTTCAAACAATGAATTCGCCACATACAATCTTCGTGCAGTGTCTCCTAGTTCTGAATCCTCAAGCTTTGCAAAATTTCTCAGACAGTATGGAATAGTTGAGGCTGAACCTAAATAAACGCCTCCAATAAAGAATACTGTTGAAGAAAGAACAGCATATAAATTATCAAAATTGAAATTTCTGTGTGAACGTACATGATACGACAGCAATTCTAGCACTGGGTTTTTGTGGTTTTTGATACTTTTTGACTGTGTGGTTTTGCAATGTATGAATCGTATTCGGAATGGCTTGTACACCTACCAATAAATCCTAATAATCCTCCTGCTGTTACTCCTCCAATCAATCCTCTAATTCCGGCTGTCCAAAAGCAATCATTCAGCACTGATTTTTCTCTCTTCGTCAAGATGTGATCACCCACTCGGTCAATCATTTTTTTTGAAACAAATTTTTATTATTTCCGTTCCATTCCACCTCTCTCAACAGAAACACACTAGCACTCCAAATCAGAGTCCCCAAATGTGGTCTCTTAGGTCGTTATTGATACAAGAGATATTAATAAACGTTCACTATTTATTTTAATTATTTCAATTTAGAGCATTATCAATTCTGTCAAGCACTTCGCTTAACAAAAACAAATCTAACTCATGGCTGGTTTGCTCTTTGATTTTGAGTTGTTCTTTTTGCTTGTTTTCAACTCTTCAAGTGCTTCAATTTCTTCTGGAGTAAATTCATTCTCAAATTCATCTAAAAGATCTTCATAATCAATGTCATCATCCTCCATATCTTGTTTGGAGCTTCATCTTGTTCCTTAATTAGAATCTCAAGTGCTTGTTTCTTTTCTCTTAATTTTCTTAAAATTTTATCCTCCATTTTCGAAACAATTTCTGTGTCCATGATACCTGTCACGTTAGGTTCTCCATCCCTCAACAATAAAAAGTAGTAGAGATTGAGAGCTCGCAAAATTACTTGAATGTTATCTCCTTCAAAAGGTTTTTCTACATACTTCTCTAGAAGCTCAATAATGAGATTGGGAACTTTGTGTGGAACAAGAAATGCTTTCGAGTCTTTTGCATGTAATCGTATGAGGTTCATGATTTTTTGATCATAATTCAATTTAGGAGCATTGGTTGGAACAAATTGAGAAAAGTAGTTCTCCGTATTGTTTTCTGATTTTTTCTTAAGAAATTCGTTAACTTCTTCTAATTTGGGAGGTTGCGATGGTTTGTAGGTATTCTGTTGTTTCACTCTTTCTAAATTCTCTGTTCCAATAAGTTGAAATAGAGCATTATATTCTAAAATAATTTCTTCTTTCATTCTGTCAAGAACAACTGCCACCATATAAGGATACGGGCATTTGTTCAGTATATGATAAAGTAGGTTGAATCGATCTTCATCCTCAAATCTTGAAATAAAGCTTTGGAATATGTTGTATGCAAATGTACGCAATTTGTTGTCTGGACACATGGTAATGAAGGAAACTAATGATTGAGATAAATCAAAATAGGATGCCATATCATATTCATGAACATGATCTTTCATGAACAACGACCCCTTTTTCTTAACATGATGTTCAAATAAGTACTGTAAAATGTAGAGTCCAGTCCGACCAAATGACGCTATTCCGCTCTGTAGCATTAACTCTACATAGTACTTCGTCATGATAAATAAATACAAGTCAGACGATATTAAAATACCATAATATTTCCTTTCTAGCTTTTTCACAAAAAGTAGATAGAGAAATATAGCAATACCTCGAGGGTCCCATGGAATAAAATTTTTAAGATCTTCATTGTCATCTTCGTGATGTGAAATTTCGTCATCATCGCTTTCGGAGTGGTCTTCTTGTGATGCTTTGTTAGCCTCTGACCATGTTTTAAACCGTGTAAAATATTCTAATATTTCATTGAGAGTTTTTTTACATGAAGAAATGGTTTTCATAATTGTATCAATCTGTCCATTGTTCGAACAAACGTCTATTAATTGATCATTGGAATAAATTTTAGCAAGAAATGAGAAACATGCTTGCATGATGCAATCTGACTCTCGTCTCAAATAAATCTTATTTGAAAATGATTCATAATTTACGTTGTGAAATAGATATTTAGAGAGGGTAAAAACAGAGTCAATGAGTGTTGAAGAGTATTCCAAAAACAATCTATCAGATTTTTGCTTTCTTTGTAGCTCTTGAGACATTTGTTCTTCCATTCCGAACGCCTCGTTTTGAATACATTCAACTCTTATACTACATGCTCTTGATAGAACGACGTCTATAAATTTGATAAATTGCCATCTCTTTTCATTTTCTGTAAACCTTGAGAGATTGTTAAAGAAATATTGTAGTAAAAGTAATTGGTGATCCAATAATTGTCGGTTTTGTGGGTCAAGCCCATAATTATGAATGTCCAATAGAGCGTTTTGACTGACGTCACTAGTATTTAGTTCAACTTCCACCATATTTGATGTGATACTTTCCATCAACAAAGAGTGAATCTCTTTAGGAGAGGAGTGTTCACAAATCAACGATATTAATTTTAATACCTTGTTCAATAACTCGGGATTTGTTCCAATCTTGCGTAGGGAAATGCTGAAGTGTACCACTGGAGCAAAAATCTCAAAGCAAAATTGATAGATAATTAAGAACAGTGACGGGTTTTGTAGAAGTGCATCAACAAGCTTTTCAATATTGTCAAATTCCGAGCAAGAAACTAAATTAGGAATTAATACGTCGAGAATAATTTGTTCAATTTCTTGTCTTGTTTCCTCGTTAAAAAGCAAGGTAGATAATTTTCTACATTCTTCTTCTAACGAATGGTGTTGATCATCATGTGAGTGATGATCACCACAAGAGCACGGCTGGCCATGATGTTGAAGCATTTTTTGCAGAAGCTTGACCTTGGGAGAAGGAATAATCTCTCAACGTTGGAAAATAGATCATCGACCCGAACCCGCCCTCAGCATACAAAAACTTTGCACAAAAAATACGATAACAACAAATGAGCGGTTCCGTTGTAAAGGATCATGATTTTGAGGTTTGTATTCCGAAGATAATTGGAACTGGATGTACGACCAATAGTAGTCATCTGTGGCTATTGATGATTCAAAAATTAAATTAATTATTCGAGAAAATGTATTAATGGTATTAAAGGACGCTCAGTATCACGCACAAAAAGTAGATACGTGGACCTCGACGATTCTTGAAGGTATCCTTAAGGGCCTACAAAATAATCAAGAAGCTATGCTAATGCCAGATAGTAACGGAAAAGTAAATGGAAAACCATATAAATACGTAGTATCATGTATAATAATGCAAAGAACGGGTGCAGGTCTACACTCGTCATGTGTAGCTCATTGGGAGGGTCAATCCACAGATCAAATGATTTCTGAATATTGGAATAACGATACAGTTCATTGTGTTGTTTCAGTTTTTGCAGTAAAATGTTAAAAAGTATTGTAACAGAAGTTATCGTGTGTGATAACGAGGTTTATGGTTGGAAGATCTAATTCGCCTCTTTTTGGAAATGATAAATAAAGTCTATGATACATCCAACTGAGACTATGAATTAGCAAGAACAAGATCAGTCGATATCTTATAATCTGCATGTTTGGCGAAAATCCTGTCAATGAACTAAATATAACTTTTATTTTGAAATTAACGTAAAATGTGAGCAAAACTTTAAATTACAGCTGAACAGGCTTTCTATCATCTTCCTCAATTTCTATGTCATCTTTTTTAGGCTCAGACATCTTTGGAAGTGGCGTTTTGTTGACTTGCGGCAGTTTCTCTTGCAGCATGACAGCCTCTAATTCGTTTAAATCCTCTTCAACACTATGAATGTCATCAGGTGTAAGACTCTCACTTATAATTCGGCTTATTTCTTCCTGATATTGAATTGCTTCTCGGCTTTCTTCCATCAATTTTTCAATATCTTCAATAGATCCCATTTCCTTTTGTAAAATCTCAAGAGCTTGCTTTCCTTGTTTCAGTCCATCGAACACTTGTTTTTCAATTTGAGCAAATTCTAATTGATCCACCATATTTTGAAGATTTTCAAGTTGTTTTTGGGTCTTATCTAGTAGACTTTCTTGATACTTTTTCTTCTTCAAGGCCAGGAGAGCCTTTTCCTTCTTTCCTTCTTTTAATAGAGTTTTTGCAACATCTCTTTCTTTTTCAATGACAGAAGATAATTTCTTTTGGTAAACTTTGACCTTGTCACGATGTGATTTCAATTCAAGGACTGCCTTGTCGTGTTCATTAACTTTTGATTCTTGTTTTTTAAATAATGAAAATAGAGCACCCATAATGTTTGAAAATGACTGCGAAGAATGTGTTCGAGATTGAACGGTTGGAGACGGTTTATGATGATGAAGCAAGAAGGAGAACTTTTTGAAAAATCAGCAGTTTCTTTCTGATCAATAACTTCCCAATCTTCCGATATGGAGGTGGTTATGGAAGCCAAAGAGGAATTTGAATTTGGAAGAAGAGGTGAGTGATTCACTTTTGATGATGAGTTGTGGCCGAAAGCCTGATGAGATTATGAATTCGGCTGCTGATGATTGTTTTTACAATTTTTTGCTAATTTTTCGTTTGCAAACGGATAAAAAATGAAAAAGAATTTCGTTTTACCTTACAAATTGCTTCCGATAGGAAGAGTAGAGTTGTTGGGTTGGATCAACTCTCTATTGGAGACTAATTATTCGAAAATTGAGGATTGCAGTGATGGTATTGCCTACTATTTGTTATTTAATGCTTGTTTTCCTCAACACTTTCCGTTGACAAAAATCAATTTCAATGCAATCTATCCTTTAGAAAAAAAAGGCAATTTAGATAAACTTCAAAAGCTTCTTGCGGAGCTCAAAATACCTTATTCAATGGCAACAGATAAAATTGCAAACGGAAAATTACAAGATAATATTGAGTTTTTACAATGGATTTATACTTTTATTGCTAAAAACTTTGAGAGAGTAGCAACCGAAGGTTTATACGAACGAAGAGAGAGGGTTGTTATCCACTTTGGACGAAAGAATCATATTGTTCCTCCCATAGAGTTCATCAAGAACGAGGAAATAAGGAAAAAGTTATTCCCAAAATTAAGCCTTCCAAACAACTCTTTGCTTCATTTTGAAGACAATGAGTTTTCTCAGGCTCAAGCTGAGCTATTACTGAACAATTATGAGGACATTGAACATTTTTCGGAACAACTTGAAAGAGAAATAAGAGATAAAGTTCAAAGAAATGAAAACAATTACATAGTGATCCAACAATTATTGGGAGAGAGAAGCATTCTTTTCGAAAAATTATTGATAGTGGAGGTAAGTAAAGAAGTACTTTCCATAGGTCACAACCATTGACTGGCTTGAAATAGAGTGTCTGCACCATCAGATCTTCAGATATAGATGAAAACACAAAGGCAGCTCTTGATTTTTTGATACGGATACTAAGAGCTAAAATGTAGATTTTACTTTGTTGAATTCGTGGTGTAGAGATAGATAGTCTTATTTAAGGCTATTTCGCTTTGGTATCAAAATTGGGCGAGCTCTTTCGTGTAAAGTCTAGTGGATTTTAGTGAGCCACCCTTCTTGCCCAATACCTGTAGAAAAGAAATTGACTAGTAGCATTAGAGTGAAGGAAATGCAAGTAAAACCAAAATCAGTTAATCTTGTCACGTCCATTTGTGCATTAAGATATTTTGTATCTTTTTCATGGTCAACATCAATTGAGTGCTCTGCCACTTCCTCTCCAATTTGTTTAGTGGCAATTAAATGTTGCAAACTAAATCGAATTTTGTGAATATTTTTCTTGTTGAAATAATAACGGCCGCTATTGAGTATATTGTCAATAATTAATGAAGTAAACTTTTGAAAACATACATTTCCATGAACACATAAATTTGGAAAGACACTCCCCACACATACCACGAAAATAAATTATCTTATCCCATTTCATTAGAATTGTCAATACGAGTCACTACAACTACTTACTCATAGAATCTTTCTCGTAAATCAAGGAAGGATCTAGTTGAAGAAGAATAGCACCTGCAATAATTTGAATAATTCCATCAAAAAAGATCATAAATTGAGGAGCTCTAGAAGAATAATAGTGCAATAATATTCCCAAGCTAGAACCAACAGTTACTTGAGCAATCGTGTGATATCCAAGAACCACTCTCTCCAAACAAATCAACGGAATAACAATGATACCAAAGGCTCTGGCAATCCAACCATGATAAGGGGCAATGTCAAAAAGAAAAACTCCGAAAATGGCTCCTGACATGGCATCTCCCGAGGGCATACCATATCTACTCCCAAAATGAAGAAATGACTTTCCTCCGTCTGTGGTGCAGCTGCAAGGTCTCATTTGTCTAAAAACTGCATAGAGAGCTACATCCAGAACAAGAGTGTAACAAACTCGATGCAAGACTATAACATGAATGTTATCATAAAGTCATATGATTGGTGATGGAATGAATTTGGTGTGAAAAAATCTTCTGCATAATTACTCACAGTTCAAAATAACAATTTTGTTGTGTAAAAACTTGGAAAGAACATGTTGGACAACACCGGATTCTCTTCTGATTGAAGCAAATTGTAAAACAGGAAGAATAATGAGGAAAAACACAGCACTGATAGCCAACGTTCTGGGGTTGATCCACTGAACAGCAAAGTTGGCCAACATTGTCAAAAAGTTTGATGGCACTTGCCGATGACATCTGCATATTGAGTTAGCGAACAATATTAGCTGTATGAATGATTCATGATGATGATGATACACTACTTATTAATAAAACTAGAATCCAATTCATTTATGCAATAGCTCTTCACTCCAAGATCGGATGATGAGGAGGTAGCTCCCACAGCATGAATGCAAAAAATCAAAGCAAGAGATGCCAGCAGCACAACTTTCATTTTTTTCATTAACTCCTGAGTTCGTTCATGACCTATACGAACGATAATTTCGAAAGACATTGGCTGCCAGTTAACGCCTTCTTGTGCAACGGGCTGTTTGAAGATTTTACAACTGAAGGGAGCGTGCTTGAAAAAATGTCTCAAAAACAAAAAGAACGAAAAGAACAGCCTCAAATAGAGGGAAATGCTTATTTGCAGGAACGATCTATGCAGCAAGGGTTAGATTGGAGCTTGGATCCAATGGATTCTATTGATGAGCTTTTCAGAGATTTCGAGAGAGGAACCAATAAGGAGTGCAGCAGTGCTTCAACCGTTGATCCTGAGCCTAACAAACATTTTAATCAATTTAGCACAAAAGCTCCAAGGAAGGCTTTGAAGGCTCCGAGAAAAGCGATAAAAGTTCCTCAAACCTCCCCTCCAAAGACTAAAAAGCCTAGAAGGTGGAAAAAGGGTACTGTTGCTTTGAGAGAAATTAAAAAGTATCAACGAAGTACTGAACTATTAATTCCAAAGGCAAATTTTGTGAGAATAGTTCGAGATATAGCAAATAGAGGTAGAGAGGATAGTCCCTTTCGCTTCTCGGCTGATGCATTGTTAGCTTTGCAAGAAGTAGCAGAGCATTATCTGGTCAACTTGTTCGAAAATGCGTATCTTTGTTGTAAGTATTATCGTTGTCATCTTGAAAACTCTATCAACCTACAAGCACTCCACGCGGGACGAGTAACTCTAATGACAAAGGACATTGAATTGATAAAAAGAATTATGGAATTGAATTGATCAATATGACTAATGTTCTCTACAATGATTATATTATCATACAGTTTTTGATTGTAAATTTACATGTCCAAATATTAAATTTTGGTTTCTCGTTTTATGCACTCCATCAACGTGTTGATTTCTTTCGAACACAAATCTTGTCTCAGTCGCGTAATATTCTTGTGAATACAAAGGGCGTAGCTTTTTGCCTCGCTTGGACAATGTCTATAGCTTTTCGCCAGCAATCCCGACGTGCTCTGTTTGCTTATCTCCAGGTATGTTGTTTTTGTGAATTCGGATTGTTGCATTTTTTTGTTTGAAAAGATTAATCTTGGAAATTCACAATTCGGAAAGTTTAAAATATGTATTTTAACTGGAAAATTATTCGTTTTTGGAAAAGCACAACCAATAGTTAAAAATAGTTTATTGGAATGAATGGACATGCATCATTTTCGACTTGTTTCCCAATGAATTGCGATTATTCCTCTTAGAAGAGTAGAAATAGGTTCTCCTATTGCTGCTCCTGTTGAATTAAGAACTGATATTGTCTAAACATTCTATGAACTGTGTTGAACTTTTGCGAAGGAGACATGAGTGTTGAATTCACTGAAAATACACATGTAGAATACTAGTAAATGAATCATTTTCATAATTAACTTCACTTACCTTCGTTTAAGTCGCTTGTAAAATCACTTGCCGTCCTTGGATGTTCGATGAGTGTGGAAAAACGGTTGGCTAAAAATTTAACTCTAGAAGCATACAAATAGATGGTACCATAATCAGTGAGAGTTAATCTTGGCAGTCCAATGTTTCTGTTAAGAATTTTCTCAATAAGCAACATTTGTCTAATCATTGGCTCGGTAATGTTTGAATAATCGGTCTTTCTCTTAAAGTTAGTGATTTGATAATAGAGGAAAGAAAAAAGTAACACTCCTGGAACAGCAGCAATTAATTCCAAATTCAATTCATTTTGTTTCATTAAAGCGTCAATGCTAACCATAGATTGCTCTACTGCTAATTTTTGTTTTTGAACTTGAATCAATAAAGCCCTAGCCAAACTTCCAAACACAGCATTTGTTAAAGGACTCTTTAATTCCTAAATTATTTCAAATAGCAATAGCACACTAGTGTTAACATGCACCTCAAATATATTACTTACCTTTTCATACGTTTCCATCACTACAGAAATATCTCCCTTCTTTGCTTGTTGTACATATTGTACCAACTCGCTTTGTGAAATATTTGGATGAGTGTCTTTAACAAAATCCAGAACCATACGCTCCAATGATTTTGCAGAGAGTTCCACATCTTCGAGCGATGCCAATTTGTGCTTGTGTTCATCATAGTGAATAATGGAATAAATATTATATAAAGGTTCAACAATAGAGTTGTGGAAAAATCTGGTTGCGCTTTGATAAGCATCTGTAGAAATTCTAACAATATCATTTACATGTTTGTAAGTATAATATGATACCAGAGCTCCAGTAGTCATTCCCAGTGTATATCCAATCCAATTTCGGTAAAAGTGATTTGGCTTTTGATATTGTTTCAAATAATAATTGGTACAATAGAACCAATTTCGACAACGTTGCATAGCATTGTCAATTTTTTGAAGAAATTGTTCAGTAGAAATGTCTTGATTCGAAGGTACATGGCTCATGACATGACCACTTTCAGAGTAGACAGGTACATGGCTCATCATTGTGTTACTGGACCGAGAATTTCTATCCATCATCATCATTGAATGATAACTGAGTGCATCTGTTTGGTCATGTGGAATTTCATTAAATGTAGCAGCACCTGATAACGAAGGAGATGGAGTTCTATTGGAAGATATCACATGTGAGGAATGTTATTGCTCATGTGAAGAGGATGTGTATAACAAGTATCTTGCTGTTCTTGAATGGGTCCAATACCACTATGAAAAAAACTTCTCTTAATGATTTGTGATTGTTTTTGAAATTCTTCTTGCAATGGATGAACTGTGAAATGTCTTTCAAATAAAACATCACCCGTTGGAACGACGCCATATGAAGAACGAGTAGAAGAACTTTGGGCTCCTACAATAGTAGCTCCCATCACATTTACAACATTTCCTTCTGCATCAATTCCCATAAACAAGTCATCCACAAAGTTCAAAAAATCAAGAGAAACGTCATTAATTTCATCAATGGTTCTCACTGCTTGAAATCTGTGAAGAAAATCAATTAAATGGCCACAAATAAATGCATGACATGATTCCACTCTTGATAATTTATCCAAAAGTTCGTTTAAATCTCTTGTTGGACTTCTCTGTTTCATTCGAATATTTTCTAATAATTCCAACCATTTCGATGGCTGAAGATTGTTCACAACTTTCTTTCCTGCATTTGTATTTATAATTTGATTATAAGCTAGCTTAATCCAATATAGAGGACCTAATTCAAGCATTGCAGATACAGGAGATGATTCTCTTTCTTTCCAATATTCAATCAATTCTACTAATTGCTGAAAATGAAAAATGGAATGAGAAGCGAATGAATAAATCAACGAAACACAACATTCACCCAAAAAGCATAGTTGTTCCTTGTTTCCATACTTCCATGAAAGTGCATTGAATTTGATAGTTGATGGAAGTACTTTCTTTTCGAGGTCCTCTGTGGTGAAGACATGAATATCGAAATTTTGAATCTTGTCAACGATATAAATTTGGTTGTGATTAAATTCAATACTCGTTTTAATCTCATCCGAAAGAATTTTTCTGAATTTTCTGCATGCAGCTTTTGTGTGAAGAAAGAAATCGTCTCCAAGCAGAGTTGTGCTGGAGAGAAGCTGATGATGGCCAGTCATGTTCTCCGCCTACGAAAATATTTTTTTTGCTCGAGTTCGTGCCTATTTTTCCGCCCAAACAAGAGTGCCGTAAATGCACATCAAAAAATGTCTTCATTGATGACGATCACTCAACAAGATGCTTCACTGCAGAAGGACCCAGTTCCGATGAAAAAAGAGAAAGCTCCTCCATCATACAATGGACATGTTGTTTTTAACGAACTTAACCAGCCGATCATCAAACTGAATCGATTGTACAACACACAGAGCTCCGAAAAACGAACGAATCAATATTATGCCGAGAAATATAAAACATACTACCAATCGTTGTATTACTCAAAGTTCATAGAATCAAAAGAAAGAGAGAAACGAAAGTTGTTTCCTGTTGAAAAGAAGAAAAAGACACCTTTTGAAACTTTAAGTACTGCTTTTAGCAGAAAACTTGTTGAGGATTACAAAAACACGAGAAAGGAATCAAAGGCCTTTAAACCGAGTCTAGAAGAAATTAGACTTGAAAGGGAACGAAAATTAGAACTCGCCAAGCAACATTATATCAACGAAGAGTTTTCTGAAGCAGTTGCTTTATTTCATGAGTGTGTCAATGAGGGCATGACGACTGCTGAAAATTATTCACTGTATGGAGAGACGTTATGGAGAATTGGAAATTATGAAGAAGCGTTGCAACAGTTAAGCATTTGTATAAGCATGGACCCTCATATATCGTCCGCATACTACATTAGGGGTGATTGTTATGTTCACTTACAAGACTACGACAAAGGAAGGCGTGAATTTGAAAAATACTTGAAAATTGAACACCCTACTAAAACAGTTTTAGTTAGTTTGGGTAAATGTTGTTCAACTTTAAGAGACTTGCGAGGTGCATTTGACAGCTTTAATAGAATAATTACAGAGGTTGACAGTCAAGACCCATACATTTATTTCTTAAGAGGGGATATTTTATATCAAATGGGCCAGAGGGAAGAAGCACTGAATGACTTTCAGAAACTTAGAGAAATAGACCCAATGTTTTGTAAACAATACGAAATATCTGCCAAAAATTGCGAAGAAGCAGGAGAGATTGCTGAAGCTTTATCAATTTATGAAGCTCTTGTAAAAATTCAACCTGCCAACATGGAATATTTAGCCCATTACGGCCATTTATTTGTCGCACTGGGTCGAACCGAGGAGGCTTTGGTTTGGTTCTCCAAATGCATTGAGAAAAAGCCATTAGAGAACCCTTCCTTACTTGCAGATGCATACGTCACAAAGTCAATTATTCTAACGGAGCAAAATGAGATAGAAAAGGCATTGTTCACCCTTAACATTGGCATTGGAGACCTGCCAGACGAACCTTCATTGTACAAATGTAGAGGCACTTGCCACATGCTGCTTAATTTAACCACAGAGGCCAAAGAGGATTTTGAAACATTATTACAACTTGATTTAAAGAAAGCACATGTCGATGGATTCATCTACAAATTTTTGGCGGAATACTATTTTGAACGAAGGGATAACATGGAACAAGCCTTGGAACACTTTTTACAAAGCTCAAAAATTGGATTTTTAAAAGGACTATGGGCCTCGCGCAAGGAAGAACTCGAAAGAAGCAAATTCGGGCAGTACACTCAGCCATTAATTGAAGAAACTCAAGCACAGTTAGCATGTTGTTTACTTGTTGCTCAAACAAAGTCCGACAGAATGCTAGAATCTCCTATCGACCTTGAGGAAGAAGCTAAGAAAGCCAAGCATCCTCAAAAGAAAGACAAGAAACCAGAAAAGATACCCTCACTGTTTGACATGGCTGCAAGCGTATTCATGAAAAAATACAACACACCAGACAAAGAAGTGCCCTATCTCCCAACCCAACTTGAGAGTAAGCTCTTTCGAATTTATAAAGATAGGTATGCTGCAACAACGACACGAACCAGCAACTCAAGAGGTGCAACACGAAAGTAATTTATTAAAAGTCGAAAATGGAGTAAACAGAGTTCTTGTCTTTTGTCTCAAAAAGTCCATTAGGAGCATCCAAATTAGTGAGCTTGACGAACCTTTTCTTCTCAGCAAGCCTTGTAAACATATCTTCAGTGGTAGTTGATGTAAACTTTTTGATATCATATTGAGGAAATCCTTCAGCGAAATGTCTCTTGACGTCTTTGGCCATTTTGGCGACCTCTGTATTAGAGTGATGTATTAATGTATCAATCTCCCACAACTGACTCTGCATTGCATTACAGAGTTTGGGATCTTTTTCATGAAAGTCAAAAGGATCTGTCACGTGATCATTATTTGACCTTGTGTGTTGCTCTTTCAATGCTTTTTTTTGAAGTCTAGAAAGATACTTGGGTTCAATTTCATCGTGTTGGACCAAAAAGCTAATTTGTGGATGTCTAGAAACAAGATTATAAATAACTGCCAAAATGTAGGTGCAAGCATAAGCAGGCGCAAAAAGAGATATTCTTGCAAATTTCTTCACAAAAGCTGCAACAATGTATTCAGGTAAATGGGTGGATTTCATGAATGTGTCAAATAGTTCAAAAAATTCTTCTCTGTCATCCATTGTGAAAAGATTCAAATCGATAATAGAATATAATTTCTGATAGAATTGGTCATATACTCTGATGATTACATTCGTTATTCTTCCAAATTCACAAATACTCTTCAACTTACAAATTATACTCTGAGATTAAAATAAATAAACTTTTGACGGACAACAGAGCCACCAATCCACCCTGATCAAAAGAATTAGAGATAAAGTCATTGAGTAAGAATGGATCTTCGAATTGAGGAATGATTTCTTCGCTCATTTTCCTTAAAATAGTCTCATAGATGGATTTAGTCATCTCTGGAAGTTGTAGAAAGGCAAGCCAAAAGTTTGTGAATGCAGCAATGTGAATGGACCGATCCAACAAACTATGTTCTTTCTTGTTTTCATCTTGCATTCATTCTTTTCCGATGAGCTTGGTAGTGTTAAAGAATTCAAGTCTCCAAGAGGATCCATCAGTGTGTCTCCTGAAGGAATCGTTCCATCGTCCATCATCAAACCATCTTCAAAATCTTCGTTATCACTCATGACATCTTCTTCTTCTTCGCTTGAATCATCAAACCCCTCATACAAGAATAATCTTTCAATGTCCTCAATCGGAGGAATGTCATCAATAATAGAGAGAATATTTTCACAAAACTGAGGATATGTAATTGCTTTTTTTTTCTTGGAGCGCAACTTTCTAATGGCCAGTGTTAAAGCAACGTAGGTGAAATACCTCAAATCGTGATATCTATCAATAAATTTGTCTTTGAGATAGTCAATGATAAAAGCTTTTCCTTCACTTTGATTGGTGTCAATGGCCAAGTGATAAATTAAAGAGCCAAATGGACCTTCGCAAACGATAGTATTGATTCTATTACGTTCTCGGTCCATTTCAACAAAAGCGGAATCATTTGCAGAATTTAATTCCAATTTTGCCAAAGTAAGAATTGCATCCACACATTTTTGGATTTCTACTTCACTCTCTTCAAACTTGGTGAAATAATGAATCGCAAACAATGGAAGATATTTGGTAAATGTAGAGTATTGGTCATAAACCCACTTCATGTATTCCTTTTTTTGAATTGTTTTTTCCTTGCTCACATCGCAAACAACTGTATCTTTTTCTCCAACATTCAGTATCAACGTTTTCTGATCAAAAAAGTGGGAGAACACTTGCAATAAAGACTCTATTGATTGTAGAACAAAATTTCTTTCCTTTCGGAGAGACCTCGGAAACGATTCTTCCAAAAACTCTGTTAATTTAAGTAGATTGTTGGTATTCTTTTTATCGGAAATAATTCCTTTTGCAATGTCCTCAATTTGAGAGACAGATTTAAATTCCGAATGTAATGATGAAGTTTTCGGGTGGGCTTGTGCTCGGGTGGGTTCTTGACGTTTTCTCATTTTTTGTTCACCTTTTTTTTGAACTTCAACAAATGGGTGAGCGTTGAATATCATTTTGTGAAATGATTGGAAATAATATTAGAACCAATTGAGTCCTAATATTAGCATGTCAATGTTTGCTTCTTCAAAGATGATATTTTCGTGTTTGGAGTTGTAAATGTGGTTATTTACAACATTTGGTACCAACACATCTCAAGAAGGAAGGACAAGCAATCGCTTTTAACACCTGATGAGTTTTGTCATGGTCGGCAATTTTTTTGACAGTTCCCTTTTGCACCCATCAATCACTCTCTCAAAAAGAACACAAAACAAAATATCGCGCCATATCTTCAGACCTGCCGTCATCCCTTCAACGTCGAAGATTTCAATTCGAGGTACCTCTTCAGCACACTTGCAATTGTTCATCATCATTGTCAATTCCACAAGGAAAGATCACCATATTGTATTATCGCAACAAGTTTTATCCAAATGTCTTCTACGAGTGGCGATGATGATCCTTCTTCTCATCAAATGGTCAACGCAATGAGTATGGGTGGAGCCGTACTTGATGACGTGAGTAGACATTCACAACAAGTGTCATCATCATCACCTCGCGTCGTCCATCATGATGGTAATGAAAAGAGTCTTGATCTGAATGATGAACGATTATTGAACACAAACGCTCAACTCTCATCGACGAGTCAAGGACAAAACATAACCTCCGTGGATGATGATACGCTGAATGCCAGCACAACAATCTCCAACAATGAACAACAGGTTGAGCAACAACAATTACAACAAAACCGCACACCTCTCTCGAACACACATTCCATCATGAACGATTTACAACCAACTCTCCAATCCACCACTGCCACAACAGCAACAACAACAGAAACTACTACAACAACACCTCAACAACAACAAAGGAATGGTATCATCATTTTGAATCCTTTTCATCTCGTCCATGATGTCAATGAATTTCCAATTAACAATCGATATCACAAAGATCTAAGACCTTTTCTAGAACGCTATGAAGAACAACCTCACAGAGTGAGATCCATCGATCATGAAAATGTAAACATGATTTTGGGTGATTGGACCGTATTAACCATGGATGATTTTTCACAATCAAATTATCATCAAGTCGCTCCACCACATTTGTATTTCAATCATCATGTGGCACATGAATCATCAGTCATGCAATCTCCCAAATCATCCTCGAATAGTCATGTATCTGAAACAACAAACTCTAAGAATTTACCTGTAACATTTTCTCCGCAACAACAACAACAACAACAACAACACGAACAACATTTAATGATGATTGGAAATCCACATTTAAGACCAAAACAACTTGAAGAGCCACTTCCTCTCTCCACTCATACCACCATGAATGGAGGAGCACTGAATATTACTTCTTCATTGAATGACCATAATGATTCAAGCCTTCACAGTACACAGCAAGAACGAACTACCAACCAATGGTCTACTCCTCTTCCGGCTCATACGGGGGGATCTAATACCACCACGACCACGACCACCACCACCACCATTCGTACCATTGACAATTTCAACACTTCATCCATTCCACCTTCTTCTTCGCATTATAATGGAACCTCAACAGAAATAGCACAGAGACATCATGATCGCTCAACTCATGGAACAACATCTCCAACCAATGTTCTCTCCTCTAATGAATTGACCTATTCCGAAGAAGATTTAGATGAATTTGAAGAAGAGAGTGATCTTTCATCCATCAATGAAATGACCCACACAGATTCATTGGCATCACCAACCACAGCAGCAGCAACAACCTCAACAGGTGCGAATACTACTACTACTAGTACTACTACTACCACTAATACTAAAAAACATCAACCAGGTGGTAATTTACTCATGAATGCAGTGATCAATAATCAAAAACAACAAACTAAAAAGAATACCATTGCTTCCTTGTCATCTTCGAATGGATCTCTCAATGGTAATAGCAGTGCTGGTCATATAGGTGGTGGTAATATTGGTAATATTGGAACAACAACAACGACAACAGATTCACACTATTTACATCAAATTCCAGCCATGAACTTGTCTGGTATTGCAACAGCAGCAACAACAACAACAACAGATCATTTTAACACATCCATTCAAAGAATGCCAAGTAGCTCAAGTAGTACCAGTGGTACTAGTAATACTTCTCATCTTGTGACAACACCTAAAAGAAGTTCACCAAGAAATAATCAAACAAGTAATACTCCTCTGAATAATTTCATTCCCAGTACTTCTGTACACAATAATTATAACAAATTTTCATTTGGTCATGAAATGATATCACAAAATGGAGAATATAATAGTTCAATTGGAATTCCTCGTGTATCTGGTGTTCATATCAATAGTAACATCATGATGACTAGTGGTGGCATCATTGGTAGTAACATTCATGGCATGACAAGTACTCGTGCAACCATAGATGCCACTAATGATTATTTATATAATGATTCGGGTGGACATGATGCTCTGATTAATGATCCCAATGCAAGTGAAAGTGATGGTGGATCTTCAAGTTCCATCATGATGGTCAATGAACATGTGACCGATATTGAGAATGATGCTCTCTCACCTCAAACTCGGAATATATTTGAACAAATGGGTAAATCGACCGTCATTCAACTCTCAGGATCGTATCGACACCAGACCTTGTCATTATCAGATTCAAAGAGAGGATTTAAAAAGAGACTTTCAGGAGACCATGCCACCCATTTGATCCACTCCTCGAGTCATGGTGGTGGTGGTATGAGTGGTACTGCATCTTCTCAATTATCCTTCTCAGTAGTGAATCATCCTCATCCAGAACGATCGACCATTGCCTCCTTTGAAGAAACACGTCGACAGAGTGTGTTTGGTCGAATTGATAGTGATGATGAAGAAGGTGATGATTATGATCATCCAACAACAACTGTGAATTCCATGACATTGGATGGTACAATGAGTACGACTGCTACAACTCCTCATAAAGAGGATTATCATACGAATACTCAAATGTCTCATCTCCTTGATCATGGTGCACTTGATCACAACAACAATAATGGCACAGTGAGTAGTAGTAATAGTGAAAAGAAATCTCCAAATCATCAGATGTCCACCAATTCAGGATCTAGCTCTTCTCGTGTGAGAAGTATTGGACAACTTTCAGACATTCAAAACAAAGCCAAACAAGGAAATCGTTCAAGTTTCTTTGATTTTATTCGAAAGAAACCTAAAAAATCCAATGAAGAGGACAGCACGGGAGAAGTGGTTGCTGTTGTTGAAGAAAAGAAAGAAAAGATGGATATGATTGCAGGTGAATCGGTTTCACAACTTCATGAACAATTATATGGAAAGAAAAAGACCAAGAAAGTCAGTATTTTCACAAAACTCAAAGCCAAAGGCATTCGTCCAAAGGATTTGAAACGTATTGAAGGATTTCGTTCGACAGGTAAGTTGGAGCACTCTACTCTCTCATGGTAGACCATCGTTATTATTATTATTAATATTATTATTATTATTATTATTATTGAATATCGATCGACTTGATTCTCATCAATAATGATCAATATTACTTACAAAATGACTTGTTATGTATACCTTATTATTTCATGGACTTGATCAATAATGACCAATAATACTTACAAAAATCATTTGCAATGAATATATACATTCAGAAACATCCATGACACACTACGAATTGGAAGATGTGAATCGAGTAATTTCATATTATCATAATACCTATTTCTGGAATGGAGGTGCTGAAATTGAAAGATGTAATCGAATGAGAAAAGTTCCTCCTCTCTACAATAACATTAGCAAATTGATGTATCTCATCTTTGAGTTTGAGGAATTTACATTATCCAAATTTGGACTATTAGAACCATTCTTTTGCAAAGTGGCGCTTTATGATGTGAGAAATGATACAAAATTGACCGAAGATTTTTGTTTCTTTATTGAACCAAGTAATCATGGTGCAAGTAGTAGTAGTAGTGGAAGTGGTAGTAGTAGTGGTATTGGCAGTAGCAGTAGCAATATTGCCTCTAATACTTCTACTCGATCTCAACACAACAACAACAACACAACCATTGGCTACTCATTTACAAAACTTGGTAAATCCACACAACGTCACATCAAAGCAGTGAACAAGAAACAAAACTTTGACAAGCCCTCTGCCTTATTCGTATTTGAGAAACCAAATCATACCGATGTCTATATTGCGTTCACAATTGAAAAGATTTATTGTGGATCTTATATTGAAGATGCTTGGAAGGCCTACAAGAGTGGAAATGAAAAGGCAACTAAAAAGTACATTTCACTGATGGAAGAATATTGGAAAGCCAGCATGCTTCGTCAACCATTTATGGTATTTGGCCAAAAACTCTTTTATGAAGGCAAGAATGAGAATCATTCTCATTCTTCAGTTGTTGAAGTAGTTGAAGGACAAGTCAAGATCAATAAGGCATATCGAATTCCCACTCATTCCAACCATCCTTTTGATACTCTCACCTTCCTAAAATGGTTATCGAATACATCCTCCAATCTTCCCATTCAAGGAAGTAGTAGCAGCAGTGGATACGACTTTCATACAGCATTCAATATGGACGATGATAAGAATAATATGCCTATCAAATTCCTATTCCAAACGAATACTGCCACTCGAGATAAGCTTGCCTCTTACTTGCATGCCTTTTCGACAAGAAAATCAAAAACATCTTCACAATCTCATCACGCAAGTCTTCGATTAACAACTACGGATTTGAGCATGTTTATGAATGACGATGATGAAAGTTCTAAAGCAGTCATGGCTAGATTGGACAAATCCAAAGGATCCTTCTCAGTCTTGGACACTTTTTACAAATTGTTCCCAGTCGTTGAACCTTTGGAACGAATTGTAGATCAACAAACAAGTCCAAATGGATATCATTATCAAATTGATTTCAATTTGAGAAATACTCTCTATATTTATCCTGATACATGTGACTTGTCTTCACTTTCCAAAACAGGAACTGTCTATGTGAAAGTCTCTTATCGAAAGAATGATTCAGCAACAGCTACCAAGGAATCACGTATTGCAGATAATTTCAATCCTGACAATAGTTTTAGTTTTTATTACACTTGTCTCACACACAAAAAGGTAACACCACAATTTTATGATGAAATTCGACTTGAAATTCCATCCTCTGCAAATATTGTCGACAAATCTCATGTACTTTTTGAATTTTATGATATTGATCCTGTGAGAGGATTAGATAGTCGATCTCCTCAAAATAGTGATATTGATTTATCGAGTGATGGAATCACCAATACTCAACTCATTGGATTTGCATTTTTGAGAGATGTGACCAATCATTGTGTCGTGAAAGATGGTTTTCACACTCTTTCCATTTTCAAGAGTCAAAAACTTGTCGATAATTATTTGAGTGTTTATACAGAATTACCAATTTCTCATAGTTCTTTCTTTACCATCAAAACAAAGGCAGCTACTTCATTCTACACTCAAGATCCCTATACAGCATCCTTTTTAGATCTTTGTGATCGATTCTACAAAATATTTGATACATTGCAACATCAAAAGGATCATCCATCCATCATGATGACACGAACGAATGAATTCTTTTCAAGAGCTGAAGAATTACTTCATCAAGCCATGACTCAACTCGATAATATTCGAGAGGCCAATTTTGCAGAATTGTTGAATCATGCTCCCAAAGTGATGAATGGTCTATTGACACTTATTTGTAAATTATTTTTATTGAAACTTCAATCACCAATGAAAGGATCGACGACAACATCAACGACAACAGCATCGACGACAACAACATCGGGTATGACCACAACATGGACGAGCTCTTCAGGACATGTCACTCTACAAAATGAATTCTATGACAATGATCAACAATTACTCTTCATTACACAAGCTCGTGTGATTGTTCCTGAACTCATCTCTAAAGCAGTCATGTGTTTATTATTCTTTTTGAATGGAGTAGAGACAGTGACCAATCTGGTTGGAAGATGTAATTATTACATTTCAATTTTCATTTCATATTTTGCAAGACAACATCCAGATATTGAAAAACCTATCTTTAAAATCATTTTGGATGAAATGATTACATTCATTCAAAATTGGCAAGACATGAGAATCAATGAACAATCAAAGAAGAATCCAAAACCAATGGATGTGAATGTATTTTCACCAAAAATTTCAGATTTGAATTTCAGACCCCTCTCATCAAGTACAAATTTCCCTAATACTACCTTTCAATTTTCATCACTCTCAGAAAGACCCAATTCCAAACAAGCAGAATCTCTCATTCGTGACTATAAAGATTTTATCACACGAGAACGAAAGAAATCTTCCAACTTGAAACCCTTCAAGAGCAGTATGAGTGGTAGTTCTCTCTCCATGAGTGGTAGTGGTGGTAGTGGTGGTGCTACTTCTTTGGGTGGTGGTGGTTTTGGTGGTTTTGGTGGTGGTACTGGCTCCACAAGTACAACTTTTGAAGAATTCAATCTCACTCAAACCATTATGAATCATAGTGAATCCAATCCCATTCGAAAGATTAGTGCGTTGGGTTTCACTGCTGTAGATATTTTGAAATTTGGTTGGTTCTTTTTTGATTTAATGGTCAAGAATGTGATGGTATTGAATGAGGATGAACCATTTCGTAATGCTTCTTCTCAGAAATTTGAACCTGAATCTCTTGTGAAGCGATTGAAAACTCTGATTCGATTAGTGGCTCCTCTTCAATTTGAATGTTTTGAGAAGAGATTGAAAGATGCAAACGTGTATACAGCTGCCACTAATTTTAATGTTGATTTGGCACTGTTTTTAAAGGACATGACTCACATGATCGATTTCAAACATGTACGAGAGATTTTAATGGAATATTTCACAGTCTTTGAAGAACGATTGAATCACGAGAGAACCAAAGACACTGCCATTTTCTACATGTTACAATTTTTAGAGATTTTTGTCGAGCATGATGACTTGTATTTCATCATTCAACAGAGTGAGAATCAATTCCTTGTTCAAAAACTCATCGATTGTGTCATTGGTGGATTGGCTCAAAAAACCGATGAATTGAAAACCCTCTCTCTCAAAGTTCTCAAAAATAATTTAACCAAACTCGATTTTGATGAACGACTGCAATCCAAACAAGATCGTCAATTCATTGGAAATTTATACTTTGATTTTGTAAAGCAATTGATTGAAAAGAAAGAAGACATTTCCGAGTGTATGACATTCACAGACGAATTGGGAGATTTATTTGCATGTTTCTATCATATCATTAAGAATGTGGAATCAAGTCGACTCAATGAATACTTTTCATCACTTGGCTCCACACAAATTCTCTCATTGGTCGATATTCTTCAAGTCACAGTCATGCTCATGAGTATTCACAATCAACCTGAAGTTCAACTTTGTTTCCATGAAGTTTATTTGGAACTCTTTGACAAGACCATTGTTCAATTGTATTTACTTCCAAAGAGTCAACTCTATATGGAACGCGCCTGTAACATTCTCAATCATTGTAAGGAAAATTTATTGAGTTTATATTTGAGTGGTGAAGAAGATCATTCCGAAGCAAAGGAATTGATTGAAAAGTTAACTCGAGAGACCCTCGTCTCGGAACAAGTACCATTCATCGGTGCTGCTGCTGCTGCTGCTGAGAATGAGACGTATCTCTTTTATGAAATCTTTGACAAGTCTCTTCACTTTTTATTATCCGTTCTATTACTCTCTCCTTATTTAGATTCCGAACATAAGCGATTACTCTTTGAGAATTATTTACATCCATTCATTCGTGAGTTTAAACCCTTCTTCTTTATTAATGAATTTATGAAAACAGGAGGAGCAGGAGGAGCATCCGATGAATATCTCACCACACTCGATCGGCAACACCATCGATGGGTGGTACCCTCAAGATTGAGTTCCAAGTTAGGAGGACTCTTGAGTAATTATTCCACAACAACAACATCATTCATGCAAAAAGAAAGTTTGAATCCAACAACTACTGGTGCTTGCTACAACTGGTGCTACTGGTGCTGCTACAACTGCTGGTGCTTCATTGCGTCGAAATGTCCTGATTGAAGAACCCACTACTGCAACTGCTACTACTTCTCATTCCCATGCACTCCTTTTGAATCCTTCTGGAGAGAGAAATCCAAAATGGAAACCTCTATTGGCAAGCATACTCTCGTATTGTTTCTTCCCGACCGTGAGTGAAACGCATCACAATGTTCGTGAAGTACTCTATCACTTGTTAGAAGTTTATCAAATGGAAAATATTGAATCCATCGATCGTTTACTAGTACGACAAGAGAGTCACATGCAAAAGTTATTGAGCTATGGTGGAACACTCCATGCTGGAGGAAAGGACACACCTCACATGACCTTGGAAGAATTGGAACAATTGAATTATCTAAAATTAGAAAAATTAGTTGAAAAGTTATTTGAAAATGGAGCAGATTACAAACCATTACCATATCCAGAAGTATTCTTTTATAGTTACTTATTCTTTACTACTCCTAATCAATTGTTAATGCTCATTCGACAATGTCTCTTTAAATTTGCTCAAGATCCACACAATGATCAAAAGAATGTTCAAATTCTAAATATTACCTTGTCCATCAAATTGTGGATTGAAAAACACTTTTCTGATATGAATCCACCATTCATTTGTAATTTGATTGAATTTTTAGATAATGATTTAACTCTAGTGATCAAACAAGTGGCATTTGAATGTTATTATTTATTAGAACAAGTGAAATTAACTCTTATTAATTGTTTACTTGGAGTTGATAAACAATTGAAAGAAAAAAGTGAAGAATCAAAGAAGAAGCCAACTCCAATCATTCCAAGTGGATTTTCCAAAATGAAACTCAATTTGAGAACATCCATGACATCCAACTTTGAATTTGCTCAATGGAGTCCAACAGAAATTGCACGACAACTCTCTCTCATTGATTTTGAATTTTTCAAACAAGTCGATAATAAGGAATTGTGTGCACCAAGTACACCACCCTCAAAATCAGCCGCATTTGATTTGACATCTGCCACATTGACCAATCAGAGACCTCATCTCACTCAACTGGTTCAACGTAACAAGGATTGTGAAACATGGGTCATTTCAACCATTTTGAGAGAAAAAGATGTAAACAAGAGAACAGAAATTATTTTTAAATTCTGTCAATTGTGTGAAGAGTTGTTGCAATTGAATAATATTTATGGACTGTTTGCAATTTATCGTGGATTGAGTCATCATTCAATTTTGAGATTGGTGAAGAGTTGGTCCAAAGAAGCGAAAAAGATTTATCGTCACATTCATGACACATACTTTGCAAGAAATGCCATTGCTAAAGAGAATTTATCGCAGAGAATTAATACCTCCAAACATCCAGTCATTCCACCCATTAATAATTACTTGAAATCGATTAGAGATTGCAATTTGGAGCCTACTTTCAGAATTTCCAATGGATCTACTCTCATCAACTTTTCTAAATGTTGCAAGTTGGTGGAAGTACTGCAGAGCCTGAGAAATTTCCAAGAAGTTGGTTACAACTTTGAACCCATTCCATATCTCATCAAAGCTTTATGTGTTGACATTTTTGATGAAGAGTTTTTGATTGCTGATGACGCTGAGGCCTTGGAATTTTCAAATAATTTAGAATCCGATTAAAGTTATCAAGATCATGCAAAATAAACATCACCGGATTTCACACAAGAATCTTTATTCTGAACTTGAATGTTAATTCAGGGTTGGCCCAAGAATGTTAGTGTCCAACATGATGATTAACGATCTTAATGTGATCATTGGAGGTGTTCGGCGCTCTCTTCCTCCTTTGTAGATTGCTTGGTGTGACGAGGTTGGAAATGAGCATCAAACAATGGTATCAAACCTAGCTCAGGACAATTCTTAAGGCAGTGAATGTAATCAGGATGTTGTGCGCCCTGTGAAAATCGTTGTAATCGATGACAGGCCTGTAATAGATACAACGGAGCTACCAATTGATTCCCTCCTCTCTTGTTGTTTCCATGATTGTTTACAAAATCATAAAACCAGGTTTCACTTTTAAGTTTGTACGGCAGAAATCCAATGATTGGTGCATAGTAACACAAATCAGGTTGTTGATTGGATAGTTTTCTCTTCTCAACAATTAATTCATCAAATTCATTTTTCGAATGTGATGATGTAAGTATGGGTGTGTCAATAACGAACTGAGATGGTGCAAATTTGTGATAGGTAATTATTTGTCCTTTCAACCAATTGATTGTATTATTATGGCACAGAATTGGATACCATGCTATGGAAAACCAACTCTTATCAAGATTAAAATCATCCGTTGTACCTTCCATTAAAATTGAATTATCTTTTGATAATTCTTCAATTCTATCAATAAGTGGATATCTCAAGTCAGGAGAAACAGTTTCATAAAATTCAAAAATAATTTTTTCTTCTTCTTCATCATCTGCTGCCTCATCACTGAGAGTGGTTGTTGTTGTTGTTTTCGTGGCACAAGTAGGAGACTTGGAGGCGGTTGTGGTGGTGGCGGAGGTAGTAGTACTCGTAGTAGCCGCCCTAACATCCGTAGTAGTAGTAATAGTAATTGTGGATGAATGTTCGTTCGGACGAGTTGTAGTACCATTAGTAGTGACATCAGCAGTAGCAGTACTCGTACTGAGATTTGTGGCACAGTGATGATGAGAGGATGGAGTAACGAATGGATTCTCAATTTCATTCTGCTTCTTCTCTTGATTCTTTTGGTTCATTAATTTTTGTACTAATTTAATAGCACTCAAATGTGGAACAAAATAAACATTCTCTTTGGAATGAGGTAATCTTATTGAAACTTCCATTCCATAGGGTTCATCATAAAAACTCCATAATTCTTTCAATTTATAACTCCTCCATGACTCCATACCATGATGATGGTTACAATGAAAGGATGGTGTACAACTCTTAAAAAAGTTATAAATATTTGTTTCAGGATGTGTGACAAAGGATTGGTCATTATAAATAGTTCTAGATTTACAAATTAATAACAAATCATAGGTATTGGATTTTGAATTCATTCTATTCTTTTTTGAATCACCAAATTGTTTCTTTACGGAAGTATGTTGTGGTTCGGAATGAGAAGTATTGGCATGTTGTCGTTTTTTAAAATGATTGCTTGATACTTTAGAATTTCTATGAGTGATGGTAGTAGTAGTAGTGTGGTTCGATAACATGTTGTTGTTGAAAGAGAGACTTGTAGTACTACTACTGCTACTTGTAGATTCATGAGAATTCATCGAAGGAGTACAGTGACCATTGGAATGTGCGGATATGATGGGAGGACCATGAGAAGCACCAGCAGTAGTTGAATGCTTTTCAGAATAAAATGGTTGTGCATGATTCATGGTGGTCTGTACATGATGAGAAACAAATTGATGATTGGTTGCATGGACGCGTGAATGATGATGATGATGAGCATTCATGGATGTCTTTCCATTCCATACAGCATTCTTTTTCGCGGAATTTTGACCTGTCGTGTGATGATGATCCAAAGAGTATGGTAGTGGATGCATGGTTGTTGTTGTTTTAGAGGAATTTCCATTGAGGACTGGTGTTTTTTGCACATTATGATGAGGATTCATTCCATTGATTGGGTGCATCATGATGACTGATGAGGCTGATGAATCTGAATTCAATTTCTGATGATGCATGGTAGGATTGGAATGAGAGGATGGTTCAACATGAACGGCACGACTGTGAGTTGTTGTCAGCGAAGAACTCGTATTGTTGTTATGATTGGTCGTTGTGGTCGTGAGAGGTGGTGGTAGTGGTAGTGGTGGTGAATGGAATGGTTTTTTCTTTTTTTGCTGCTGAGCGGAATTGTAATTTTGAATGGCTTGAGAAGAGAGTGTTAAATCATGATGACAGGAGGATATAAATAAAAGAGAAGTGGTGGTGGTGGTGGTTGGTGGTGATAACTCGGTTCGAAGATCACCATTCGTGTGGTGATGATGATGATGGATTGATTGAGAATTATTCATCATAAAGTGAGAATTTGTCAATTTCGAGTTGTAGAGTTGTTCATAAACAAATTGAATTCTGTGGAATCAGTTGATGATGATTACGCTAAATCTTGGAATTCAATGAATCAAGTAGAGAGATCTCTTATAAAAAATCAAAGAGTGAATTGTGCACTATTTCAATAATCCACAATGAGGAGTATTTGGTGAATTCAAAGTCGTGTGTGTTAACAGCAGCACGAGTATTTCTTTCGGATTGACGTTGTTGGGCTATTTCAATATTATAATTTCACACAATATTTATAGGTACAACTCCAAAGATCTTCAACACCACAACTGTGGGTCAATGTGTGGTTCTAATTGTTATGATTTCAACACTCTTTCAAACTGCAATCCGGAGATGATTACAATCACTGATATTTTTTTAATTTCAACTGAATTTAAATGCGTAAAAACATAACGCATTAGCGAATCAAAATCTCTGAAACAACAACTTGGGGCTCCATAGGACTTGGCCATTGAAAGCACAAGAACACTTGTAGTGTAGAAACAAAAATAGATAATATCTAGATCAAGAACAAGCTTCATATCAATATGTGGAATTGTCATTGGCTCAAAAATTTCATCCATCGCTATTTGACTCTCAATCCCAATATGGGTCATTGACTTTCTGATGCTTGTGTATCAACTTTCACAACAACACTAATGAATTCATAGTGTAGCGTGGTGTGGTTCATTTTAAGCTTAAACACCATTTGCTATTGAGACGTTGATGATACTATTATAACGACGAAGGTGTGATGAAATTTGTGACAACATTCAATACTGTGTACTTTGACGACGAATATCGAATTCACAAATAAAGTGTATCATCAATTTATTTCATCTTCTTCTTTTTGACTTGTCCACTCGTGGCATTAACTTGAACGGTTGCTTCTTGAGATTGTTCTTTCAATTTTCTCTTCTTTGCCAAATTCTTTTTCAAATTACTTTCCAATCTCTTTTTGGCGAATTGAGTAGGTGAAATGAGTACTTGTTGTTCACGACGAGTTGTCTTTTTTGCACTCTTTTGTTCTACTTCTTTTCTACCTTGTTCATAGGCTTGCATGAATGCTGTATTGGTTGTGGAAGACGATGATGCATCGTATGTTGCCGTATTGGTTGCCGTGTTGGTTGTATGTTGAATCATTAATTGTTTACATTCTTTAGCAAACTTTTCCAATTCCTCAGTCACGACTGCTTTGTCTCTATTTGGAAATTCAGTACATCGATACAAGAGAGGTGTCATGTAAATGAGATAGGGTTGCATTCGATCATGATATTTAGCACACAATCCAACGAATAATTTCAATAGAGTATGTCTTCTAAATGTCATGGTTTCATTCGTGTCATAATCTTCAGATTGATTGGAAATCTTTTTCAAGAGTTTGAATACACGATGAAGAATATCTTTGGAGTGATTACTCAAATTCTTACCAGCATTGGAAATACGAGAGTTATTAGAGTTGTTCTCAGTATTGATCATAGCAATAGTAGCAGTAGTAGTAGTAGTCGTAGCAATAGTAGTAGCAATAGTAGTAGTAGTGGAATTGGCATTTCCATCAACCATTTGCAATAACAATCCAAAAATATAAATAAATACTTTCACAATCACTAACACACCAGAATCATCACAAATAAATCTCGCTCTAAATAAATTACAAATATTAAAAATAATCTTTTCAAGAGAGTGAATATCATTCAAAATCTTTGATTCTCTCAATTTCTTCTTCTTCTTGGATACATATAATTCAAATATTTTGAGAGATTCAATTCTCACTTCATTCTTCATTGCTTCATGATCATTGCAAGTTAAATTCAATAAAAATTCATACATTTCATCTAATTGAGTCATTCCAATGATACCATGATTGAACAAACTATAAATACATTCCAAACATTCCAACAAGAGAGAAGAGTGTTTTTCAATGAAATGTTCATAGTGTTCAATCACGTGCGTAATTTCTGGTAACATGCTCTCATAAAATTCACTTTTCGATTTCAATCGAGTTCCATTGCTCACTTGAGAAAGTACTAGAATGGAATTCAATGCAACACCTTTCAACTTGTCTTGTGAAGTGAGCCATGTAACCGTTGTTGAAATAATTCTTGAAAAGTTTTCATCATTCAATACTTTGACAAAATGTTGAAGAATGTCTCGCAACTGTTGAATAATTTGTGAAATGGATTGATTTTCACCAGCAATACCTCTCTTCTTACATTGTTTTTCTAATTCTAAAATTAGAGGATAATAAACAAGTTCAGTCTTGTCATTTAAAAATGAATTTGGGAATTTCTTAACAATGGTTTGAATAACACTCAAAATGGCTGATTTAGATTCCTGAGCCATGTGTTCATTCAATACATTCTTAAAGAGATAATTAAGTTTCTCTTGCAACACTTCATTTGTGAATGGATAGTTCAAATAAAAGTTGACTAACATTTCAACAATAAGAGTTCGAATTTCAACATTCAATGTAGTCAAGAGAATAGTTTTAGACTTGTCCATTAAATCATAAATTTGAGGAGATTGAATCTTTCGATCAATCAATGTCTTGAGAACTTGGAATGTTTGAATGGAATAGGTTTTTCTTGTTGAAGAGATTTCAATTTTCAACATGTCTAGTAAAATATCTAATTGTCCACTTGTTAATGGGAATTTTTGTGAAACATCACTTTGTAAAAAGTATCTCAATCCAGTGAAAATAGTTTCCCATGTCTCTGTATTAGTAGAGTCAATTCCTGAATTGGTTAAAATATCAAAGGTTGCATCCAATAGCATTTGTTTGTTTTCATTCAAAGATTTAAATGCTTTTGGAAGTCTTTTAGCACATTCTATTAATATTCTAAATGCAACCAATGCAACTGACAAATGATTTCCACTCACATATTTGATGAGCAATGGAATGATGCTATCAATGGCTGGAATGTGTTGTTCTAAATGAATCTTTCCTGTTTTCATACACTTTTCAAAGAATTTCAAATAGAATTGAACAATAATATGAGAATTATCAATGAGACCAGCTAATAATCTCATTTTCATATCATCGGATTGGTCAATGGCACCTTGTCGTCCTGGCTCTTTTTGAACAAGGAAATTCTCTTCAAGTCTATTTTTGGACATTTTCACAGAGTGATATCGATCATTGTCTGTTAAGGATTTGAAAGTCTTCTTATAGAGACGATATTGATTCAATGCTTGAATGATACAATCAATGGCATTGGTTGGAGTGCCATTGTTGTTATTGTTGATATTCACAGAATCTTTCAATGATCGATTTCTCATAATACCTTTGAGAAGGAATTTCAATACAAATTCAAATCTCTTTAAAATCTCTGCATTATGAACACGTTTGAGTTTGAAATGAATATCTTCAATGATGGTACTGAGACTACGTTTGATATCAATAATAGAACCAAGTAATTCAAAGCAATTGAAGAGAGTATTTTGATGTTTGGATTTGAAATGTTTTGAATGTTCTTGTTCTGTTGATTGGCTTTGTTCCATTTCTTCGAGTTTTTCAGTATCAAATCGAGAGACTTTTCGTTTCTTGTAAGTTTTCAGAGGTGGATAGGTAATTTCACTCAATAAAATGATATCGACATTGTGTACTGCTTGTGTAATGAAAATTGAAGTGGGGTGAGTGTTGTGAGTAGAGATGGAGTGACTCACTCCGGATACACTTGTCGTCGAATCACTCTGAGTAGCTGCAGAAGTAGTAGTAATAGCAGTAGTAGCAGTAATAGCAGTAGTAGCAGTAGTAGTAGTAGTAGTATTCAAAGTTGCTTGATGTGCCATCACTTTCAATAAACTTTCCAAGACAATATACAATGTATCCGTTTGATAACCTTCTTCAGAGAGAACTGACTTCATCTTTTCTAACATGAAATTAAAATACGTAGATCCCAACTCTTTGAACATGTCAATGAGCGCCTTTCCAGCAACATTTTGTTGTTCTTCATCTTTGCTCTTCAATTTTCCTAATACATCCAATACCATTTTAGAGAGTTGAGCATCTAATTGTCTTTTATCACATCTTCTTAATACCTTAATAATTAAGAAACACACTTGCATACGCATGACATAAATTTCCATCTTCTTGTCCCACAAGAATTTTGTAACTTTGGGAACAAAATCTCTTAAAAAGTATCTTTTCATTCTCTTGCCTTTGGTTTGACGAGAAGAATGTGAAGAATCATCATCTTTCATGAGTGAATCACTCTCGAGTGTATCATCATGCTTGTTTTTACCATTGTCATGTTTCTTTTCATCATTCTTTTCAAGTGCATCATCATTTTTCTTTTTTTCTGTTCATCTTGCTTCTCCAATTCATCTTTTTTCTGTTCATTATCCTTCTCAAATTCATCATCATCTTCCTTCTCAAATTCATCATCACTCTCATCCATCATTTCATCATCTCTTTGATGCATCTTTTCAAATGGAAAGACATCTACAATTTGACAAATAATATCCAATGCCATCTTTTTTCTTTTTGACAATATTTTCATACCATATCCACCCATCATGGTTACAAATTGATTGAGAATGGGATGTGAATAATTCCAATCCATTCGAGTTACTAGATAGACAGCGAGTCCCTTAATCATTTCTTGAATATTCTTATCGGAAATGACCATTAATTCATAAACAAGTGGTGCAACAATATCATAAATACATGATTGTGGAATGGAACATGATTCTAAAGGAGTAATTAATGAACAAATGGATTGAACTCCTTGTAATTTCTTATTCATATTTTGATCAGAGATTAAATTCAAAGGTTGAGAGAATGGTTTTGAATCTTTCAATTCATCCATGACATCGAGTAATTTAGCAAAGACCATCATGTTTTCATTTCGATCTAATAATTTGGATGAAAATGCTCCTCTCTTCACATAAAAAAGAAGTGTTTTGACAATTTCTGAAAGATTTGTAGTAGTAGTTGTGGGAGTTGTGGTAGTACCAAGAGTACCACTATTCGTCGTACCATCATTCCTACCACTATTCGTACCATCATTCGTCGTACCACTATTCGTACCAAGAGCTACGGTTGTAGTGATCATGGTACTTCTCTTTCTTCCCATGACAATGGCGTCAATGAGAACATGAATAAGAGCTTTACATGCTCCATCTCTGAGAATCCATTCCTTATGATTCAAAAAGAAGAGTAAATTACCAACAATAGGATACAATTCAATTTCACCTAATTGTGTAGTAATAAATGATTTGTGTTCTAAAATCTCATTAAAGACTTTAACACGACTCGTAGTGTCCATTTGAGTGAGATGAGAATCTTCTTGAGCGTTTAAACCATTAATTATTCTTGAAGTGAATTTCAATGTTTCACTATTAAAACCATGAGCTAATTGTTCAATAATTTCACATAATGATCTTCTGAATATAGTTTCACTATTATTAATAAACATTTTAGAAAAGTAAATGATATATGTTCTTTTCACTTGATCACTGGAATATAAGAGATACTTTTTAAAGAGATGTAACAACACGTGTGCTTCATCCTCTTCAAGTGTTGTACCATCTCTAATCGATGATCCATAAAAGTTGAGAATAATGTCTGCGGGTGATGATTCATCAAAGAATGCCTTCAATTTGTCAATAATTTTAAAACATCTTCTGTTATAGGAAATTCTTGAATTCACAGGATGATGATACAAATTATTGAATGCATTCAAAATTCGATTCACTAATGGAGGTTCAAATATTTTGGCGCCAATCGTGAGTCCGCCTTCAATATCGGTGGAGAGTGTTGGGAAATTCTTCAAATTCAAATTCATGAATATTTCATCTCGATTGTTGAGAATCTTTTCTAAAATGTTGAGACAGTATGAAACACTGGTGGTGCTACATTATATTCATCAATTAATTCAATAAATTTGTAAATTAATTCTTGTTCATAGTATTTGATTAAATAATATAATTTAGGAATATCAAACCATGAATAAATAATACTAAAGTATGCTGGTAACTCTTCAATCACAATATTCTTCTTATCTTGAATCTTGTTGAAGAAGTTAGTGACGATGGATACTACATGATTGGTGAAATTCACAGAGAATTCATATTCTTGTTTTCTTTCAAAGAAGAGAGTGAGTAAATCCACTGCTCTTCTGAATGTGAGTGTGAGAGAGACTTTTTGTTTGGAGGATTTGGGTTTAAAAGTGAGTGAATGGTTTGATGATGTAAGAGTATGGTTGTTGTCAGTGGTGTGGGTAGTAGGAGTACGAGTACGAGTACGAGTAAGGGTAGGAGTACGAGTAGGAGTAATAGTACGAGTACGCATAGTAGTTGTGTTCAAAGTGGATTCCTTATTCTCATCCGTATCTTGTGGTGCAGATAAATCTTGTTCATTCTCTTCAAGATCTTCAGTAGGATCCATATCATCCGTCATGGCATGATCATCCATAGGGTCTAACTCCATGGTATCCTCAGAAGTAGAATTGGGTGTATTGGAAGTAGTAGTGGTGGTAGCGGTACTGGTGATGGTACTACTAGTTTCTTCTGTTTCATTGTCGTCTTCTTCTTCTTCATTGTCTTCTTCATTCTCTTCTTCGTCTTCTTCATTCTCTTCTTCGTCTTCTTCATTCTCATCTTCTTCCATTTCAACTTGTTGTGCCTCAATTCTCATTTCAATAATGGTTACAAGTAACTCTAACACTTCATTATAGAAATATGAATAATTTCCAGTCATACATGTGAGAATTTCTTCAATAATATCTAACAACCATCTCAATTGGAAGGTGTTTGCTTTTAACAAATCTTCAGAGAAGGTCATGACTTCACTACCATTGCTATTATTGCTACTAGTGCTGCTACTGCTACTACTACTAGTGCTACCACTGCTACTATTGGTACCATTGCTACTACTACTCTTAAATCTTCTAAAAAGTGAATCAATAAAATATTTCAATACATTTGGTGGTAATTCTCCCAAAAATTCAATCACTTGATGGACACGAGTCTTCCACTTTTTAATGACCTTATCTTTTCCACTCTTTCCCTTCTTCTTTGGCATGTCATACATTAACAGATAGGGTTCAATCACTTTCAATAACATGTTCACATAATCGGATTGATACTTCTCTGGAACATGTGATGGAAGTGAGAAATTCAATTTAGTAAGAGCTTGAACACTTCGATTAGAATTAATGACTTTGGAGAGACTTCTCACCACACTATGTGTGAGATAGGGTAAATCTTCAAACTTGGAGAGACATTTCAATACAAGAGATTGAATCGATGGAGTACTGGTTGAGAATAATCGAATAAGAATTTGTCTAATTTTCACACATTCTTCGTGTGGACTTGAATAGAAATCAGATTTGAAATCTGAAATGAGAGAAATGAGTTTTTCTAATCGTTCAGTCATTGGATTTCTTGAAGTGAAATGAATCACTGATCCATTTTCAACATCATATTCTTTCAATTCATTTTCATAGAATGCATGAAATACTTTGATAATATCTGATTGGCAATTTGGTCATCTTTTGCACACATTGAAAAATCTTTGAATATCATTGGAAGATAGGTATCATAATGAGTGTGTTCTTTGGAATGATCTTTCATGACCTTATCAAAGATGGTTTCAATATCTGTAATCTTTTCAATTTTCTTGACATTTCTTGAATACGTTTCAAAATTGATCGTATGTTGATCAGAGGTACGCTTTTTAGATCGATAAATCATGGATTTCTCTTGATTTTTCTCAATTCTATATTGTCCATATTTATCATAGACATGTAATAGATTTGAAATGAGTAATTCCCAAAATTCATTGAAATTGGTTCGACTCACACTTTGTGCCAATTCATGAGTTGGTTCCCAGACAATACTATATTTAGTATAGTAAGCACCAAATATATAATGAGAGAGTAGAGTCTTGTACAATTGAGGAATAGTTGAGTGATATCTCTTCAAATACTCATTTGCCTTCTCTAATAGGACTACTCTACTTCGAGATTGATCAAAATCAAATCCACATTCTTCTGAATCCCTCAAATATTCTAAAATGACACATTTTGTAGTTTCAACCTTATTCAAAGTCATTCCTTTTTGAATTTCATCTTGCTCAAATTGTGTTAAAAGTTTGAGAGTTTCCAATCTCAATCGATCTGACTTGCTTTGTAAATTATGTTTCAACGCCTTTGCTAATTGTTTAAATCTTGCATTGGAGAAGAGAGTCATGTCTTGACTGGTGTCTTGTTGCTGTCTTAATTTATCCAAATATAAATTAAATGCAATCAATACATGAAGAGAATCTCCAAATTTACAGACCATGCTCATAAAAGATTCTAACAATTTAGAGAGTGAATTCCTAGTGTAAGGAATGATTTGGATGAGTACAATCATTGTTTGAGAGAGAATGCATTGAATGATTTTTCGTGCCTTCTTCTTTTCCAGATGTGTAGGATCTCGAGTGGTTTCATCTTTACCACTATCATCTCTACTACCATCTCTACTACCATCTCTATCACGAATAGTAGTCGTAGTCGTAGTAGTCATAGTAGTGCAGTCATAGTAGTCGCAGTAGTAGTTGCAGTCGCATGACCACCACGAGTGGTATTCCATTCAATGAGAGGAATAAATTGGTTCAAAAATAAAAGACACAATTGATATACTTGTTTAGAATATTGTTCTGATTTCTTTCCATAGGTGGAGAGAACATTGAGCATACCCCATGTCATTAATGCATGAGAGTGTTCATGTGGAGATGAAAAATAACCATTCACTTGCTCTTGATTCATTTTCATTAAATGATTCAATCGTTTTGAAACTTCTTGTTGAATCACTGAAACAAATTTAGAATTCTTTTCAGAGAGTTGTGAATATTCCAAGAATGTATTCTCATCTGTTAAATTCGTATGAATAAAATTCAATAGGAATGAAACGGTTGTTTCCATATTTTCCTCAATATCACTATTCACAAATCTTAAAAATTCTTTAACAATGGTATTAGACTCTTCTTCTGTACCCACACAGGTCATTAACTTTTTGTAAAAAGTATAAACAGTTTGTTTGTCTTTCACAAAGAAACAATTATAGAGTAAATTATGAGAGTTTTCAATTAAATCTGATCTTTGCATGGTATCTACAATATCAGTAATGAATGAAAATAAAGCTTGTGCTGTCTGTGATGGCATTTCAGAGATTAATTCCTTGTGATTCACACATTTCAATACTTTGAGAATGGACTCTTCATCACAACGTTCTACACTTGTAGTGAATACTCGTATCAATTGAAAAGCATGTCCAATTTGGAGGGAAACATAGAGTGCAGATTGATCATGGATCATAGTCGTTCTCCTCCATACTTGAATCAAATATTCAAATTCTTTCACAAGTAAATCCCAAACTTGTTTTGCTACTTCCTTATTCTTTGAATAATCTCTTAAAAGTATTAAACACTTTTCAACAAGTGTAAACTTATTTCCAATATCAGATAATTGTTTCTTGATCGTATCATTTGATTCTTCATTCCAATCTAATTGTCGAAATAAGAGAGGTAACAATCTTGGCATTTTGGAATGATAATTTCCAAGTACTCCTTTCATGGATTCAAAAAACATTTGACTTGTACCATCATACATATTTTGTGAGGGCTTTGAAATGAGCAATTCAAATGTTTTTCTCACGTATTCTTTCAATTCAGAATCTGAAAGTTTGTTAATGAGAAATGAAAAACTTTCTGCTGCAAATTTTCTAATGTACCACTTTTTATGAGAGAGAATCTTGGAGTACTTTTCAAACCACAATGAAATATCTTTGAGAATATATTTTTGTAAATATTTAAATAGAAATGCTAAAGATTTGAAAATGAGAGCATTCAATTCAGTATTTGTCGATGAAATATTATAGACAATAGGATAGAATAGACGAGGAAGTAATGGATAGAATTCTTGTCTGAGATCTTTGGCAAAGATGGTCACCAGACTATTTTTCAAGTTGAGTATTTGCAAGTTGAGTATTTTCAAAGTTGTAAGGATCGTTGTGAGGATCGTTCACAAATTCAAATTGAGTATTCATATAAAAGGATCATTCTCAAAAAAAAACATGGTACTCGTCATCATGATGAACTTACTCTAATAAAGGTTGAAATGCAAGTGAATCCTTAATTCTCAAGTGATGTATAAAAATATCACAAATCTTTTCTTTATGATGAAGCATTTCAGGAAGAGTTCGAACAAAACTTTGGACATTGGTTCTAAACATAATGTAATGTTTCTATACATGTATTGATAAATCCCAACAAAAGTCAATGAAAAATAGTAAAAAAGGTTAAAAATTGTCAACAAGAATCAATACGAACGGTTAAATTCAATTCATCCCATTCCAACATCTTGTCGTAAAGGAATGTGGTAGTGTCTGACTCATCTTTTGAGTCTTCTCTTCTCCGAGTGTCATATTGAACATCAGAAATAATTTTAACATCTTTGATGCATTCATAGAACGATTTAAATTTGATGGGATTGTCCTCCTTCTTGGATGGTAACTTTTTGAGAATGGTTTTAATTCTACTGTTGATACGTTCTTCGGGTGAAGTTTCTAGTCCCTCGTCATGATTTGAAGATGTGTCAAGTCTTGTTGGTTGTCTGTTCGTGTTGTTAGACGCGATGGCGATCGGAGATGTGTGTTGCTTGTTCGTTTTGTTGACTCCTGAAGCGAGTGCTCGTCGTTGATGATGCAGCATTTTTTTGAATTCAAAATTGGATGCTGGGTTCTCTCGGTTTTTGAGTGCACTAAAAATTTGAAGTGGGGATACCGAGCCTAACGGGAAAGAAATGTTTTGTTCAAGAATTTCTTTTACTGGTTATTACATGCCCATGGATGGTAGTACGAGAGGACAACCAACTTGAACAGTTGTGGTCAGATGAGAACTTTCAAACGACCAAGGTTTTATTTGTCATTGTAAAGTATTCATTTCGGTTGACCAGTTTCTTGAAAAAATTTTGTCGAAAAAAAATACGCCAAAATCACATCGTAAGTCATCTCTCTTTGATGAAATTTCAAAAATATTCACTTGCTCGTTGTTACACTCTAAGTAGATAAACAATGGTCGTCAGCATTGAGAACGTTCGTACTTCAAAACCTGCTCCAGAAACTGTTTTGAAGAGAAGAAAGAGACTTCAAGCTCACACTGAGGAAAGATCCAAACTCGCTTTCGAAAGAAAGAAGAAGCTCCTCGCTTTGAGAAAGAAGGCTTTGAAGAGAGCTGAAAAGTTCGCCAAGGAATATAAACAAAAGGAAGCTAACATTAAAGCTGCTCACGACCAAGCTGCCAAGATTGGTTCTTTGTATGTTGAACCACAAGCTAAATTGGCCTTCGTCATCAGAATCAGAGGTATTAAGAGTGTTGCTCCAAAGGTCAAGAAGGCTCTCCAACTTTTGAGACTCAGACAAATTAACAATGGTGTCTTTGTTAGATTGAACAAGGCTACTCTCAACTTGTTGAAGCTTGTTGAACCATTCGTTGCATGGGGATATCCATCCTTGTCTACTGTCAAGCAACTCATCTACAAGAGAGGTTGTTTGAATATCAATGGTGACAGAAAGCCAATCACCAGCAACGTTCAAATTGAAGACAAGTTGGGAACCAGCGATATTGTCTGCGTTGAAGATTTGATTCACGAAATTTACACTGTCGGACCAAACTTCAAGGCTGCTGCTAACTTCTTGTGGCCTTTCAAGTTGCAACATCCAAAGGGTGGTTATGAAACTATCAAGAAGCACTTCATCTTGGGTGGTTCATTCGGTAACAGAGAAGAATACATTAACCAATTGGTCAAGAAGATGTTGTAAATGCATTCAAACAATAAATCATAAAAATTTCACAATTTCTGTATTTTGTTTTATTAATCCGAGTCGTTATCACTCTCTGAGTGCTCGCTGTTCTGTGGTGTAAACACTCCGAGTGGTGACGGAGCATTGGGTGTGTCCAAGATTCCAGGATCCAAACCCTCCATTTCCATCTTTCGAGCAATTTGAGGCTTTGGTACACCAATTTTGTTGAGAAGACGAAAGTAATTTGCAAGTCTTGGATCTTGCTCACAAGTGGGAACATTATTTCCAGTCACGTCCTCTTGATTGCTGCACTCGGGGCTTTCTGCAGTTGAGGTGGTCACTGGCGTCGGAATGGGTGTTGTTGGCGACGATGGAAGGTTGTTCGTCGTTGAAGGAGAGGAGGGAGTGTTACTGAGCAATGCTGAAGGAGGAGGCGGTGGAATACTACTGTTGGGAATTGAGGGTGGAGGAGGAGGTGGAATGCCTCCATTGCTGGACAGTACCGGTGGGGGAGGAATATTATGTGCTATGGATGGAGGTGGAGGTACAATTGTAGCATTTACCTCGACATTGAAGTTGATATTGGTGGTTCCAGTGGATGAAGCAGTTTGATTTCCGCTATTCATTCCTGCTGTTGTGAACCATTGATCCATTCTTTCCTTCATTCCATCAATCGATTGCAATTTCTTCTCCAATAAAGACAATACAATTTCAACGTGCTGTATCTGAGATGATACCTTTGATAATTTGCTTTCACAACTGTAAGCAAAGGAATTCATCGTCTGTACCATTTGAATTGCAAAATTATTGACAAAATCTAGGGTTTTATAATAGTCAATCGGAATAAGAAGAGGTGGAGTAAGAAATGGTTTTGAGGAAGGTTTTGGTAGTTGAGCTTGAGGGGATGGAACGGATGCACTGATCCCAACTTGTTGCGGATGGGAGGTAGTGGAGGCTAGCGTGAGTGGTGGGTTGCTCATGATGTTGAGATCCTTAATGAAAAATTTTTTAGTTTTTTTTACCAAGCGTTGTTGAACTGCCTTTCCAATCGGTTCCTTGTCCAATTGCTCGGTATGTATTGGTCGACCTTTGTGTATCATTTATGAAGAGTTTTGAATTGCACGGTGAGTCTACTTGTATCACAAAGGTGTGACGTACGGTGTATTATTAATAAATCCCTATTCGTAAAATTATGAATATATTTTAATAAAAATCCAAATTCTCCGAATGTGAATACTTCCATTGTGGTTGCCTCTTCGTTCATCAAATGCAATGAACAACATGGTTGTTGTTAAAAAACATCATCATTCACACACTCTGCGACCCATACACACACACACACACCTATTATCCATCTCAACGTTCAATGATAGAAACATCACAAGTCAATAATAACACTCCCACAAATGTGACACAAACATCATCCACAAGACATCATCAACCATTACGGTCATCATGCTCACAACATTCCGATACACATCATTTAGATTCTCATATGAATACAATGGTCAATCATCACATCCTTCCTCATCATCATCAGAATGGAGAAGAGCAATGTTTGACCACATCAGAAGCAGCAGCATTGTATGGAAGTGGTAGTAGTAGTTGCACCACCACCACAACCACCACCACCATCACGACATGGATGTGTAAAGAAGAACAAAGAATGAGAATTCATGCCATTGCAGAATTTGTTGCTGGAGCATTTGGAGGATTGGCTGGAATTTGTGTGGGTTATCCATTAGATACTATCAAGACAAGAAGTATGTGTGTGTGTTCAATAATTATTGAAACCTATTGATCATGTATTTGGTTGAATCACTCTTCGTTGAACACTAATCTTTTTTTATTTACTTTTTAACACACACATTTTAACTCCATAATGACACAATCATGAAAATATATAACCATTTTCCATCCACACTAGTGCAAATATTTCAAGAGAATCATCATCAATTCAATGAAACATTTAAAACAAAATGGGATTATTTTAGAGGTCTTTATAGAGGTTTAACAAGTCCACTCATTGGAGAACTTGCAAGTAATTTTGTATTGTTTGGATCTTTTGGAATTTGTAAAGATTGGATTTCAAAATATTCATTGAAAGAGAATTCAAGAGATGAATACAGTGCAATGAAAGAATATGCTGCCATATTTGCATCAGGTGCATTCTCTGGTTTGGCCATTAGTTTTGTGGTTGGGCCAACTGAAATGATTAAAATCCAAATGCAGACTAAAAATGGAAGTGAACATCAAACCATTATGAAATGCGTTCGTGAATTGTGGAAAACAAGAGGATTCTTTCATGGCTATATTTCTTGTTTGAGCCATCAATTGACTTTTTATTCTTCCTATTTTCTCATTTATGAATTGAGTAAGAGACAATTTGCAAATTATTATACTCGTCAAAGTCGTAGTGTGTTGGTGAGAATCATGAAACCACTGATGGAACTTATCAATTTGAACATAATGCATTCACATTACTCATGTCAGGGGGTTTGAGTGGAACATTAAGTTGGGCATTGGTGTATCCTACAGACTCGATTCAATCGATTGTGAGATATGATCGAAACATGAACATGAGAAAGGTATTTAAAAAGTATACATTGAGGGATTTGTATAGAGGGTTTCAGGTAAGTTGAGACAAATTTCAAAGTGAATGGTATAACTGGTTGATCAACATTGTTTTAATTGTATCATATATAATGGAACACCATCCTTGTGAACGCTTCAAACACATGTTATTGTATTGGTACAATCCTTAAATAATTGTTTTGGTTACACAACAGCCCACTGTGATTCGTGCATTTCCTGTGAATGCCGTTACCTTTTATGCTTATGAATTGGCTTACAAAATGATAGCGTATTTGCATCATGAATAAAAGCAAACCTCAATTTATGAACAACACAGCTTGATGATGAGATGTTCCAATTCAGCCTTATTAACCTTATTGCAATTAGTGCTATTGTATTCAAAAAAAGCAGTTCATAACTTTTTACTCTTGGTTTGTTGACGAGAGAGACTTCAATTGTTCCAATGTTATATTGATATTATCTCTCATGGATTCAAGATATCTCACATACATGTCATCATTATTTGCTGAACTTGTTCATTATTGATGGCGAGTGAACTTGTTGCATTGTCAATGGTAGAAGGATATCCACTCATCATTAAATTCAGTAATTCTTGATGATTCAAACAAGATGGAAGGAATGGACTAGTCATCATTGATGTAGTAGTTCCATCAAGATTCCCAGTCATGATATTAATACCTGCTCCTCCATGCCCACTCGACGTCGTGGTAGGAATGGATGGTGTGATCGTGCTACTGTGACTGTTACTGCTACTGCTATTGCTACTGCTGCTACCAGAAGTATTTACACTATTGCCATGACCACTACTTGTACGAGTAGTGGTTGTACTAGTACTTCTCCGCTCTTCTTGTTCTTTCAACAAGACATCAATGGGTCTTCGACACGTTGGACATTCTTGTGATCTCTCTAAACATCCTCTCAAACATTTAGAATGAAATAAATGTCCACATGGTAACACCTTAATGGGATTCTGTGGAGTGTTGGTGATCATATCTTCTCGACATACCACACAAACACCATCATATTCATCTAATTGAGATTGAGTTGCATTTTCAAACTTTTGATCCAATGTATATGCTGCTCTTCGATAATTAATTAAATCTGTAATCTTTTTACGAACATTTCCAATGGTAATGTAAATATTTCTCAACAAGTGGAAAGGTAATCCATATTTAGACATGATGACTAAAAAGAATGATAGATACACCATGGATTGTAATAATTCTGACGTAATCTCTAAATAGAATACAGAAACATCTCTGGATTCCCATTCACTATTACCTTCTGCATCTTGTTTTGATAAATTATAGGCATGGAAACATAATCTTACACTGACACAAAGTGCAATAATTGAGAGAATTAAAAAATCGCTTAAAAATAAAACACGAAGAGTCACACCTTCTTTGAGGTAATGCATGGTGAGAGTACTCGCAAAGTATGCATCACATGAAAGTAAAAGTAAAAGACATGAATAAATTCTTGCAAAAGTAGAATTTGATGTTTGTGGAAGAGATTCAAGCTATGGACAGTAGTTGTAGTTGTAGTAGCAGTAGTAGTAGTAGTAGTAGTAGTTGTAGTTGTAGTAGTTGTAGTAGTAGGTTATACAATCATTTCAGTAAAATTATTGTAAAAGAGACACTCGAAACAAACTTACATGTTTGACACGTAATTCACAAATCCAATGAAAGATCTTTAAAAATAATGATGTCATCATCATGGCTAACATTCGAGTTGATAATTCTTCTCTAAATATAGTCATTGCTAAGCATGTTTCAATTAATGCAAAATATCCCTTCTCCCATACAATTTCTTGCTCATAAATTCTCAATGATCCGAAAAATATTTTCACCAATCCCATTCCAAAATATATGATTAATAATATTAAATCTGTAATGAGAATTATTTTCCCTAATTTAGACGATATTAAATTAACTACAATAAGATAGAATTGAGAGTATTGATTGGCAGTATGAGCAATGAGAATGGTGGTTAGAAATATTGATAAAGCTGTGATGGTTTTTAAATCCATGAAAGATGAAGCCATTTTGTGTTTGTCGATTTGCTTGCGGTTGAAATCCAAGAGAAGGCTATTGTTGTAGTCAATGATTAGAAGTATGATTTTAATGATGAAAAACAAAGATGATCGGATGAGAAGGAAACAAATTTGTAATACTACAACTGATGATCGGAATCAATTCTTCGTTGGATGTTTGTGCCAATGATGATGATCGTGATTATTTTTTATCTTGCTGAAACACGTGTTTGCTCAAGAAAGAGACATCTGCCTTGGGTGGTTGACGGGGAGAATTAGAGATGGAAAGTGTTTGAATCAAATCTTGTAAAGGTATCATCGCCAAGAGTGAATTGGTGCAATATGTCCAGTAGGAAGCAACTCTCGAACGTTTTTCAAGGTCACGCCAGCCAAATATATTCGTGATGTCACATTGAACTTCGAAAAAATTCAAAATCGAAACTCTACCCCAACACTGGAATTCTCTCACACGGAACTGAAGTGACCAAAGGAGACTGTGATCACACAACCCTTCAATACTAGTATTATCACTACAGCTTGAGCGAATAATTATTGAAATAATTTAGTTTCTCGGGTGTGTTTTGAAATCAAAATAGTGCAGCAATTGTTTCTATTAATTATAGAAATCTATCATTGATCTCATATTCTCTCTTCTCGAAATCAATTTATTAGGTTTCTTCACGACCATTGAAAATGTCCAATAATTTATCTTTTCGAGATCCTCATTCAATGAATGATGATGATGATGATAACCATCATCAACGATTGCCACTAGAGGTATCCTCATCGTCCTCTTCCAATGATCATACCACAACCCGATCCTCCTCCAGAAGCGTCCAGATCAAAAATAGACATTCAAATTTTGTGGTCCTTGTGGTGTGCTATGAGGCAGCTCAAACTCCTTCTTCATCGTCGTCCTTTGCTACTACTAGTACAAGAGCATCATCCTCCTCAGGTCGAGCCTTGATCAGTAGTATTATTGACACCTCCTCTGACGATACAGTTCTCATGATGGATCCGAGCACATCCAATATAATAATGGTGTTCGTGGAAATCCTCCACTGGTGACTCCTCCTCACCAGCAACCTTTGGGACCCATCATTCGTCGCAAATGGAGAGAATTCCCACTTCCTCTCGATGAATTCAAAGTCAAACAATGGAGTGGTCTACCCAATGATCTATCTCTCTTCTACTATCATGTTCCAACTTTCAAAGAATGTGTTTGTAATGGTATTAATTTCATGTCTTATCCCAATCACGTGATTATAGATACGATTGAATTGGAAAGACATGAATTGAAACAAACCGAGTGTTATTTCGTTTGTACCAAAGACAAGTATCTCATCAAACCTGAACATGATCCAGTCTATACTCGAATGAATACCAAGAAACAGAATGAAAGTAGTTTGATTCGAAGATTTTGTGTCATTGCAGACAACAACAATAATGAGGAAGAGGCTCAATTTTATTTGGAAGCATCGAATTATTCTCTTGGTGAAGCCTTGAAGAGTTATTTTCAAGCAAGTCATGTCAGTGGTAGTGGCTCCTCCCGAAAAGCAAGTCTTGAAACAGCCTTTCTCTCAAGTGCCAAATTGGGTCAAACTGAAAAGTTGCATGCACTCTTGACCATACCTCATGCATTTAGTATTGATACAGTCAACAACATGGGAATGAACGCACTGCATTTGGCTGCACTACATTCTCGATTGACATGTTTGAATTTACTTTTGGATGAAGAAGATTTAATGGATGAACAAGAAGACGATACTTTCGAACAAGCAATGAAAGGTGTTGGTACCAAAAATGGTGTTCCTCAAAAGAAGCACCCTTTGTTGCAATTATTGAATCAAAAAGATCTTTTAGGTAATACTCCACTCTTCTATGCAGCCATGGGAGATAGTATCGATTGTTTTGATCTACTCATTCAACAAGATGATATTTCTCTATTTGAAAAGAATAAGAATTCAGAAACTGTTTTTCATGCCATTGCAATGGGAAAGGGTAATAAGGCAATATTTGAATCCTACTTTGTTGCATGTGCAGTTAAACTTGATGAAGATGAAGAACGTTACAAATCATGGTGTAACACTAAAAACAATGATCAAGAGACTGCATTTATTATGGCATGTAGAAAGAATAGATATTCCATTGTATCTACGATTTTAGATCCTAATCAATGTTACATCTCAATTATGGATATTCATTTGAAAAATAGATTTTCTCAAAATGCACTCATTGTAGCAGCAAAAGAGAATGCTCATCAAACTTGTGAACTCTTGTTGCGATCTAATTTATTCCATGTGAATGAAAAAGATGAAAAGAATTTAACTGCACTCTTCTATGCATGTGCACTCTCACAACATGAATGCATTTCTCTATTATTGAATTATGGTGCTGATTATACGATGGATTATCAAGTGAATTATTTAATTCGAGCTGTGTTACAGGGTGATACTACAACCATACAATATCTATTGAGAGCAGGAATGTCTCCTGATTATCGAGGAGTTTCCATGTATGATGAAACGACGAGCATGTATCATCATGGCACCACCACCATGATGGATCCTATCGGAGAGGTTGACTCATTGAAGGCTCAACCATCAAGTCCACTTTTGGTCATGACACCTCTCCAATTATGTATCTATGGTGCGAATGATTCTGTAGATGATTCGAGTCATAATAAGAATAACAATACCATTCATACGGGAGGAGCCTCTTCTTCACCTGTGATGGACATGATCATGCGTAATATTGGAAGTTCATCTCCTCGTCATCATCCAAGACAAGCTCATCTCATTATGAATGAAATATTCCAAATCCTCATGAATTCAGGAGCTGATGTGAATTTAAATATTCAACATGAACAAATTGCAGGTGGTAATGATCAACGATTATCATTTCCATTACTTGATTGTGTCTATAACCTGAATATGGAATTATTTATGAAATTACTCTCTCATCCTAATATTAACGTCAATCAACCATGTATCTATACTGGTATGACCTGTGCTCATTTCATGATTCAACAATATTATCTCTCAAAGAATTTAAAGTTAATAGCCATGTTTAGAGAATTGCTTAAAGTTCCATCCTTTAATGTCAATGCACAAGATTTATTTGGAAGAACACCATTGTATTTGTCAAATCTATGTGGTACTAGTGATTTGTCTAAATTAATCATGAATCATCCAAATTGTGATTGGACATTGTGTGATGTGAATGGAGTGTGTGCTCATCATGTCTGTGATTCTACTGGATCTATTTATAGCAGTGATATGAAAGCAAAGAAACACAAAACAATGTGTTTTAAATTAGAAAAGAAGAAGGATGGCTCTCAGCCTCAATTAATTCCAAAAGTACAAGTTGGATATTTTCTTCAACATGAAGTATTGAGATTGACTTTTAAGGGTTTGATTCAACTGACAAGTCATGGAATGAATAATAATACTTTTACTACTAGTAGTTCAATGACCAATTCTACTACTACTATTCATGATGGTATGAATAATAATAACACTCTTACTACTACCACTACTACCATGAACCATACGATGAGTGAACACTCCAAACAAGATCTCATCAAATTCTATAAGAGATTTTATCATTTGAAAAAATATTTACCTTGCGCTTACATGTTGAATAGTAACAAGTTTAAAAACACTCCACATCGACATGACATGTTCTGTAAAATGATTGATTTTGAATTAGAACCATCGAATAAGATTCGACTACTCGTATCATCCAATGTTGAATATATAGAAACAAATTCTCTTAAATTTTATATGGATAAGGATTTTACAAGTATTATTTTAATGAAATTTTCAACATCATTGAAATTACTTGCATCTATTTATATTCTACATTCGTGTGGTATTGTTCATGGTAACATTCGACCAATGACCAGTAGATTTAAAGAACCTTCTAAAACATGTATCATTTTAGATTATGGACTTCCATTTACGATTGGAAAAGATAAGAATGATTATTATACAGCACCTGAAATTAGAAAGTATGGTTATGATGCATTGTGTGAAGAGAGTGATATCTATTCATTAGGTGCAATCTTTTATGAATTATTCTTTGATCATAAATATGGAGAGATGGATATGAGTTCAAGTGTGAATCATTCCTTTAAAGAATTGGAGAGTGTCATTGCTGCTTGTTGTTCTGAAAATAGTCGAGATCGACCCAAAATGAAAGATTTATATCAAGTCATTAAGAAGTGTGCAGACATGCTCATTCAATCACAAGCATTGGATGATTTAATGACTCAAATATTGAGTACAGAAGTGAAATTGGTTGACAAGTGTATTCAAACCTATACCTATCCAACATTTGTGCCTCCTTTTATGGGTAGTTCGAGTGGTAGTTCGAGTGGTAGTAGTAGTAGTTCGAGTGGTGTGCCTTCTACGAGTGTGTCTTCCATTGGTAGTGTGTCTTTTACTACTAGTAGTAGTAGTGGTAGTTCGAGTGGTGTGTCTTGCATTGGTGGTAGTGGTAGTACAGTGTCTTCCACATTATCATCACCACCTCATGTATGGAAGGCTACCAATAATTTGAAAGGATGTATCAAAAAGTTGAAAGAAGAATATGCAAAGATGAGTCCTAATAATAATACGTCTACTACTACTTCACTCAAATCTCTCTCAGAAGTCTCTCAAGTATTGGATGAAATTGAAGAATATTATACAGGTAGTAGTAACTCATCTACCACCACCAGTACCAATATGAATACAAATACTACAAATACCACTACAAATACCAATACTACAAATACTACAAATTATGATTTTGAATCCAAGAAACCTCATTCTCCATCATTCCTCACCAATATTTATGACATTTTATACTTGCTCGTACAAACATTACCTGACAAGTTCAAAATTGCACCATTGGATGTGTTGAGATTAATCTTATTGGATGAGAATGCAGTTGAACATTTATTCAAGACTGTGAGTGGAATGAAATTATTGGATGAATTGATGAATCGAATGAATCAATTTGTGAAATCATGTTCCACTCCATCAGGAGGTCCTGTCGATTCCTTTTCTATTACTGTTATTAATTCTTGTCTCTCCCATTTGGTCAAATCTAGTTATGGTAGTAATTACTTGATTAATTTCAAACCACAACATTATTGTACATTGGTGAACTTTTTAATTCAATGTTTTACATTTGTCAATTCAGAAGAAAAGTGTTTCTATAGTGCATCCAGTGTCGTCTTTAATATGAGATTTGATATTTATAGAATTGGAGATCAATATGGACCAATTTTATCTACGACTTTGAAAGAATTGTGTTTGAGACATCAACATCCATTCTTTGATCGAGATGTTCAAGCTGAGAAGTGTACTAGACAATTATTAGATGCCATAGTGATGTGTTTGGATCGAATTTATGTGAAATTACTCAATGGTTCTTCTACAAATTCTCCTCTCTCAACCATCCTTCGTGATACGATTATCAATTTAGCCAAAGCACTTTACACGATTATGAAATTGGATAACAATGCAAGAGAATATATGGAATTGAAACAATCAACGAAATGGATGACACTTTTGCAATCAGTGATTGAAACTCGATTACATGTTGCCATTATGAATATGATTCATCCAGAAGCATTCGCACATGATGAAGAATTATATATTGAAAATGCAAGATATAAATTTATGACAAAGAGACCTTAGGGTTTAGATGGAGTGGTGTGTGTGTGTGCGTGTGAGTGTGTGTGTGTACTGAGTGGTGTGTGCGTGAGTGGTGTGGTGTGCGGTGTGTGCGTGAGTGGTGCGTGTGAGTGGTCCACTCGTGTTCAAAACGTTAATAAATGATTACGACTCGATCGTTTTTCTATAAATTTGCTGCAGCACAAGAAAACCTTTAATAGTTGCATGGTAATGTTTGTGGCAATACATAGGTACTTGTTGTGAATTTGAGAGGAGCTGGAACGGGCAACTTGAAATAATTATCAAAGGTCATTTCAATCATGAATGCACTGTATCCATCACCATTGAGAGGATTCTTCATGTAGACACGCCATGATAAATCTGAATTTACAATTTCAAGTGGTGTCGATCTCCATGCAGAATTTCCAATGGTTTGAACTCTAAAATCTCTTGCTTTTGGGTTGAATGCTTGCCATAGCAAGACACTGGTTGGTTTCTTTCCATTTCGAATATTCAAATTCAATTGCATTCCATATTCATCGTAGCGAGCTGTGAAATTATAAATGGGCATTTCAATTCGATTCAACACACCATAGTAATAAGCAGCAATGGTAATGAATGCATCAGTACCAGCAAGAGAGTGATCTGCATTGGGAACATATCTCAAATGTCTATATTCATCACCACCATCCAATTCATTGTAACTAAATTGAGATAAATCTGGCCAAAAGAATTGATCCCCCACAGCATTGACCATAAATTTATGTGTTTTGGAAAGTCTTGAATTGTATTCAAATGGATCAATGACCTAAATTTAGAATTCATAATTCATCAGAATTGATAAATATATATATAAATAAATATATATAATAATATATATAAGTATACACACGTGGAACCAAGTGGTATGTGTGTGAGTGTGTGAGTGAGTGAATGAATTTGAATATAGACAAGTGGTGTGTATGTGTGAAAATGATGAAGATGAATCAAGACACAATTCCTTACCTCTGTCAATTTCTTAAATCCATCTGAATTCAATTGTGTGGTAATACCTTCACGAACATAATCATTCATTGCTTCAGGCCATCCACAAATGGAATTGTAAGTATGTTCCAATACTTGTCTTGTCTTGACAACAGGAATGACAATTGGAATGATGGATTTGACTCGTTTCAAATCTGCAACACCACTAACCATGTGGTCCATCCTCTCTTGGAAGCACCAGCAATGGTAAATTGTTCAATTTTCACACCAATGTTTTTAAAGAGATATTCTTGAATAGTATCCATGGCAAGGAGAGAAGATTTGACCTGTTCATTCATGTTGTTACAACAATATTATGGAGTGAAAATAATATTTTGAGAAAATTATGGATGGAATATTTTGAGGATGCAATGAAGAAAGACAAGATTTTAAAATATAATTGAACAAGTTTCTAGTAGTAGTCCAATAAAAACTATAAATACTTACCATGGGTAAACGTGGAATCCAATTGGTCTCGTCGGTATGATTTAAAAAATGTGCCCAAGCAAATGCAAGAATAGCATCTTCGACACGTGATCTTTTCAATGGATCTGAATTCATTGGAAATTACATTTGAAAATACCATATTTCATATTATTTCATATTATTTCATTATATTCATATTATTATTATATTTCATTATATTTCATATTATATCATATTATTTTATATGATTATATTTCATTATATTTCATTATATTTCATCAAATTCAATCCATCATTAAATGTTGACAATATTAAATGTTGAATTCAAACATCATTGAAACCATCATCATTTTCAAACAATTTAAAACTCACCTGATTCAAAAACAATGGGTTGATTTGGAATTTGATGAATTGCAGAACACACAGATTGAGTCATAAATGACATGATTGAAAGTTCAGAATCTCCTCGTGGTGGTGAAGATTGTTGTGATCCACCCGTAATCATTAACAAGGATTCTTTCTTGTTTTTATCTAATGAAAATGGAATTGCAATTTCAATGTAATGAAACCATTCATGTCTCACTCCAATCTCTTGACTTGTTAACCACAAGACACTGGTCATGTTGAGTACATGAACAGTAGCGTAGGAATTGGTGTATTGATATAGAAATTGATAGGAATAGGAAGGAGTGGGTTGTTTCATGTAATCATCAAGCACTTGATGATAATCAATACTTGTGGTGGTGGTATACTTGTTGGTAGCAGTAGTGGTAGCAGTAGTGGTATACTTGTTGTTGGTGTGACTGGCGAGTACGAGATCATTAGGATGAGCAATGATCATCATGATTAACAACAACAACTGCCAAGCACAAACCATCAGCAAGCAGCAGGTTCTAAAGCGGGTCATCATTTTTTTGAAGGATGAGGAGTGTGTTAAAAGAAACTCCGTCAATTTGTTGAACTAGCTCCGGAGAAAAGATTGAAACCTTCATTAAAACTGTTCACTATGGCTATCAATGACAACAAGAGCAAAGTAGTACCACCAGATGGGGTACAGACATGGATGGCCCAACAAGAAACAATGAATAAACTTTCTGAACTTGTTCATTCAGTGACACCTGCTGCTTCCTCCGTCGTTGGTAGTAGTGCTCAACATGCTGCAGAAGCTCATACAAAACCAATTCAAGAAGTGATGACTGAGTCGTCTATCATAAGAGACCAGGTACTTTAGAGATTCCTCGCAACGCTTCTCGAGACGAAGACCTTCTACTGAAGTTGTTGGTCTCAAAATAACAACATGTTTATGAAGTAAGTACACTAAACTCCATTAACTGTGACCTAACAACAGTTTTTGTTTCTCCACACATCCCAATATTGGTCAATAATTTAAAAGATGAAACAAGAGAGAGTATGTAACCAGATCTAATATTGTTAAGGTTACTGTATCCTAGATGTTTCAAAATACAGATCTCGAATCCAATGATGTATTCACTGTTTATGTAACAGAAGAAAGATAAATATTCTATATATTAACACTGATCTTTGAATGAGTATATTATTGTCTTTATTTTCATTGGATAAGACCAGATCCATCTCCCTGTCAGATGGTTAAACTTTTGAAATTATTTAGGATTGTAAAGGAATGTCAACCGAGTAACTGGAAATCGAAATTATTCATTGAAATAATTCAAGCAAAAATCGAGAAAGCCAAATGTAATGGAACTGGAATTGTTAACATTAGACAACTCTTACATTACATCATAGATTAAAATATGTTATGTAGCTTCTTACAATAGTTGATTACTGCCACTGGTTAGTTGTTCTTTAAACAAGTAACATTTCCAACATGAGATATGGAGTGTCGACCAACAATCTTTATTGTGGTACAGTTGTCCCGAGAAATGGATATTTCTAGAATGTGATGAAAAAACTCAAATTGCTTTGAGAAAAACCACATTGAATGGATAATAGCTCTGGGACGAATATAGATCATATAAATACATTTGTAAGTAATTTTGAAACAAATCAAGAATATTCAGGTGTACTTCACAAAAAACAAGGTTTAGCTCAATAAAATTTAACATCGCATTAATGCGACGAAAACATCGTTGAGCGAATCAACAACGGATAAAATTTAGAAAGATCGTGGGAAACCCCATCAATGATGAGGCCAAAGCCAATCGCAGACACAAAAGTGTCAAAGAAAATCACTGAGCAAATGATAAATACGGTAAAAGCCAGTTTTTACAACACAAAGTGTTGTTGAATTCTAAACATAATGGGAGGGAAGGGAGGGTGTTGTTGTGGTGCCAGACTGTTGGGAAGCTGCAGTAGTGGTATTAGTTGGCTCTTTAGACAGCTGTTTTGGTTGTGGATTTGTTGACATTTTTTAGCCATACTTTTAGTCAACCTTATTGTTTTCGTTACAAAACACTTCCGTTCTTTTCAGAACATTCAATATATATAACTTGATGATGCTGCAAATGCAAGGTTGAAACGCATCATTGATGATCAATAGATGATCTCTCCAGAAAATTAAAGAGTATAATGGAATCTATTTCGATTTAGACACCCCCGATCATTGTCAAGTAGGATACTTCTTTTCAATGGTTGAATACATGGAAGCTCCAAGTTTTTGACTGCTGTGAAGAGTGGAGAGTTGAAATACGGCCTCCCCAATTTGGTTACTATTCACCTTCTCTCTATATATTCACAATTACTGGAAGAGATCTACCAACTGAGGATTCTGTACTTGTCCAACCAATCGATTGTCCATTATTGAAAATTAGACTATTTTCATGATTACATTCAATTGGAAAACACCAACAGTGATCATTCGGAATGTTTGATGTTGTAGTGTTCTCAACATTCCGTGTTGAATGCAACAACATTGTGGTCGACGTTGCCACAAGTCACTTGTGGTCAGAACTTGCGTAAGTCACGCGCTCACCAGATACGCTTGCCTTGGGAAAGATTGAAATAAAGGAGAACCCAGAGAAATGCAAGGAAGTAAGTCGGAGTGATGAATATATTAATTGAAGCAAGATGTCATGGACCTTGACAATATTTCTAATAAATAGTATGTGATGTATTATGACATCATCACATGAATAAACATCAAGGGTCATGACATCGTCACACAAATGTTAAATAAATTAAGGTTAAAAAGTTAATGTTCAGGTACTAGTCGAAAAGATTCGAACTAGCCAGTCCTGCACTACTGTCATAATGGTTTTCCTTATTACAAGAGCATTCATAAGGAAAAACTTTGACTCTCCCTTCCTCTTGAATTTCCTGGAAATTAAGCAAGGACATGAGAAGTCCTTCTATTCTGTCGCCTCCCAACAACACTTTCCGGTTTTGATGTGGTTCCTTCCATCGTAGAATCTGTTGAGTACATCCACCTTCGAACCTTGATGCTCAATGGTAGTTCATGTAGTGAGTTGATACAAATAAATCTAAACGAGGGGATCTACAGAGATTGACCTGATTTATTAGTGTCTCTGAAAGCAGACAAGAAATTTCTAAAAATGTGCATCATTATCTCAGTTCATAAAGATGCCAGAGAATGATGATGGTTGGATCCATTAACCATCATCCTTCCGGTGAACCAGAGCTATCTTGACCAAAATGTCACTGTAGTGTGGTGGTTGATTAACCTCATCTATCAATGCCTCACCGTAAAGACGTTTTCAAAGAACTCTTTGGTTGTAATTTCATTTGTTAATGAACAATGTTTGAGGTCTTTGGTGATGAATGCCTCAGTCCACCCCAAAGTTGTAGATGATGATATTTGATGATCCATAGCAAGACAAGCCAATAGACCCAGTTGCAGGATGGATTTGGCAATCCGGAATTGAAAAAAAATAAAATGTTTGGGACGCTACCATGTCGCTTGCAAGAACAATCGAAACAAAACAAATATAAACGGTCACCCCGATCAACCATCATCAGCACTTCTTGATCAGCATCATTCACAACCTCATCTACTTACCATCAACTTCATTGCTTCAACACCGATCACTGATCGCATCATCATTAACAGCAACAACACTCTCCAGCACAATGCCAAAAGAGCAATCAAAGAAGATCACACCTTCCCAACCTTCAAAGATATCAAGTACACCAAAAAGGCAGCGTCGTCGTTACAAATATCATCCATTGGAGGCCTTTGTTAAAGTGGATAAGATACCAATCACCATGCATCCAAGCCCCCTCAATTTAATCCATTTTACTCACAACTCCCATCGGAAACAAGCTGCTCGTATGGAACTCAAGCTTTTCAACTTTTTGTGGGACATGAATTCTCCTTGCAACGGCCCAGCACGGACTCGATTGCCAATAGGTGAGTGTAAAGAATCCGTTTTTGATATGTATATGTGTAAGACTATGGGGCCCGAGAAGTATGTTCGTGTGGAGCAATATTCTCCTTGGATCAACCGAGAAGGTGACATTGAACGGACTCGTCACATCATTTACGAATTCAATTATCCAAACTTTCCTTCTTTCGGGGATGGGACTTGGGCAAAGAATTATATGAGTGTCGACCAAAAGCATGTAATTGACAGCCTTAGAAAGAGATTCAACAGGCCCATTCGCTCAGAACTTGAAACTGTTCAATATCGTTGCATTGCATCCAAGTTGATCATTTCCTACGACACCTCATTCGAATTATATTATGCACACCTCAGTCATTGGGTACAGTCAAAGAATGGAGATTGTTGGATTGAAAGTTTTTGATTTCATTCATCATTGCTAGGACATCCTTTCCGTTTCTTGTGTGACATTGTTGCAGTTACTCTCCCAGCGAAGGCATTGGTGTCTGTATCTTTGGAAGTTTGCTTCTTCCTGTTCTCCTTGTCATTTTCTTGGATCTTTTGAATCATCATGTTCAAATTATCACGATCCGTAATTATGGTTGGGTCCACTAAAGAAGCATCATACCATTGATACAATTCCTTTTGTGGTTTGACATGACTTGCATCCCAAGAATAAAGCTTTTTTAAACGTTTTTCATGCCAATATGTTTCTCCTGTTTTTTCCTTCAAGTCAATTGCGACTAATACCTTTCGCCATTGCCACAATAGCAATTGTTTGGTTGGGTGTATTTGAGTACGACCTCCTCCATTGTTAATAATTCGATTAAACACTGCATGGTGAAATAAATGAGACCGTTCGAATCCCTGATTACTCAAAATCGAGAGTGATAATTTTTCTTTGAAAAGAGAGCTCATTATTGAGGGTACATGAATTATAAAATGGAAATAATGAGCTTTAATTCCTTGAGTCCATATTGAAAAACACGCAACTAAGAATTGCATTATCAGTTTGTCCAATTCCACAATCTTATTTGCTGTCAATACATTGTCATTATTTTCGTTATCTTGATGCATTTCAATAATAATGATAATATTTCGCAACAATTTCAGAATTTGTAAATATTTTTGTTTGGTGCTTGGTTCAATATTATCAACAACTTTCTCAATATTTTGTAAAATAGTGTTACAATGATCTCCCGACAGCATACATGACTTGGTTGATGATCGTGCTGAGGTTTGAGAAATTCCATAATTCGATACTCGTTCGTGGAACTCTTTCCAATTAAATGTTTCTAATCCATGTAATGTTTGTATATTTTTCTGAATCTCATATTTGTAAGTTGTTGATGCCATATAACCAATAACATTTTCTACTAGCCTCTGTTTGATATGAAGAGCACATAGTATTGTTTGTGATGGAGAAAAAGGTAACTGGCCGTCAAGAGAGTCGCGTGGAGTTGATGCAAAATCTACAATAGTTTGAGCCATACAATAGGGACATAAATCAAATGAGAACGTCATGCCTACATTATGCATGTCTGAAACATAAAAAAGGCAAACTTGATGCTTCCCAAAATATTGTTTTTGCAAAACACGCTCAATCTCATCGTGAAGCGTTCCAATTGTTTCTTTGATACTTTCTTTTGTTTCCTTCATCTGAAATAACCCAATATAAAACACAGAATAAACAGCCTGCGATGGAAATACATCTCTTAAATTGAGTGGAACCAATGCAACTGCAACTTGTTTAACTCCATTAATTTCTCTACCATCTACCCCAATTTTAAAAAATATTTTCTTGGGTAATTTTTTCCCTAATGACATACATAGCTTCAGAATATAAAATATGGCTTGATCTAAGTCTATAATATATCCAATGTAGTTTGAACTTGGACATCGTAATTTGAAAGTTTTCTCAACTTGTTCATTTAGTGATTGTTTCGATGTTGTCATCTCTTTCCTTGTCGGGAGTAATGTCATTAAATTGACTTCTTTTCGTAAGTTATGATATGTAACATCAGAAATCAAGTTATTATCTCGCCAATATTGCACAATAGTTACATCTTTCTTTTCAATTAGATATTCTTTCAGTTTTTGATAACGATGGCTGTATCTAATATTTTGCTCTAATTCTTGGATTACTGTTTTAATACCTTCATCAGTTTGAAGATAACATTCCAGCCATGCATGTACATCATGTCCTAAATTACCTAACATTTTCTCAAATATAGACACTATTTCTTTTGCTCGATCTTTCGCTCCACGGTTGTAATTGTCTTGATTTGATTGAATACCAGGGTATTTGTGAGGACATGCTTGGACTTTTTGGTGTTTACAACAAGCACATTCCCAATATTTCAATTCTACTTGTTGATCATTATCAGATTGTGCTTGAGAATGGTTGAATGAGTCACATGTATTGGATTGTAAAGCGGTATCAGTTGTATAACAATTTTTCCATTGTTCAATATTATATTGTTGAGAGCAAATTGGTTGTGTTGGGAATTGTTGAGGCTGTGATTGCTGTTGAGGCTTGAAATAGTTCCAAAGTGCAAATTGGGACAAATATGTCTCACAAGTCTGGTCTGCCAAAATGAATGGTTCGACATACTTAAGCCCAGAATATTGTATACAATTTTGAGAAGCGTTCCATTGATCGTTCCACTGTTGAGAAAGGTTAGGATTAGTGTTTGCTTTTTCCATGCTATCTACTGTTTGAGAGTAATCTTGTGAGGTTGTATTAAGTTCATGTTGCTGACTTGCATCATTAATTATATCAGAAGCTTCTACTATAATATTATTTTCATAAATATCATCATCATTTTCATTAGAGTTCTCGTCAACAAAATAAGATGCAGCATCAGCAACCAATTGATTGAAAGCTTCATCTTGGTCCTCGACTTGAGGCTGGTTGAAAATTTCTTCCATTGAATTATCAAATAATTCATCGTCATCCATACGTGTATCATAGTGATCACTGTTGTGATTGGGATGCGTTTGGAACAGGTGTTGAATTAATAAATCATGATGATCTTTCTTCGACAACTTTAACAGAGTTCCAATAACGGCTGCCAAGCTTAACAAAATTGCGGACTTTTTTACCTTTGGAAACCCAATCTCTTGCTGTTGGCAATTATTGATCGTGATGTGTTTGCCATAGCTTCTTTCGATAATATTGCAGATTTTTTGATTTTTCTCCTTTTTAAAGAACGATCCAACAATTTCATCGGCAGAATAATATTGATCGCCTTCGTATTGATAGGTATGTAAAGAATGAAGTGCAGGAAGGTGTTCTTGAATCTCTAAAGTTTTACCCATCACGATGAATTTTAATAATTTTTAATATATAAATGATGATGAACTCTACACGAATTCTAGGAAGCCAATTTTTGTAATATTGTCAACAACATGGCTGTAATATAACAATTCCGAAGTGTGATTCAAAAAGGAAATTACATGACGTGTTTTCGTTTTAGTTGAAGCATAAACTACAGTTTGATCAGGTAGTTAACATTACCCATTTTTTTGTCGAGTATGAAATCTTAATACTCGAAGCCCGGAAGTTTGTTTCGCTGGCAGTTTTGCTATGATCTTTTATTGTGCGCAATATTCGCCTGATTTATCCCAATCATTTATCAACTGATCCTCACCCTTGTAAGGTGTGAAGGCATCCAATCGGTTTCACTTGATACTCACACGTCCATCAAGATCAGCGAATCGGTTCCAACAGACATCTGAGTAGAAAATGAACAAGAGGTGCCAACATTCATTTCCTTTCACCATCATCCAGCAGAAAAAAAATCACAACACTTGAAACAACTCGAAGATGACACAGTCAACTTCAAAGATTGCTGTCATTGCTGCGCTCGCACTGACATTGGCCGTTATTTCACTTGTCAAGGCTGATCTCTACGTTCACAACCCAAGAGGATCCAATGACAGAAACTGTGAAAGAGATGCTAACCGTAGAAATGGTAACAGGTAGGTTGTTTGTTTTTTTTAGTGTGTGAGAGAGAATATATATCGTTTGGTATGAATATGAATATGAATACGAATACGAATCGTCGTTTGTTGTTGACTATTCTTCATGTTGTTGTTGGATGTTGTTCTCATGGTTGCTCTTGTTGGTTTCGCCGCTGATGATTCGTTCATGACCTCTCAACAACAACTGATGATGATTCGTTCATGACCATCCACCCCAATATCACATGATAATAATACTAACATTGTAACAACCTTGCGCAAACCCAACAACAACCTGGTTCGCCAATTATATTAATATTAATAACAATAACAACAATAATAACAACAATAATAACAACAATAATAACTCCATGCAACTGAACAAATCCCACAATGATGATGATTATCATAATAATAACCAAACACAACAAATTCATCCAACAGACTCTTCAACTCTGAAAACAATGCCGCTGGTGGTTATGCTTGTCCACGTGCTGTGGGTGGTCCTGGTGTTAAAACTCCAACCATGTACTATTATGAAGGTTCTGAATTGTATTTGCAATGGACCAATCAACACTCTTGTGGTGTTCATAACAATTATTGTCAACTCGTTATTCAATACATGTGTAACGATACTGTGATTGGTACTGATAATACCTATGGCGAATATTATAGTGTGAGAGATGGTATTCCAAACGATGCCAATGACGATGCAACTGATACCATTACTGAAGCTACTCAAAATAATTTGAGATATGGACAACATGAACCATTCGATAACTATAAGAAGTGTACCATTCGTGATCGTAACAAGGGTCTCTACATTGCTGATCGTGGTTTGGGTGGTAACAGTGCTATTTATACTCGTCAAAACAATGGAGGTGAAAGATTTGGTTTTGAATGCACCGAAGAACATGATTATTATCCATATTGGCACTTCTCTCCTTGGGTTGATATTGCTATCTTTACTTCGAATACTTCCATGTGTCAATGGTATCAAGAGAATTCTCAAAATGTGGTAGGACGTGGTGAATGTTGGGACTCGACCAAAACCAATTATTTACGATACAACAATATTAAGGATTGTTTGACCAACAATGCCAATAACAAATGGGTGACTGTTCCTGCTTGGGGTGTTCCTCCACCAGAATGTCTCTCTGCTTCCTTGATTGCTTCTCGTGACAATCACTTGGGTAACACCAATGACGGTTCGGGTGAAATGGCTTCCTATAAATGGAAGATTCCATTCGTGAAGGAAATGCCAAAGGATCCCATCACGAATAAGGTTCATCACAACAATTGTGTATTGAGATTCCGTTATAACATTACCACAACTGAAATTCCATTCTTCTTAGATTCCAAGTACAATTATGTTGCCAACTCCAAGACTCCAACCAATACACCAATTCGACAAGATCCATGGACTGAATTTGGTTATGATCATCCTCTCCATTTGGCTGTCAATACCAATCAATATGGTAGAACTTTCCAAGATCGATCCTATGTCTTTGCTATTAAGGAACGTCCACAAAATGTTCCATCCTATGTCACCATTCACAATTTGAATGTTCGTGGTAAGAGAGGTAACATTGTCAATGTGTATCCAAGTGTCGAATATGACTTTGTTCCAACTGATTTGGAAGTCAATGGTGATGATTTGATTCACATGCAATGGACTGGTTCTGATTACAATCCTAACCGTACTCCCAACAATGCTGAAGGTGGTCCAGAGGATAAGGCTCAAGGTGGTTATCGTGCAGATCGTAACAATATTGTTCAAATGGATGTTGCTGGTTTGAACACTCCTCGTCCATTCAGTGGTATTACCATGTTCTTGACTGAAGATGGTAAAGTTGATAAGGAATTGGTTCACAAATTGGCATTCTTGGGTCAAAATATTTATGACAATTCTACAACCAATCCAAAGGCTTGTCTTTCCAAGGCTCAACTCTTGGCACAGAACAATCAAAATACTGCTGCTGCTGAATTGGATGATCAAAACTGTGGTAAACTTGCCAACACTCCCTATGGTCCATACTTTGATGCTGGTTTGGTCAAGATGTATGCCTCTGGTAAATTCTATTACATGTCTACTAGAAACAACAACTTCTCTAACAGAGGTCAAAAGGCTACATTGACTGTGAGAAATGCTCGATTTGCTGCTGCTCCAACCATGATGTCTTTCAATTACAGCGGTATGATGGTCTTGATCATGATTTGCTTGTTCATTGTGAATCAAATTGTTTTTTAAAGTATTCCTATGAACGAATAACAACAAAACAGAATTCATTAAATAACGTTTTTCTTAACAGTTGTACATGGTGACTTGCTCGATAAAATTGTATCATTGCCATTTTCGAAGCATTCCCGCCTTTCAACAAGAACTCAAAATTAGATCACTTTGCGGTTGACTGTTGTGTTTTGAAATTTCAAACACCAAAAATTCGGTTGAAAACATTCTTGTTGCTGTTGTGAACCCATTCGTTGATGATCCCGCATCACCACAACCAACCGAATACGCGTTTCCTTTGATCAACAACTAATTTCCTGTAAATATCAACTACCACCACCATCTCTTCGCTACTACTATTCTCCTATCAAAATCCACGCTCTATAAGCATTCACCAGCATCATCATGTTCAAACGTATTGTAAATAATCAAGCCTTGATCAATGGCTTGAGACAAATCTCGTATGGCATAAAGAGAGAAACATCATCATCATCTTCCGATGATCAACAATCAACTGCACTTGCTCTCAGCATTGAGACGAGTAGTAGTGGAAATAATGCCATCATTTCAACATCATCGCATCATCATGTAATTTTAGCTGCACCTAACAACAACAACATTCTTGATGTCAATCAATTCGATCAGTTCTGTTCAAATAATCAACTAGTCTCATCAAATTCTGTGGTGTCCAAAGTTGGCCAACAAATACTTGTGGAGATGGGACCAAGGATCATGGAAATTATTCTACAACACATGAATGAATCTGTTAAAAACCATCATCAACCTAAAGTGTGTAGAAGTGACACGATGGTAACCACAAGTGGAGAGAGTAAATCACAAAATACTCGAATGGGTTTACCTCCTTCTGACAACATGATTGAGAACAAGCAAGAAAAGCCTTGCTCAGACAACAAGTTACTCAAAAAGTCTACTACTCGTAAAAATTTCAATAGGTTTGAGGGAAATCAATTTTATGGTACTAACACCATGTTCTTAATGGATGAAGAAATTAAAACAACTGCACTGCAAAACAGTCAAACAGAACTCATGCTACAGAAGAGCGCTCAGATTATTGAAACAGAAAGTCCATCCAACTCACTTGGTATTGACACTGTGAAAGCCCTATTGTTGGATATGTATGGAAAGATAGCTCAATTTGTTGCAAACCTCTCCCAACAACTATTTGGAAAGTTATTCACCGCAGATAAGGGCGAGCAGAAAATCAATCATGCTGGAATGATCAGTGACATGCAAGGAAAGGTGATGCTCAACACCATTTGTAACCAATCTGTACTTATTGTTATTTCGTTCATGCTCTATGAAATTGTTATTTTCAATTCAGCACCAACATGTCATTCTGACATTCAAATTGTCTTCCAAGAATTCTTGTCAAAGATAATGACCTCAATGTAATCAATGAATGCAACAAAAAACACACAGGGAACTTGAAGTGTTAGGGTAATGCAATGATTACTTGATTATTTACATAAATTTTTATTGCTAAAATTATTCTTTCTTTTCTTCTGCTGCTGGAGGATCCCACCATAATTTACCAAAGTCATTCTTGTCTCCAACTGCATGACATTCCCAGTACGACTTGTTATTGTCAATGTACTTTTTACAGAATGCCATTTTAGGAGCAATGGTAAAGAAAGCTTCGTACATTGGTGTGACTAAATAATTGATGAATGCAATTTGGCCCTTTCCAACATGTTGGGTAGCTCTGTCCATCATGGGGGAAATAGCCAAACCAGAATTTCGTTCTAAATCTCCTTGTGCGAAAAATTCATCAGTAATTCTTTCAGTCCATTTCAGAGCAATACCAATTGGCCGTGCAGGATTACTAACATCAGCCATCTTAATTGCAATCTGTAAAGCCAGTCTAATATCGTCCTTTGCTTTAAAATCTGCTTTAGCTTCCAATCTTCCCTTGAATTTACCAACAATCTTGGCGTGCTGACCCATGTCTGTGGCCAATAACATTTCAACAACTGTTTCTCGAATATCCTTTCGTTGTTCTGTTGATAAACCACTGAGGATGTTGAATTTTTCTTGTCTCATTAATTCAAAAGATTGAGCGCAGTGGTGGTTCTCCAAGACAGCTCGATCATTGTACAGAGTGGCCAAATAACTTCTAGTGTTGACTTGGAACGCATTATTCAATCCAGGATGATCATAGTCGTGAATGGTTGCAGACAACAATGCAGCGAAACAATCCTCGTCAGTTAATCGTTCGCATAACCCTCCTTCTTTGATAATAAAGTGTGTCGCTTGCAACACGTCTGATGCGTGGGCATTGTTGTGATAAGGATTTGGATGATAGCCTGCCTCAAGTTCTCTCAAAAAGTTAATAAGTAAATCTTCTTGAATGTTAAATTTGCGAATAAAATCGTACTTCAAAAACAGAGTAAAGCAAGTGGCAAACAATGGATTTCCTCCTGTAGCATTATATAACTCAACAGCATCAAAGCTCCATGAATCTAGCTTGTCAAAAATAGCGAGTATTTGTTCCCTAGGTTCAGTCAATAGCTTTTGTGAACTCTCTAAATGTCTTTTTGCATCTTCTACATTCATAAATTCAATAGGTTTGTCTTCTCCTCGTAAAACAATTGGTCTTTCGTTGATTGCAAACTTTATCTTTGCCCATTCAAGTACGTCCATGTCCATTTCATTGAGGAGTTCCTTGTTAAAGTGTACGAGCATGAGACAGAATTGAAATAATGCGTTCAAAACTCTGCTTTTCTTTCATTGTAATCGAGTTATTGTCTGAAAGTTTCTTCATAATGTCCGAGATGAATCGAATGACCTTTTCTTGCTCAAAATTGACATACTCTTCTTTTTCCACCGTAGTTATTGTTTGTTCTGGTGGAGGGGTTGTCTCTTCTTTGGCGGGTGACTGTTTTTCTTGTTGTTTCATTGGCTCTGATTTGGGTGGCGCCTCTTCATCCACCAGTTCATCCAAAACGTCATCATCTTCTTCAGGGGTTGCAGAATCAGGATACTTCTCCTTAATTTCTCTCTCAACTTCTGCAATCTTGTCCTTATAGAGTTTAATTTGTTTCTCCAACTGCTCCAATTTTTCAACCGGAGCTGACTCTGTTCTAACGCTATAAAAGTCATAAAGTGGATTCACAAAGTAGAGCGATAAATGTTGTAAAGCCTCGTTATCTCTCTTTAATGGCAATGAGAGGCTTGTTCTTCCAATGACAGCAAAATTCAAATCAATATTAAATAGGCATTCATCTTCTTGAATTTTAAGTGATACTTTTCTGTTGATGAAGGAGTATTTGAGAGCAGTAAAGAAGTTCATCCATCCGATTGTATTGTTCACGTCTAATCTGTCTCTCTGCATCACGAATGTCATCAACGGGAGATTGAGTACTTCAACTTACAATTTCAGCTAATTTCTTTCGAGAAACCTGCTTCATAAAGAAGTTTTTCTTGATGTCAGCCACAGCAAAGATGACGGATTTAAAATTTGAAGTAACATATGCTGTACACAAATATTTCTCTCCTTGGATTGTTGTTTCAGTAAACAACTTTGGAAGCGTGGCGAGATACGAGTTGAATCTACCATTCTCGGCAAAGTCGTCCTCTTCAGCTAGATTGTTGTTCTGGTTTACGGCACACGTATTACCCATGGTGATGACTCCCAATAAATCGTGATCGTTTTTTTTGAGTTGTAATTTAGGCGAGATTTTAAAAACCAGTAAATGTTCTTGGCGGGAAGGCATATCGAGATGAAAAGGCATTGATGTGAGAGATCTCCGAAAGTGCTGTCAAATCTCTAGTTTGAACATCACATTCAATCGTAAGTGTGGAAGAAGACGTGTGTCATTCGAATGCATGGACCCTCAATAACAAACGGATGTGTTATTTTCACAAAAAAAATGTCCAACATTGAGGAATCCCTTAAAAAATTGTTCTCTCATAAGGATGATACCAAATCTGTTGTGTTTGAGTGGGACCACAAGAATAAAGTGGCCCTAATCACACATGAGGGTGTAAAGTAAGTGTGAATATTGAAGAATTAGTCATGTAACCTCAGGCACTGGTTCAACTTCAATTGGATATTTTCTCGCTGTATTTTCATCAAACCTTCTTTTGTGGATCCATCATCATTGTTTTCTCTGATGCACCGACTCCCACTTACTCTCATCTACTCCCACCCACTTACTCTCCCACTCTCACTTACTTCCACCCACTTACTCTCACCTACTTCCACTCTCACCCCACTCACTCTCACAAATAATTATATAGTGGATTGGATGATGTAAAGGCTCATCTCGATTCTTCAAAAGTCATGCTTGGTATCTTTGCTGTAAAATCTATTGATAAAGATGAATCCGTTGAGACTCAAAGAACATACTATGTACAATTACCATTTGTTGGAGAGAATGTCAAGCCTTTGTTGAGAAGAGATTTGAATTCGTTGCGAAATGCCATCACCAATTCCGTAAAGAGTGGATTGAATATTCATGTAACCATGGAGATTACAAGTGTAGAGGATATTAAAAACGTTGATGAATTGGAAAAGAGACTTCTCAGTGCCTGTGGATCTCATAAACCAAAGGGTTTTCAATGGTAATAATGTCGATCAATAAATTTAGAGCAACAAATGATAGCTCAAACATTTATTGCTTGTTGTTGTGAGCATGATAGGATTTGAGAAAACGAATTAAATCAGCACTAGGAAGCTCAACATGATCCTGTAATAAGGAGGAGTGTGAATCATGATGGCTCGAGACATTCTTGGATGATGGTCGTGTTGAGTGTGATATGAGTGTTGTTGTTGTTGTTGTTGTGGTTGGTGAGGTGAGCCTTGAATCACTGTCATGGCTGACACTGGTCGCATAGTGGGCCGAACGATTTTGATCATTCTCCGAGAGTTGAGTGTGAAGGTCATTCTGTTTTTCATTGTGGTTTGCCATGGCTCTCAACACAAAACTATTCATAAATGTCGAGTAACAACTACTCATGGAAATGAGTGAATGAGAAGGAGCATTGAAAATTTCCTTCCATGCCTTATTACCCTTCTCGGTTGAGAATGGACTAGTTATTACTTTTTGAAGGTCCATTAATGAGAGGGCAATATTATTATGAGTCTCTTTGGATGACCATTTCTTTTCATAGACAGAGGAATTTGTGTCCTCTTGTTGCGGGTCCATTCGAGTCGACTTGGTCGTAATAGCAGTGGTATTCGTGTTGGCAGTGTTGGTACTAGTAGTTGTTGTTGTTGTTGAATCAATTGCATGACCAAAATTCGTAGTAGTAGTAGTATCCATCACACGATACACTTCAAATTGCTTATTCAAAAAGTACAATTCGTGAGGAGAATGAGTGGTGGTGGTGGTGGTGGACTTTTTGTAGAATAAGGCATTCACAAAATGATCCGTTTCAAGATGCATCTCTAAGGGAGGAAGTGTACACTTCATTCCAGAAGTAACAGCCATAGGGCTGGTATCATCCTCCATATTATTATGATTATTAGTAGTATTACCACTACTACTACTACTACGATGAGTATCTCTATCAGTAGTAGTAATTGTACTATTACTCATTTTCGATAACAAAACATCAAATTGACAAATATCACTACCATTCACAATCACTGCAAATTTGCCACATCCATTGGAAACAAGTCCTTCCACATGTCCAGCATCAATACTCCAAACATTCTTGGATTCAAATGCAATAGAGAAGAGTGAAATGTATCGATCCGATATCACAGCAATGGAATCATCAGTTACAAATTTACAATCTGTCAAATGATAAGGATACGAAAAGGATTCAATTAATTCTAATGTTTGTAAATCCCAAAGAGTAATTTCACATCCAAAACATGCTATTAATAATGTACCATCACTGGAAATATCAAAAGATGTTGCACTCAAATTCTTGTATTCAATAATAGCACTACAAGAAAATAATTGAGTGTTCATGGATAATTTCCAAATTCTAATTTTACCATCGAGTGAAGAGGTTAAACAAGTGTGTCGATGATCCAATGTTTCATGACCACCACATGGAACAAATTGTAAATGAGTAATTCGTTCTTGATGAGGTGAATCAATCACAGTCACTAATTGAGGTTTTGAACGATGGTCCACACTGGAATGAGTAGTAGTATTGGTAGTAGTAGTAGTAGTAGTAATACTCGTGCTAGTATGAGTATCAGTACTAGTATTAACAGTAGTACTAGTATTAGTAGTAGTATTAGCAGTATTAGTACTAGTCAATGATGAATCATGAATCATGTGCATTGGATTGATGTTTGATTTCTTTGAACATTTCCAGAATTTTAAATTTTGTTTCCAAGATCCAAAACTCTCAACATGTGCCATAAATTGAGCATCAGAACTGTATGCAATGTGTTCAATGACTGTTCTCACAGGAAGAGTTTCTTGAAAACGAGAGGGATCATATTTCACATCTCTAAATTGAACACATTCATAATGTTTCACACTTCCATCATTAATATTATACCATTGAAGAGAATCAGTACCACTCACAAGAATATTAGAAGAATGAGGTTCTAAAGTAACTTGAATTTGATCCACTTGTTTTTGATCTAAATTAGTGTTCATACCAAAGACACGATAGAGGAGAGCAAATCTAGCAAATTCATATTTTCGAATAATATTATCTTTGCCTAATACGAGAATGACATCTTGTGAGGAGCTTGTATCATGAACGGAGCGGATGAGAAATGGATCATTTCGAAAACAACAATGATATCATTTCGAAAATAACAACATGTTAATGGATCATTTCGAAAACAACAATGATATCATTTCAACAAGTCAAAGAAAAGTATTGTACATGTTCAACAACAACAAGTCCACGTAAATTATTGTTGTTGTTGTTATACATGAATCATCAGTTCAACATTTCAATTAGAATGATATCAAGAACAATGATTGAAACCACACATACCTCAATGTAAATTGTTGAATGGCTGTATCTGTTACTAAAAATTTATCCTTCTTTTGTGAAGGTAATCTCCAACACACAACCACTCCTTCAATACCACTTGAATATAAATAATCACCTTCTTCACTAAATTGTAAACAAGTAACAATGGATGGATGCCAATGATGAGAAGATCTTGTTCCATCTGAAAACCATAATGAAATGACACCACGTGCATCAGCAGTTGCAAGAATTTCCAATTCTTCACAAAATGCCATTGCTGTTAAAGGAATACCTTCATTGGTTTGTGTTGTTTCTAATTCTTGTTTCTTTAAATTATAAATATAGAGATCAACACCACCAATAGCAAATAAATGAGTCTTTGAAATGTTCATTTGTGTGAATTGATACATTTGTAAGAGATATGATGTATTGGTTGTAGTCGTAGTAGTATTGGTTGTCGTACCATTCATTGTCGTAGTAGTATGGGTTGTGGTAGTACCATTCATTGTCGTACTATTAGTTGTCGTACCATTCATTGTGGTAGTAGTATTGGTCATACCACTAGTTTGAATCATAGTACGATCATGTTCTGAACAAGTTTCAAGATTCAACTTGATGAAACTATAGAAATGATCCAATACACACAAATATAAAATTTGAGAATTTGTCTTGTCTTGTTGAATTCCATAAATTGGTTTTCCAATATTCACTTGTTTGAGTAATTGAGATTGATTCTTTTCAATCATGATATTCCAATGACACAAATATCCATCTTCAGAGACACTAAATAATGAACATTCATTGTTATCATCTCTAATAATTTGTGTTACTTTCTTTTTATGGAATGTAATGGTGTGAATGTGTTTACCAGTACTATTAGAATAGACTGCAATATTTTGAGAGAGTGGAACACAAAAGATGTTTTCATCATCTAATAAGAGAGGACGTGAATTGAAAGATCCTCCGATTTGATAATGAATGGAATGAGAATGGTTCGGAGTAGTGGCGCTCTTATTTTGAGAAGAGGAGTTGTTACTTGTTCGAACAACACTTGAAGGTGTTGCCTTTTCCTTTAATAACCTCGAACCCTGTTGTGTCTTTTTCTTTGAAGAGGGTGTTGTTGTTGCTGTCAATGAAGAAGAGGAGAGAATGGTCATTTTTTTTTCGTTTCATTCAACAACTTTATTCACCATAATCCATGAAAACCCCGAGTTGTGAGGGGATTGGTACGCCAGAGAATGTTAATTGTAAACAAGGAAAAGACAAAATCTCTCAACCAACAACAACAACGTGTTGTACCTAATAAATACAAATTTTATGAAGAGTTATTGGAAGATGTTGCTTCTGAGGTATTCTGTTCTTTCTTTGCTTGTTTCTTTTTCATGTAATCTTCAGTGGCCTTTCTAATCGCCTCTTCTGCTAATAAACTACAATGTTTCTTGACTGGTGGTAAACTCAAATGGCTGGCAATATCATTGTTTGTAATCATCATACAATCTTCAATCGTTTTACCCTTGACGAGTTCAGTGGCATAACTTGAAGATGCAATAGCACTACCACAACCAAAGGCTTTGAATTTGGCATCAATGACTCGACCATTATCGTCCACTAGAATTTGGAATTTTAAGACATCTCCGCATGAGGGTCTGCGTCGAGTGTTTTGTGTGTGTGTTGTGGATTTAAAAATTCCAAATGTTAAATAGAATGATGTTTCATCAACGTTTTTTTGACGAAGAAATAATTCATCCATGATTTAAAAAGTTATTTCCAATCCATTCATGAATGCAATTTGAAATCATTTCATCATGGATTATTCATGGGTTATAGTCGTGATTATTTTAAATAATTCTACCATTTCATTATCGGAGTACTTACGCACCAACTAATGCACTTCCTACATTCTCATCTTTAGCATCCAATGATCCGGTGTTTCTTGGATTCTTGTGATGATCAATCACTTTTTCGCTGTATTTAGTTCTCACTTGTTGTTGATTATTTATAAATTGAGAGAAGAGAGTAGAGGCTGGAGAAGATCGAATAGTTGTATTCTTTGATTTTAAGAGAAGGGAGGCAGAAGAACGAAGGAGCTTTTGAGACATTTTTTGTGTTGTTGTTGAAGTACGGAAGCTTGAATGGATTTACTTTGGTGAATGGAGTGCGTGCAGGTAGGTGTTTGATTTGCGTGTAACTTCAACAAATAGTAATACATGGTTAGTTGCTCTCTCAGAATGTCTTTTGGATGATGTCAACACATTGTGTACAGTGTCCGAGAATGGATACTAGAATGTGATGAAACTCAATTGCTCTGAGAAAACCATTGATGGATAATAGCTCTGGGACGAATATAGATCATATAAATAAATTTGTTAGTAAACATCAATCAAATCATCAACAAAATGTTAATTTTGAAACAAATCAAGAATATTCAAGTCTACTTCACCACAAGTGATCATAAAAAAAGGTTAGCTCAATAAAAATTTGTTAAATAAGAAATTGATATAAACCATGTTCCTTGAAAAACATCGCATTAATGCGACGAAAACATCGTTGAGCGAATCAACGACGGATAAAATTTAAAAAAGATCGTGGGAAAAAACCCATCAATATTGGCCAAAGCCAATCGAAGACACAAAAGTGTCAAAGGAAATCATTGAGCAAATCAATGATACATAAGGCAAAAGCCAATTAATACAACACAAAGTGTTGTTGAATTCTAAGTATATAATGGGAGGGAAGGGAGGGTGTTGTTGTGGTGCCAGACTGTTGGGAAGCTGCAGTAGTGGTATTAGTTTGCTCTTTAGAGAGCTGTTTTGGTTGTGGATTTGTTGACATTTTTTAGCCATACTTTTAGTCAACCTTATTGTTTTCGTTACAAAACACTTCCGTTCTTTTCAGAACATTCAATTTTGGGTGATTCTTTTTTCTAAAATTGAGACTCAATATTTACCAAGTCCAAGTGGAATCATTTGAGGATCAATTTTGGATGGTTATCAGTGGCAACTGGGTAACATGAATATTCACGTTAACCATCAAATCTGGTGAAATCTGTTCAACAACACACTTTTACTATTTCACCTGAGGTTTAAGAAGAATAGTAAAAGTGAACAAGTCCATAAACAACCTCTGTGTTGATAAGAACCACTCAAAAAATACAGGGATAGAAATCATCTCTCAAAAAATGAGCAACACAAGTCCTTCTTCTTCATCCTTGGACTCTTCACGTGTACGCACCAAAATTGTGTGTTCAGCTCCTGGTAAATTAATCCTCTTCGGAGAGCATGCTGTTGTGTATGGAAAGAACGCTATTGCAACATCCTTGAGTGATCTTCGAACAAGTGTTACATTGGAATTATTGGATCCACCACTTTCATCCACCAACAATCATCACACACCAAAAATTATTTTCAATGCTCCTTCGATTGGATTTCAAGAAGAGCTTGTGATTCCTCTTGACCAAGTTCATCGATTGATGCAACCACCAACATCAACTACATTATTACCACATGACAAGCCTGATCGTGGAATGGTTGAAAAATTAGTAGAATTCACCAAACAATGGATTCAAAATAATTCCATCACGACAAGTGTTGCTGCTATGGAGTACAATAAGATTATATCCCTTGTATCTGTTCTCTATGTGTACTTGTTGTTATTACAACATACATCATCTTTTCAGAATCTACATTCTAATATTCGAATTGATTTATCAACGACTAATCTTCCGATTGGCGCCGGTTTAGGCTCTTCTGCATCATTTTCTGTGTGTTTGGTTTCAGCATTTTTAATTTTATTTAAAGAAATATCCTTTGAATCGATTCAATATGAAAAGAAATGTGAGAATGATCAAAATACTACTGAATTAGAACTCATTAACAAATGGGCCTATTTCGTTGAACAATTAATTCATGGCACTCCATCAGGTATTGATAACTCGGTTGCTACTTTTGGAGGAATTTTGAGTTTTTCAAAAGGAACCGTTCAAGAACATTTATCACCTCAAATGTTACCTAATATGCGTATTTTAATTGTGAATACTCGTGTTGAAAGAAATACCAAGTTAATTGTTGCAGGAGTGAGAGAAAGAAGAGAAGAAAATTTTGATTATATTGAAACAAGATTGAATGAAATTCAACAAATTTCTCAAGATTATCTTGAATTATTGAAAAAGAATTATCAACAAGATGCTTCATGTTCTTTCTCGAAAGAGTTGAGAGATAAAATGGAGAAATTCATTGATCGAAATCATGTACTTTTGAATGAGATTGGAACAGGACATCCCAAATTGGATAAAATATGTGAAATTGCATCTAAATATGGTTTACATGCAAAATTGACTGGTGCAGGTGGTGGTGGTTGTGGATTTATCTTGTTGCCTAATCAACCTGAGAATGAAATGGAATCATTATTGAAATCTGATTTGGAAAAGGAAGGTTTTGAATATTTCATGTCCAATCAAGTAGCAGGTGTAGGTGTTCGATGTGATGAATATTATTGAGATATCATGATGAGCTACAACAACAGCAGCAGCAGCAACAACAACCATGAGAGAACGTGTTGAGAGGTTACGTCTGTGTGAGGTTTGTTGTTGTTGCGAGAACGTTGTGAGAAATACAAAAAAATTGATTGCATCGCTCTACTGTGATATTCGTCCACATTCATTGATTATTTCCAATAATAATTATTTCAACTCCGATCCAACTCCATCACGATCATCATCTTTTTTACAATCACTCGACCAATTTCATTGATCATGAGCCAACAACAACAACCTCATTGCTTTCGTTCATTGTCATTTTCATTACGGAATCATTTGAATCATCATTCATTGACACTTGCAATCGTAGTCGTGGTAGCACTTGTCACTCTCATAACATTCTCATCTCATCCATGTGTTCATTCATTATCATCACCATCATCTACACCACCATCTACACAACCAATACCACAAATAACAAACTCTTTAAATACTCCATCATCCAATCAAGATCGTTATTCCCAAAATGCAATGGCTATTTGTCGATTACGTGGCACTCGTCATTTACCTTCTCTTCATGGAACTTTATATTTTTCATTACCTCCATCCTCCTCACGAGATAATTCTCCAATCATGACTGACTCGTACAAAGAGTGGTAATGATGACACAGAAAATATTCTTCTCTATATTAATGGAAGTATCATTGGTTTTAACACGTTAGAATTTTCTAAACGATCTCTTCCATTTCACATTCATGAATTTGGAAATGTATTAGAAAATGATGGTATGAGTGTTGGTGGACATTTATTGGATCAACAACAAGATATTGGTGCTACCATTTCACCTCTCTCTATTCAAGATTCATTGAAAGTGAATAATATTTTAAATTTTCAACACTATTCTCATGCAAGTTCATTACTCTCATTAGAGAATGTGATTGGAAGATCCATGATTGTACATCATTTTGAAAATAATGGTACAAGGAGAATTGGACAATGTGTGATTGCAGTCATGCCATCCTTGACAAGAATGAGTAGTACTAGTAGTAGTAGTAGTAGTAGTAGTAGTAATAGTAGTATCAACAGTAGTGCTGGTAGTAGTAATAGTATCAACAGTGTTGGTGAAAATTTATCCAACTCGATCAAATCCATAATAACGAGTTCGATTGATTTTTCAAAAATGAAATATAAATTAGTGGCTCATTTGAGAGGAACCAATCGAATGTCTCAACCAGTGAATGGAACAGTAATTATTACAGAAGAAGACGAATCAAAGAAAATGACCATTTATTTGAAAATGTGTCATTTAATGAACTCGATCAGTGGTTGGAATCAGTTAGATAGAAGAAGAACATTTGGTCATGTCTATTCATGAAGGTGGAGATATTTCTAATTTGGGAATTTCTCTCATTGAAATGGATTATACTCGAAATGATGACGAACGACGACAAGACTATCAACAATATACATTTTCTCAAATCTATTCTCTGAAACATTTTGCAGGAAGAGCCTTCTCCATTTCACACAAACTTTCAAAACAATTACTTGCTTGGGGAACACTTGGAGTTGCGCAATCTCATTTAAATCCATTACTCACACTTGAACAGAGAACATGTCATTCCAATGAAATCAAACAAGATTTAACATTTACGGTTCAACCAACAGTGAAATCTAGATTCTATTCAAAGATTCGAATTGAAAATCAAGATGCTAATACTGGAAAAATTCATGAATTTTCTGGATTTTTATTATTTGATTATTTAAAAAGAAAAGTCTATGCAAAAGCACAAAATTCAGGCTATTCCAATCGAACCTATGAATTAGTAGTCATTCCAAATTATTTTACAAAATTTTTAAGTGTTTACTTGTTGGTTGATTCCAAATGTTTATTTTTATCAAGTCAACTTCACCTTACTCAAATTCCACTTGAATTGAAATTACAACAAGTGACCAATCATCCCATCTATCAAATCATATTCAAAGGATTTACTGTTGTGAATTCAGTTCATTGTGAAGAGTGGTACATCAAAACACGAGAATTATTTGGACGTGAATTTGAAACTGAAATTTCTCTCTTTACAAGTAGAAATAATTATCAATTAGTGAAGGCAATCATTTCAAAGACACCTATTGGACCTGTTTCGATTGAATTGAGTCAGGTCTCAGAATTGGAATATCCATTCGATGATCAATTAGAAGAATGGTCACAACAAGCAAGTGTCAAGTGTCGTTATGGAAATATCATGATGTTGCAACAGCAAAATAAATAATAATTGTTGTAAATTTCATCATGGTGGAGAGTAGCCATTGAGTGGTTATGAAATCAAACCTTAAACTTGTGAATGTGCAAATTCTTGGTTGATCCAAGGGAAAAGCATTTTGGAATGGATTTCTAAAAATACAAAAATATTTAGTCTTGTATGGACTTGTAAGGCAGTTATTGAAAGAGCGTGCAGAATGTACATCAAGAATACTCTCTGCATGGATAATCTTAGATCGTTATCATGTCGATAAATAGAAACACAAAGCATGATCCGTTATTGAAATTTTGAAAAAAAAAATACTCAAGCCTTTTCATATTTACGCTCATCCTTTCAAAAAATTGTTCTCAGCCACATCGTCGAAAATGTTATCATCATCCGAAACAAAAATTCCAATCCCTGAACCGGGAAAGAGAAACATCATGATTACAAGCGCTTTACCCTATGTAAATAATTATCCTCACTTGGGTAATATTGTTGGTGCTGTTCTCAGTGCCGATGTATTCTCTAGATATTGTAAACAACGTGGATACAATACAATTTATATTTGTGGTACCGATGAATATGGTACTGCTACTGAAACAAAAGCCTATCAAGAAGGATTAACTCCACAAGAAATTTGTACCAAGTACTACAAACTCCATAAGGAAGTCTATGAGTGGTTCGATATTGACTTTGATTACTTTGGAAGAACTAGTACAGAGCAACAAACCAAAATTGCTCAAGATATTTTCTTGAAGCTTTATCATAATGGTTATTTGAGTGAAAAGACAATTCAACAATTGTACGATGAACAGAGTGGCAAGTTCTTGGCTGATCGATTTGTTAAAGGAACTTGTCCAAGTTGTGGTTATGAAGATGCTCGTGGAGATCAATGCGATAAGTGTGGAAAATTATTGAATCCAACTGAATTGATCAATCCACGTTCAGTCATTAGCAATTCTGAACCTGTTCTCAAAGAAACTGATCATATTTTCATCAAATTACAAGATTTGCAATCCAAGACAAAAGAATGGTTCGAAAACAACAAGGATACTTCATTGTGGACAACCGTTGCTCGTACTATTACTGAATCTTGGTTTGAAAAAGGTCTTGAAGAAAGATGTATCACCAGAGATTTGAAATGGGGAACTCCTGTTCCACTCGAAAAATTCAAAGATAAGGTCTTTTATGTTTGGTTTGATGCACCTATTGGTTACATTTCCATTACTGCTGCTTACTTTAACTCATTAGGAGATGAATCAGTTTGGGAAAAGTGGTGGAAAGATCCTTCCAATGTCAAGTACTATCAATTCATGGGTAAAGACAATGTTCCTTTCCACTCTGTGATTTTCCCATCTAGTTTGTTAGGCACAGGTGAGAATTGGAAGTTGGTTGATGTACTCTCTAGTACTGAATATTTGAATTATGAACACTTAAAGTTCTCAAAGACCAATGGAACTGGAGTGTTTGGAGATCAAGCCAAAGATACTGGAATTCCATCTGAAGTTTGGAGATATTACCTTATTGCTATGAGACCAGAACAATCCGATACTCGTTTTGAATGGGCTGAATTACAAACCAAGAACAATAATGAGCTACTTGCTAACCTTGGTAACTTTACCAATCGTGTGTTGAAGTTTGTTCAAAATTCCTTCAACAATACCGTTCCAGCAAAGGAAGCTGAGTATACTGAGGAAGACAAACAAGTCATTTCTTCAATCAATACTAAAATTAAGGAGTATATTGAAAGTTTAGAAAATGTGAGATTGAAGGAAGGTTTACAAACCACCATGCTCATCAGTAAGATTGGTAATCAATATCTTCAAGATCAAAAACCATGGGAGTTAGCAAAGAGCAATACTGCTCGATGTGCAACTGTGATTAATTTAGGTGTTCAAATTGTTGCTACACTTTCTGCTCTCTTGGAACCATTTATTCCTGGTTTTTGCAGAAAATTGAATGAACAATTGAACTATACTTTTAGCAATTCAATTTTGGATGAATTGGATTTGAATCGAGTTCCTGCTGGACATGCTATTGGTGAACCCACTGGTTTGTTCAAAAAGATTGAAGACTCTGAGGTGAAAGAATGGAAGAAACGCTTTGGTGGAGGTGAAGAAGAAATTTTCCAATTAGATTTGAGAGTTGGCCAAATTGAAACTGTTGCAGAGCATCCAAAGGCAGACAAGCTCTATGTATTCACTGTAAAGATTGCTGATAATATCAAGAGAAATATTGTTGGTGGTTTGAGAGAAGCTTATCCAGATCCACAAAGTTTGATTGGAAAGAAAGTTGTGGTTGCTTGCAATTTAGTTGTGGCCAAGCTCAAAGATGTCGAAAGTGAAGGAATGCTTTTAGCATCTAAACAAGAGGATGGACTAGTCTCTCTTGTTACACCATCTGCAGATGCTCCTCTTGGCGCACAAGTTTATCCAAAGGGCGCTGCCTTTAAACCTGAAAAAGTTCTCAAAAAAGGACCATTGAAGAACATTTTGGACGTGTTGAAGGTTGGAAAGAATAATACTCCATATTACAAGGCCAATTTCCCACTTACTATTTTTGATGCTGAAAAGAAGCAAATTGGTACTGTCGTCACAGAAAGGGATATTAAGGAAGGAAGTGGAATTTTCTAAATCTTTTTTCTCAAGTTTTTCATTAAATTATTATTATTATTCACCAATCTATTTTCAAAACGGTTCAAATAATGATTAAGCCTTCGTTATGATGCTCATGTCGTTACCTCACAAATAAGGCACATATTATGAAGTGGTTCGAATTGAAATGAAAATGGACAACTGAAAAAGCAAAATTTAATACAATGAAAGAGCGCCCAGTGCAGATTTCGAATCTTCTTTCTTTGTTTTTTTCTTCTTTTTCTTTTGTATCTGTTGTGCTTCACCTAAATCTTGTAAGAATGAGCTATCTCTCTTTTTGAGGTTTGCATCTATTTTTTCTTCTGACGAGAGCGCACTGGAGAGCCGTTGGTACTATCGTCACTTTTTTCGTCGAAGAGGGTTCAGTCGATGATGAGCTTGCTTCTGGTGCTGCCTTACTGATTTCATTGTTTTGTTTAGACGATGGAACGCCATCTTCCAAGTCATCTTCATCCTCAAGCTGTACTCGCTTATGACTTCTAGAAAATTCTTGAATTTCTCTCAATTCGTCCTCATTAAATTCATGTTCAGTGGTCGCTCTTGCTTCCTCTTCCTCCAATTGTTCAATTTGTAATTTTTCAAGTAAAGAATCCGCAGATATCTTGTTATGTAGTTGTTTGATAGTTTTAATAGAATCCAAAATATCCAAATCTTCAATTTCTTGTTTCGAATCTAGAGTTTTGTTTTCCAATTTTTTCATGGCATCCTCACCATGATCGTAAAGTTGAGCATTGATATCTTCATGAACACGAGCATGAGATGGATACGATCGAACACAATTATGTTCAGCAACGTAATCACTATTTTTTGGGTCTGTTTTAAAAGTCACTTCGCTCGCACATCTTGTACATCGAATATAAAATCTAAAAACTCTCAAACCTAAATAATCTTCACCGTGAACTGTCTCTTTTCGAGAGTTAAATTTCTTTCCTTGATACATAAACTCTCCACATACAGTACATTGAATGGTCATGGGTAACATCATTCGGATTTTGACTTGATTGGTGGTTGCAATTTTCCTCCTCGGAATGAGTTTAGGATCAAAAGTCGGTGGATAATACTTGTTGATAACTTTACGTTCCGCCATTTGTTTGTATTATTATGTTGTGTAATGATTTATCAAAGTTGAGATTAGAGATTTAGAATTCTTGGGGATGATGTATGGAGTGAGGAGAAGGAGGTGTGTTGTTAAAGCAATTTTTTTTAAATTGTTTTTATTTTTAATGCAATAACTGATCTACGTAGATTGAAGGTGAAGTCAAATCAGAGCATGAAATGTGCGCAGCCTTTGGTCACAACAATTTAGAACAGCTGTAGTTTTATTGTTTTTGAGTGAATGAACAGCTAGAAAACATGTTCTTCCTTGGACCTTGTAATTAGAAACAGGAAGGAATAGGATTCAAAACCTGAGTTCCCTACCACCAACGAATTTCATGTCCATCCAAAGAGCGCATCGTATTTGTTTGGATTCACTTGTCATCTGCCGTTGTGGTTATTCCTCATAAAAAAAAAAATGACCACCACCACCACCACAGGGAATGGTTTGAACTTGACAGCAGCGAGACAACATGCCTCTCGAATGTACTATGTGAGTATGAATGAATTTCAAATCATTGTGTATGAGAATTTAAATATTACGAATTGTTTTTGAATCAATCATCCACATGAAACATGTTTGAAACCATCGGTGTCGACGTGTTCTTTAATAATATTATTTCATAATCAACCATATCATTGCGACTCCATATTCGACTCCATGTAGACCAAACCTAAAACCACTCAAAAATATTCCTTCTTTTGTACTCCATTTACTCGATTCGTTCAATTAGGTCGATCTACCATGTTGTATTTATATTTTAGTTTGATGGTCGTTATTTTCTTTGTGGTCTTGTCTGCATTACATGCTCCTTATTTGTATTTTTATTATCAGGTAAGTGTTTATTGTGTGGAGTTGGAGTGTGGAGAGTGGAGTATCCTCATCATGATGTGTGTGGCATATATTGTTTGAATATATTGATTTAATGATAATAATAATTACCTCACTCACTCGAATGAATCACCATTCTTCTTGACATGTCTTTGATAAATATATTCGTTTATTTTTTCTATAGAAATCCAATCCATCCTTTTTCTTTCAAGCAAGTATGGCCAATTTCAGTCTAGGTTCAAGTGGTGGTGTGAATATTGCATTTGGTGCTATTGAAATTGCAATTAGTATATTCTCAATTGTCTATTTGAGATTTTTATATTGGTTTTCAAAGAGAATGAATGATAAGGTAGCAAAGAGAACCATTTCAGTAGCAGATTATTCGTAAGTGTGTGTGTGAAATGAATCATGATTGTGTGTGTGTGAAATGATTGTGTGTGCGTGACTAATCTAATGTGTGTGTGAAATGATTGTGTGTGTGAAATGAATCATGTTCACATTGTGAATGTGTTTGCAAATATGGTTGATGATGCTTGTGTGTGTGAAATGATGAACATTTCATATTTAAAATGTTCATTCATATATGAATATGAAATCCATCATGATTTTCTTGAACGATTACATTCAGTGTTCATGTTCGTGATTTACCATCGACTGAAGCTGTTCATGGTAAAAAGAGACTCTATAAACACTTTTCAAAATTTGGACCAATTGATAACATTGCTCTTGCTCTTGATAGTGGTAATTTAAGTAAATCCTTAAAGAGAAAGGAAGAATTAATTAAGGATATTGAAAAGTGTGATATTATCATTCAGAGAGGAGAATGTTTTTCAAGTTTAATTGAAAGAATTAAGAGATATTATTTCACACAATTGTTAAATTGGACCAGAAAAGATATTGCAAAATCCATGAGAAAGAAAGCCTATCGATGTACAGGTGATGCTTTTATAAGTAAGTACTAGTGAGTGTGTGTCATTGTTGAAAATTATTGAATCATTGTTGAAAATTATTGAATCCTGAATTGAAATACATTTAGCCTTTGTCAATGAAAAGGCAAGATTTCAATGTCTTCATACATTCAACAAACCACAAATTCAGAAACTCTGTTCTAAAAAAGGAACTTATTCAAAGAAGAGACATAGAATCCGAGTAGAACCAGCTCATGAACCACATGATATCATTTGGGGTATGTGGATGTTGTATGATGGATTTTATTTCTAATGACATGTTCATGATATGAATGGATTCTCATTTTCAATAACATGTTCATGATATAATTTTAATGAATTTTTTTCAATACCCATTGAAATGGACAACACGATAGAAAATTTGTAAGTTTCCATACGTTTTGAAATTTACTTACACATTGGTGTGTATTCATATATGCGTGTGTCATGACATACATGTATTCATATATGCGTGTGTCATGTCTTGATCCCTCTTTGCACCACTCTTTTAGGGAGTATTCAGTAATTTCTAAATACAGTCGAAGATCTGTATCCTCTATTTTTACAATTCTATTCTCTGCAGCAGTGGTTGCTGTGGCTGTGGTTTTAGAAGTTGTGAAAAAAGATAAATTTGCAGATACAAGGTAAGTGAGAGTGATGTGGTGTTTAGTAGTAGTGGACAAATCCAATCTCAAATTTATATGACCATTTTTTGCTGAACTCGATACTCTTTTTGAAACCACGTGTTGCATGGACTGTGAATATTTTTTGCTGAACTCTATACTCTTGTTGAAATTGTAAAGTATTACTGAATGGATTAAGAACCCATCGTTTCAAAATTGGCAAATATTTGCGAGTATTGGAATGTCTGTTTTGGTTTTTATTTTGGTTCAAGTATTGACTTATACTCTATACTGTAAGTACTTACGAGAATGATCATAATAGAACCAACTCTCAATCCATGCACCTCCTCGTGTCGAACAGTATTCTCCAATTTTGAAAAACACAGATTTATTTTAAATGCTAAACAAAGCTTAATGATGAAAGTAACCTTTGGTTCCTTCTTCACAACCATTGCCTATTTATTTGTGTATTTACAATCACCTACTCCAGGAACTTATTATTCTGAAATTACTGATAATAGTGTGATTATACCAAAAGGAGCAATTTATTTAGGAAGTACTTATATTCCTATCATTGTGGAGGTAAGTGTGTGTTGATGTTCATTACTGTGAATTCATGGATGTATTTCATTGGATTCATTTGTTTACAAATGTTCAAATATTATATCATCATGTATGAATATATATATATTCAATATAATCACTCAACATAGTCCTCTGCATTTTACAGTTCCATCTTCTTTGTCACTTGTACAAGTATTGCTTCCAATGTCATCAAAGATGCCTTACTCGTGGTGTATCATCATTTCTTGAGAAAGTACAAGGTGGCAACTTCAGTGACTCAAAGGTAAGTGTTGTGATGATGATGTTGAGAGGATTATGTTTCTTTCAAATTTTTTATATATTTTTTCATATATATGTGTGTGTGTGCATGAAAATGTGTATACTTGTATGATTTTCAGTGATTTGATGAAAGCTGTTGAACCTCCAAGATATTCCTATGAATGTAAGTTGATCTTGTTATAATGGACTGTTCGTACAACAATCATGTTCCACCAACAACCATAATCGTGATCCTCAATGCGTGTATACACACCACCAACAACTACAACCAATAACCGACAACTGCAACAACCTACACAAAACCTACAACAACCTACAAAAACAACTACAACTACAAAACCTACAACTACTACAACAACAACAGATCGTTACTCATATCAACTCAAAAACATGTTCATTGGTCTTTTATTTAGTGGTCTCTTTCCACTTTCTCTCATGATGATCACCATTGGACTTGTATTGTGTTATTTCATTGACAAGTTCAATGTTCTCAAAGTGTATCGAGCTGAAGGAAAAGAAGTAGATTTACTCTCTCCAACTGCCATCAATTTTTTATCTTTTGGAATGCTCATGAGATATATTTTAATGTCCATTACAAGAATTTATTTCACAATAAGTTTGAATTATGATCCATCAACAACCAATCAACCCGTATTGAGTATCATTACACCCTATCATATATGTTTCTTTTCTGCCTTTTTATTGTATCTCATATTCTTAATGATTCATTGGATGACCACTGGAACCAATTTCATTCAAAAGTATTTGTGTTGTCCACCATTTAGATATCCTAATTATATTACTAGAAATGGAGAGAAACCAATTCATGACTATCGAGATGGTTTTGATAAATATGTTGCACCTGTGGATGTTCAAAATGTCAAGTATGTGTATCATGGTGAAGAATTGGAGAGTGTGGATTATGAAAAGAAAAAACAGAAAGATTCTACACAAAAGATTGCAGCTGCATTGTGAGTGAATGGTACCTATGAATGATGTTTGTTTTTATATCGATTGTATGTGAAGTAACAGAAACAAACTGAAACAAACTGATTCTAAACACAAACTGAAACCAACTGAAACCACCAACAAGGAATTAGATTCAGTTCAGTTAAAATTTTTTCTTACTAAAATTTCAAAAAAAAATTGTGAATGTCATCATCATCCTCTCAACCTTCCTCTTCAAGTGCACATTCATCGCTCGCCAAAGATGAATTATTACAACTCCGATCGAAATACAAATTCAAAGTATTGAGTGAGAAGGGAAAATGGCCTTTACAATTCTCTCTTTTACACATTCCCGAAACTGATATTAAAATAGATCCATCCATTGATGGCTTAATATTCATATTTGAAATAACGGAAAAGTATCCTGCTAAAGCTGACTTTGAGTCTTGCAAACTGATTAGAATTGAAAATTATACACCAACCGAAAAATCACCAAAATTAGCATTGGTGATGATTCAAAACATGATTCAAGCATGTCAAAAGCAATTAACAAAAATTATTATTGCTAATAACAGTGAAATAATAACAAAATTTATGATTTGGGAAAATGCTAACATTACTACCATTATTTTGAGTGGAAATATGGAATACTTTACAAGTTATTTGGCAGAAGGCATGCATGGAATATCGGAACGAAGATATCAAATAGATTTTAGCAAATATCCAAAAGAAAGCAACGCAGAAGAGGATGATCAAGATGATGAAATACCAGAATTAGATTTTTATTCGTTAGATAATCCTCCACCTGAATTATTAGAATCAAATAGCTCCGATACTCTGCTGTTATTACCTGCTGGTTGTGAGCTTAAAAACACTTCTATTTTTGAAATGAAACAATTGAGTTTTATTGCAAAATGCGATCGGTGCCAAAACGATTGCGAATTTAGGGAATTAAAGGCTGGACAAAGTATTGAAAAACCATGCCCAAAATGTGCTAAAACATTAACAGTATGTATGAAGCCATTTGGTATGACAGAGTCTAGCCTATCATTAGAGAGCAAGAAAGGAAATGAAATTCAAGCAGGATGTCCTTTTGTCTATTTGGAAACTTCAAATTGTGGATTTTTTGATATCATTCCAAAAGGTAATATTTTGGGAGTGTTGTGTTTTAATTGCAGTCATAGCGATCAAATGAAAAGTTTGAAAATTAAGAGTCCCAATGAAATTTACTGTACACATTGCCATCAATTGATATCCATCCAATTCATTCAAATTCAAAAGAAGACTGTTGGAGAATATCTTGCAATGATCACACATAATGCTGGACAAAAATATGACGACGATTCCAAGTCAGGTTCAATGGTAAAGAAAAAGAAGCATAAGGCGTTGAAAGGTATTCATCCAGGTGCACCATTGCCACGATTTGGTGTTTGTGAGCATTATAAAAATTCAAAGAGATGGTTCAGGTTTGATTGTTGTGGAAGAGCATTTCCATGCGATATTTGTCATGAGCAAGAATGTGAGGCAGCCATGACAGAACAAATGGCCAAAAAGATGATTTGTGGATTTTGCTCACATGAACAAGGTCTCTCTGAAATTTGTCACTATTGTAAAAAGAACCTCATTAAGAAAATTTCTGAAAAGAGCAGTGGAGCCTCAAAGAAAAAGTAAGGAAGTTCCATGCATGGAGACAAAAAGCTTTGATCATCTGTCTCTATACACAAGTCAAACCAAGACACAGTGGTAGATTTGCGGTCATTTTTTGTCTCTCTTTGAAGTCAACTGCGAAATGAGAACTCGAATCTTGTCGCTTCTCCTCTCTCTTCGTTGTTTTTTATTTCATTTCTGCAAGCGTCATGATTTGTACGAACGTGCGTGAATAAACAAAATGCTTCAAGACATTTCATCATCACGTTGGACACTGACAGCAACAACTACAACCACAGTAGATAATCATTCATCATCCTCCTCTCCAAACAGTACGAACATCAATCAAACAGACATTTACGGTGGATGCAATCCAATTCTTTTTCAATTGGGAAACTTCTCTCGGGATGGTCCCAATGTTGTCAATTCCATTTGTCCCGACACATGGCTTGTTTTTTCTTTCAGCATGACATTTATGACTTGTTATGTGATGGTTCTAATTCTTTGTAGTTTAGGTCTTTTCTATAAGAGAAATGGAGGACATTTGAAATCGAGAGGAATTGTGAATATCATCATGACATTGATTGCAGACTCTGCTTTCATCATTCTCATTTGTCTGAGGTTCATCATTGGACGAAGAGTCTATCCATGTGGATTATATATCATTAGTTATTTTGTCTTGCCTCCAGCCATATTACTTCCATCCATATTGAGATTATGGAGATTGATTTTTATGAATCGATTGAATGCATTGAAAACTTGCATGATTCATCACGAAAAACATGTTTCAATCCAAAAACAACAACCTTCATCATTCAATATGAACGTTATGAACAACAAGAATTCATCATCATCTGTTCCGATTCAGAACGACGTAGTGATGGAATTGAAAGAGACTTCTCCTCGTAGTACTACTAATCATTGTAATCATGGTGTTAATAACAGTAGTAGTAGTAATCATCTCAGTAGTAGTAATCATCACAGTAGTAGTAATCATAATAATGAAGGAACTTGTGTGAAAACTCTCGAAAATGACACGACCTTGAAATCTGAAGTTACGACTATGTGGTGGAACAATGTTGAATTTTCATCTTCTCAACAACAGAAACACAAACTTTACACATTATTTGTTTCGAATCGATTCATTATTTGTGTGTATTTTGTTTGTTTTTTGTTTCATATTTTACTGTACATTTTTTTTGGAGCTATTGAGGAAGGAATGTATCAGAGTCTGCAAGGAGGTGGTGGTGGCATGAATAGCAGTAACAACAACAACAGTGGAAGATTTATGATGGGTTCAAGTAAGTCAAATGTCTTTATCATTGTTGTTAGGATCACATTGTATATTGACCAATCATGCATGATCTTTGATTATTCTACTACTGTGTATATTCATTGGTTTCAATAACTACGTGTATTGACCAATCATGTATGACCTTTGGTTATACGAAAATATTGAACTAAGATGGTGGTTTATTCATTTATGATCGAGGATGTGTCTTGACCAATCAAATCATCATTCTTGTAGCTTGTGAATCTCTATTTTATATTATTATATCTATTATATTATTAATAATATGTTTTAGAATTCAAAAAGACACATGGTTTATCAAACGTGAATCCTTAATTTTAGTGGCTATTCAATTTTCTGCAATTATCTTATTTGCCATTTGTGGTTTTGTTCCAGTATTTACAAAGATTACTGATTTTTTCATTCCTTATGGATTTGTTCTCATGAGTTATTCATTCAGTGAAGTGGTATTGTGTATATTAATGCCAGTTATTTATCAAATGAAATTAGATTCAAAGAATGGAACAGGTGCACACACAACTCTTGAACCACACACTTCTTTTCATGGTACCATGACTAGTCATTCTCGAAAGAATGCCATTCGTACCGATTTGGAAAGATTTTTAGACAATAGAAAAACTTTTGAATTATTACTTGATTTTGCAAAGAGATCCTATTGTCCTGAGAGTGTGTTGTGTTACAAGGACATTGAAAGATTCAAATCATCTTTGAAACATCGAAAAAGTATTTCACTTCACATTTTGAAAACTTATTTGAAACCAAATTCACCTTTGGAATTGAATGTTCCAAAAATTTCACAAATTCATGATGAAATTATGAGATCCATCGTAGATGCATCAACCCTTCAGAACACTATGGTACCTTCAGTCTCTTCAACCATGTTGATTCCACACACAGCAACCACACTATCCTCGTCATCATCACCTACAACAACAACTCCCACCAACATTCCACCAAATTTATTCGATCACATTCAATTGCACTGTTTGCATAACATGACCGATGTTTTTGAACGATTGAAAAGTCAAAGTAAGCAAGCTCGTAAAATTCTTCAAGAATGGAAAGAAGAGGAATTTGGTTCTAACAGTGGTGGTGATGGTGTTGGTATTACTATGAATTCAGTTCATGGAGTCGTATCAACAACAATAACCACTTCTCACCACCACCATGAAACATCCATACCATCCTCTACCACCCTTCTCTCGTCTGGTGTGATTCAACAAGATAACATGAATTCTCAAACCTCTTCTCCTCTTCTTTCATCAAATAACAATGTGGCTCGAGAGGTGTGCTCCACAGACAACTTGAGTACTACAACCATACAATCAAAGGAATTCAAGAAGAAAACAATGTGGAATATATTTAACACATTGTGTTTAATGTATCGCTAGCTAATCATGGAACGTTATGGATATCCGTTATTTCAACTCTTTCCTTAAAAGACAATGGCTCCCTACTTTGTCAAGTTCACCTTCTTCCAAGAAGAGATAATATATTATGATATCTCACGATTATCATTTCATATTGGAAAAACGCAACCCTGCACACTCAATCCAACCACAGTGCACTGTCACAACCTATCAGGTACAACAACACCACAAAATGCATCTACGTCATCATGCCACAGACACACCTTCTTCAACCTTCTTCCATGTATCATCATCATCTTGGTGGATACAATCATTCCTTTCCAAGCTACTGAACATGTTTCATCATCATTTACCAACCACAACAACACCACCACAACAACAACAACCATATATTCGAGCATGACTACAACACTCAATGCATTCAATACACTACTACTTTTACAATACTGAACTCGACCCATAACCACTCTACAAATAATAATAATATTCAAAACAACAATCAAACCTTAGATCTTGCCAATTGTAATCCCATATTATTTGAAATGGGTAACTTCTCTCGTAATGGTCCTACTGTATTTAATGGAATATGTCCCGAAACATGGCTCTCATCCATCTTTTCCATATTCTTTATGACTTGTTATGTGGTAGTGATGATTTTGTGTGGCATTGGTTTTTACTACAAACGAAATGGAGGACATTTGAAAGCGAGAGGTCTCATGAATATCATCATGACCTTGATGGCTGATTCTTCTTTTATTATATTCAGTTGTTTAAGATTTGGAATTGGACGTAGACTCTACCCATGTGGATTATTCATGATCTCATTCTTTGTGCTTCCACCAGTCATTTTGTTACCTTCCATGTTTCGATTATGGAGATTATTCATTTTGAATCAATTGAATGCATTAAAGACTCAGATTCATGAACAATTTCCACCATCACTACCATCACTACCATCACTACCATCACTACCACCACGAGTGATGCATTGGTGGAATGAACGACGAAAAGCGCAGCGTTCAGAACTTGAAACCACTCCATCCTTCATAAGGGATAAAAAGAACCAACGACAACTTCATCACGGTAATGATAGTGGTGTTAGTGGTAACATTCTGAATGACGATAATGATCCAGCGAACACGAATGCTCAACAACAAGAAACCATTCATCCTACATTAGCATCATCTAGCAACCACACCACCAATATTGCCCACCATACAGACAAGCTCAATATTGTTGAAGCCTCTTCAACATCCTCTGTTCGGATTAGACACCAACAGCAATCCATCATGGCTGAGGATGTCTACTCGTCGTCGACGAGCAAAAAAGAGACTCCAGTCGATTCCTGCACTACAACAACAAATGATGCCGCCCATCACAACACCACCACCACCTCGACAACAACAACTGTAGAATGGGCTCCAACCATCATCACTCCACTTCCCTCCATGGACGGAATTTCCCCAACTAGTCCTATGGTTCATTCTGAAAATGTCATGGAAGATGATGGTCGATCAGAAGCAACATGGTGGACTGGAAATAATATCGAATTTACCAAAAGACAACAACAAAAACATGTCATTTATTCATTACTAGTTTCTAATCGATTCATTTTGGGAACTTATATGACATGCTTTTTATTTCATATTTTGCTCTATGTGCTTTAGGGGGAATTGAGGAGGGTATTTATCAGAATAACATTCATAATGGTCATTCTTCAACAAGTCGTTTCATGATGGGTGCATGTAAGTATCATGTACAACATGGTGTATTGAGAGGTTTTATTATTTCAAAGTTGGTGGACTATTTATGTATGATAAGGGTTGTGTCATTTCAATGCCCATTATCATTCTCGTTGCGTGTGAATCCATTTCTTATATTGTTGTTACTGTTGTACTATTAATTTTGAGTTTTAGAATTGAAAAGGGTAAGTATCTTAATTATAATTTTGCGTTATGAAATGACATGTTAACACGAACACTCATCATGAACACACATGCATGGCGCTCACTTTTTCAAATTAATGGAATGACACATCAAAAGATACATGGTTTATCAAACGCGAAACATTGGTTTTAGTAGTTTTTCAATTTTCTGCAATCATACTATTTGCCATATTTGGATCAATTCCAATATTTACGAAATTTCTCGATTACTATATACCCTATGGTTTTACACTCTTAACATATTCCTTTTTGGAGGTTATTTTATGTGTATTGATGCCAATTATCTATCAATTTGTTTTAGATAAGAAGCAACAATTGGTCATGCAAAATGAAAAACACTTGGAAGAGACATTACTGGTTCAATTTTTAAAGAACAGAAAAACTTTTGAATTATTACTTGATTTTGCAAAGAGATCCTATTGTCCTGAGAGTGTGTTGTGTTACAAGGACATTGAAAGATTCAAATCATCTTTGAAACATCGAAAAAGTATTTCACTTCACATTTTGAAAACTTATTTGAAACCAAATTCACCTTTGGAATTGAATGTTCCAAAAATTTCACAAATTCATGATGAAATTCAGAAAGTAATTACCGAGTCAACACCCACCAACATTCCACCAAATTTATTCGATCACATTCAATTGCACTGTTTGCATGACATGACCGATGTTTTTGAACGACTGAAAATCCACCATAAGGAAGCTCGTAAAATCCTTCAAGAATGGAAAGAGAATATTCCTCCCTCAATCAGCAACACTATTGTGGTTTCAGCAAGCGAGCCAATCCTATACTCAACCTTCTGAGAACCAAGCTTCACCCTCAAACATTCCACCAACATCTTGTCATTGAATCCTTGTGCCAGACACGTGTTCTTCTATTTTTGCAAATAAAAAATATGAACCTCGAGCAATGGTACTTCTCGATACCTGTCATCACTCGGACATTCCTCACGCTCTCCACGATCACGAGCTTTGCTGTTACGTTTGACTTGTTGAGCCCTCTTCAACTCTATTTAAATTTCCACAGTGTATTTTATCAATATCAGGTAAGTTTACGGGATGATGATCAGTTCACCATTTTCTTAATAATATGTAAATATTTGTGATGATCATGTTTCCGATGAAATTATTAGCTATGGCGATTAATTACCAACTTTTTATTCTTTGATAAATTCAGTATTAATTTTATACTTCATTTGTACTTCCTCTATTTCTATTGTAGGAGGCTTGAAGAGCATTCATTTCATAGAAAAACAGCAGATTTCTTTTATTTAATATTATTCGGATCAGTTGCAATGATTTGTATTTCTCCTCTTCTGCAACTTCCGTTCATGAGTCATTCTCTAGTAATAATGTTACTTTATATTTGGAGTAGAAGAAATCCTCATGAACAATTTCGTATTTATGGAATATTTACTGTCGCTGCTGGATATCTTTCATGGGTTCTGTTAGGAGTTGGATTATTGATGGGAATGAGTCCTGTTGTGGATTTAGTTGGAATTGCTGTTGGCATGTTTACTTTTTCTTGAAAGATGTTATTCCTGGCGAGTTTTCAAATGTTGATCCCATGAAAACTCCCTCATTTCTTTGTAAATTATTTCCTGGAGATCATCAAGAAATCGAGCATGCTCCAGTATTTAGGGATCCACCCAATTTCTTTGACGTGAATAGAAATGAGGAGGAAGAACGAATGCGAGAACAGATTGCACAAAATAGAGAAAATGCAGCAGATCATGCTACTAATGCTGATGGAGGTGTTGAAGATGAGACACCCCACCACGATAACTTGTCTAACAGCAATCAAGGAACCGGTCCAACGGAGTTACACCGTAGACACACGTCAAGAGATGAACATGGCGAAGACAACGAGTAATTTTTCGTTGCTGCTTGTAAATAATCTAATTTGTTACAGAACTTGCTCATAAATTATGCATTTTCATTGTGTTGTGTGATCTTGGCACTGGTTGTTAGAAATGCTTCAAAGTAGGCATCAATTTCTTTTTTCTTGACCTGTTCTAAGGTAGCAGGATTCCATTTTGGATTCTTGTCTTTGTCAACGAGTAAGGCTCTTACACCTTCAAAGAAATCATGTCCAAACATCATGTGCTTTGCAATTCCTAATTCCATGTCAAAACATTCCTTATAACCTAACACTGCTCCCATCCTTAATTGTCTGTGGACAACCCTTAAACTTGTAGGTGACATTTGTTCCAAAGTTTTCAAAGTATGCTCAGCATGATGAGTATTCAATTTCTTTAAACCTTCAACAATGTCATGAACGGTTGGATTCACAGATGGGTCAAACAATGAAATTTCCTTTTCGTGGTGTAGGAAGGATTTAGCATGAGATGTGTTAAGATATTGTTCTTGAGGGAAATGCTTGGTGATTTCGTTTCCGATCATTTGTGGAGAAACGAATCCATTGTGTGTGTCTCTACTGAGTTTGACAACAAGTTCTTCTAATTCTCCCAACTTGTCTGATGGTACAAAATGAGTGGCAACACCTGCAACAACACATTGCTCTCCTTTTAATCTTGCTCCTGTCAATGCCAAATACATTCCAAGCCCTTTAATTGGAATTCTAGGAAGGAAATAGCTTCCACCAACATCACAAAAGAAACCAATAGCTGTTTCTGGCATTGCAAAAACTGTCTTCTCAGTGGCAATTCTAATAGTATCAGGTTGAACACTCAAACCCACTCCTCCACCCATGGTAATGCCATTCAAAAATGCGATTTGAACCTTCTTGTGTTTTTCATAGAGTGTTCCAATCAAATAATTTAATTGATATTCTTCAGCAAAGAATTTTGGATCCTTGCTTTCATAAATTGCTTTAATATCACCACCAGCACAGAAGGCTTTATCTCCTGCTCCTTTCAAAATTATAATCTTGCATGGATCATTGGCTGATGATAATTGTTCATATCGTGGAGTCAGTTCCCGAACCATCTCCAAATTCAATGAATTCAAGGCTTTGGGTCTATTTAGTGTGATGACTTGTACGGATGGCTCTGATGAACGATCATGAAATTGAACTTGGGATTCAGTACTTGAACTTGTCATTGGAAAGTGGTTGGAGTGGAAGAATCGTTGTTGTTGCTGCGTTCCGAGAATTTTCAACAGAGAAGACTTGAAACAACAAGCCTTTGGACAAAATCTTGCTGTTGAGAAGTGTTGCATTTTTTCAAGGCGCCCATTTTTGTCTCTAGCCCAGCAGGGAACAAGTTGTAACAACCCAATTCATGCAAAACACAAAAACTTGTGCTAGAGTCATCAACGTTTCTGGTAAGCTTTTCACTCTAACCAAAGTTTCTTCGATCAGTAGTGGGTTCTCACACACAACAAATCCCTCCAAAATTTTACATTTTAAAAAAAAATGCACAAATGTCTTCTCTCACTACAAACCCCAACATCAGTCGAACATTGGTAGAGAAGAAGCCTTCTTCAATTCAAAACCCTCTATTTTCTTCATCACCATCGTCATACAAAAATCATCAGAGACATTCATCATTTCAAAAACAACATCCTAATACTCTATTAGATCACACAACTCTTTCATCTCCAACAAAATCAACAGCAAGCAAAGTCGAAATGAATGCAAGCTTTCGGTCGTTATCTCCACAACATAAACTTTTCTCTGTGCTCAACGAGCTCGATACGGAACGAGAGAATGAGCTGAGAGAGATGATTGACATGATAGAAGATCCAGCCATTGATGAGTTTCCAAGCATTCAAGAGCCAAAAACTTCTTCTAGTATCGGAAATCTTTTGCCATCATCTGGAAATTCATCGAAAAGCGGTTTTTCAGAAGAATTGCTTGCAACACGGCCATCTCCGATTAGTAAAGTAGATATTCGAGATGAAAAAGAAAATCATGACTCAGAGTTACCATCTGAGAATATTGTACCTGAACATGCTCTTCCAATTTGTCCTTCAGTTGACAATGAAAGATTAATGCAATATTTATCTTCTCTCAAAATTGATTTCGAAGAATCCGTTCGAGTTAGAAACTCATTACTGGAGAAACAAGAAGAATACACTTCGACCATCCGAGATTTAAATAATCAGCTTGTTAACTACAAAGAAAGAGTGAGAAAATATGAAGAATTCTTTGCACTCTCTAGATCGAATACATCATTGGAACAGTTGAGAGGAGAACTGCTTCAACAAAAATCTCAAGAATTAGAAACATGCCGTAACGAGTTAAGGAGCATGCACGATAAATGTAATGTGCTCACGACCGAACATGAGGACATCAAATCTCAGAAAAATATCAAAATCAAATCTCTGGCCAATGAGGTGCAAAGATTGTCACAACTATTGTCACAATCAGAAACATTGCTATCTTCTCGAAATAATACCATCAGAAATCTTGAAGAAAAACTCTCCGCATTGAAATCAAAATATTTAATTAATCAAAATAAGATTGACGAATTTGATGGATTTACATCAAAATCTCAAGAAAAAGTAATTTCTTTAGAAAGGACGATAGAACAACTGAAAAGAGAAAAAGCTGAACTTGATAAAAGAGCCAAAGGAGCCGTTGAAGATTTAAATATTATTAAGAAAGAGAAATCTCAGATCGAGAAAAATTTCTTTGAACTAAAAGCGACCCTTGAAGACTATCAAGAGAGGTTAAAGAGAGCAGAAGATGCATCTCAAAGCAAAGTTGTAATTGAGGATTATTCGAGATCTGTTTCTGAATCTTTTCAATTTAAATTACAAAAGTTGAGAAAACAACATGAAGAAGAAATGTCAAGAACATGTGTCGAGTACGAAGAAACGATCCAAAATCTTAGAGCTATGCTACAAGAAAAGTCTCATGAAAAGAAGATTACATTTGACATGGGAACTCAAGCAATGACAATAACCGTTGATAATTCCTCCCAAACATCTGATTTACCACTAAATGACACTCAAAAGAAAGAGGTAAGTTATAGACAAATTATAGACATTGGAGAATCATGTACTAAACTTTTTAAGCTGCAAAAACTCGTCGAGGAAGTCAAGAGGTTAAATGTGAAATGCTCAAAATTGGAAAATGAGAATACTGACTTAATTCAGACTCTCGAAAAAGAAAAACATGAATTTGAAATGGAAAAACAACGAATACTCTCTGAAAAATATTTAGAGATTGAAACTCTAAGCTCTAATATTGGAATGCTTGAAGGAAATCATGAAAATACAATCAACTCTCTCAAAAACCAGGTTTCTTCCTTAGAACAGAAACATTCAGAGTTATTTATTTTCACAAATCAACTTAAAGAGCAATTGGAAAGAAAAGAAAAAGAAATTGAAGAATTGGTGAACGATAAAAACAAATCTCTTCTAACTCTACGACAACAAATGTCCAAGGATAAAGAGTTTGCAATAAGAAGTGAATGCGAAAGAATTTACAAGGACAAAAACAAGCAAATTGACGAAATGAGAGAAAGAATAACCCAGCTGGAAGAAAAATCACTCAAAGAAGACATTCAGTGCAAAAAGCTAGAACAATTGAATCAATCCTTTAAGAACAGAATTGAGGAACTCAAAAATGATATTATCGAACTTCAACATGCCAAAGAAGTGAGCGAAAAAAAGGCAAATGATTACGATCGAGTTTACAAGCATTGTATCAAGTACAAGAAAAATTTAGATCGTCTAAAGAAGGAATTTGCATTGCTAGTTCCAAAGTGTGAACGATTGGAAGAGAGCGTAAAATTTTTAAGAAATGAGAATACGGAATTGAGGAGAAGACAATCCTCAGTGGATTAGCCTCTGGTGCATCTCAGATTGAAAAAATGAAAACTGAACATGAGGAGTTGCTCACGGAACAACACGACCACCACGATGGGCAATCATTACAGTTTCCAACGGCAACAGATGAACAATTCGGAAAATGTGATGATCAGCAAACGTTAAACGAAAATCAAAGATTCTTTCAACTCATTGAAGCAAGAACTTCCGATGATGAAACACCACTTTTATATGTATTATCACAATCAAACAAGACCAAATACATGCACAGAATACATCAATGGATCATTATACATGGATACCGAATTATGAAAAATCACAAATTCAATCAAGTGATAAACAAGTATTTCCCTTTTATGAGTCATACAAATTTTAAAATTTTATTATTTCTATCATTGGTGGGCTACTCTTATTTTAAGATGAAGAATCTCACTCCTTCCAATCATCAACTCTATAGGATGATCGATAATGTATGTAAGCAAGCAGAGAATTTCTTGAGCTTTGACAATTGTAGATTTTATTCGTTCTAATTATTGTGGTCAAAAACTTTTACCACAACGTCTTTTATAAGGGATTTAGAAGTGACAAGGAAAATTTACTAAAGTAAGTGAAGGTTATTATTGGTTCACTTCAAAGAGTGCCTATGGTAGATTGAGTTTAATAATTTTATTTAACTATATTTGTGGTGGTTCAACTATGAGAACATTGGAGAATGATTTCTTTTTTTCGTCTTCAGGAAATTTATTAATCTCTTATTTCTTTTTGTAAATAATTTAGAATTTACAATGATCAGGATGTTAGTCGTGTATTGACAATGGTTTGGACGATGAAAATTTGAACTATTTTTCAAAATTATTTCTCCTCTTCAACGGATGTATCCTTTGGTTGAATTAAATTTTTAGAAACAAGATCAGGAACCTCACTTGCCAACCATGGGCCTAAACCCAAAGCTAGTGCATGAGCAATACCAAAATGAGGAACGTTACGAGCCCACAACGGATGGAAGTGAAGCGTTTGACAAATTCGTCCGTCATGATACATTTTAGCTGTCTTTCCAATGAGTTCAGGAATTTTGAATTCAGGTGGTGTTGTTGGATATGTTACAGGTATCTATGGATTGATTATGAAATAAAATAGTAATATTATTTCCAGTATTTGAATTCAAAACTTCATCAACCTACTTCAAACTCAACTTTAAATTCATATTTCAGCAAATCGTGAATAAACCAACACTTTCCGAACCATCTAATTATTTTTACATCAATCATTAAATATTCCGATTATTGTTATTTAGTAATTTTAATTGATACTAACTTTGTTCCGCTCTTGTTACTCTGAATTGAGAACCATGCACTGTCATTTTCCTTGGTCATTTTCACGTATTGAATAAGGGCTCCATATTCTTCTTTCAATCGTTTTTCCCAGTCTTCCGTTTCTCTTGGACCAGCTTTCTCTTTCAGCAGTGGAATTTTCTTGAGAGTTTCTTTGGTGTCGTTGTCCATCATTTTTTTTAAAGATATCAAAGGTTTGAAGACTTTGTGGCCTGGTGATTGTTTTCCACAAAGCTTTACTCAAAACCCACTTGGAGGACCAAAAGATCACAAAATGTTACATGAGCAACATCTTTTCGTTCTTCCATCACTTGTTGAACAACCATAGCTTTCAACTTGTCGAACATAAAACCAATTCTTCTATGTGACTGAAGCAGTTGAACTTGCATCCTAGGGTGGTCATAGGTTGTCATGACTTTGTACATTTTCATGCCTGGAGTAATTATTGGCAAATCAGTGCTTTTACATGCCAAACATTTTCTCAAGATGGGTTCTTGCACTCTTTCATGTTGCTGGTCCACAAGTGTCGAATAATGAGGAACTTGTTTAATAAATTCCAATTGGTTTGGGAGAGAACACTTTGGACACACCACAAATTGTGAAATAAATTTCTCAATGGCTTGTTCCAAAGATCGACATGATGCATGCCACAAATATACGCTTGATGATTCCTCAATTTTGACACTGCACATAAATCAAATTGTAAATATTTCAAAATGTCTGTTTGACAAAAGAAGAATCGTCAGTTAGTAGGTGTTTTCGGAGACTCGAGTTGATCAAGCTTGTTCTTCTAACACTTACATTCGTCAGGAACTTGCAAAGCGTTGGCAATGTCATGCAAATTTGTTAGAATGGTGGTACTGGTATTACCCCTCCCTTTGATGATACTTTCGATTGATGGTCTCTGAATTATATTTTTTGGTTGTTGTGTCTTCATTCTTTTTGTCCTACTGAACATGATGAGAACATGTCCAATCAAAGCATCATGTTTGGGTTAGAGGCAGACAAGCCATGGTATCTTGAGAAGACACAAGCCAAGAAAAAACACACATTCAATAAAAAAAATGAGCTCTTACCAAGTCGGAGATGTTTCCAAGCTCTTCGGAACAGCCAATGAAGAAGCCTCATCACTTATTGTGCAAAATCATAATCAACAGAAAACTGAAGATGATGATTTTATTTCTAATTTAAAAAAGAGAGGCATTGATAATGAAGACCATGATGATGATTCTTCCGATAAAGAAACTAGAAAAAAACCAAAGAAAAAGTCAAAACCAGTTGAACCAAGAAAGAAAAAAAGAAAGGAAGAGAAGAACAAGGAAGATTCTGAAGAATCGGACAATGAGGACGAACAAACTGAGCAAAAAACCAAATATGATGCAAGAGAAGGTGAAATAGAGATAGAGGATGAGCTCGACAATGAAGAAAAAGAAGGAGCAGAAGAAAAGGATGATGATAAATTCAAAACAAAAAGAAAAAGATTAACCAATAAGGAAAAGAAAGAAATACGAAAACAGGATGATAATACTGTATTTGTTTCTAATTTTCCAATTCCTATGGAAGATAAGAATTTGAAAAAGTCGAAACAATTAGTCACAAAATTATTTTCAGTGTACGGTACTATTGAAAGCGTACGATTTAGATCTCTGTGTTATGAAAAATCTAAAATTCCAACAAGAAAAGGTCATTTGGCTTCTGGTTTGAGAACTAAGGATTACGGAAATGTGTATATCACTTTGAAGAGATGAATACACCTATGGAAAAGATTATTTCTGACTTGAACGGCAAACTACTGAATGGTAGGCATCTCAATGTGGATGATGCAAAACATACCTCAATTACCAAAGAAGAAAAAGAACGCTCAGTATTCATTCAAAACTTGCCATTTGAAATTGATGATGAAGAAATTTGGGAAACCATTGGAAGCGAATTTCCAATTTCTCGCATTCGTATTGTGAGAGATCCATTTCTAGCAAATGCAAAGGATTTGGTTATGTTCAATTCAAAGACAAGGAGACTGCAGAAACTCTGTTAAAAGCAATGAAATCAAGAAAACCACACATCATACAAGGTAGAAAGTTGGAAATATTAAAATGCAAAGTTTAGTTTTGATCATTGGAACTTTTGTTCGATTTTTTTTCATCAAGGATTATTGAGGATTATGAATTATTGAGACAGCAAGGAAGAAATAGGACAATCGCACTCTGGCACGTTAACCACTCTCTCTCCTAAATTTGGTCTCTGGATAAGACGGAATTACAAAAAAAAATGACAGGACAAACAATGAAATTGAATAGCTATTCATCCAATGATGGTGATGATGAAGGGAGTAGAGGTCCTCCTCGTCAGGATGATTCCTCTCAACCAACCAACAAATCCATGACGCCGCAGCAACAGCAACAACAATTTACCTCTCGATATTCTTTTTGGTTTTTTTCAATCATCATCATGATCGTATCGGCATACATTTATCACTTTGATGGCATTCCAATTGTTCAAACGATTGCTGAAGACTATTTTTCCAAGTGGTTCATAACCACCACATGGAAACACCACTCTCATGCCACACCAAATCTCCGAAAAAATTATTGGCAACAACAACATAAAAGAGGTCCAACAAACATTCAAAGAGAGCAATCCATTCATCATGAAACTATCGTCAACTTGACTCCAAGTCACTCCTCTCACACAAATTCTCATCAAGATGTCAAATTTTATCACTACAATTGTACCAGTGACCATTCGGTTCAGAGTCTTCCTGGATATGGTCCAGTCAATAAGGATGATCCATCATTATACTCTTATGCAGGTCACATTTCTATTCATCGAGAAGATACCAATAAGGATCGAAAAGGAGCATTGTTTTATTGGTTTTTTGGAAGGAAGAGTGAAGAAAGACCAATTTTACTTTGGTTACAAGGTGGACCTTCAGCATCTTCCATGATTGGTGCTTTTGAAGAATATATTTCACCATTTTACATTCAAAACTTGACTGAAAATCATGGAACATTAACTCTTCACTACAACAATCAATCATGGATTTCTTATTGTGACTTGTTATTTGTTGACCAACCTGTTGGAACTGGATTTGGATATGCAGAAAGTGAGAAGGATTATGCCACGACACGTCATCAAGTATCCAATGATCTCTATAGTGTCTTGTTAAATTTCTTTGACAAGTATCCACAATTTAGAGAACGACCTTTAATATTTTCAGGAGAGAGCTATGCAGGAAAATATCTTCCTTCATTGGGAGAACGAGTTTATTTGATTCAGAGTCATCATCGAATTGCTGATACTCCTTCTCAACAGTTACCATATCCTCAAATTCAACATTATAATATTCACAAGAGACTTTTAGGAATCATTATTGGTGATGGATTTACTGCACCCATTGTACAGAGAGTGTTAAAAGCAGATCAAGCATATTGGAGTGGATTATTAGGATATCAACAACGACAACAATTGAAAACTCTTCAAAGAGAATGTATTAGACATATTCAAACTGGAAATACTGTAGAGAGTGGATCAGCATGTGAAGATGTGAAATCCTATCTCTTAATTGCGAGTGGTGTCATTAATATTTATGATATCAGAACTTTTGCTCCATCCACAGATAAAATTCGTTTAGAAGCGTATTTGAATCAATTAGAAGTGAAAAAAGCAATTCATATTTTAGATCGTGATGAAATATGGGCAAACAAACCACAAGATATTCATTTTGTACCATCAAAATTGAATCCAGTCTATGACAAACTTCGTGCAGATATATTTGTGGATTTGAGAGATTTAATTCCACTCCTCACTGAAAAAACAAAAGTTTTATTGTATGGCGGAAATTTTGATTTACAAGATGGACCTCAACCCATTGAGAGATTTTTATTGACCATGAGTGAATATTATCCTATCATGCACAAATGGAAAGAAGCTCCAAGAAATTTATTGTTTGTGAACAACAAGGTAGCAGGATATGAAAAATCATTTGGTAATTTTTCATTTGTGACTATATTTGGAAATGGTCATTTTGTTCATAATCAAAGAGAATCCATGAGAGAATTATTGAGAAGATTCATTGAACAAACAAAATCGACGCATCTCTCGTTTTGTTCCAAGGATGAGTCCATTCCTGTTCGATTTAAAACATTAACACCCTCAACGTTTCTCAAATATCTCTATGACAACAAAACCAACGATCACAGAATTCCATGTCAGAGTCAACAATTAATTTGTGAAACTATTTTGAAAAATTGTAATGGACATGGAGTATGTAATCACGGATATTGCACTTGCAATACGGGATATATCGGAGAGACATGTGAAAATACTGTGAAAACTATTCCAGTTGGATATGAAACAGATCCGAATGATCCAATTGTTTTGAAACAGCAAGAAATTTATTATGGAGGAATTCATTTACAAAATTTGATGGCCATTACCACCATTCAAGTCGATTGGAGGCCAAAATTGATGAATCGTGAAGGTCGACCATTGAATCCATTTGATTACAAATACGATACAGTTTCCAAACCAACCTCAAAGCTTTGTCTTTTTACCAAACGTGGTAGCATTCCAACCATTGATAACTATGATAAGGTACATTGCAAAGAAAGTCATTTTGATGGTCCTCTTCTTGTGGTATCGAATAGTACAGCTTCAGAAGAAAAGAAGGGAAAACTTTATTTTGGATTATTTAATACCATGCATTACGAGGTGGAGTGTGAATTGAGAGTGTTGACATGGAATCAAGAGTATTCCATATTTCTGTTAGATGAAACTGCTGCCAACTTGAGTAAGGAAAGAGATTTTATGATTGGTCTGTCTGCTCTTTTGATTTTAATCCTTCTAGCCTTGGTTTTTCAATGATCATTAAGGGTCACTAGGGTTGTCACAGTTTGATGACGCATCATGAATTCTTCTCAACGCATCAATAAAAATATAGTTCACAAAAGTGAGAGAGCTCTTTCATCCACTTGTTCACACCTTTTAAACTCTTTAATTTATTGAAGCAAATAAACTTGCTCTTCCATAAAATTAACCAATGATGTTTGGTTTAAAAAACATCGTTGTTGCACACTCAATCTCAATCGAGACCACTTGAAATCTGCAATGATTTGATCTGTCGATTGAGTTGGAGTACTAGTCGTTGACTTGAAAACTGTTAATAATAAATACCATGCCATGGCATCATCCGAATTCAAGAATATCAAATCAATCGTTCTACTCGCTCCATTGTTTGTTTTAACCACGAATGAAATGCAATTTGTAGCTTCATAACTGGTCATGACCTTTTCTAAATATCTTTGGAAAGTATTACTTGAGACACCATAATGAACTGCTGTCACTTGTGACATGTTGATGTGCCGATCCAAAGATTGATGAATACGAGTATCTTCTTCTTGAGATATCTTTGAAGTACTCTTATGAATAGTTGTTGTACCCCATCGAATGACTTTTGCATCTTTAGATAATTGTAAAAATCTCTTCTTTTCCACACCCGAACAACTTGCAAGGTAAGGTAATTTAATGACCTTACATCCAATTTGACATTGATTCAAACACCAATCATGCCAACGATTATAACTTTCATCTTTTTTCACAAGAGGTGTTGTTGCAGTAGATGGTGATGAAATTGCATTGAATACTCCCAATGGAATACTCGATTGAATATGACGATGAATCACTTTTGGTGAACCTGTCAATAAAGGAGTTGAAACTGAAATGGGTTGTGACAAATTTTCACTCGATTTGCTCAGAGCAGATCCTTTCTTTGCCAATGTTAAATGATTCAACCATTTCGATTGTTCAGATTCTTCATCACAGCACAATAAATATTCTCTTTGATTTTTAGTGACAATCTTGAGTCCATATTTTCTAACTTTGGTATATTGAATTGTCTCTACACTCTCCACTCCAAATCGAACATTAATACTACTAATAGATACTGTATCTGTTGGACTCTTGAAATAATACAAAATGATGTCATGATTATTCGTACTACTTGCACCAGTATTGGTAAAGAGTTGTTGCGAGGAGGAAGCTGCTGCTGCTGCTTGCAATCCACTCATATTCATTGAAAAGTGTCGATTGGATCGAACAGAGGAGGAGGCAGAGGATACACCCAATGATGTCGATGAGGATGATGACGATGACAACAAGGAGGGAGAGTTTGTTGCCGACAATCCAGTAGTGGTGGTGGTTGTAATGTTGTTAGATAATACTTGAATGGAAGGAGTGTATTGATTTCTTGGAGAGGAAGGAGTGTTGCTGCTGGATGGATTTTCAAGCAAGATGAAAAAACGTTTTCTCCATACGACTCCCATTTTACGATCTTGTTTACTCATCATACCCGAACAAATAACGTTGGGTGCTTGTGCGACTTCATAGGCTGCTTTGTGGAAGTCATACGGAGGATCTTTGGTGGCCTTTTCAGACATTTTTTTGGTTGTTGACAGTTGATTGCTGTTAGATCTGATTAGAAGTGAGTGTTTGTTGTGGTTAGAGTGAGAACTATGGTTGTAGGTGTACAACTAAACTACTTGCAATTGTACAAGTTAGTGTTGTTTCATTCCAATGTGTCCTTAAAGACCTTGAAATTGTAAATATTAAAAAAATTATAAGAACAACGAATGCTTTCGGGTGGAGTGGATGAAGAATCCAAACAACACTCCAATCAAGCTCGCACAGATCATTCCGATGAGTTGAAACAATTGAATCAGAGTTCTCTTGAAAGACTCCAAAATTCTTTGAAATCTTCTGGAGAATTGGAATATCATTTCAAGATCATCATCAACAACACGAACGAGAAAGCCCATACAATCCAACTGCAACTACTGAAAGGAAGTATTGTAGATTTACCCTTCCGAGTGGATGCTATCGTGAATGCTGCCAATGAAAGCCTCACGGGAGGAGGTGGCATTGATCAATTAATTCATTCCAAAGCAGGTCCTGGTCTTGCTAAAGAATGTATTGAAAGATATTCTGGAAGTCTTTCCGCCGAGTATCCAACACTGAGGTGTTCCACTGGTCATGCTGTCATTACTCACTCTCACCAATTATCAACCAACAACGAGCACAATGGATGTGATTATATTATTCATACAGTAGGTCCCTACCTTGATGAGCAAGGACATCCACAACCCAAGCTTTTGAAAAGTTGTTATGAAAAATCGTTAGATTTGATGAGGCAATATGGTCTTAAATCGATTGCTTTCCCTTGCATTTCAACAGGGTTCTATGGTAGGTTTAAAACATTCTTGTCATGTTTTTTTGCTCACTAACATATTCTAGGTTATCCCATGGAGGAGGCTTGTCATTTGGCTTTGGATACTTGTGTACAATGGTTGAAAGACCACAAGGAGCACATGCTTGCTTTGGAGCGTATTGTATTCGTTGTTTACAATGACACGGAATTTGAGATTTACAAAATCATATTCCAACAAAAATTCTCTGCCACTGTTCAAAAAAATTTGTAGGAGCAAAGGATGCTAGAAGTTGTGTTTTGCAAAAGTGCACCAATAGCAACAACTCAATGCCACACAAAAAAAACAACAACAATCCAATGCCACTAAAACGTCCTTCTCACACAGCTGCTTCAACCGAAAAAGGTGCCTCAGCCTCGTCGTCACAATCTCCGGTTCCAAAAGCTCAACATCGACTCATCTTGAAGCTGATCACAACATTCCCAACGTATCGACCAAGCGAGTCACTCGTAGTATGACTTCATCCTGTAAAAGAAAGTGCTATGACGACGATTACCATTACCCATCACTCTTCAATGATGATTTCGATGAAGATTGCGAGGATCACAAGAAACTAAAAACAAATCATGGCTACCAAACTTCCAATCAAACAAAGAAGGACATCTGTGCACATGCAAGAACTCTCCTTGATCATATCGATATTGCCAAAGGCTCCTTAGATGATGTTGAAGGCAAACCTCCCTTACCTGACATGTTTAATGCCAGCAAATACACAGGAACGAATGTTCTAGCACTTGATATAGGATCAAGTTTTGCAAAAGCTTTGAGTATTGAAATACCAAAGGCAAACGTAAAATTTTGTCCTTCACGTGTTCTCAAATTTGAAGGCCTCACTCCTTTTTATTCCACCATCCTCAACTACAACATTAACAGTCAACAATTCGACGTTGGTCCGATTGACAATAATAGATCTGATTGGGTTGTGTTGGAGAATATTAAGAAAATATTTATGGTACAGGAGCTTGTACAAATTAAGATCAATGGCCAGCCTTTCAGAGTTAGCCAATTGATTTGTGAGTTGGTGAAAAAACTTTTTCAAAAGCTGACTCATACCAAAATTCAACATGAGGGAGAATTGATTCCAACTTTGGGACAATACTCTGCTATTATTGTTACTTGCCCTACCTCAACTTCAGAAATTACCAAGAAAACCTTTAGAAATTGTATTGTTCATGCTTATAATTCTCTTTTCAGCACCAATCCCATTCAAGAAACAGATGTTTACGTTGTAGAGGAATTTAATTTTTTAAAGTATTATTGCGACTTGGTAAGTTGAAATTTTCTTATTCTTGTTGTAACCATTGAAATAGGGGCAGAAATACCAAAGCCCAACCATGTATATTGATTTTGGGCATTTGACAGTAGACGTTGCTATCATTGAAACATTAGAAGATGGTACTACTTGTGTGACATATAGAAATGCAGATGTTGGAGGAATGTCTACTATTCATGACGTATTGAAGCAACATGGCCATAACTCACAAAATGTAATGAATGAAATATTTGTCAACAATACAAATGATCGCCTTCCAAGGAGACTCAGCAAGATAGTAGAAGAAGAAATTGGAAAGTGTTTGAACAGTATTACCACTCGCCTTCTGTTAATGGCGTTTCAAAAGAAAGTCAAGCATATCCACATGGCAGGTGCTATCACAAGCGTGAAATACTTCTCGGACAAACTTAGCGCTCTCATATCCAGTGAAAAATGGAACGATGTTGTTACGAAAATGAAACCACATTTCAAACAAAAGTACCAACAAGCACTAGATTCATCGTTTGGATTTTCTTGTGAAGTTTCAGGAACTAGTGTGCTTTTGGAAGGCGCACAATCAATGATCGAAAGATCTATTGGCTCTAAGGAACCCATGCCGATTCAAATCGAGTGCAAATACAACAATGAAGAAGAATACGTTCCAGGCTTGCTAGAAATGGATGAAGACAAAACATATTATATTAAGCTATTGACTAATATATATGATCTATATGTCAGACAAGATTTTGAAATTTATATCTTAAAGTTCAACTCAATGATTGACACATCAACTATTGATGCGATCACAGAAGATAATTACGAGCAGCTTGGTGTCACGGAATTCATTAGATTTACCCAAGTTCAGCTAACATTTGATCCCACAATAGAGACTACCAATTTTCAATTCTTTGTAAAACTTGGTCTTGAAAAGGAGTTTATGAAGACTGAATTCTTTTATACACACAATGAAAACTATTTCAAATCTACTCTCAGAATTGAAAGAAAAGGAAGAATGGAAAGAATCCCTGTAAATGATGCTAGTAAGATCATTTTCATAAAAGAAAACGACACACATACATGGTATGGACTTGCTATCAGACTAATTATTTTATTACTTAAACAGCAGGTCCACTGTAAAACTTGACGACAACGATGTGAGAAAGGAATTGTCTAAATCTATTCGTACCTCACTTAAACCACGACGAACCAATGCAAATACTTGAGCGAAGGAATGCCTGAGATTACAAAAGGCGAATATGATCTTGTCATTGAAGAATTGGAACAAGGTAATTTGTAGTTGGTTGGAAACTTGCCAATTCCCCATGTAAATATATTTGAGAAATAAATGATTGCCCTCTCCTTCTAATCTCTTTTTACCGCTATTCATAAATGAACCAATGGCGTGAATGTAAGAAAGAACTTTCACTACTAGCTTGCATAAATTGACTGTTAATAATGTCAATATTTCCAGCAAACTTGGACTCCAAATTAATGAATTAAAAAAATACTTTCGGAATCACATGTTCTCCAACAAACCCTCTGTGCCAACCTCTCTGGTGATGAACAATGCAATGGTATCAAGATATGCATGCATTATGGATAACCAAATTTATCCTTTTAAACAAACAATTCAAAACTCCATAATCATCAATGAATTAACTTTCAATCACGAATTATTCAAAAAGAAATTACATCAGCATGCAACCATCTATTTTATGAACATTAATAATATTGTTCCGAATGTTACCAGTATTATTTATATCAATGATAAATATTATGGAACTTTGGATAAATTGAATCATGTGCTTCAAGTGGAATTACTGCCAGCAACTTTGACTCGTATGATGATTAAAGAGATGAACACATTAATTTTTAACAATACTTTTAAGGAAACTAAAGAAACTCAATCCGAAATACTTGAAAACTACAAGGACAAATTATTTGAGAACATTAATATGGCCACTCTGAACAGTTACATCAAAACAGGAAAAATTCAACTAGATTCCAACTCTCCAACCATTTCGGAATTGGACAAATTTCTCGTGGAACAAGAAACCAAACGCATCAATGACACAAAAAAGGTTAAATCTATTTTACAGGTGCAGTTGAGCGATTTAACAGACAGATTATCTTTTCAAACAAAGAACATGAGTCCAGGAAGTGGAAATAATGACTCTCAACTCATTGAATGGGCAGAAAAACAATACAAATATCTAGAGAGTGATATTATGAACAAGTATTTGAATATCTTGCATTGTGTGAATATTTTAAAGTACTTCAATCTGAATATTATGAATGCAAGTAGTGAAACTAATTTAAAGCAGATTGAACTTTTGTTTGAATTAATTCAAGACAAATCTCTCGATAAGGTTTCAGCTCAAGAGTTGAAAGACAAAAGAAAAGAAGTGAATTACATGATTCAAGAGAGAATTCAACTTTTGAAGAAATTAATCAACACTGAAAATCCTGCATCGACCACACGTGTAGCAGACTCTAATACTTCCTCTACAAGTAATGTCACAAATTCTGCAAACAAGTCTATATAAATTTGAATATAACCATCCAATAATTCTAATCTCCTCTCATGATCATAGTCAATCCAAACATGATGACCGCATATCCAATATACCATCGCAAGGTTAAAATTTCACCAAAAACAAGCATTCCGAATACTGAAGTAAATATAAAATTTGAAGCTAAATTCGTTGCTGTTGCCGATAAAGTGGATAAATGTCGTAAAGCTCTGAATGTAATTGTAAAGTTAAAAGATACCATATGGATTCCGAACTCATACCTTGTCTGAAAAACAATTGCAAATGCTGTCAATGCAATGTTTAGGACAAAATACATTACAAACACCATCCAACTCGAAGAATCACTCATCATTTTACCACACACCGAAGAGAGGCAAGCAAAAAAGCCAGCCACAACAGAATTGAAAAAGTGGAGAAACGATGACATTTTTTTAATTAGGTGAACTTTTTACTTTTTTTTTCTGTTGGCCGTTCTGAGATGGTACTTGACAATGTCACCATACGACTTGAGTTGCTTTGCATTTCTTTTTACACTATCGTCAAGATGTTTAGCTCTTTGAACGTATTTGTTCTTTTGTGCGAGAGCACCAATGGGAATGGCTGCTATGTTAACAGATTGTTTCTTTTGCGATTTGACGGGTTTTTCTGTATTCAGCTCCTCTGACTTTTCGTTATCTTTTTCCTTCTGTATTGTTTTCTTTGTATCTTTTGAGGTTTTAATAGGAAGAGGAGCTATTGGCTCGTCATCTTCTTCGTCTGCTCCAAACAATACCATGTCATCATTGTTATTTGAGGTCGATATATCAAAAGCTTGTTGATTCAAGTCTGAACTTGCAATATTAATACGAGATTCAAAATTAAGAGATAATGAAGCAATATAGTTCCTTATTTCTGAAATACCTTTTCTTTTCTTTGAGCTTGTGAAAAATATTGTTGGTGTGATGTGAACAGACTTGGTGAGTTTCAATTCTTTAAGCTCTCTCAATAATAAATGTCTCAGTGTAATAGCTATCTCATTCAATACTTCAGATTTCGCGTTATCTACTTTGGTGACCACTACAGTATATGGAATGTTGTTTTTTACACAAAAGTGAAAAAAATCAATATCTGACTTTTTCAATCCAAGTTTTGGATTTTTCGCATTCATTGGATTTTGTTTAACAGCATCAATATATCCTTAATCTTCTCACATCCAATAACCACAGGGTCATTAAATATTTATCAAATCCTATTCTATTCACAAAATAATCTCGAATAAGTACATGCCATCCTCTCAGTAGAGATTTTGGAACTCTTGCAAAGCCGTAACCAGGCATGTCCACTATATAAAGCTGTAATTTTTTCAGTAGAAAGTAGTTTAACGTTTGAGTACGACCTGGTGTCTTACTAATTTTGACTTGGGTCGATTTTCCTTTAAATATTGACGACACTAATGAACTCTTTCCTACGTTGGATCTTCCAATAATTGCAATTTCAAATTTCTTGTTCGGCATCGCAGGAACCTTATCGTAAGAGGCCACAAATGAATGTTCAGTGAAATAGGTACTGATGTCCGTGTTGTTGGTATTCCTCACTAAATGTTCGGTCTCAAAAAAGTTATTGAACAGTATGCATTTCCGAGCAAATACTTCATCACTAGTTTTTAAATTATGAGCTTTGAAAATATTATCTAGTTCCTCTTCATTATCTGTTAATGATTCATCCTGATGTTTATTCTCATCTTTATTCTGATTATTATTTAAAAAACGATGAGCCATGCTAAAACATCGCTCCGAAGACAGCTTCCAATTAGGAATTAATTGGATAGGTATGAATAATTTAGAAGAAGGAAAAAGAGTATGGGTTAGCAGCATTGGATCATCATGTGAACGTTGGCAGAGTCTCCTTGTTACAAGGGCACTGAGTTTGAACATTTTTCCAAAAAGGTTATGGTCACTCATTTAAAAAATTCAAAAAAATAACGCTGACGAAAGTTCCTTCTTTTCCATCTTCCTTTCATCATCCTTGTTATCTATTTATTCAGCTTTGAACAACGACAACACAACAACAATACAAAATGAGCACCACACTTGAAGAACGACCACCAGTAGATGTTGAAGCTCAACCAAAAAAGGACAACCCAACCGTTCATGATGATGATGATACTTCCGATGATGAAGTAGACACAAGAGTACCTTTGCGAGAAAGAGCAATTAAATATCTGAAGAGACTGAAAAAACAAACGAAACACGCAATATTCCATCGGTCTAAAGGAAGAAGTTACTTTTGTTTAAATACGTGTGGATTCTGGTGCTCTCAATTATTCTTTACACTTTTCCTTTATGTCTTCATTGTTGGATTCTTCATTGCATACATGAGCATTGGATCTGAGATGATACCTTTCACCTTCATTGCTTACAAAACAAGAGATCCAAGCACAATCCCAGCCCCAATACCAGCTAGAGACTACTTTGGAACACAAAATTCGACAAGAAATTCAACAACAACTACAAAGGCAATATCATATTTTCTAGGACTTGACTAATTGTGTATTTTACAAAATCAGTGCAAATTTATTAAATATGATAGTAGTGAGTGCTTGTAGCTCTCTCATGGATGCTATATGTTTTTCTGCCAGAGCCAATCGTCTCATCTCCCTGACAGGATCTGGAGGAGCAAACTTGAGTCTTGGAGCATTTGTGATAGAAGGTTGAGATTTGGAATGGCTGGCATAGGTAGAGGCGATATGACGCTTTCTCAAAATTTCTAATTTGGCTTTAGCTGCTCGCTGTTCTTCCATCATCTTTTCATACATTTCATTGAGCTGGTTTTTCTCCTCTTGTTGTTTAAACTTTTGGATGAGCTTGTCTTTCTTTAGTAGCACTTTTTTTGTGCTTGCAAGGTCAATGTTATGCACTTTAGTTTGTTCGTCTAATGTTTGGATCATATCCATTGTGTTCGACTCGCTTTCAGACAGTAACGATCTAAGAAGCTCCTTGTCCTTTTTCGATGACAAATGCTCTTGAGTATTGTTTTGCAAGTCGGAGGAAAATTCAATTAGATCTTTCTCCATCAAATCTTTGTAGTGAAGAGGATTTCTTCTTTCTAATTGTTCTAACAAATCTTCATGTCTAATTGAAATAAGTGGTTCTGTATACTTTTTGTGACGTTTTGTTCTGTCAGAGTATGCTTGATTTACCAACAATGGAGGTAGTTGCATTTGAACTTGGATTTGTTCTAATAGATCTGTTGGTTGAGAAATATCACTTTGTTTGTCTGCAGACATTACTCTATTATAAACAAGGCGGTTCTCGTCGTCATCCAAATCGGCTGCGTCTTCTTCTAGTAATGTAGTTTCTTCATTAAAATGCTGCACCTTTCCAAATGATCCAGTTTGAGGTGCCTTACGTGCAATTTCTTGATTTAAAGCTATTAGCATATTAATTGTGTTTTGAGATGTGGCACTTCTCATAGATCTGTTTGTTGCAGTGTCTCTGGTTGGCCTAATCTCCATTTCTTCTTCTTCGTCACTAAAATCATCCGAGCTCTTTTTGACAGAAGTTAAAAAAAAGGAAGAGCCATCATCTAACGTACCAGAGGTACCTTTGGAATATATTGACTGGTTTTCTTCAAAGTCTGAGTTATCCAAGGCGTCTTTGTCCAATCGTTGGCCATAATATTTGAAATACATTCTTGGATTTTTTGGAAGGAATAATGGGGACTGAAAGTTTAAATCTTTTTCTTCTAGGTAATTGAATAATTGAGAAAATCTTTCAACTAGGGGTTTCAGGTCGGTTGCCATTTTTAAAATGTAGTCGTTATCTTCAAATAAATATACATCTCGATCTGTCTCGGTTTGCTTTGACTTCCAAGTTTCTGAAATTACAAATCAATATAAATTACTCTGTTCGTTCTACATACCAATGTACTCAATGATATAGAGGCTAATTGTTCTGAACAGTACAATCTCATCTCCAAGTAGTTTTTCAAAAATCTTGCAGTCGATATAACCTGTTTCTTTTGGATGAAGTGAATTTTTTTCACAAATATTTCTCAAACTTCTAAGGCTGTTTTCTCGTTGTTCTATGAGCCCTTTAATTCTTAAATCTAGCCATCTAATTTCGAAAACTCTCATAGTCTCTTTTGAAATTTGTTCAAAATTTTTATGGGCGTCATCATTGAAATGAGAATGCATAAACGTTTCACGGTGAGCCCAATTTGTTTCTGAGTCTTCCCACAAAGTGGTAAGTATTCTTTTCTTAGCTTCTAGTAATTCCAAAATAGCAGGAGAAATCTTTTTTCTACTTCGGCTCTGTGAAGATGAAATTTGTTCCTCTCTTAAATAAGAATTCATTAGGTCATCGTCGTCAAGAAACTTTTTAAGTTTTCGATCCTATTAACGACAAGGTATTATCATTACTGCACCATTACTGCATCAACAAGTACAACTTACCATCGCTTCTGAGTCTTTCTCTATCCCTGAATGGAACCCATTTTCGGAGTCTTCAGCTTTGCGATCGTTAGAAAGCGTTTTCAGAGATGTATTTTGTTCTTCACCGAGTTTGGAATTTATGGAGTCATGGCTCCGATCTACTTTGTGTTCATTGTCGGTTCGAAATGATGGCTTTGGTTTAATTCCGACTCTTTTCATTGTACTGTTGGCTCAAAAGCTCAAACGTGTTACTCCAGGTTGATCTTTTTTTGTTTATCGAATTTTTTCTTCATAAAGTGTAAAATGTTTTGGCGGATTGAAAAAAATGCGCCAACAAGAGTTTAAAATTTTGTGCGAGGAGTTAATGTCCTGTGATGAAATGAAGAGAGGTGGATGGATCTGGGACGGAGAGTATGCATCAATGACATCTCATTATTATGACAAATTGGAAGTAAATTGTGGCTCAAATGATGAGATGATTTCTACAAATGATGATGATCTAGAATCAACTGTGTATGAAATAACTGAAGAAGTAGAGGATATGAACGTGCAAGTGAATGTTGTGAGGAACATTGTCAATGATTACAACGAAATATTTCTCATTAAATATCATGTCGTATTTAATGAAGTGTTCAATGTCCGACTCTCTACTTTAACATTTATAATTCCACGGATAAGCTGTTGCAACCACAACAAGTGATTGACTTGTTTCAAAGGATCGGTCAAAGTAGAGGCTACATACCTGTTCACAATTTTAATCCTTACAATTTTATCACACAAGGAGAACATCCGGTTCTACAAACAATATTCTACTATATTCATCCATGTGAGACTCATTCTCTAATGGAAACTGTTTGTATGAACACTGTTCCTAAGAATTATCTCTACAGCTGGCTTTCTTTTTTTGGGAAAGCCATTAATTTACATGTCCCAATTATTGAGAAATATTGTTGAAATTACTTTTTGGACATAGTGTCGGAGCTCACTAACGAATTATTTTCTTCATCTTGAATAATGTTCCAAAGAAAAATACTGTAGTCACTAGAGGCGTCACACGCTAATCCAATTTCATGAAGACTCCAATCAAATGTTGTAATTGGTAGTGAGTGAGTTCTATAAGACTTAATACATGAGATTGGCTCCTTTTCTTCTTTTCCTTCATTTACATGCCACAAATGGAAATAATTGTCTGTACTTGATGTTCCAAGAATTTTTTCATCATGAGGATTGAACTTAATTTGAGAAACTGCAAGTCCATGGGCTTGGAAGCTGTGAATTGGTTTTTTCAATGACCTTAGGTCCCAAATATAGGCCATTCCTTGCTCATCACCAACTGAAAGCATGAATTCATTGTAAGGGTTTACGGACATGCAAGAAAAAATTATGTCATCAGGAGGTGTAATAGTATAAATTCGTTTTTGCTCCTGCTTATTCCATAATTCAATTCGTGTATCTCTATTTATGTATTCAATATTTGATAGAATTGTAAACAGGTCATGAAACTTACAATGGTGCAACTAATATTAAGGATGGATTTTGTGAATGATAAGTGACACCCAACACAGGAAAGGACGATTCATTGTTTTCAGAAAATATCGGTTCACTTTGAGAAATGTCCCAAAGTGCAAAACTGCTATCCTTGCTACAAGATGCAAATTCGTTTCCATCAAATGGTGAAACATTCACATCTTCAATACTCATGTTGTGGTGTGTATATCTTTTAATAGGCTTTCTTAATTCATTCAATGTCCACAGCCTCAAAATTGGATCCGTATGTCCCGTTATTAAAAAGGAATCATGATGGGATGTTTCCGATACACAGGTACCACCTGTATCAAGTCCTACGCTCTGAATTTCATCTAATTGTCCAACGCTGGATAACCTCCAATAATTTAGCTGACCAACACTGCGATACATTTCGTTATTAATTGCTCACATATTTACACCTACAATTTTGTTTCAAATGTATCAGATGCAATTCCTATCAAGCCTTTTTCATCATATTTTGAAAACTTCAAGTCGGAACAAATAAACTCTGTTTCCAATCGCAACATTTTTTCATCGTCGACGTGAAGATTGGGGAAGGAATCTGTGCATAAAAAAACAAAAATTAAAATCATGTCAATAATCAGTGCACTAGAGATTGATAATTAATAGACAGACTGCATATTTAAAAGTAATTATATTATTATTACTTATAAATTTAAAATAATTTACAAATCATCAAAAATTGGAAAACCGCCAATTGTTATACAATTTCGAAACAATTTTAAAAAAAAATCATCGAAATGGATCCTGTAAGTTTTTACTCGACCATAGATGTAAATAATAGAGCACTTCTTCCAGTCAAAGTTTGGAAAAGAATCGGAAAGATATGCTTTCTTAGTAACTTATTATGATTCACTGGCGGGATTTGATCGGGAATATCATTTGTTGTATTATACTTTCGACGAAACAATCGAAATGGTAAGTTCGTTTCGTTATTACGAAAGTTATTTGAGATTGAGAAGAAGAAATAGTACGATGTAAAAACTAAAAGAGTATTCCTTAAAAGAAGCAAGTATCCAGAAGTTGCATTAAAAGATCTCTACAAGGGAGCAATAGTCACAATCAACAGCCGTCAACTCAAGGTAACTGAGTATAGTGATGATTTTACCAAAAACAACTTCGGAAGCAAAAAGAAATAGTAGGTATTCAACTATCATTAGATCATTAGAAAATTATTTTTCATTTGTAGCACATTGGCCATGATAAAACCTGATGGAGTTGTTCATATGGGAGAAATAATTGACAGAATATGCAAAGAAGGATTCCAAATTTCAAAGATGAAAATGACGCAACTAAGCGTTGAGTTAGCTCAAAAGTTTTATGCAGTTCACAAAGAAAAATCCTTTTATAAGTAAGTGCTGAAAATGTGATATCGACAGAATTTTCTAATCGTGTTCTAGTACATTGGTAGCTTATATGACTAGTGGCCCAATTGTCGCATTGGAACTTGTAGCTGAGAATGCAGTTGCTAAATGGCGAGAGCTTATTGGGCCAACTGACTGCGTTCAGGCAAGACAAGTCGCTCCAAACTCTATTCGAGCTCTGTTTGCTACAGATAAAACTCACAATGCGGTTCATGGCTCAGACTCAGATGAAAATGCAGAAATTGAATCCAAGTTTTTCTTTGACAGCAAAGGAGAAATTCCTGCCACTGCTACCTTTGAAAATTGCTCTCTTGCAATTATACTTCCTCATATTGTTTCAGAAAAAGCGGCAATTGGTCAAATTATTTTAGATATCCAAAAATACGGGCTTGATATCTCAGCCTTAGAACTCTTTTCTTTAGGAAAAACAGACGCTTCTGATTTTTTGGAAGTTTATCGAGGAGTAACACCAGATTTCCAAAAAATGGTTCTAAATTTATGCTCTGGACCAATAATCGCTATGGAAGTCACGTCAAAACAGTCCATTGATGTTGTCACAACTCTAAGAAAAGTATGTGGTCCTCCAGATCCAGAGTTAGCTCAAGCTTTAAGACCTGACACGATTAGAGCAAAGTATGGAGTTGACAAAATCAGAAACGCAATTCACTGTACTGACCTTGAAGACGATGGCGTTTTGGAGGTTGAATTTTTCTTCAATTTAATGCAACAATAAATGGATGACGACATTCTTCACATGTGATTACCCATCAACTTCTGCAGCTGGAAAAAACACAAAAAAATGTCCAAAGTAGTGATATTTGACATTGGAGGAGTTTTAGCAAGCGATGGGTACAATGAAGTCATTGACAGACTCTTCGGAAACGACATCATACCTGCAGACAAATATGCAAAGATCATGAAATCGGGAAACGAGGCTTGGAAAATATACAAATACGGAGCAATGAACGAAGAACAATTTTGGCAAGCTGTTATTGATCCAAACTTTTCCATCATCGTTGAACACTTGGATTGTCTGCACGGATTTCCAAAAGAAAATTTAGATAATGAAGCCATTGTAAAATCCAATTTGATGCAATACCTGTCAAAATTCTTGCGAGACCAATTGATTCTCTTCAGAAACACTGTCGATTTAATTGAATCAATTTTTGAAGACATCTCCAAATATCCAACACTGGAAGCAATCGGTATTTTGTCTAATCATTCCAAAGAGTGGTCTCACTACATTTATCATGAATTGGCAGGAGGATCACTCGCCAAATTATTTGAAAAGAATTTAGTTAAAAAAGGAACACATTGTGAAGACTTGATTGTGTGGTCTTGCGATGTCAATCATGCAAAACCTGAAAAGGAAATTTATGAAATCCTTCTTGAACGAATTCGAAAGCATGTGAACAGTGAAATTGATCCATCACAAGTTTGCTTCATTGATGATAAGGACAGAAATATTGAGGCTGCTCGACAACTTGGCATTTCCACTATTCATTTTGATGCCTCCCTTCCAGAACAATTTGATTTTGCTATTTTCAAGCAAACACTTGAGGAATTTCTTAGTCAATAAAATTGCTTCTAATCGACCAGGCATCATGGATATTATTACAAAAAAAAAACTCTTCCGAATACTACATCCTCTACGGAAGCTGCCCATCATCTTCATCATAGCATTTTAATTTATTAGTCTCTCAACAACCATCATCAGCACAACAAACCAATTACCCTCTTCTTTTGTCTGTACGATTTTTGAATACTATCATAATACAACAATACAGTAATAACAACAACGGCATCAAGAACTTCGCATTCGCGATAAACACATCAATTTTTAATTAACCGTATGAAACATCGTAATAACACTAATAATTTGAATCCAACAATTACATCAGGTGGAAGTATTGGTATTTCTAGTAGTGGAAGCAGAAAAAGTTTTAAAGTAAATGTGCCCAAACCAGTTAACCTTCCAATATCATCCAGTACTGCTGTAAATACAAACATCACGTCTGGTAGCAGTTTTAATGGAACCCCTAACACTGTTTCAACAGGATCTGCTGCTTCTAGTGGAATGAGTAATGCATTGTCCATGTCATCGAATGTTTCAAACACATCCAATACAACTAGTAATGCTTGGGCCAGTAAACCTTTCCCATTACTCCAATCGAACACATCAGAATCATCACAACAATACACCGATCCAAGTATTCCTCATCAAATCGAAACCAAGGTTGTCAACACACCTCTTTCACTCCCGGTACGATCCACTAGAACACCAGTAATATCCTCTCCTGCCCGTAATGATGACAATGATGATGATGATGATGAAATTATTACAAGTAATCATAAAGGCTCTTCAACAACTACCACCTCTGCCACTACCCCCTCTGATTCTGAACACCGTTCAGATAAGAAATCAACACCACAAATGTTGCCTGGTGATAGCAACTGGAGTGAGATTTCTGATGACGATGAAATTTATGACAAGGAGTTGGAAGAACTCATTGAAAAGGAAAACAAATCATCAACTCCTCCTGTGAAATCGAAAAAACAAAAGTATCTGGAAAAGAAAAAACTATTACGTGAACAGGAGAGATTGAATGCCGAGAAACAAACTACATCAGTTACTTCCACTCCAAAATCAGATTCGGAATCGTCAATTAAGGCCACCATTACTAGTCCATCAGTCCATAACGTTTCTCCACCACCCTCTCCTCCATCATTTTCAACAGAGCCACAACATCAAAAGTTCTTTTCTCAATCACCTCCTCAGCAAAACAATCCACCTCCTTCTTCGATTCCATTATCACAATCATTTCCTCCAATGGCATCTACTGCTGTAACACCAAGCGAAACAACGCCAGTAGAAGCCAACACTCACAAACCAAATACCGTTCCTTCCTTTTTCTCAACAACTCGACCTTCGAACACAACACAACCATCACGAAACTCGCATCCAACAGGTGGAAGTACTTCTCATACTGTATCTCATCAACCACAAGCGTCACCTCGCAAGGACATTCCAAAAGAAGAAATTATTAAGAGTATTTTGGAACAAGAAGTAATTATGAACGAGGCAGCTGAAAGGAGAAGAAAAGAGAAAATGGAAGAAGAAGAAAGACTGGAGCGAGAGAGAAAAGAAAAAGCTCAAGCTAAACTGCTTGAGCTTGAAAGAAAACTACAGGCCAAGAAAGTGCTTCAACAACCTGCCGAGACTGAATCACAAAACCCAACTGTAACATCTAATGCAAATGAAACACAGCCTCAACCATTATCACCTCAACCACATCATCAACAATATGGAGAGGTGAAAATACTTAAATCCAATAGAGCAAATCAACAGCATGGAAGAGGGGGTTCCTCGCTTCGTCAACAAAGAAACACCACTGACACCTCTAGCTCAACAAATCAAAACTCTTCTGGAACCCAAGAGAAACAACCTCCAACAAATCCTACGGAACTTGATAACAATTGGAGAGATTCAACAATTAAGGTTCCTAATGCATTTGTTGAATCTTTCCAAAAATCAAAAAAATCAGAAATTGAGCATACTGTTCCACCTCGTGACAAGCACCATGAAGGAGAGGTCACACGTCATCCTAATGTTGGAAGAGGCTCGTACGGTAACAGGGAGGCAAACAGAGGAGGAAATACAAGAGGAAGAGGAAATTATCATAATGTAAATGGACAACAACCTCGAAATAACAGAAATAAGCAGAATGTTGTCAACGTAACCTCACAGAATGAAACACAGAATGAAAATGTAGAAAAATCAAATCAGTTTGCTACACTTGACCTCAGCAATGTTCTCAAAAATAATATCAATCCTAATGAGGCAAAGATTTCCTTTGGATTATTTGCTGATGACTCTAAACCCGCTACAACACTAAGCCATGGCAATGCTATTCAACAACAATCAGCACCATTATCACATCAAAACGAAAATCATCAGGGTGACTTAACACCTTCACAAGTGAATGTTGAAAATACTTTGCAGGACAATAGCAATGGAAAACCATTTAAACAAAGAAGGGAAAGACCTTATTCACAATCAGGCGGACACAAACCCTCTCATAGCCACCACCATCACAGTCACAGCGGATACAGCAATAGACGAAATAGTGAGGATACATCTTCTATCTCCTTCAAGAAAGTGCAAGATTCGAACACACTGACCGACAACCAAAATAATAAGGATACTCAACAATCTCACTCCAATGGAGAGGCTCACCATCTGCCCTCTACTGCAATTTCCAACATGGCTCAAGAAAGTACTAGTCAACCCTCACCAAACGTGAATCACAGCGATTCAAGACCTTCATCCTCAAGAAATCCAAGAGACTACTCCAAGAGAGGTCAAAACACTCATCATTCCAACAATCCACACCACCATCCAACCTCAAGAAATTACAACAATCAGACTAACAATGGTCAGCACAACTATGAAAAACCACACAGTAACAGGCCTAGGGACTCAAACTCTCGAGGTAGTTTCCATGGAAATACACGAAATAGAATTTGTTTTGTCAAAGTTGACAGTTCGAGCACTTCTAGCAACCAATAAAATTGTTACCGCCATAAAAAATATTTTCGTTACAATTTAAAAAAATAGGTTTAGGAGGATGGAGAAGATGAATGTAGTGTCATCTCGCCCTTTGATCGTAGATCAAATCAAGCATTTACTATCTCAACATTACAAAGAACTACAAGTTTTCGGATCATCATGCAAAGCGTACAGAAGATTTCTTTCTAGATTTAAGGGATGCCCTTTTCAACTCTACACTCATCACATTGATTTGAGATGGAATGAAACAATGAAAACATGGAAACACAAGTTGAAGGAGCATGAATCCTATGGGTTTGTTTTGAATGAATCCCTCTCCTTTCTAAGGTCTATTCCAGATCATCCCTTCCTTGGGCATTTACTTGACCTCAAAAAGTTCATTTCATCCATGCAAGAAAAGTTTAGACTTGCTTTAGATTGTGCATTTCGGAAATATCGTATACTTCATGAATGGATTGCCAATTTCCAAAGCAACGTTAAAACGCTGACAAAAAGTAAGTATATTAATTTTAGACTATCGCAGGGAAAGATCACAACGTGTTAGTACCAAGAGAGCATTGGCCGGCATGGTTTTTTTGTTCAGAACACGACGATAAACACCACAGCAGAGTTGATTTCAAACAACACGAGTGTTGCAACGTTGTCCCATATTCGATTGGCCAGAGAACAAGAATTCGAAAAGAGTGTTTTGATCAGATCAAAGCTTCTGAATACCTTATTCAACTCAAGAACCAAATTGACGAAGATATTAGAAGATTTGTAGCTCGATTTGGAGGGAATAATACGATTGGTGAGCATCCTCCATTACCACTCAAAATGAATTTCAAAGAATGCAAGCTTGAAGACGACTCTCATTTGAACAGGATTGATAACTCGTACGATAGGAAGGAACACAGGAAGAGTTGTGTGAGAGTACAACCAGAACGAACAAGCATCTCAGACAAAAGAGTTCACATCAAACAACAAGCCCTCGAATCCAAACGTTCTTCAAATTTTACCACTGAGCACAACCATGAGTGCCCACCAGCTCATGTGAGGCGATGCGAATTTCATGAAATGCCAGACCGACAGCTTGAAAAAGACTTGCATGACACCATGCCTTATGTGTTATTCAGCATTCCAGCATCCAGTGTTAATACGGACGATCGATTCAGATCCCACAATGCAAACATGACTAAAAGGAAGAGGCTTGAAAAGCTTGGCAAGTTTGACTTCAGTGACGTTATTTCCATGCAGCAGTATAAGAACCTGGTTCAAGACGTACAAGATGGAGATGATGTTTTGAATGGAACTAAAATACCAGCAAGAAAAAAGATTCCATCACAACATGCAGGTCAGAGATCATCTAAATCTTAATGGTTTTTGCTCAGAATAAATCAAACAATTAGACCTATCGAAACTAGTTACAAATTTTACATCATTTAATGTTTGTTAAATAGAGAATCTTTGACAGCTTGCGAAATAATACCTTGCAAAACTTCGGTGCTCAATTTGATCGAGTCTTTTGTCAATTTGTCTAATTGTGTTTCCTCTTTTTTCTTTGACTCCTTTCCTTCCATCATAAAACCAGACATTTTGCCACCACGTCCAATTTCATGTTCTGCCTTGTCCATCTTTCTTGCAATATCATTAATAGAATCATTAGTGTAATTTCTATTCTTAATAGCTGCTGATGAAGACAAAATGTTGATCCAATACTTGTTCCAAAGCACGTTCAATAACTTTGTATCTGTTGATGACTTGAAAAATTCAATCTCTAATTGATAATACTTGTCATGATAGACACCATAATCTTCAATCTTGTCCATAGGAATGGATTGATATTCAGAGCTAGATGATGCACCTGGTGAATAGCCTTCAGGATACGTTCTGAAAGCACCAATTTCTACTCTTCCAGCAGATACAGTTCTAACAGGGTCAACGACAATGGCTACGAATGGATCTTGATATTGTTGATTGGTTAATTGAGTGTTGACATCGATACCGACAACCAACAACCATATCCAGGGTGAGAGTGATACCATCCAACAACGTTTTCTGATCTTCCGACAAGTTGGCTCAAATCCATATATCTACCCATATATTCGATAGCTTCATTACCAGCATTAACACGAGTTTCAGTACCTTCAACAGGAAGAGCAAAGGCATCCATGACAATGAAGCAATCACCTTCAATTTTACCTTGCATCAAGCCCATGACTTCAAGAGGTTGACCCTTGGTAGTGTGCATGGCCATCTTCAACAAGGCTAGAGCAGAGATTTTAACTTTCTTGAAGTATTTTGGACTGAACAATTTCATAGGTCATCATCATCAATTATCAGATCGGGTTAAAAAGTGTAGCGATCATATTTTGAGCAATTACAAAAGCACATGAAATTTCAGCAACGATCATGATTGAATAAATATTGAGATGAACAACAAGTCAATCACTCACGATACAGTCGTATCAAATAAGACACTTACTCTCTTTCCCAAGGTCTTTCTTGACGGATCTTTTGTTCCTTCTCTTCATCGTATTTATACAATTGTTCATCGGTCAATTCCTTGATTTTATTCTCAGCTTCCCATTGTTTTTGGGCGTCCTTTCCAGATAACATTTTCTTTGATGATGATCAAGAAGAATTGAAGAATTTTTTTGCTTTTGAACTTGGCTTTCGAGTCTATTTTAAAATCATTTACAAAAATTAGACGACCAGTGCACACCAGTGATTTTGAAGATGAATGAGCCACTATCATCCTCTTCGACCAATGTAGTGCAGAGGGAAAAGTATTATTGGGACAGGGTGCTGAAGGGGTATGTGGATTGAGTTCGCTCAACTCTGGTGATTGTAATTGTACCATTTTCCTGTTGACATCTCCGACATTGTTAATTAATTCATTTATTAATGAAAATACACAAATAATTTTCAATATTACTGATGAATGAACCAGAGGGTTTTCCTATTAAATGATTATTTTGGAAAACGAGCAATTTTAAAAGAGAGGTTTAGCAAAAAGTATCGACATCCGACACTAGACGTAAAATTAACAAAACAAAGGCTCATCAAGGAGGCAAAGAATGTTGCAAAATGTAGACAGATCGGAATTCAAGTTCCTACAATTTATAATGTAGATAAAACGAATAATCAAATATACATGGAGTTCATTGAAGGATGCTCAATCAAGGAATATTTAAGAAAATTTGAAGTTCAAGCCAATAGCTCAGAAGAACATATTTGGGACCAATCATGTTTAGAAATATTTCATTCGGTAGGAAAGATTGTTGGAACATTACACAAAAACAAACTTGTTCATGGAGATTTGACGACTTCTAACATGATGCTAAGAAATGGAAATATTGACAATATCGTGATGATTGACTTTGGATTGAGCTTTACAACAACACTAGATGAAGATAAGGCTGTGGATTTATATGTTTTAGAAAGAGCTTTGCTTTCTACACATCCGAACTCTGAACGATTGGTATGTGCTTTTTCATAACACATGGATATCAATATATTTGTGATTTAGTTTGATCAATTAACTGAAGGTTATAAAATAGCTGACCTCAATCAATCGAAATCGGTTCTCAAAAAGTTGGATCAAGTTCGACAGAGAGGAAGAAAGAAATCAATGATTGGATGAGGTCCTGAAACATCCGATTTGTCAATTACATTCTGCGCGCTCAAAATTCAAAGACGACTACAGAATAAAAATGCCTCCCACGAACAATGTTGTTCCGACAACAAATGCAAACGACAAAGGAGGTGGTACAACATCATCGTCCTCTGAGGCAGCGAATGCCCAAGCCTTGATCAATCCTACATCACAAGCATTTGAGGCGCATTATGTTTTGCAACAATTAAAAAAGCGACCAGAGATGGAAGCTTTTTATCGGAAGTATGAAAGTACTCTCAACGCTCTGATCTCTTCATACACCAACGTTGAACGCCTTTCAAAAAAATGTGAGCAGCTCAACCAAGACATTCTAATCATGGCAACCAAGGTAAAAACTGCACAAAAATTGGTTGCCGAAGATCAACAGCAAATGTCACTCATCAAAAAAGAAATTGAAAAACAATGGAGTATTTATGATACTGCAAAACAAAAAGATAAAGAGGCACAGGCCAAGCTGGACGAACTTCAAGAAAAGTGCAATTTATTGCAAAAAGAAATTCAGCTCGGAGTTGTGAACGATGACAGAAAGAAATTGATCGAACAACTTGAAGAGACAGAACAAAAATTAAAAAAAGAATACGACTTGGAGCAGAATATGAAAATAGGGCTTATAAATACTGTGACACGACTCCAAACACAATATGATGACTTGATAAAACAAAGAGAGCAACTTTTAAGCAATATTCAAAGCATGTCCATACAAATTACTGACATTGAAAAACTCACAAAGGAAGAGCAAACAGAGAGAGACAAGGCAAAATTCGAATTGGACGAGGCGAAAGCTTTGTTGAAAAGCAAACTCAAAGATATCGAGGAAAAAAAGATGAAGCTCGAGCACGGAGAGATTGAGCTACAAAAATACGAACAAAAGCAGCAGAGCAAAGTCAAAAAACGATCAAATCTCAAAAGCATGTAGAAGAGCTGAAATTGAAGTTGGAAAAGTTGGAACGAGAGTTTAAAGAAGTCGCCAAACAAACTTCAAAGCTCAGCGCTGATAATGAAAAACTTCGCTCTCTTATCCACACAAAGGAAGAATCCATTGTTGCTACCAAGGACGAGCAACAGGAAATTGTCAAGAATGTTGCTCAAAAAATGAAAGAAAAGAAAAAACGAGAGGAGAAGAAAATGGCTATGGAATCTACAAAACGACAAATGGAACTAGAGGTCCGAAATTTAAAAGATAGCATTGTAGAAATGAAACGAATGTTGGAGTTTGAGAAGTCCAAAATCGAAGATCTTAGTCATCAGAAGAGCTTGTTGGATAAAAGCATTTTGAAAGCTGACAAAAACCTGGAAGAAGAAGAAAATACTCTAAAGGTTGTAGAGAGTAAGAGGAGAAATGTTCACTTGAAATTTAAGGCCTATGTAGAAATGGTAGAAAAAAAAAGACAGGATATTTATCGACTTAAAAAAGAAATTGACAAGTACGAAAAAGCGTATCTTGATGCCAAACAAAAATATGATCAGTCACAAGAAGAAATCAAGATCAAAAAATTGGAGTCTGACGAACTGAAAAAGAAAATTCGCGAAAGCAGGGAGAAGCATCGTCAACAAACCGTAAGTATGAAATAGGAATCTTGATTTTCAGATACAATATCGATCAATGGAATAGGCTTTGTACGACGCCGTTAAAGCTGAAAGAAACAGCTATAGCAAGAAACTCATTGATGCTGATTCTGAAATTCAATCAGAAAAGCAAAAGTTTAAAATAATGACACAACAAATCGATAAAATCAGGAAGATATACAAAATAAGGAAGCAGAATTTTTACATCAAAAGGCTGAATATAGTAAATTATGTTCTAAGAGGGAACTTTTAACAGATCAGCTCAAGAACTTAGAAAAGAGTATTGAGGAACAATCCGAGGTCAACAAACAATACGAGAAGGAAATTAACAAATTGAATGAGATCATCAAGGAGGCGGAACAGGAAAGAAATCGACAAGAAAAAGAACTTGAAGTTGTCGTAAACGATCGAGATATACTTGGCTCTCAATTAATTAAGAGAAATAATGAACTGGCAAGTCTTTACGAAAGAATCAAGAGTCAGCAAAGCTTAATAAGCAAAGGAGCAGTTCAATATCAGCAAAGAATTAATGACATTGCAGCGTTGAAAGAGAAGATCATTCAAGTGAATCAAGAATACAAAAGATTGGAAGATCGACTTCAAGATTATGATGAAAAAGAAAATGAAGTGCATTCCTTACGTCGACAATTTCTGCAAGAGCAATCAAGAGTTAAGGCGTTAGAAGAAGAGCTCCAAACTCCAATGAATGTACATCGATGGAGAAGAATTCAAGGAAGTGATCCTAATTCGTATGACATGATCATGAAAATTCAAAAACTGCAAAAACAACTCATTGCAAAAACAGAGGAAGTCATGGAAAAAGATTTACTCATTCAAGAGAAGGAGAAACTTTATGCAGAACTAAAATCTATCCTTACAAGACAACCTGGGCCTGAAGTTGTGGAACAATATAATGTCTATCAGCAAACACTCAAAGAGAAAACGAAAAAGTACGAAGAAATGGTCAAAGAGTTGGAAATTTACATGATCAAAGCTCGAGATTTAGAATTTGAAAACAAAAAGTACCAAGATGAATTTTTCAGCCTCAAACGTGAGTATTTCCAAAAGAAAGAGAAAGAAAAACGACAGTACAGAGCTTATATTGACTCTCTCAATACTGATATAGACCCATACATGGATCAACACATAGATGATCCTTCTCAATGAGTGTAAATAAATACCAAACAATATTATTTATCAACAATCCAATTTAGAGTTTGATTAGATAATTTTATCTAGAATTGGTGACATGTTTAGGCCATGCGTGCTTGCAAGCATTTCCTCTCTACGTGCAAAAAGCTTGTCAAATAAGTTACTCTTGTCCTTATTGGTGGTGTCTTCGTCTTGTTCGGTTGGAGTATCCATTACATGGGTGATAATAACTCCTCCTTTCCAAGTAACAGCATACACTGGAACCAGTTTGTCTCTTTCGTTACTGTATAATATTTTGATTCGTTTCTTTTTCAGTATCTCTTTCAAATGCTCAGGTAAGTGTTGAACGTTTGAAATCCTCCTGTCAGACAAATGGTAACTCCACCTAGCCCACCCTTAAACGACTTGGTTAAATATTTATCAATTGAGGTAATCTTTGAATGTGATGATGGATTTAGGACACTAAATATTTTCTTCTTAGAGGTAGGCAATAATTTAGTGTTAAAATACATATTTGTGGCAATATAGAAAACGTCGCTAGAGATGGTCAAGGTTTTTGCTAATTTCTGAGAGTCATCCACCATAATATTATGCACATGTTGAAAAGTTTCTTGGTGAGCACTATACTTGAGTGTTAGAAAATATTTTCTAATGTTTTCATCAAACTCTTTTAAATTACAAGAAATGTCAATTTTGTGATCTAGATTGGACATTTGAAGAATTCCAATAATCAAAGCATAAATATCGATCCCACCATATGGGAATGAAATGGTATTTGCTAATCTGCCGTTGTGATGATATGAATAAACAGATGTCTTTGTGAATCCCATATCGATCGTGTATAATTCTGTTTGATGATGCATGATTCCACTTCCATAGAGTGACATAATACTGTCCTTTTGTACTGATAGATAGGCAATATTTGGAAACGCCACAAGTATTTGATGAAGAACAAACTTCAAATGATGTTGCTGTTGATTAATTAAAATGTCGCTGAACATTAGCAAAACAGAATGTTTTGTGTTGTCATTTGCAATCAGCTCCCGCAGACATTTGCTTATTAGAATTACCAAAATTTCCAAGGCAGTATTCTCGTTAATATTTACATTTCCATCACATAATTCTGTATTCAATATGCCATATCTTATTGGAAAATATAGAAAATAGTCATTAGGGTACTTTCTCTTCAGTTCTAAAGCGTCATTTCCCACTGGCAAATTCGTCAACAGCTTTGCTGAAGGCGAGTTATTCACATTGCCTGACAAATTACTATTGATGTAATGGTTATCAAAATCCACTGTTACACCTTCTAAGAAATTCTCCTTGTCCATCTTGTCCTGATGAATTGTCTTTCTTTCAACAAGAATTTTACCTCTCAACATCATGATTTGCTTCTCACATGAAGAGGCTAGAAATGATTTTCCATGTTGTGGTGAGCCTCCTCCATCATGACCCGAAGTGTTTGTGGATGCGGAGGGCTCTGCACTTGTTCCTTCGTGATGATTCAACATTGATTGTGGTTCAACAAGTATTTTCGGAATTGCCATACAATTGATCAAGCTTTTCGGCTCCGTGGATTCCAGATCATTCCAATCATACCTAATGGCATAGGAGGAAACTTGCAGCACAGTTACGCTTGTAGAGCCTTCATCCATTTTTATTGTTGTTTTTCGGAATAAATAATAATATGAAGATGTTTATTAAAATCCACTGTTATTGATACTGTACTACTAGAATGATTATAGACTTGTATGGAAATTACTTTTGGTACTTTTCGGCAAGAGCTCTCACATTTTCTTCCCAAGTTTGGTATTCAGCTTGGTATTTCTTCATTGCGTCAAGCTGTTTGGCTTTCTATTATTCATGTTTTATGTTAATTACAACATTCATGTAAACCATTTTTCATCATCATGATTATTTTGTTATCATCATTCAAAAATTCATCACCACTCCGATTTGTTATCGTCATTTCGTCGTGGCATCATTGAAATTCTTTGTTATTCGATCCATCATAAAATTCTAAACACATACGTTTTCATCTCTCCAATCAATGAATGCTCTTCCCAAATCTTCCATCATTAGCACAGAAGGGAGAAGGACTAACGAAATGGCAAATCCTGTAAAGAACCTCATTTTTCTTTTTTATGCTGAAGAATATTAAGAGTTCGCACACGCAGTGGTTGAGAGTAAGGAGTCCCTAGTTGAAATATGTTGTCAACGATATTTAAACTAGTATTGTGGTTGTTATCACTCCAACTTGAGTGCTTCAAAAAATTTAAATGGTATTTTTGTAACATTTCTAACCGAACATGACATTTCGAATTGTCAATTTCTACGCACAATGTAAATATCACAGTGGAGTGATCTACAACAATATGTCCAAACAGAAACAAATACAACAACTAGCAGTAGTTTCCAAAAAAGATGATTCTCTCTGTAGCTGAACCAGTCATTTCAGCACTCGACTGTTTGCATGATAATGTTAATGCTCGGTGTCAGCAGCTTCTTTAGATGTCGTTCATAAGAGCTGCTGTAGAGACTTTTCATTTCTTACTTGTCAGGATCAACTTTAAATGTTCCAGTTCGAGAGAAATTTGTGGAAACGTCGGCCGTTGTTTCATATCTGCACTCCAGCATTTGGTGATCAGTGAGAACAAACCATTAAGAGCCTGCACATATTTGTGAAGTATGGTCTCATCGTCTTGTAATTTCCCAAAATTCATAATTTCCAAATCTACGTTACAGAAATATTCTCGTACCCAATTCATCATTGGAATGTCAAATAATTCAATGGTCGATGGTACAGGTAGCCTCAAACCTTCGATCACCAGCTTTGGAATTGTAATGTAGGAGTCATTGAGATGATCAAATTGTGAAGCTTGATTTTCTTTCATGATACGAGAAAATTTTGGATTTGTGACATAGGAGGAATGGAAGAGATTACATTCATCGAACAAAACCTGCCATGCCACCAAGCTAAAACTGTAAACGTCACAGCTTTCGTCATATAATTTGTTTTCTAACATTTCAGGAGCCATGTAATACAGTGTACCAATTTGACAGGTATTAGAATTCTTTGCATCTTTCACCAATTTTGAAAGACCAAAATCTGTTATTTTACAAGTCATGTCATTCAACAGCAAAATATTTCCTGGCTTCAAGTCTCTATGAATGATTGGCTTGTCTCTTCCTGTGTGCAAATAAGTCATACCACTTGAAATATCTAACAGTATTTGAATTTTTTGTACCAAAGTTACATGTTGTTTCTTCATCTTACAATCGTAGAGAAGTTTTTCTAATGATCCTTTGCTCATGTATTCGCTAACGATATATTTTGCTTGGTCGGTTAAACATACTCCATAAAAGGACACAATATTTGGAAATCTAATAGAGCTCAATAAAGAAGCTTCATGTTCAAACTCATTGCTATCCAATTCCCCATCCTCAATTTTGATACTTTTCAAAGCAACCTCTACATTCTTGTGCCATTTTGCCAAATACACAATTCCGTTACCACCTTCTCCAATCTTTCGAATGATTTCGATATCCTCAACTTTGACTAACCAATCCTTATAGGAATGCTTGGATTCCATTTCTGAGGCATAAAGGGTTTGTAGATCCATGAGCTTTTGAGTAAGCTCCATTTCTGCTTGTTCTTTCTTGGCAAGTAATTTAACTTTTCTAATGATTGATCTATATTTTACACATATAACAATAGGTAGGATGATCATGCAAAAAAAACAAGGGACAATAATGAGAGCAAAAAACGGAGCCCATTTTGCAGGGTCTGTTTCACATCTGTAAGCATCAAGTTTGCCATTCCTATCCATCCACAAATACAACTCGGTTTTGGGTACTGAGTTTAGTACTTGCCATTCAGAGCATGCTTGAATTTCTAAAGGAATGCGAAACTCTTTTTCGTACTTGATGGATTGGCCAAATAAATATTGTACTGTAGCAATCATGTTAGTTCTAATTGGAAAAGCAACCTTACGAGTAAGACTATATACACGCAATTCAAATAACATGCTAACATTTGCTTGAAGTTTTTCAAACGCATATAGTATGGTGGACGTTTTAGGTATGTTTAGCATAGAGTTTCTATAGTCCATTACAGTCTGATTGAAATCATCTTTCATCATGACACCAATAGTTATGCTATCTTCAAACTTAACAGAATACGTAGAGTTTGTGAGATAATATGATGGAGGAGAGGCAAAATTTTTCTCTGCACCGCTCAATAACGTGTTCGAGGTGATGAAAGAGTTTAAGGGAGTGCTTGTGGAAAGAATTTTGCTTCCTACAATGTAAATTCCAGCACCGTCCTTCATTGCAATGTTGTCGTAGATTGCTTTGTTCTTGTAATCAAATTTCACAGTTGATCTTAATAGAAACAATCCCCCTCCAAAGTCAGAAGCAATATTTTGGCTGAAAGAAGAATTTTGGAACTCCACGAAGGTTTTGAAAACATCAGCCCCAAATGTTTCTCCAATGCTTGAAACTCCAGCTCCATATCTTGCATTATTAAATGAAAACGTCTGACACATCAAAATCATCCGAAACCTCAATCCTGGCTGTTCAACTTACATCTTCAATACTCCTATAACTATAAGAATAATATACCAACACAGCTCCTCCGAAACCGTTGGCAACATTATTTGAAAAAACACATCTTTCAGTGGTTAGTAGGCTTCTGTATTGCAAAATAGCTCCTCCTCCATATTCTAATTGGGAAAATGACGAGCCATTAACTTGAACATTTCCATAAAAGGTTGAATTTGTAATGTGTGCATGAAAAACATTGTAAAGGAATAATGCAGACCCACCATTCTCAGCTTGATTCTCTCTAAAGTCGGAGTTAGAAATAACTGCTTTTACTCCACTTCCTTCAAGATGCACAGCTTGAGCTTGTTTCATATATCTAAAGGTGCAGTTTGTTATTATGAGTTGAGTCTCAGAAAGCGAAAATATGTAAAGAGCTGCTCTATTGTCTTGAGTTAATGGACGATCTAACGAATCTGTGGAATAATAAAACGAGTGTTGATTGTTCTTAAAATATTGGGTGGTTATTTCTCTAATTTGTAACGACGAATAATTAAAGTAGGAGTCCAAAATTGAAAGCTAAGCCAAAGAATTTCTTTGATTACTGGTAACAAAAACCATGGACTGAACGATTATTGAGTTTGAGACGAAAACTGCATTTCCTTCTGAAGCTCTGATGGATGCATCATAAAGATAACCATTGTTGATGCTGACATTGTAGTTGTTGTGCAACTCAATACTTGTTTGTGTTGAATAAGACGTTAGTCCGTTCAGCAAAATATTCTATTTCATCGATTATGTTTCGATAACAAGAAGCATCTCATTCACTCACCTGCTATTCTCAATTCGTAAATTGTTGACTGGGCATGACGAAATTTCAACTTCATTTCCTCCTTGAATGTGGATCTTTTTGAGTTTTAAATTTGAAAATTTAACAGAAATAATTGGTGAAAATTTCATGACATTGGAAAAACAATTCCACTCCACAATGGAAGATCCGTGAATCTTCAAGGTGAACGAAGAGTTGGTAGTAGTGGTTAGATCTATGATACAATTTTCATCTGCACTGGTTCGAGTTGAAATTCCCTTTAGCAGAATTATTTCCAAATTTTGAAAATTAGTAAAACTCGAAGCCGACAACACCTGTTGCAGGACATGAGCCACAGACCTACAGGGCAAGTTTTGAATTTGACAATTTACGTCATCCGTACCCATGATCGGATCCACATAGAAAGTCGAGCTATTGTTGCTCTCAGCCATTATTCCCAATGTGTTGGCTCGAACATGTGTCGGAGCGAGTACCAAGAGGACGGCTGCCAAGGTCATAATGATGAGGCAGCTCACACTCGAGTGTGGCACTTGAAACATGGACCTTTCCTTAAGTGGTGGCATTTTTCAGAGTGGTGAGGTTTTTAATGAAAGTTCGTGCTGCATACAGTAATTATCTCATGGACGAGATATCTCATGCTCGAGATCTTCCATATCATCCAATGAACATGCTTCAATAATACGATGATCGATCAAAGTAATCGGCCATGGATGAAAGCATTCCTTGGACAATTGAACAAAGCCCATCATCACCCATGAACGATAACATTAATAAGGAGAGAACATCGTCAGATATTCCTCACCATAACGATCCAATTTTGATTCAACCAAATGACTTATTACTACTGTATGATAACACAAATCTTGTGCAAATCTTGTCAATGGATCATTCATTTTCACTTTGAAACGTTTTTTGAGGATTGAACTTAATTGATTAAAGTGTTTCTTTTTAAGGAAGAATTTTGTGTTAATTTTCTCGACTTGGTGTTCAAGAGCTGCACTTCTCAAAGCAAATAATCGTTTCCATAGTTGGTTGGGTGATGTTGGCGTAATGACATGTTCATTTTCATCAGTCATTAATTCTGACAATGAATTCACATAATGTGCAGGAAGCGGCCAGTGTCGAAAATAAATTCTCTTCCAAAATATGGAGCCATTCATAAATTGATAACATTCCTTATTCAATAATTGTAAATTCTTCAAAGACGAATATTGAGGAATATATTCAAAAATGTGAAAAAGAATATCCGAATTGAGAAAGAGACGTGAGGAAAATAGCGCAAGTCCCTCATTGTGATATTCGGATGCAGAGGGTAGTATTTCATGAACTTGACAATAATCCGACTTGGTGAGATACATGTCGTTAGAAACAGTAATTCTATTATTGAGCTCTTCCATGATCATTTCTTCAGACGTTCTCAACTTTTCCATTGTGTCTGAATAAATGAATGCCATATGATCAGCAATGCTCCATGCTACATTGGTCTTGACATACCTGCACCATAGAATTTGAATACTTTTTAGAATCATTTCAGATAGCATGTTGAAATTCATCACTCTTGGAACAATAAACTCTTCTAAGGCTAAGAGAATGACTTCATCACAGAGCCAATAGGCAACAGATGTATCACTGCTGGAAATATCTCCAGTGGAGCGATAATACTCAGAAATTTCAGCCTTGTTTTCTAACATGTAGTAAATATCTAAAGCCTCTGTCTTGGCAGTAGTGAGATGGTTATCATTAGGAAACTTCACATAGTCATCGATATCTAGAATTGCTGTTTCAAAATCCGATTCATGAAGAGGGTTTTCTTCACTAAACAAGTCTACAATACCATACGCACTAATTTTCTCTTGTAGTAAACTAGCCCATATTGTCTTTACGAATCGATTGTAGAAAAATTTCATGAGAGGATCCTTTGTGTTTAGATATTCAAAGAAATCTCCTCTTTCAAAAGTACTTAAATTACAATAGTTTGCTAAATATTTGATTATATGCAAATCTTTCAAATGTTTTAGCACATCTCCTACTGGAAATATAATATGACTTTCCTTAATTGCCTGTAATAAAATCAAAGGCGCAACCATGACTTCATTCTGACCAAAAAATTGTGGCAATGATGTTGGTATGGAACTATTGGAAGGTGTTTGTTTTTGTAAAAACTCATTCAAGAAGGATGTGTCACTGCTCAACTCAATTTCCACCATTGACCTATCATTCATTTCCAATTTCAAAGACAATTCCTTCCAATCTTGGTCAGAAATAAACATTGCTCTTTCTAATGCAACCTCGTCTTTTAAAGACTTTTTCACACCACAGTATTTGGTGTAATGATTTAATGTGATTCTGTGAATTGATGTTTCATTTCTCTGAATCCAATCAATCAAGCTCAAAGCATCCAAAGCAATTAAATCCCAGTCGAGGGCCCTCGTGTTTGTAAGATTTCTTTCCCGTTCCGATAACCATTGTTCAATATACTTTTCTGGTGAAATATCGTCTTCATCACGTTCATCCATTAAATTGGAGCCACCCAAAATGGTGTAGTGGGAGATCATGGCTCTGGATCCGATCAAGACCATGTTGTAGCCATGGGTCAAGGATGGATCTTCATCATGACTCGTTTTTGTTGATTGATTTTGAGTCCAATTAAATTCTTTTTTCAAAAAATCAATGGCGTTCTTTGTGGATTCGAAGGGTGTGGCCTCTGCAAGACACACAATTTTCAAAGAGCCATTCTCCAACGTCAATAGCTGCAACTGTTTTGACATTTTTTTTAAAAAATCCAACCACACTTGGTATATTTCAAATTTGAATCAGACATTTTGAACATTAAGGCTTTGACATGCAAAGATAAGTGACAAGTCCCAGGCCATGCGTTGTTTCCCCCAAAGCCCATCCCCAAAAAAACAAACCAACATGAATCACAAACGCCCTCGTGCTCTCAATTACAACTATAGCATTAGCCTTTACTTTGATCATGATGTCTCTGACAACGATCTCAATGACATCATCATTGTTACTGAATCTCGTGCTAAACTCATTGTACCTTCAAACAGACTTAATGTTATTCAAGTCTTCACCGACAATCTGGAAGACTACCAAACATGTTTTGACTCCTTGCATGAAGACATTGATCAAAAACGCTTTGATTGCATCCTCAGCCCATCTAATTTTCAGGCGTCGGAACATACTTTGATGTGCTATACTACCAACAAGGCTAAACATTATAATACCATTACAAGCCTTCTCCACTTGATTTTCCACCAAGGAATTAGGTACGATCAATTCAATACTACATTTAAGGATAAACAATTCAAGCTTAGAATCTCACTCTATAACCAACAGGACCAGAGTGCTGTCATGAAACTCCCTGGATTTGAAGAATTCAGATCTCTCGAACAGATTCGAAATGAAATGACAGACACGATGGCTGAATGCAACTTTGGACCTGATTTTTCCGAAGGTGCTATCAAAGTCGGTGTTAAACTACTTGCAAAACGTGCCAATGTGATCATTCAAGACGACATGATCCAAATTGTTAAGCAAACCAACCAAAGCGTTGGTTCTTGTTTCTTCTTTTGCAGAGTCAACCTGGCTTCCAAACAAGACCTCAGTAGTTTCGTGAACATGGAAAGTGCGTTTAAAACTAAGAGTGGCCATCCAGTTGCCAAACGTTTCATCTCATCCGTTGACAAGATTTCTGCCAAAATTGAAAGAAACGCCTCAAGATATCCTTCCATGGTCGTCACCAACGTTAAGAAGACTTCGATGGTGACTCCTTCTCCAACCCTCTCTAACAGTTCAGAACCAAAAAAGAGTCACAGCTCCACAAAATAATACTGAAGTCTCGCAACCACAACTCAATGACCGTGTTGACACGTTGGAACAACAGGCCAATCACCTCGCAAACCATTTTCTCAACTTCAACACCTTCTTCATGCCATTGCAAACAATCTAGGAGTAATTAATACCAGAGCCTTACCTCAATAAATGCTCATGAACGGTCTCAAGTATCCAACTGAGAATTCGAAAGGCTCTTTGACTGTATTTCCCGAGCAGACGCAATTTTTGCAGAATCCACATTCAAAAAATGGTTCAACCACAACACAGTTTGCTTTCCGAAGCAATGAACAAGACAACAACATCAAACGACCAAGATCATGAAAATAATAACAAAATTCAAACAACAACAACCAATCATGAAGATACAGGGTCTGACCATAGCGGAGCACAGGTAGCAGATCATAGTGCACCTTCGGAAATATTATCCACCAATGCTGACCGTTGTGTCGCATCCACAACAGTCGTTGATGAAAATAATGTAAATAATTCCAAAGTCGAAGAAGAAGAGGAACAAACATTATCATCCTCTCGGAAAAGAGCAGAGAGTGAATCATCAAAAATCTCACCTAATACGCAAACAGCAGCCTCTTAGCAGAAAAAAAGCATTTACAAAACGTTTTCACCAAGACAGAAGGCCCTCCATTAAATCTCCTAATATTGCTAAAGACGAAAAAGATGTTGGTTCAATGTTAATATCACCTCTAACCTCTCATACCTTTCCGTATTTATTTTCAGCTCCAGAATCTTTTGTGAGTGAGCATGTACAGGCAATAGGCACTGAGGATTTCAAACGTAGAACCGAAGATGAAAATGTTTCGAGTGATGACAATGAAACAACATCGGATGTGGACAAGCGAGATTCTATTGAATTTCAAAAAGATGAAAATGAACAACTACAGAATCAAGTAGAAACACCTCTCACTGAGGTTTCTGAAAAGACTGAGGAGATTAATAGAAAGCTTTATTGTCAGAAGTCTCCTCGCCAAAATCTGAAGCGGGAGGTAATATTCGAGATATTTTGAAAGGAACACTAAGTTTTGAAGAATATGGTAAACACTTCTTTATCATTGGGCTAGGGTTTAACTGTCACAGATTCGACAGTGTAAAAGACATGCTCAGACATATTTCAAAGGAAGATAAAGGTGAAGAAGCGTTTTGGATTGATTGTCAACAGTGCTCTCCTGAAGAAGTCAATGAACTGCAAAAGTATTTTAGATTCCATCCGTTGACTGCAGAGGATTGTATTAACAATGATTCAGGAGAAAAATGGGAAGTGTTTGACAACTACTTGTTCTTTTCAATTACTGGACAAATTGCAGATAAGGCAGCCATGAACGAATATTTACCATGCTATTTGAACATTTTAATTTTTGACAATTGTGTTGTGACTATTCATGATAAGGTATGTTATTGATATTATTGTCGTGTTATTATAATTGACTCTTCACTGTAAAAGCCAATTGAAGGAATGAATTTGTTAATGAACAGAATTGAAAAGGAATTTGAATTTGATCGAAAGTATAATCAAAAAATTCGTGCCAAGCAAAGTTTCAGAGAACAACAGGAAGTCATTGAAGAAATTCATTCAACACTTGAAAATACAGAGAAAAAACAGGCCCAACCTTTGTCAATGGCTGGGACCAGTGAAAGCACACCATTGCGATTGAAAAAAGGAAGAGCAAAAAAAAGTACTTATATTATTTCTCCTTCGTGGGTATTTTATGCGTATTTAGATGCCATCATTGATGTCTATATCCCAAAGGTTGACAACTTGATTCGTGAATGTGACACACTAGATGAGTTTACTGTTTCTCTGAATACTTCAGAAAAGGAAGATTTATTGTGGAGAATTGCTCTCAACAAGAGAAGAACAGCTGAATTGAGAAAGCTGCTACTTCCAAAACAAAAGATGATAACATACTTAGTTTCGTCAAGAGTGGAAATCCCATTCATGGATCGAGATGTTCAATTATTTTTGAGAGACGTATTAGATCACTTGATGTATTGCTGTGACAGACTTGTAAGTGTGTTTTTTCGATTATTTGTGTTTTACCTTCCAAATAGGAAATAGCAAGAGATTCCCTTAACCAATCCCACACCAACTATCTTACACGAGTTCAAATTGAAATAGCCCAAAACTCACAGAAAACAGATGCTTTCATGAACAGAATTACTGTATTCGGTATGTAGATTACATATGACAAATCAACAAACAATTTTGAACATTCTCCTAGCTTCAATATTCGGTCCGCTTTCTGTACTTTCAGGAATTTGGGGAATGAACGTAAAGGTACCAGGTCAAGGCGAAGATAATTTGTATTGGTTTTTCGGTTTGTGTTCATTCATGGCGATTATTGTCATCACAATGATCATTCTACTCAGAAAGCAGCTTGTGAATATGTGAAAAGAATGCCACATCGTATGATTGGAAAGAAATTTACTCGACTTATGAAATTGCAGTCACACATCATTCGAAAGGATGTGAATCTTAATTGTGGTGTCACACTCTGTAATGTCCAAAATGATGACCTTAATAACGACCCATCTCCACGAATGATTGCTCCAACTCACCAGGATGTTTCGCCATCTTTTGTCTATTGTTGCGATTCACAAAATGATGAATCAATGCAATCAATAACATGCTCACAACAAATCCACCAATGAACGAGGCGATAATACTTCCTGCTAACACACCAGGTCCATAATACACTTGAACATCAATATTACCATGCTCTCCTGGATTTGGTTTTGGTCCATCATTGGCATTCATGGCTACAATATTAATTCCTAAACATTCACCTGTGCAATAACCCAAAGTGCAATTCATGGTCAGACAAGGACAATTCAATACTTCTTGTTGAGGATCTAAACAATCAGGATCTAACACTCCACCACAACCACAATCACATCCATCACTGGCATTATAATACGAAGGATCACAAGTCCATGTTGGTGGTACATACTTTTTGTTTTTACACGTTCCAGTTGCATCACAATATTGAGAGTCTAAACATCCAAAAGCAAAGGAAGTGACAGTTTGTGAGGCACAATCTGGATCGACTGCTCCACATCCACAATCACATCCATCATTGGATCCATACGATTCAGGACTGCAAGACCATGCAGGTGGAACTTGATATCCCTTATTGTTCATGATTGGTGTGCAATTAAAACTTGAAGTTGAGCATGCAAAGGCTCCAGCAGAAGGACATCCTACCAAAAGACTCTTTTTGAGATTACAATCTGGATCCCATGCACCACAACCACAATCACAGCCATCACTAGCGTTGTAATACGAAGGATTACAGGTCCATTCGGATGGAACAGAATTCACTGTCATGAGTGTTCTCTTGCTATTGAACTCTTCCAAATGATTCTGTAAAGCTTCCAATTCAGAATAGCTTGGACTGGACAAGATGTCACTTCTCATGGTAAATTCATTATTCTTTGGACATTTCACTTTCAATAATTCGATAAAAGTCGTGTCTGTGTTATTGAATTCATAAATCGAATCCTTTAAATCACTCCACCATTGAGAAGAACCGATAGCCACAACTCTAAAACACTTTCCTGGTGTAATAATGACTTCTTCTTCACCAGCGAATGGCAATCCTTCAAGACCTGAAATGTCTCGACCTCCCGATTTGACAAATCTCAGAAAGTATTGTCCCCCTGCAAAGCCAGCAGCAACATGAGCTTTTTTAGAGGTTGACACATAACCACTATTTGTCACATAATCACCAACCTTTGGAATGGAAGACAGTCCAGTACCTCGGAAGGTTTCCAGTTCATATTTTGGCATCTTTTTCAAAGCAGATGTGAGTCCGTACGAAAAATCATGAATCCAATCGGGTCGTGAGATATTGGGAGTCATCTTCAAGTGACAATTCAATAAGGGATAAAGTCTGGGATGTTCAATTTTATAGGCATAAATGTAATGAAAATTCTCTAAATTGATGGATGGATTGTAGGTCTTGGGAACAGTCAGTCCAAGTTGAGAGGTGTTTCTGAGTGGTCTAAATTTATCGTCGAGAGTAGAGTTGATAAAGTACGAGCAATAATCAAAGGCAAGAGAAGATTGATGAGAGGGTGATGCAGCTATAAGAAGGATTGCTAGGATCATCACCCATTCAGCGAATCTCATCGTACCCGTTCGTGTGAAACTGTGAGAGTCATTCATTGTTGCTAATTTTTTTAGAGTGTGCTGGTATTGAAATGACAGATTTTGTGTCACTTTCCTCCGTCATGTGTGGAAGGAAGGTTACTCGATTTTTTCACATGAACAATAAAGTTCATACTAGAAGGTGGAGGCACTCTAACAACAACAATAGAATTTTAGGGAATGTGAATTTACAATTGTAATGATGTACACAGCAGAATAAGTTAAAAATTGGTGAACAAAATTTAGAGCTTCTTGGCAAACTCTATTTCTTCTTCGTCTTCTTTGAGGAATTCAATGAAATCACCCAAACTCTTGTTCTTATATTCGTCGCTGTTAAGATCATGTTTAAATAAATATTCATCCTCTGTTCCCTCTTTTAACTTGAACAAATCTTGTTTCCATGATTGACCAGCTTCTTCTCTCTTCTTTCTTAATCCACGTTGTTTCTCTTCAATAAGATTCTTTTGAACATTAGCATCCTCAAATTCTCCATCAGCTAAAGCTTTGGTTACTTTGTGCCATACTCTACGAGATTCGTTTTGTTTTTGGTTGGCAACCTTCTTGACAAACCAAGGAGCATGTTCAAGATCCTTAGCATCAAAGAATACGCTTTCCTTCTTAGTTTTGACGCTGCGAATACGAACTTCTCCAGTAATATTTCCTCTAATCTTGTAAATACGATTACCATCCTTTTTGATCGAGCCCTTGATTTCATTGTCTGCTTTAAATTGAATTTTAGCAGAATATCCTGTTCCTGCACAAGTAATCTTCAAATCCTCATTAATTTCAATGCATTGTGTTCCCCAAATTAATCCCTTTGCAACAACCCAAGGGAATACAATATCATAAAGCTCGGATTCAGGTTGATTTAAAAAACGCATTGTGATACTTCCATCCAAAACAATGGAGGCGCTGTTACCGTGGAACTTGCTCTTTGGTTTTATCATGGCATTGAGAAGAAGATTGTTTTTACGGTTCAACAAAACGCCAGATGCCATTGGAGGATGGTGAGAAACTTGTTCGGAAATGAATTCTGTTTTAGAGATTTCACCACTTGATGGATCCTTGTGAATCCATTTACAAGCAAACACTTCACCAATGACAGGATTATATGGTTTTGCTTGCATAATACCACCACGAGGAGTGTGGCTGGTGTTACTCAACCACCATTTGAGAACTGAAACAAAACGTTGCTCAGGATCGAATGCCTTGTGAGCACTAAATGATGATATCGGTCATAGTTATTTCATGTTGTTGGAGTTTGGAAGTGAATTATGTCAAATGTCGTCATTGTGAAATGAGAAGCCACCAACGGAGACGGAGAGCCAATTGTTGTTGTGAATGAGTTGTGAATATCGAATGAACCAATTCAATAGAGAAGGTCAAATTTGTTTAGATGATCAAAATCACCGAATGAGTTTTCACATGTAGATACGTGTGTATCATCATACAATAAGCGCGTCCAATGTTCATCATATCACGGAACCAATGATAGTTATAATATCCAATAGTGATAAACAAGTTATTATCCTCTCCAAAATTTAATGTTCATCATCAAACATACCTCAAAATGTATGATTGTGGTCTAATAAAGTACGAAATATATTCCAGCATACTGATAGGAGCCAACAAAGCAGATGGCAAAGAAATTCTGAACAAATCGGCACCGGTACGAAGTTGTTTTACAACATCCATCAAAATTGATCCTCTGCTGATTCCCTTTTCCTTCAAAGTGGACTCATCCGCTTTAAATTGTAAATGGGAGTAATAGTGTTGTTCGGTTGCTAATTGTTCATCGGTGGGTTCAATATCAATCGCATCGTTGTTGTTGTTGGACATTTTTTTGAGTAACGATCGAAAACCTGTTTCATCACGAAAATTCCTTTGGAACTCTTTGGGTCGTCAAGACAAGGAACACGATAACGAAGAAGATATGTACGATTGACTGTCAGAGTGGATGGAAAAGAGTAATAACAACAACCAAAGTTTCCATTGCCACTCACGGATCGAATGACTTTGTCAATTCCTTATTTCCAGTTGTTGATTGGAGAGTACTATGGTGGTTGTTATGGAGCATGAACTTGGATGGAATGATGATTGAATAGATCTTTTGAGATTTTAAAGAAGTGGTTCCCGTTTTGGGTTTGTGACAATCCTTCGTGTTTTGAGTTTTATTCATCATTCAAACGAAATAGTACGACTTGCTTACACACGTACGCGTGAACGAACGAAAGAATGAAATTAAATTTCCTCTTCTTTCACTGTATAGATGTGTGAATTTTTGTGAACATGCCTTAATTGTTCTCTCAACATGTTAAACGCTTTGGAATGAGGTTCATTCTCGGATTGATAATTCATGCACTTTTCTATTAAATTACGAGAAATATCTTGAAGAGTGTAACCAAAACTCTCTCGATAAGTTCTAAATATTCTAGGAAGAATGATGAGATTGGAAGTTTGTGATGCTGTCGACGTACTAAAATCACTCATAATTTTGATATGTTGTAAAAGGAAGAGCTCAGTTTCCTTTCTCACAAAGGATTCAAAATTTTCAGGTGTAATGTATGGCAGTAGAGTACAACAATTTCTCATTCTCATATTTTTCACTTGTTGTGAATTTGGAAGAATGGAGATTTGAGACTTTTCATTCCATAATAATTCAGCATAACGATGAATCACAAATAATAGTCTTAAATCCACATGATTGGCATAGAATGAAAGAAAACGAGATCTTCTGTCAAAGGTTGTTTCAGAATTTGTTGAGTGCTCCATGCTTTCATCATTACCAAATTCAGTAGTGCTCGTTAATAATGGTTGGTGATAATTCAATACTTGAGAATTTTTCATTGGGAAGGGTGGAAGTAAAATTCTATTGCAATATCCAACTGGAGGTGGTTCATTGCTGTTATTAGAATTAGAAACAGGATCTGTAACAATACCATTGGCATATCTCTTATTACCTCTCAGTATGCCATCTCTAATGTCAGAAAGAGAGAATATCAATCCATCCACATTGTAAGCCATTCTATTGTAAAATATATAGGTGGCATTATTTCCAATAATTCTATACTTGCTACTTGATCCCATGATTAAGAGTGAATGATAGAACAAGGTAAGGAAGAGATTCAAAAAGAATGTTTTGAATCGTATTCTCTCATTCTTTTCTTCATGAACATCAATGAGGGATGATAAATCAATTCGAGATAATTCGTGACATAATGGAAGTAGTCGAGTGACATACACTGAATTGGTACACACAATTTTTCTAGAATGTTGTGCGAGCGTTTTGAAGAACGAATTGCATCTGAAATTGAATCTGTCATATTTAGGGAATATTTCTTGATACATTTGCCTGAGATATTCCATGAGTTTGTATAGTACTTGATTTGGTTCACATTTTGTACGAATGCTTTCAATGGATTCTAAATGATGAAAGACGTCACTGAGTGGCAAGCTCATGTTCAAAACTCGAACAGGATTATCGCTGCTGAATCTATATAAATAATATCCATCCATGAAAGAAATTCCATAATTCACATGATGAATCACGTTACATTCCAACAGTGTTTCAAAAAATTCCACAGCTTGTTTCCTATTCTCAACATTTACCAAAATCATGGGTTTTTGTAAATCTGAATTAGAACAATTGTCATTAAAAGAAATCAGTAAATCAATTGCTTCTTTTGCTTCAAAACATTTCCTATAAATTTTTCCTTTTAGCAGTTGATAGAGTGAAGTGGAATAATCATTTTGTTTTGGATATCGAACTCGATCCAATAGTGTTAAATTATGCTTCAAATATGAAACTACATAGTGAAGGTGAGAAACAAGCTGAGTCACTTCACACGCCAAAGGAAAGAACTTCTTCATCTTGTTTAGTACATACACGTCATCTCTATACAGAAGTGAAAGAGATGAGAGATCCGATAAGGGACCTTCTATGATTGAGCTTTTGGTTTTCTTTTCATTTGAAACTAGTTGCTTGTAAGTTTTAATTTTTGAAACCTCCTTTCTACCGAAAAATGAAATGTCGTGTTGGTATTTGGTGTATTGTCCATAGAGAGTTTGATTATGGAGAGATACAGCAAGTGAATTGAAATCATTCTTGTCATCAAATATGTTATCTTTAAAGTATTGGGAAATATATTGATTATACTCATTAGATCTTCCCATAGATAAGCTACTCATATTACGCTCCTCGATTAATTCATTGTTGAATTCGCTTGTATAGTTGGTATAAATATCCATATCATAGTTTTGAATAATATTTCTTTCAATATATCTCGTATTTGTAACGTTATTGTAGATGGAGTTAGCATCCTTGTCATAAAAATCTCTCAATATTTCTTGTGACATGTTTGTGTGTTCATTACTCATTCTACCTTCAAGTGACCGTAATATTTCACCTTGTGGAAGAACTGTCAATGTTGGAAATTTGGTGTCGTGGGCTGGCGTTAATTTCATAGAATTCATGATCGTTTTAAATAAACTTGCAGTTTGTTCTGGTGTTTGATTAGGTGAAGAAGATAATTTTACCATATCCTTCTCTGGAGAGTCTTTCTTATTGAGATTGGGAGATAGGTTTTTTTTAGACTCTTCAGATTGAACTCTCTTATCAGGTATGTCTTCTTCCACTTCAGAATTAATGGTGAGAGAGAGTTGATCAAGATTTTCATCGTCCAACAAATTTGTAACTTGTCTTGGATTATACATCTCATCAAAATATGTATTTTGAACATCTTCCTCTTGGTCCTCTTCTTCTTCTTCATCCAGATCCATCAAGAGTGATTTTCTTTCATTTTCATTATGAAGATAAATATCACCGCTTTCTAAATCCCACAAATGCGCACCAAACAGTCGAATGTGAAAACTTGGTTTAAAATTACCAAGGAAGATATTAATGGCATGTTGCTTCCATTCGTCTTTGAAATTACTGCTATAATATCTTTTCATATTGGTCATGAGATCAGCCAACACCCCTCCTCTGTTGTGAATATCTACACTCACAGTTTTACTACCACTGTACTGAATAGCTATATGATCACTCACTTGTTCATACATTTGTAGAAGAATTAAAATTAATTGACCATGATGCACTAAATGTGGAGATTCTATTCACCATAATTCATAATTGAAATACGATTTTAAAACAAATACATTTGTTCATAAACACATACCAATAATTCCCAATGCACAAAGTTGTTCTCCAAGTACATATTTTGCAATAATATATTGAGCCACACCGGTTCTATCCAAACAATCGATACAGTTGGTTCGTAATATTCCTTGTTGCTTTTGAATGACTTTTCCATATCTCGAAGTTACAAAGAATTTACATTTTCTTACATGATTTTCAGCAATGGCATGAAGCTCATTAAGGGCCTTCTCTGGTTTATCCTTAATTGCTGTTCTAAAATCAAATGGAATGTATTCAATAGCAGATTCATCTCTAGAGTTGTGTTTCTGATGGATGGATCTATAGGTCTTGTTATAAATATTCTTATTGAGAAATTCGATAGAGTTTTTGAATTTTTCACCTAGAATCATTTCACGAGGTTTCTTTTCCTTCATTTTGACAAGATCCAAACACATGATTGGAACTCCTTCATGTCTCTCAATCAACATATCAAAATGTTTTAAAGTTGTTTCATAGAGAGGATCAAACTTGGTAATAATGATATTGGGTTTTGATAACAAGTTGGATGTGGATGCTTTGGTTGTTGTGGTTGTGGTATTCTTTTGATCATTTTCATCCACAATAGTTGTGGTTGTGGTCATGGTTGTTGTTGTAGCTGTGGATTGAGACCAATGTAATGGAATACTTCCTCGCACTTGAACAAAACTACTAAATGCTCCTTGTGATTGATGTTTAAACAAGTGATGATTACTCTCATAAACAATTTGCTCAATTTCAACATGATTAGCGACATGACCAGACTCACTGATACCTCTTTTCAAATATCTTGTTCCTGCATAAAATCTACTTCTTCTTGCAATGACTGTGAGAACGATGGAAATGTTGCTATTTCCAGTTCGGGGAGAAGATTTTAAATCATCATGTGAGGAAGTTGCTTTTGCTGGACTATGTCTAAATGTTGGAGTTCGATTCCTTGGGGAGGATGATGAATTGGATCTCTTTTCATAATCTGACAAAGACATGGAAATTTTAGATTGCAAAAAGTGGCCATGAATACAGGGACACATCCATTTCACAAGATTGGCACGTTTCATAGGCTCCATCAAGTGACTATTCCAAACAAACATGTCACTGTGAGAGGTAGAGTTCACTTCTTCTTCAATTCCTACAACTACAGGTTTACAGTTTTGTTGTAATGTTTTGGAAAGATCGTATTGATAACTAAAGTAAAAATCTTGATGCAAGTTAATACCATTGAATAGTTCCTTGTACTTTTCTTCAATGAGATAGTCTTGTTTGAGTACTGTTTTGCTTACGCTCAAGTGTACTAATTTCGTGTCCTTGATTTCGTAAACACTTGCATTTCCAATGGTTCCAACTTTTTCTCTACCCGTGATAATTACCATATAATAATTTAATTTCAATTCGACGAAACCTAAAATTCCATAAATATGATTCGTATGTAATTTTAAATCTTGTTGAATACTTTTCATGGCTAATTTGACCATGTGCAACAAGTCATTGATTTGATTTAGGGTGTATTCTCCTGCATCTTCGTTAAAGTAATCTGTAATTTCACACTCTGTCGTTGTGCTACCACTTGGTATTTTATCAATCTTTAATAATTTATATTTGGTTTTTGAGCTATCACATCCAACCAAGTAAAATCTATTGTAAGATTCATATAAAGTGAAGTGACAATATTGTCCGAAATTATATCGTAATTGTTTATATTCACATTCGAGTGATGGATCAAAGATTGATTCTTTTGAATGGAGATGATCGTGTGTGTTGTTGTAGTGTCTTGCGGTAATTCCATTTTCATGATGGTCAAATTGCGGAACATCATCACCACCTGTTTGTGCATCAGTATTGGATCCAGCTGTATTATTATTATTGGGTGTGTATTGATAGAGAGATGTGAGAATTGCTTCCTCGGGTTGATGATCCCGAGTGGTGGTGGCTGTTGTGGTGCGAAGCATTTTTGTTTGAGTTTGACTGCAGGTGTGAATAATTTCGAGCTTGTGTACCATCCAACAAAGCTTCAATTCGATTTATTGCAATTCGAGTCTACTGACTGCTGAGAGGTGTGTTCAGTGATTGAATTGGCTTCATTATTTGAAGGTTTATACGAGTATTTCTTGGCAAACGTTTCACATCGCTTGAAATAATGTCCCTCCCAAAATAGTCGAGTGCAACAAGGACATCTGGTAACAGTGTGGCCATACAGTTTGTAAATATGTTGGCCCCCCATAATAGTGATGAGGGTATTCACTTGATCTTCTGTTTGAGGGATGATACACTCCACTGGATCGTTGCATTTGAGGCATCTTGTGAAAATCTTTGCTGGATGGTACACAAGCTTGAAATTATTCACAATTTCAGTAATGGCCTCATGAAACTCTGAATTTTTGGGGTTTACATATAAATATCGAATTGGACTAGCATTAGAATTTGGTTTTGAGCTTTCTTCCTCTTCGCTGCTGTCATAATAATCGTTTGGTAATTTTACATTGATCATCTTGTTTTCTTTCTTAATTTTGGTAACGAGGGTTGGAGAGCAAGTGATGATGATTCTGTTTTCTTGTTTAGCTGTGAAAATTATATAGTTAGGAGAATACGAGGAGTCACTAATACAGTCATATCCCAACAATCTTATATGTTTTGCGATTTTTGTGATGCATGAATCAGTAATAAATTTTGTCTGATTAAAGAATTCATTGATTTCCGCTTCCTTCTTTTCATCATGATCAGAAAAGGTTTTGTGCATTTTCAAAATTCCGTGAGAAAATTTTAGTAATTCATTAGATACGTTAGATCCACATGCACAGCCTTCTTCCATGCCTTCTTCGGAATAGTTTGTTTCATCATCAATTGTAGAAGATACATTGTTCGATTCAGAGCTGATATCGCTCCACAAAGAATTAGTTTGTTGAATAATTTCCATCATCTCCTCATCTTCAATTTCATCATTTCCGATGCTCTTGTCATGATGAGGCTCTTGTTTCAATAACTCTGCGTCCTGATGACTGTTCATTTTTTGTGTTTGAATATTCATTTAAGTAGGTTTGATGAAATTTAAACCAGTTGCAATAATGGTTTTATTTATCTCACAAAGCACAAAGCCAATGGATTGATAATTATCAATCCTCAAAAGTATTTCCAACCAGAATCTCCAAATGTCGACAGACAACCTCAAAAAGTGCCAAAAATTGTTGAAGTGCACAACCAATAAAAAAATTGAGTCGAAAAAAATGTCGATCGTCGTACCCAAAGCACTCCAATTCAGATTCTTCTCCGATGAAGAAGTAGATAAATTATCAGTTTTGGAGATTAACAATCCTATAGGCCATGATGATTTCCAAAACCCTGTTCGGGGTGGTCTATATGATCCACGAATGGGTTTGCGAGATAATGATAGCCCGATAGCTCGGTGCGAAACGTGTGGCCTGAACCACAACATTTGTCCAGGCCATTTTGGACATATAGTGCTTCCACAACCTGTGTTTAACGTTTTATTGTCATCAGAAATTACTCATGTACTCAAATTATGCTGCCCTTTTTGCGAAAAGTTACATCTTGCTCCCGAAGACAAGACAATATTCTATTTGGTGCTGAGGCTTCTTGATTGTGGCCTAACCTCAGAGGCAATGGAACTATTAGAGTCTCCTTTCTTGTTTTTGAAAAAGTATAACTTGGACCAACATGTAATGGAAGAGGACAACGACGATGACGAAGAGGAAGAAGATGAAGGAAATGAGAAGAAGAAAAAGAAGAAGAAGAAAAAGCAACACATCAAAGAAATTGAGCAAAGCCAATATTCTTTTGAGGAGGACAATCCAAAACTTGTCAAAATTACTCATCGTCTTATTGCAAAACAACTTGAAAATGAAAACGTTCTCCATGAACATCAACTTCATGAGAGATTTAAAAGCGATGAAATTTGTTTTGACACGAAACAACAAATCAAGGACAAGATAGCAAAGAGCTGTCCAATGTCTCTCTCAAAGATTAGATATACAATGTGCAAGAATTGCAACGCCCAAAGCTGCCATTCGCTATTCTCAACAAAGACTCGATTGGATTCCATGAATATACTGTTAACAACGTTGAATTTTACAAGGCAGTTAAGGAATGGCTAGGCAAATGCATTCACAAAAAGTACTTGGATCCTCAGCTCTTTGATGATGTGGACTTGGATGTCAATGTTCAAAAGAGACGAGCTGAAAAGCCTTTCTGTCTGTCAAAGAATCTACATTCAATGACTTCTAAGGTTCTGATAGATTCACCAACGCTGTTTTACAACTATCTTCACACAGATGAAATTGTTGATATGCTTGATCGAATTTATACTAATGGTATTAGCACAGCAACACAAAAAATCGTTTTCAGGGGTGAGGACAACGAAGAACACGAACTAAACGAAACCGTAATTGAATGCATCAAGAGTAACAGTATTCGATTTATGGATTCTTATATTTTGCACTCACTCTTTGGCGATTCTCCTTCCAGAATGTTTATCAGTAAGATGCTAGTAATGCCAGTTCGTTTTAGACCAATTTCAGCAATTACAGTTGCAGCCAAAGAAGATGGCAGATCCATGGTCACTTACGTCAGGACAGATATTGACAATCATTATTTGAACGTCTTAAAAACTAAAAGACTGTATGAAGAAATTGAATCCAAAGTAGGAACAGTAGAGGCAAGAGCCGACAACACAGCGGTTGCAGTATTGAGAGCTTTGCAATGCTATGTGAATGACATGATGGACAGCACCAGCAATACATCCTCAGGCTCAAACAGATTCTACTCTACACTCTTGAAGAAGAAGAAAGCTACTACTGTCACTAACCGTGGTATGAAACAATTACTTGATAAGAAAGAAGGTTTACTCAGACAATCTATGATGGGTAAACGAGTGAACTACAGTGCTCGTACCGTTATTTTGCCTGATGTGTCAATGGATTGTAATGAGGTTAGCTTCCCTGCAATGTTTGCTAAAAAGATGTCTTACATGGAAACAGTGACCAACTTTAATATTCAGAAAATGAGAGAACTAGTGATTAATGGTGCCAAGCAATATCCTGGAGCGAATATTATTTGCAAGAGTGGCAAAAATCAAGCAGATGCAGCAAACGCTGTGAGTCCATATACCCGAGCACCACTCTACATTCAATTGTCAGTCATCAAATCCAAGAAGCAACGAATTGCTTTGGCCAATCAATTACAAATTGGAGATATCGTTTATCGTCACTTGCAAGATGGAGACATGTTGCTCATGAACAGACAACCTACTCTTCACAGACCAAGTATTATGGCCCACAAAGCTCGTGTCATTGCTAATCAACGTGTTTTGCGTCTCCACTATGCCAGTTGTAAATCTTTCAATGCAGACTTTGATGGTGACGAAATGAATGCTCACTTCCCACAAAACCCAATTGCTCAAAGTGAGGCTCGACAACTCATGGCTGCTCACTTATCTTTCTGTACTCCAACAAGTGGTGAACCATTGCGTGGATTGATTCAAGATCATGTTTCATCTGCTGTCTTACTTACACTTAAGGATAACTTTTTGTCACGAGAGGACTATCAAGAAATTCTTTACAGTGCAAATGTGTTTGGTGTCAATGAAGTCATTCAATTAGAACCTCCAACCATTTTGAAACCAAAACCTCTTTGGACAGGTAAACAGGTGATCACATCTCTGTTGAAGCATGTTGCTAAGCGATGCACTCCTGCAGGACAACCCATTTACGGAGTTAACCTTGATTGTAGAACCAAAGTCAAGGGTTCAGTTTGGGGAGGTCACTCCGAAGAGGGTACCGTCATTATTAGAGATAATGAGCTGCTGACTGGTATTTTCGACAAGTCGCAAGTGGGTTCCTCAAAATATGGTATTTTGCACGCATTTGATGAATGTTATGGTAACGAGGCCAGTAATATGCTCATTTCTTGTTTTTCAAGAATGTTAACGTTCTACTTGCAATATTTTTCTATCAGTTGTGGTATTGATGATTGTCTTCTTTCCAAGACCGGAGAAGAGAGCAGAAAATCTAGTTTGACCCAATCTAATGAGGCATGCCACCACGCAACAGCATCTTTCTGTGGACTTTCCAAGAAGAAAGAAGTCAACCAATACGATCATGATAAGGTTAAGGAGTTTTTGGCTAAACACATGATCAATCCATCTATCACTCAACAAACTGGAGAAATTATTAACGAAAAGATTGTTCGCAAACTGGATTCTGCTGTTAAGAAGAACATCAACAAATTTACTACAAAGGCCATCAACGATGCCATTCCAATGGGTCAGTACAAGGCATTCCCATACAATATGCTGTCTCTCATGACTGAAACAGGTGCTAAAGGATCAATGGTTAACTCTTCTCAAATTGCTGTTTGTTTAGGTCTACAAGAATTTGAAGGCAAACGAGTGTCCGTTCAACCAAAAAGTGGTAGAACTCTTCCATCCTTTGACTCGTTTGATTCCAGCAATATTGCTAACGGCTATGTGGCAAGCAGATTCTTGACAGGTATTAAACCACAAGAATTCTTCTTCCACTGTATGGCAGGAAGAGATGGTCTCATTGATACTGCTGTTAAAACAGCTCGTAGCGGTTATTTACAACGATGTCTAATTAAGCACTTGGAAGATATTTCTATTCAATATGATGGTACAGTCAGAAACTCAAATAAGACTGTTCTTCAATTCTCCTACGGTGGTGACAACATTGATCCAATCAAAACTGGTTACATGAATCAATTCGACTTTATGAGAATGAACGATAAATTACTTTCTCAAAGATACAGAGAGGAATCAGCATTGGAATACACCAAAGATGTGAAAGAATGGCAAGAAAAGGCAAAGAACATGAAATCAACCGTGTATAAGGGAGACTATGTTGCTGTTGAAAATCCATGGAATTACTTTGGTGCTGTGTCAGAATCGTTCCAAACTAAGCTTGACAAGTACATTGAAACAACAAAGAAAACTACTCTCACTGATACTACAAAGAAGTTCTCTCCAGAGAGAATTAAAAGATTGGCCTATTTGAAGTATTTAAGAAGCTTGGCAAATCCAGGAGAGGCGGTTGGTATTCTTTCAGCACAATCTATTGGTGAGCCTTCCACACAAATGACTTTGAATACTTTCCACTTTGCTGGTTTAGATATGGCCCACGTGACTGTCGGTATTCCTAGATTGGTTGAATTGTTCATGAGAGGTACTACTCGAGTGCTCACAATGACGGTTCCTGTAAAGAAAGAATGTGCTCAATATGAAGTTGAAAAGATTTATCAATATGCGGATAGCATCTCGAAGCTACCATTCTTTAGAGTTTTGACTGATATGGACATTCAAGAAGAATTTAAATTCACTGCTGATGTGAAACAAAAACAAATCTCAGTGACGCTTTATTTTGATATGAAAGATATTACTCAATATTACCAAATTTCTAAGGAACTTTTTGAGAAGAAAGTTAAAACATTACTCATTCTCTTAACAGCTAAGATTATTTTCCCAAAGAAGTTGTTATATGCTAGAATGAGATCCATGCTGGCTAAAGTAGCAAGCTTTGCTGGACATGGAATTTCTAATACTTCTGAGGCGTCAGAATCAGCAGAAAATGCTGGTGATGAAGAGAAATCAAACAACAAGAAAGACAAGTCTGCAATGGATGCATTTTCAGGTACAGACACTGAGGCCATCTTAAAAGAAGTCAACGATGAGGGCAACCAAAGTAGCGACAAGTCAAAACAGAAAAAGAAGAAAAAGAAGAACGATGACGAAGATGACGAGGAGGAAGACACCCAGAGGACCTCGATGAAGAAAATTCAAAGAAAGGCAAGAAGGGTGATTCTGACGTTCCAATGCCAGCTGTTGATGACAATCTTTCTGGTGACGATCTTTTTATATCCACCTTTAAGGATGCTCTTGGTGCCTTTGAAGTGTACGATATTAACTCCGACGAAGGTATTGTCAATTTTGTTTTCTCTCAAAAATCAGACTCTGGAAAAGTGTACATTGCTGAAGGTATTCAAGACGTTCTAAAGAATTGTTATTTGCAGAAAGTGGATGGTATTGAAAACGTTACTGTTGTGCCTACTAACGAGGGATATGATCTTTCAATTGAAGGTTTCAACTTCCATGCATTACACTCTTTACCTGCATCTCACGAATTATTGGACATGAATCGTCTTGTGACGAATAATGTTAATATTATGGCTGACTATTATGGTATTGAATCTGGCTACAGCTTGATTGTGAGAGACGTCAAACATGTGTTCGAGATGTATGGTATGGATGTGAGCGCTGCTCATATTGAACTCATTGCTGATTATTTAACATCTCGTGGTTTCTATTCCTCGTGCAACAGACATACCCTGAAAAATAGTCCATCCACCTTCTACCGATCTTCATTCGAACAAGCTTGTCAAAATCTTTTGAAGGCTGCTGTTCGAAATGAAACTGATCAATTAATATCTCCTACAGCAAGAGTTGCTATGGGAACACCAGTCAAGTTTGGTACTGGTTCCTTTGACTTGCTTATTCCAAACAAATAGAAGTTTTATTAAACAATTCTTTATGAAACTTTTGTGAAAAGAAAGCATGCTCATTTGTAAAATATTTACTAAAAGTGAGGGCCCTTACTTTTGTACACAAAGAGAGCGTGTTCAGAGTTGTTGAGTTATCGATTCTCCTTCACATGGGTTCAGAGACTCTAGTCATGTTTACGATTTTCGTTCATCATTTGTCTTCAAAAGGCGCGCAGCCGTTTGTTCACAACAACGGAAAATTTGCTGTTACAATAGCACAACTTTCGAACCTCATTATTTTGCGTTAAAAATATGGTTTTGTTAAATTATTCATAATTATAAATCCTGCCGAGTCGCTTCTCAGGGCAAGCTTGTACAACTTTATGTACTTATGAAATTGCATCAAGACTCACACATCATCATTGTTAAAAGATTCTCAACTCCTGCATCAACTCCGAACGCTCCATTGGATTGCAGGAGTTTTGTCATGTCGTTAACATTGAAAATCGTCCCTTGTCAACTACTCTCTCAACAAAAAAAATGAAAGTTCCGAATGTCTTGTTGATTCTTGCATGCTGCAGTCTCTCATTTTCTGCTGCGATGGGACAAGTCGTCATCCTGCAGATGGTAAATGCTCAGTCCTCTCAAGATCACTTGGTGACTCAACTCCCTGGTTTGAATGGAAATATTGGTGTCAGATCCTATACTGGTTATTTATTGGCAAATGCTACTCGGGGTAGATACTTGTTTTATTGGTTCTTTGAATCGATGAGAAATCCATCGAAGGATCCTCTCATCATGTGGGTAAGTAAATTTTGAGTATATATTGTTGTTGTTGTTTTTATGGAGGTGTAAACATTGGATCAAATTTTGAACTTGTGAAACATGCTACGATTTCGTCATGATGATGATGATGAATATAATATCTTCACATCCTTAATAACTAGACGAATGGTGGGCCAGGATGCAGCTCACTCGGAGGTGAAGCTAGTGAACATGGTCTTTTCCTTGTCAATGCTGATGGTTCAACCATTACTAGAAATCCATATTCTTGGAATCGTGTGTCGAATATTCTCTATATTGAACAACCTGTGGGTGTTGGATTTTCATATTCCAATTCGACCGATGATTATCAAAATCTTAATGATGTTCAAGCCGCTTCTGATATGAACAATGCATTGAGAGATTTTTTAACTCGATTTCCTCAATTTATTGGAAGAGAAACATATTTGGCTGGTGAATCTTATGGAGGAGTGTATGTTCCAACAACTGCTTATAATGTTATTGAAGGAAATGGAAAGGGACAACAACCATTTGTGAATCTAGTTGGTATTTTGGTTGGTAATGGTGTGACAGATGCTGAAGCTGATAGTAATAGTATTCCACCCATGATGAAATATCATAGTTTGATTTCGATCAAGTATTACGAAGAGGGTTATAAGGCATGTCAAGGTGATTTTTATTTGAATCAAAATTTGCCAGCTTGTCTCAATTTTTTGAATGACATCAATAATGCTATGGGAAATATTAATCCATATTATATTGTAAGTATTTATAGATGGAAAAACATATGTTTTTCTAACAAGAGATTCTTCTTGACCATGTTTTTCTAACTCTTGATTCACTATTGTAAATATATTTAGTATGATTCTTGTCCATGGTTAGGATTAAATTTACAACAAAAACTTAAAACTTCAGAAATGACCTTCCAAGTTTTGGATCCAAAGACTCAAAAACCAATGAAAATGCATCCACTCTTCCAAATGTATAAACATGGTGGATGGAGTAAACGAGTGGCCAATGAAAAGAATTTTGCTCCTCGTTTCGAAACCGATGCTCCTTGTGTACCCAATCAATCCATTGCCAAGTATTTCCGTAGACTTGACGTGCAGCAAGCATTGGGAGTACGGAGAAAGACTGCGATCCAAATGGATGGAATATTTGTACAGGAATTATTAACTATACTCAAGTGTACATGACTATTTTACCATTCTATGCCAAGTTATTGCCTCATATTCGTATTCTTGTATACTCTGGAGATACTGATATGGTTGTGAACGGTCTTGGAACACAAGCAGCTATTGACAAGTTACAATTGCAAGAGACTTCTTCCTGGAGAACGTAAGTGTTATTGTTTTTGTGTGCAAGCAACACAACTCATTGTAACAGTTGGGAATTTGATTCTGCATTGGGCACTGTGGTTGGAGGTTATATTCGCAAATTTGAAAAGAGTGGAAAAGGATTGACTTTTGTCACTGTTCGTGGTGCAGGTCACATGGTACCTTTGGTTAAGCCTGATAGCGCATTCTACATGTTTAAGAATTTCATTGATGGAACTTGTTGTTAATAATAATGAGGTGCAACTGTGCCCAAAACATTCAACTTGTGGAATAAATGTGATAATTCTTTGATTAAGGTTTGGTGTTTGAGGGTTTTTCCATCCATCGTCGATAAAGGTTGTTGATTTTCTGCTTATCAAATGACTTTATTCAACAACTCGAAATAGGTTGATCCTTATTTGAATCCATCGTGTCCATAACTTTAAAAAACTGGGTGAGTTTCAACTGCGACACCAATGAATCCTCCTCAGCTTCCGGTAAATTTCACATCTGCACTGTATTCCAACGTGGAGAAAAAGGTGGACAAAGCAGCACAAGAAAGAGCATGTCTCAAAAACGTCAAAGCTATTCCACTAATACCGGTCTCGACAAAAATCCCTAAACCCAGCAATGGAATTTTTTTCCAAAGGGGTAACTCTGTATTCCAAAACATTCTCGTCTTTGTCCAAGCGAACATTCCAAAATTAAGTTGAATAAATAAAATTGTTCCTAATATAATAGTCAAGGAAATAACAAACGGTGGTATGGATTTTGGTATAATTTTGAAATGCAATTTCCTTGTAGTTGGAGAAATTTTCATTTCGTATTTGTAAATGGAGAGCTCTGGAGCATCTAAATTGTATGTTGTGAAAATATATGGAGAAAGATAATTTCTCACAAAGGGATGATACTTTTCCTCGATCGTCATTCCCATATAATTACCTATGGAGTTTAAAACACGTTGACTTTTAGATTCACAAAATATTGATCCTCCATCCATTGCTGGAAACCAATAACGTTGCAAGAGCAGTTCTTTGATTACCGCACAGTGACAGGGTTTCCCTCTAACAATCTTAACATTTCTCTAAAAAGACCTGATCCAAGTTCAAATATTCCCTTACTTTGTACTGTTGAGCAAAATTGAGGATGATACAAATCTAAACGATATTTTCCATCTACCAAAACTATTTGACCTCTCATTCTGACACATGTAGTTGCTGTTGAAGGTTGAACAGAATTCCAAAAATTCAAAAATTGAGATCCCATCATAAAGTCTTGTAGAATACTTTCAAGGTGAGTTGAATGAGTCACATCATTTACAACTGTCCAGCTAATATCTATTGGTTCTATGCATAAACAAAGTGCACTCTTCGCATGCGTTTCATTGTCCAAGATACCAAGAAAAATATTTCTAGACACGAGTTCAAAAATAAAACAAAGCTCTTGATAACTCCAACTCGATGAATTGAAAAGCGACTCAATGATTGAAATTTCATCATCTCTATTCTCAGTAGTTACATATCTTAACTCACTGTTACCCATTATTTTTTCCATACAAAGTTTGTTTTCAACAAGATATAAAAATTCTTGAGGAATTCCCAAAAGAGTATAAATATCAGCAAGATATCTGATCAATCCTCCAAAATTATCATCACATATTTGAACAAGTATAACTACCATTTGTACAAGAGATACTTGTTGTCCTCTCCAAATAAACACTTTCCGATTTAATCGTTGAAAAAGAATTTTCTTAAACAATGAATATCATCATCATCTTGATTGTTTCTAGAAAAGGGAAGTAGTCGGGATGAATGCAACACACGATGCCATAGATCCATCATTCTGTAATCAAACAAGAATCGAGATGGCAAAAAGTTTAAAATATCTCCAACAATCTCATTAGGCAGAATTTGAAACATTTTTTTTCATTTTCAATTAATTTTATTATTAAACATTTAATAGTTCACAACGATTCGCTCTAGTGAGACGTTGGTTGATGCGGTATATCACGTTTTCACCCCTAGCTAGGTTCATCATCAACTCCTAAGTAACCTTTCTATCGATACACAAAATGAAATCCAACGCTTGAACCGCTCAAGTTCCCATTCAAAAAAAAAAGATGAAATCCTTTCGTCGCAATTTAGTCACTGCCACAGTTGCAGCAGTGCTCTGCATACTGCTCTGTTCTTCCATCATCGTCATGGCGTCATCATCTCCCACTCTCCTCAAGGAACAACAAGCATTTTGGTCACAACACGTTCATGACACTCAAATGATTTTCGAAATTAATTCCAATCCACACGTGTCATGGAAAGCCACTCGTTATCCCATGTTTGAGAATATGAGTTTGTATGAATTTAAACATCGCATGCTTGGTGCTGAGGTGGATGAGAGTGTGTTGTTGAAGAGTAATGATGATTCACAAAAATTGCATGTGGAAAGTGGCATGTCAGAGATGGACAAGAGAGCCATTCTAAGATTACCACAAGAGTTTGATTCTAGAAAACAATGGCCATCATGTGTTCATCCCATTAGAGATCAACAGGTATGTTTTCTCATGGATGCATTTGGAATAACAAATATTTTCAAAATGCATGAACATGTTCATAAAAATCACGATGACATAACAAATATCATAGCAATGTGGTTCTTGTTGGGCATTTTCTGCTTCTGAGGTATTGTCTGATCGTTATTGTATTGCCACAAATGGAAGTGTCAATGTGGTACTTTCTCCTGAATTCTTGGTAGAATGCAGTGCTCAAAACAATGGATGTAATGGTGGTAAATTGGATGCTACATGGTTATTCTTGGTCAAGATTGGAATTCCAACCGATCAATGTGTTCCCTACACAAGTGGTAAGTATTTCATATAATACGCAATTTTGTGTCGTCGTCGTTACAGACACACCATTTTCAAACATTCATTGAAAACTATGATGATTACCAAAATATGTGATCAATTTCTCACACAACTTGCGACAATTTAATGTCCTCAATTAATTGTATATTCAGGAAATGGAGTCGTTGGAGCATGTCCTAAAACTGGCTGTACTTCAAATCCCAATGAAAAACTTGTCTTGTATAAGGCCTCTCATGCTCGTCGTATTGTTGGAGCAGAGAATATCATGATTGATATTGCAGCAAAAGGACCAGTTCAAGCAGCAATGGCAGTCTATAGAGATTTTATGTCTGTGAGTATTATTATTATTCACATGTTTCTAGATTGTTGTTACCTTAACTTGTGTTTTGGCATTTATCCTTTCGAAATTTGTGTGAAATTTTGGAACCATACTGGATTGATGTTATGTTTTGTGATTATTCAGTACAAATCAGGAGTTTATCACCACGTGAGTGGAGGTTTGGTTGGAGGACATGCCATTAAGATTGTTGGTTGGGGAGTCGATTCTGAAAGTAGAAAACCTTATTGGATTTGTGCCAATTCATGGGGACCATGTAAGTATTGAATGTTATGTTATATGGAAATCATCATGAGGTTGAATAATTAACTATCTACGATCAAAAACTACAACTAACATATCATAGCTTGGGGAATTGATGGATTCTTTTGGATTTTAAGAGGAGTAGAGGAATGCGGCATAGGCAGAGACGTATGGACTGGTTATGTTTAATCATGATTATGGTAGATTTGCATTCTAAATGATTGGTGTTATAACATTCATTCAATACAGTCTGTCGTTGTCAACAAATTTTATTTGTAAAGCTCTTTGGCAATGTATCTTCGAGCGAAAAAGTGCTTAATGACAAAACATCTTAGAATCTAAACTTCTTTCCTGTTCGTTGCTTGGAAACATAGGGAATCCATCGTTGAACCTTTGGATGACTTAAAATGGTTTCGAGTGTATGATAATGTTCAGCCATATCATCCAGTGAAATGAATGAGTGAACAGCATCATGACATACTCTACAAATTAGAATACACTTATTCAAGTGTTCTTTGGTGTATTGACCTCTCTTGAGATACTTTTTGTGACAAGTTCTGGGAATTAAATGGTGTCGAGTGAGTTTCATTTCTCTTTCACACATGACACAACAACCATCTTCTACATAGGCACCATCATCGTCATCAGCATCACCAATGTTCACTCCATAATCTGCATATTGACCTAGTCGAATATTTCGGAAATGTTCTTGAATTTCGTGACAAATTTGAGAAATTTCTTCTTCATCATCGTCACTCACGTCATAATTAATTAAATGTTCGGAAAGAATATTAATGATGAGCGTTTGACTTTGTTGCTTCTTTTCACCCTTTGTGTTGGAAAGAGCAGCAAAGGATAATTTGGTAGCTGATGATTTAATATGATCATAGGCACTAGCAGCAACGTCATCAAAATCAATGGCACCACTTTGTGAGAGCATATTGACATTGTCATTGATCAATTCATTCACAACATGATCGAGAATGTCCTCGTCATCGATGAGTTGAGGAAGTACTTTCATGATTGCTTTACGAACACATTGTTGAAGTTGTTCATCGGAAATTTCATAGAAGGAGGGAGGAGATGTTTGATCATCTGATGAGGAGTTGTTGGATGAGCTCATTGTTGTTGCAAATGTAGCAGATGTAAGAAGAGAGTGAAAGCGTATGTGCGGTTTTTTTTGGTTGTTGAAAGTGTTGATGGGAAAGGAGAACATGGAATTGAAATAGTGAACCTGAAATCATTCCTGGAGTTGAACACGCTGTTGTTTTCGCAAAGAGCTCTCGGAAGCAGATGTTCGTTTTCGAAAATGATTCCTTCAATTTCCTCAATAATCACACACATCACTAACGGTGCGTAAACGTGGGCTGTTTTTCTCTCAATAATTGGATTGAGGAAACGTCCAAGAAAGGAAAATAGATAACACCCTCCAATGACAATAGAGACCAGTAAATGATGAACGTTTTTAATATACAAAACAACCCTAGAGATTGTGTTGGGGTAACCCGTGTTTATTTGCTAGGAAGGAATTTATTGAACATCTTCTCTGAAGCTCTTCCAATCAACCTTGTAGACTGATCCGGAGGAGGTGTTGTAGTCAACTTCATATGGTGGCTTCAAACCTCTGTGTCTATTTTCCAAATACTATTGTTGTTGTTTTGTATTTGAATCATCACAAATTGACATCATCACGAATTATCAAAAAAATTAAATTCCGTTAAAAATACATACGCTGGCATACTTGTTCTTGTTCATGTTGTAGTTGAAGTAATAGGCTTCATAAATACCCCACATCAAAGTGATTTCAGCTGCAAGTCCAATAATGATTGGTTTCTTCCACTTGGTCAACAAGTCTCTTGAAACACCGTGAAAATGCATCTTTGTGCCTGCCATTTTTTTGTTGTGTTGCTGTAATTTTTTTGGGCCTATTTTAGAAATATTTTGGGTCCAGTTACAAAAAACTTGCTGCTTGTCGACAACTCCAAAGTTGTGGATCATGATGATCACTGGTTTTCATGTGAACGAGAGTAATAACAGATACTCGTAAAGGTAACTTCTTCGATTTGTTGAATGCTATAATATTAAAAAAAATGTTGCAATCTCCCAACAACAACGGACCCAAAGTGAATTGGAATAATGACGTGTGGTTTGATATTCAAAATTTGCCATTTGTACCCGATACAGAAAACTATTTCCCGTACACTAAAGGGATGTTGCACCGGAAAGGAAGCAGAGAGCGAGGAGGAATGAGTGAATATGCCCGTAATCACTATGTGAATAATATTGCTAAATATTGGGATAAATTCTTTAAAGTTAATCAAGATAAATTCTTTAAAAACAGGCAATGGATGTTGCGGGAATATGTCCAGTTAACACAGGCGATTGAAAGAAATGAACAATTTAATTTTTGTGAAATAGGTTGTGGATGTGGAAATACGATTAATGGTATTTTGGCCAATTTACATTCAGTGAATCCACAGTTTAATCCAACGAGTCAAATGGAAATTTATGGATTTGATTGCTCTGAGCACGCTGTTAAAATTTTGCGAGAGCAATACAGAGATTCGCCAAATGTTCATTTCTTTGTTCATGATTTACTTTCTGCAGAAGGAGCCGTTTTAACACCACAAATGGCAGAGAATATGCCTCAAGACGAGTTTTTAAAGCGTCACTTGCCTCCAAAACCTCGCTCTATCAATTATTCAAGCATGATTTTTGTACTCAGCGCCCTCAGCTCTTTGGAGGACATGAAGCGGATCATTAATACAAAGATATATGAACTGTTAGCTCAAAACGGTATTTTATTCTTTCGAGATTATGCTGTCAATGATTTGGCACATTACCGATATCTTAATGAAAAAGATGTCTACACGAAACAACTAAGCGAGGAATGCTTTGTTCGTGGAGATGGTACTTTGGTTTATTTCTTTTCTATTGACTCTTTGAAATCTCTTTTTGATGAGGACAAGTTTGAGATAATTACTTGCGAATATGTAGATAAGGTTGTTGAAAACAAAGGTGAGGGTTTGACAATGAATAGAAAGTTCATTCAGTTGATTTGTAGAGCAAAATAAACATCCTCCGTTCAAAATTAGTTTAATTAATTAAATTGGAAAATAATCTTCATAATAATTTAAATAATAAAATTTGTTGTAATCAAGTTATGGCTGATGAGCTGCAGGTCCGAAATAATTCATGATCAATCCCATCACTGAAAACATTACACTTGTAGCTGTTTGCTTAAAATCCATCTCGGAGTACTTCAAATTATACAGGCCACTGATGCAAAATAATGCTCCAAGCCAAGAAACATATTTCATCTTCAACATGAGTCCAAGAACTCCACAAAATAAAGATAACATTGAAGAAAAATCACTTGGTGCCTCCTCCTCAGTCAATTCCGGATACATGAATTCCTTTTCCTCGTATGCTGCTGATTTCTTGGTGGTTGGAATTACCAAACCACTGTTCTTTAAATCTGATGAAGATGTCGTTATCGGAGAAGATGAGCTTGTAGCGTTTGATTTTTCGGAAGTAGTGTTGGGTGCTTGTTCTTCTTCGATGATGGTTGGTTCTTCTTGTGCTTGTTCTGTCATTTTTCTGTGTTGTGTGAGCTCCCAAGAAAAACCCGCTTTTCAAATATTGAAAATAAAAATGGAGCGTGTGAGTGTGGGGTGAGTACTTCATTCCGACCGTGGTGTGATGATGAAAAGATGCAAATTACTGAAATGTTCATCTTGATTTTATCATTGAAACATTTGGTGTTCAAAAACCATGGATTAATGTGTGATTTGTGCTTTGGATCAATAACAATTTTGTGAAATATCATCAGCGGAACAGCAATTCAAAATCCAGTTAACGGAGATAGCATTCAACAGCCACCACAAACGTTTACATTCTCCAACAAGTTGGCAAAATATAAGGTCATTGAAAAGGTGGGAGAAGGAACCTATGGAGTAGTATTTAAAGCCATTGATATCACCACAGGAAAGATGGTAGCCATCAAAAGAATTAGGCTTGAAAGAGAAGAGGAAGGAGTTCCGTCCACAACATTGCGAGAAATTGCGCTGTTGAAACAACTTTCTCATCCTAATGTTGTCAAGTAAGTAGTTCAAGAACAGGAACGCATGATTAACCCGTATGCTGTTGTAATATTCAGATTGTATGAGGTGGTTCATGATTCGAATCAATTAAATTTGATTTTCGAGTTTGTGGATAGCGACCTTAAAGCTGTGATTGATAAGCAACGAGAGAAAAAGCAATATTTTCCTCCCATTACTGTTAAACAGTACATGTTTCAAATGATTCATTCTTTGGCTTATTGTCATTCAAATAGAGTACTTCATAGAGGTATGTAATGGTGAGCAATGCTTTAATAATCCTCTCTAGATATCAAGCCACAAAATATTCTAATCGACAGTGAAGGAAATGTCAAATTAGCAGACTTTGGATTAGCACGCGAATTTAACATTCCAGTTCGAACACTAACAAAAGAGGTGATTACTCTGTGGTATAGATGCCCTGAATTGCTGCTTGGAGCAAACAAATATTCTACTGCAGTAGATCTGTGGTCAAGTAAGTAATATTTTGACCATTCTCTTTCAAACTGACCCTGAAACTCTCATTCAGTTGGATGTATCTTTGCAGAACTTGTTTCGTTGACTCCTCTATTTCCAAGTGATTCTGAAATTGATCATTTATTTAAAGTGTTTCAACTTTTAGGAACGCCAAATGAGGATAGTGGCATTGTTAATCTTCCTAACTATAGAAACACTTTTCCCAAGTGGAAAGGCAATTTACTTGCCTCAAAATTTCTTCGAACACCTTTCGAAAAAGATGCTCTTGGTTTGGACTTGCTGGCTCGGATGCTTACTATCAACCCAGCTCATAGAATTAGTGCTCATGACGCATTAAAGCATCCATATTTTGACGAGTTACTGAATTGCTAAGTCGTCAATGAGTGCAGAGGGTGCCACTTTTGCTGAGCAAACAGCGATTGTATACTCTTCCACTCATTTAAGAGTCTTGTAAAAACTGCCACTTGAAAATTTAGAATTTCATCAATATTCTATTATCTAATTTTAAACTCTTGACGCGATCGATGTACTCAAATACGTCTTTTGAATAATCCAAAGACCATAAATCCTTAATTTGAACATCCATATGATCCATGTGATTCTTTTCATTTTCAGTGACAGATTCATACCCGCTGATAGAATTTGGATCGTGCGAACTTGGACACCAAACTTGACACATTCCCAAACATTGCAACAATAATCGTCCAAGTTTGTAAAGAATATCTTTGAACAAGCTTCTTCTCTGAGAAACTGCTTTCATTCTCAGCACGTTAATCAATTCGTCAAAGGCAGGGCTTGTCTTAAATTCAAATAGTAATTCGTTCATCTTACGAAGAGTTGATTTTAAGGGATGTTTCAATAGATTAAGCAAAAACAAATCTTCCTTAGGAATGGTTGAGTTGTTATCAACCACTTCAGAAATGGTGGATGAGGTGTCTTCGTCTCCATTTTCCGAATATTCGCTATCTGAGTAGTCATCATCATTTTCGTTGTGAGAAGTCCCTTTGATATATCTCATTATTGATGTTCTAATATGATTCTTGTCTCGATTAGAGATAATGTCAGAATTAATTTTGAGAAAGGATGTTTCTGAGAAGTACTTGTCACAAATTTCCAATACTGCTTCAGAAATTTGCTTTTTCCTTTCTTCCCCTTCCTTGTCGTTCTGTAGTATGAGAGCTTTTAGTTGATACATGTCAAACCAAAAGAATACCAAGTTATCATATTCTGCCATGTTCACTTCTCTGTCATTTTCATTGGATTGGGTTGGATTATCTCTTTCTGCACAATAAGTCGTGAAATATCTCAAGCATGTGACGTCTTGTAACATGTCTGCTAGATTGGAAGGAGAGACTGTATCTTCTGAAATTCCAAATATTATACTCAATAGAATGGAACTCATTCTTGGACCACTACATTGTTCTGCAATGGACAAGAGCACAAAAATAACAATGGAGGTACTATCAGAAGATTGACATTGTATGAATTCCTGGAAAAAAGATTAATATTGATATTCGTTCACCAACTTACCCAACACAATCTAGATGCTATCCAAACAATCCAATTAATTGTCAATACAGCGATATAATAAAGAGCTGTTCTCGATTGAGAATGTAAAAATTGAATATACTCATCAATATCTCTTTGTGTTAATGTTGAATACTTGATGTTATTTCCAAACATCAAGAATGAAAATGAATTATACGTTTGAGAGCTCTGAATAGGCTGAATAGTTGCTGTTTTTTGTAAATTATTTTGAACAGCTATGGCTTGCAGAGAGGTAGAGGAATTTTGTTTTTTACCGAGGGCATTCAGTGAAACATTGCTTGAAAAATTTCTCTTGACTGCGAGAAGAGGTTTGTTTTCATCTACAATTTCTTGATTTTCATAATCTTGATTTTCATTGAATGATGTTGATTCGAAATTTCCCACTGACCCAGATGGTAAGCTCTTTTTGCTGGAGGGACTTGTTGAATTCATCTTGGATCGAATAGGATTTCGTATCGGAAGAGATGGAGAAGAGTCTGTCGCATTTTCTAAGGATATGGTTGATATTGAGGGCTTAATGGAAGTGTTGTTCACAGATATGCTTAGTTGATGGTTTTGCAACATTTTTGAATTCTTCCTAATTTTCACTATAATCACAACAAAGAGCAAAATATTACTAATGTAGTACATGTGGATAATTTTGATTTGTGTCGCACATGTTGAGTATTAATAACACTTACATTATTAAGATCAAGGTGTTTGGAATATAAAAAAAGCCAATTTCAAAGAAAATAGCCCAATATGATTCGACAGGATCAGAGCTTGAGTTCCTTAAAAGAGAAAATGGATTGTTGATCAACGGTATGCTATCGTATCCTAAATAATTTTTCTCAAATGTCCTAGGAAAACTTGTTGATGAGGTGTTGATTAAGTGTGACGGAGTATTTGCGAAATCACACCAGAGTTTTGAAGATTTTCCATAGAGCTCAGCGTATCTATCAGTTCCAGGCACAGGTATGGGAAATATAAAAACGAAAAACGGAATTGAAATCAAAGCACAAACAACCAAAATTCCAATTAATAATCGATGATAGAGTGATTTTAGCTTTTTGTACTGGTTGCTCACAATAACGGTATAAAAAAGGAAAAATGTCAAACATAACGAAAACGTGTTTAAGCATAACGATGAACTATTCGCAATGAATGCTTGAATTTGACAAAGAGGATAAATATATGTGACATTTCCCACTGTAATTGCAATTGACAAAATAATCATTCATATTTCCATACAAATACATACACAACGTTATAATAATTGATTCCACTTCTATGCAAAGACAATAGATAAATCCAAAAATGTTGATCACACTGTACAATGGTATTTCATGAATTAATTTCCGATCCATGGTCATACAATAATTGCTTGCACCCAGAACTACTCACCCTAAAATATTCAAACGAGGTGATTTGGTTTCTTTCCGATACAGAACCACGCCAAGAAACACAAACACAGAACTAATGATACTTAGAAAGCAAATTACAATGCTCACAATTTGCAAATTGTAGTCTTTGCTAATATTTATCTTGCAAAGATCCGACAGGTATTTGGGGTGGAATGACGGATTCCCGTTAACCAAACTACCCTCTCTTGGTAGAGCAGGTGAAGACATTTTTATAAGAGCTGAAAGAGGTCTCATTGTGCAAATATGGCTCGAAGGTGGCGATACTCATGAGATTTGACACGAAACACTGACAGCATTTAGAATTAAATATTTATGAGAGAATTTATTGGATGTCCTTCATGATCTTTTGTTCGAGCATGAGTCTGTTCATTGCTCCGTCAGACTTAGCCTTCATTCTCAATTCACCGCACAATGAAACTGAAGTGTTTGATCCAGTGTAGACTCCATTTTCGTCAACCAATCCAATTGTGATTTGGACAGAAGCGTGATCCTTGGCAGTAATCAAGCTCTTTGTGGCAGTACTAAATGATTCGAACGTAGTATTTTCATAATATTACATAGTTTCAAATCTGTGTTAATCGTTGCTAAAAGTTCGGAAATTTATACGTACCACTTTCTTGGGTGATAATAATCGACTTGTTGTCCTTGGTCGTTTTGCATGGTGGAGGATAAATTTTGGCGTATTTTTTTCAAACGAATTTTTTAAAAAACTTTAGTCAACCGAGTACTTGATTTTACAATGATGGTCAAAATGTCCTGTAACAACAGAATGTTGGATAAGGACGGAGAATGGAGTTGACACACATTTCGTATTTGTGAAAATGTTGTAAGAAACATCATTAGCTTGCAATGATGAACAAAAGAATTAGTATCGACCTACGTCGGATTAAAACCCAAAACCAAAAAAATGTTTGCTTTGAGTTGTCGCCGCTTTATTTCACACAACTCCCGGCCTTTTTCTCGGGACCCAACAACGATTTCATTTTCATTAAAACATGCGATAAATTACAAGATATCCACACAAATTACTTCCGATAATTTATTCCATAATTTTGGAAGCACAACAAGATATTTTCACTCCAACATTTCGAACATGATGGCATCAACAAATCCTTATGAAATTCTTGGATGTGAATTTGGAGCAAGTGAAGACGTGGTCAGAAAGGCATATATCAAACTCAGCAAAAAGTATCATCCAGATTTAAACAAAACAGAAGAGGCCAAAGACAAAATGGCTGAAATTAACGCAGCCTATGCTCAAATTAAAAAAGGAAGCGTACAAGATCCAAATACTGGACCATTCCAAGGAACAGGATCTTCGGATCCAAAAGGATTTTGGGGCAAAGATCCTTTCGGAAGTGGAGCACACTACAACCCATTTGACGTTTTCCCATTCAACGATGATGACTTTTTAACTCGATTAGAAAAATATAAAAGAGGAGAGAGAACGTGGTTTACTGACTCAGAGCATACAACATTTATTGGATTAATGAATAAGCATAGAAAAGAGCAGAGATTAGAAAAAGAGAAAAGATACCGAGAAAATGAAATCAATAACCATTTTAAGGACCAACCTGAATTTGTTAAGAAAATACTTTTAAATTCACCTTTTATATTCGCTCATGCTTATGATATCAAGATGAATGGAATGACACCAGTGAAAGCAATAGCTTTGGGATTCAAGCTGTTGACCTATGTTGCTTATGCAGCTGCAATCTATCTGGTATTTAAAGGCCTCTCCTCATTCATTAAAAGTGGAGCACAATCGAAAGCAGCTCGAATGAAAGAAATTGAAGATGCCCGAGTCAGAGGAGTTCAAAATAACAGATACCGAGTAATGACCTCAGAGGGTATTACAAGAGTTGGAAATGACGGCAAAAAAGGAGTTGGCGAAGAGTACATTCCTCCCAGAACTCAACAGTCCTACATGAGAACCATAAGAAAGAAAATGGAAGAAAAAGATTTTGATAACAGAAAAGAGACAGAGAGTCTTCCGACAAAAGTACAGGAACAAGCCAATACGATGTCTATGACTGATGTGAATACTAAAAAGTAATGCAGCCATTCTGTCATGCATCATCCTAAGGACAAAATAACACATAGTTCAAATCGTCGTTTTTTTGAATTTAGAAGTCAAGGGCCATTTTATGGGATGGTGCTATTCATGGTATGTTTCGTTCTACACAGTAGGTATGATGTTAAAGTTACGTCTTCATTGTTCGATCAGACCGAAGATATTATTGGTAAAATGCTCGACAGCGTTTCAACATTTTCATGCTCTGTCATAAACTTGGGAGCCCTCGTTCTAAAATGGTCTTTGAATTTTTTTGTCTGATTTCACGTGCTCTGAAATGTGCAAAACGATTTGGGTTGAATTTTGATGAAAGACTGGTATCATACAGTGCACATTTGGAGCAAGACAAATGCAGTGCAACACACCAAGAGCATCAAAAGAAATGCACCACCAACCACAACAACAAACGACAGCATCTGTCCATGCCAACAGCAACAGTACCTCTACAGCACCTCTTCCTCTGCAAGGATCATCCTCTCTCACTGACGCTAACAATTCCTCCAACAAGTTTGCAATTGTTGATCTTACAGATGAGGTCAAGCTCAAGACTCAATTCAAAGGCGACAAGTTGTTGAAAGTGAATAAGCAGTTTAGGAGTAATAGTGAATTTCAATCCAACTATTTCTTTTTCAAAACCAAGAAGCGTAAGGGAGCAAGTACAGCCTCATCAGAGCCAACTCCCAATAGCGATGATGAAATAGAGAGCGAATTGAATCATGCTCAACACTTTTACAATGAAAAGTCCATCTCTCAAAATCCTGAAAGCAATCTCAAGAGAAGGAATACCATATGTATGGTTCAAACATCAATTTCCACGTCTGCAGTTGGTGGCCAACAACATCAACAACAACATCAGCAACAACAGCACAACATCGACATGATGATGAATCCGACCAAAGCAAACACCTCTCTTCAAGGAGACCATTCGGTAAGCCCCAAACGTCAAGGACCTCAGCACTTGGCTCGAGCTCAGAGCTTCTCGTTCCCTCAAGAATACTATTCAGGACCACGCAACAAATCATCACATCAACACCATCAATCCATGCCAATTCTTAACAATCAAGCCTTTAACGTTCAACTGAACGGTAATGGTAATACCATTCAGAGTGGTCACAATAACAGCAATTACTACAACCATGACAATATCTACACCCCAACCAAGATTATTAGACTCAAGAAAGATGTTCCTCAAACGCCAATAATGAACACGGAGAACGATATGAATTCGCATCAATTATTTCATTTAACTAGGAATGACCAACTTGGTTCTTCTAGACCACTGAGGTTTGTTGTTGTGGTGATCAGGGAGGGTGAGCCAAAGCGTAGGCAACCAGCCTATACCCAACCATTCTTGGCGACGTTGACGAACTCAAGTGTCATCACGAAAATAAACATCTCCAACCAAAAAAAATGCCTACAGCAAACAAAACGTTCTGGCAGAAGCTGAGTGATCAACACAACCACATCAGCAAGTTTCTTCACTTCAACAAAACAACACGCAAACCAGAGTAGGAAACAGAGAAAACAATTCATCGAACTGAACAAACCATCAGTGGAATTCCTAGTCGTCTATTGTTGTACATTCTGCTTTTCCGATGGCCTTCACAATTTCTTGATCGTTCCCAAACTTCGACAACAGCAAATCATACAACATAAGCACATCCACAACGGCATTATGTGCTATTCCGGGAAGAGAGTCACATACTTTTTCTCTAAAGTGGTTTTCTAATCCCTTTTTTCCAAGCAAGTTTTTTTGCATAGTAGAACAATAGTAAATTGTTGATCGGAGTTTAAGTGGTGCAATTGCAGCACTAAAGAAAGCCTTGTCCAAACCAGTTGAATGAACCAACAACATCACATCAGCAGTGTCATTCCTAGTCAAATAATTACAAATTTTAGGAATCATGTTTTGCAATGTTTCACTTTCATCCAAAATCTGAAATTTAGTTTCGTGCATTTGTAATGCAATAGAACTCCACACACCACTAGGGGATACAAATATGGAATGTAATTCATTACTAAATAATGATAACATTGCAAATTGAATTATGGAGTTGCATTTTGGAGAAAATCCTGTTGTTTCTAAATCTAGCACAAAGAAGTTCAATGGTCGTCTTGTCTCTTGATTGATACAGTGAGGCGTGGGAATTGATTTAAGAGGTGCAAAATTATATTGAATAGTCAACCTGTTTTTGAATTTTGAAATCAGGTAAGGTGGTTTGTGTTGTACAATAATATTCTAATTGTTTTTGCAACTTTGTTTCCTAAAAGCAACATCTTTTTCTAATTGAGCAGAAAATTGCAAACATTCTAATTGAGCAACTGTTGCTTCTGCTTCTTCGTCTGAAAATTGATGTTTAGCTTTCAAATGATTTGTAAAAGACCCTTTGATAATATATGGTTTTTGTTTTTTACATCCAGAAACAGGGCAGCATAAATATATACATTTAGGAGCACACACTTCAGCCCTCAACGTAGTTTTTCTTGAGTAAGTGGCTACGTTTTGATTAATAATTTGTAATTCTTTGCAAGTTTTTTTCTTGACATTTCTATCAAGTACAATTCGACCAGGAAGAGTTGGTAAAATCTTGATAACCAATTTCATACCAAAATAATGATCAGTTAATGGAATATCTGGGAGTGAGAACCCACGAACATCGTCAGTGGAATGTAATATTAAAAATATATAGAATGAAAATAGTGCGCTTTGGCAAAATTGTTTGGTTGTTGGCTT